AAAATTGGTTTTTTTGTAGGTTAGATGGTATGCCTTCATAACTATTGTAAGAAAAAGTAAGCAGATAACTTTTTGAAATATTGCAGCCTTTTCACTAAAAAAAAAAACGATCAAACAGTTTAAAAATCATAAAACGTTCTGGCGAAGGTATATTTTCACTTTCTCGAGGAAGATTGCGCAATTCTAGATCGAAGGTTTCTGTAAGCATGGTACATTCTAAAAACTACAACCCCAATATTTTTTTCTAATGCTCATGAATTCATTTCACATTGAAAGAGAAACGACTTGTTCTGAAGCCAATAAAAAAAGTAGACTTGATTCAAGCAAAACATCAACTCTGTCGGTTTTTTGTTCTAATTTGATTTTCCAAGGCTGCATCATGTTTAGAGAAAAACTTTCCAGATGGAATGAATTTCCCGCTTCCTGTCAGGAATTAGACAAATGACATTTTTAACTCTTCGAGACATTTCAGGAACACGTCACGAAATGTTTTCCGACAGGGGTGAAGCCAAAGAAGATGAAGAAGAAGAAGAAGAAGTAGGAGAAGGCTTTTTCGGCGGAGACACGGCTTGCTCAGATAACAACGTCCAATAAACACGCGCAAATAGGACCTTTATTTCAAGGAGTTGTCATCACACTCCAACACAAGTCCAGGAACTGAGTTAACTCACCAATAGCTGCTTCCTGAGTGCGTTCAAATGAGAAAAGGAAAAATTTATGAAGCTTTCGGTTCGAGAGTTTTTTTCAGTTTTCATTCAAGCCACGCCCAATCTCTTTTTTTGATATTACTAACGAGGGAAGCTCGTGAACCAAGAAAGTGAAAAATTTCGATTAACAAGGGTCTAAATTCATAAGGTTGGTAGTCCTAGGTTCAGGGGTTTAAAACAAAAATATATCTGCCAAACTGCATGGGGTACTGAGAAATAGTTCAGAAATTTTCCGTGTTTCTCGAGACTGTTTTAGTAACCAAATAGATGAAGCGAGTCTATTTTTTCACCTTCACCTGTATAATTCTGACAAACTATTTTTCAGTATCCAATGGTCTCAATATAACAGCTTCATATAAATAGATTCTTTAGGAAACACTGCAGACCTGGGTGAAAAAAGATGGAAACAAAAACCGCATAAGAGAAAAAATGATCGAAAAAAAATTGTTTGAAATGAGCAGGAAACTATTGTTTTCGTTAAGTGTTATCGTTTCAAAATTTTTTCTCCTCGTTTTCACAATATGATTCTTAAGTGCGGTTATCGGAAAAGAAAACTGACGAAAATTTTTTGAGCTTTTTCTGTTTCGAAATGCTTCATATTGTAGTTTATATTGTTTAGCGAATTCGTTTTTATGAAAGAGTATTTTTATTGTTCAGTTGAGTTTCGAAACTGCTTCTGAAAAAAATTGATGATTTTTTTCAGTAAAATTCTTGAATATCCAAAATGAAGGTCGGAAGGTTCCGGAATAGGTTCCTTATAGAAGCGTAAGATTAAAAATAGCGCGTTAAAGTTTTTCACAACGAAAGTTCTCAAAAAAACTTTTTCAATAATAAATTAATGCATACTTTATGATGAATTGTAGAAAATTCGAAAACTCAAGTTTTACATAAAAAAAGATTGAATATAACTCCAAAAACGCCCACACCAGGAAGAAAAATTGCTGGAAACCCAGGTCAAGTCTTGATAATGATAAGCCATGCAGTTTTGAAAGCTCAACTGCACGCCAGTTGTCTTGTACCCATTCAACTTAGCACGATTATTGCTTTTTTCTCTCAGCACCTTCGGAGTTAAAAATAGGCTAGACAAGAGAGAAGCGGGCGGTCGACGACGATAATTTGTTTTTGGAGTGAAAAATTGTATATCTGTGTAATTACGGCATAAATAAAAGGGTACGAAATAGCGAGAAAATCTACTTATTTGGAGAAAATTGAGGTGAAAGGAAAATAGTAGTTCAAGAAAATGGAAAGATCCATTCGAAGTAAAGCAAAAAAAACTTTTCAACTGAGTCTGATATATTCAAAAAAAATGTTGAGAGAAAAAGTTTTTTTATTAGAATTATTATAAATTCATAAAGAGTAACAAAAAAAATTTTAGGAGAGTCTAAAACGCACATTGAAGAGAAGAACTGACTGGGTGGTTGACATGTATGCTGTTTTATTTAGTGGGATTAGGCTACGGTAATCTTCATCTTCATCAAATACCTTCTGATAGTCTTTTTTTAATAACGAATATGTTGACGTTGGCTGTGAAATCTAAATTTAGTTATAATTTATACGGGAAAAAAATTAATTCGAGGTTTATAATTGCAGGAAAAAGGCTCAATGAAACCAGAAAATCAAAAGAAAAAAAAAAAAAAGTAGTACATATAAGATAATCCAAACTAGAAACGCTTGCAAATATTGGGTTGTGAAGACTAAATGTTCGAGGCATCAAAAAGCAAGGAAATGAGGGGAAAAATCTGCAAAGTGATTAACAACTCGAAGATTTGTGTTTGTTGCATTCCCAGCGGCTTCTCTTCCTCGACCCCTCTCTTTTCTGTTCTATTAAAAGCCACCCACTTGCACTTCTACCAATTTCTTGAACTCTGGACTTCCGGTACATTTGGAAACAAAAGGCTTAAAGATTGAAAACAAGAAAAAATGTTTATGTGAAAAATGGCATAGGCAGTCGCAGGCTTTTTGCAGTTTACACGAAAAATTCCTAGAGAAGGTCGAACCAAAAATATGGAGAATGCTCAATCAAAACTTGCTATCAGAAATCCCTGTCTGAACTTTTGAAGAGAGATATGGCAAAATTATGAAATCTAAAAAAATCAGTTTGGATCTCTTTTGAGCTCGAAGAAGATATTTTTTTCTTGTCATTTCCATTTTTCTCAAAGTAATTAGGCTTACCGATATATTTTTGTATTAGAAAAAAACAAGAAAAAAATGAACTAAACCTTTACCGGAAAAAAAGCGATACAATTTTCTCATTTCGAGGCTTTTCAGAAAGGAAAATGAGGAAGATAAAACCCAGCAAAAAAAGAAATTTTCCGTCATAAGAGTGAAGAGCAACGTTGAAGAGACAATTTGTGGGTCACGCATAATTCAAAAAAATGCCGAAGATATTTGGACCTCTGCCGGTTTTTGAGTAATCGACCAAAGTATTCATATAAGAAGCGTTTTCTCAATTTTTGGGGTTTAGGTATAATTCCAATTCCAGCTTTTTTTATTTAACTTTTTAAATCGCGTTTTTTTAATCAGGTTGAAAGAAGTTATTCTATTCATAAAATCACTTCTTTGAAAGTTTTCCAGTTATTCAAGGATCTGAGAATGATTTCCTGTTTGGAAAAATATAATCGGTAAGGTCTGATTCGTTTTTCATATAATTCAGGAGTTGCTACTGAATATTTCTCCTTGAAAGATACGAAAAAACGGCCATTGAGCTTATTAAGTAGTAAGCACCTGTTTGAAGTTCTTAAAACATACTAGCGACAGGTGTTCACAAATACTCGGAACGCAAGTGAAAAAACCTCCGCAGAAGTGCATGAGACGAATGAAAACTGGCTTAAAGAAAGAAAAAAGACAAGAAGAAACGACAACTCATGGCTTGAGCCACCGCGTCAACTGTGTTGAAAACAAAACGAGAATTTCGCCATCTTGTTAGGACCGAAAATAGAAATTTGCTTTATACTTCCCAAAAAAAATCAAGCATTCATAACAAAAAAATGGTATTTATGTGTTATGAGAGACAAACTTGAAAAAGATTTACAATGCTGATTTTTAATTTTCTTCTTTTAGCTTTGTTGAAATTTCGCTCTTCAAACTTTCTTTTATTTATAATATGGAGCATTGAATAGCCAAGCTCACAAACTTCTGTTTGCTCACAAGAAAAAAATCGACGATTTCGAGAATTTTTGAAGTTTTTTTGATAGACATTCTATAGGGGAGCTTTGCCCTTGAATCAACTCTATCTATTCCTAACTTTTCAGTAAAAAGTTTAAAATTTAAAATAAACTGGACAGGTATACAAAGCTTTCTAAAATTATCTCCAAAGTTCCATAGATATGAAAAAAAACGGAAATCTCACCCGTTCTATGAGCATTACCATTAAACTGACCAGAACCTCGTCAGACGTTTACATAGAAAAAAATTCAGAGAACTTCATATCCAAAAATTGTAAAAACGGCAGCTATAGTCAAACAGAGAAAGGAATGAAACAAGCGATAACGAAACATTTCGAAAATTCTCTCATTATAATCCAATTATTCAAAATGACACTGATGGAATGCTTTTAGAGTTCTTTGTCGATGAAACTTTTTTCTTTGGGCATTATAATATTTATAATGCATTTCACGTCATTTTTTTGGCCACGCTTCAATTTCGCATTTATTTCCCGAAGTTTACCGAAGTCGGATTGCGGTTTTTCCGAGAACAAATTAAGGGAAAAGAGCAAGAAATGTATCATGTAGAACAATGTGATATCTTTCCATGGAAAAAAATCGGAATGGGTGGAAAAAGGCTCCATAGAGATGTTCTTTTTGGGGTGAGAAAGGCTCCTTTTTCGCTGCCTTTTCACGCCATTTCATCGGCTCTTTTGCACCTTTTTTGCTGTCTCTCATTTTTTTTTACTATATCTTCAGCATTTAAAAACCCAAAAGAGGTTTGATAAAGGGACTCTTCTTGTTGCTTTTTTGCTGCCTTTCTGCGTCTTTTTCCGACCCTTTCCTTTTAGCGGCCATTTTTTTTACCATTCCGACTCTGCATGAGCTGTACCCATTCTCGCATTCATCCAATTTTTTTTCAGTTTTTCTTTTTCTTTGACTTTTTGATTATTTTTTTCACTTCATTGTTCAACTCAATTTATTTAAATATATCTGACAATGTACATCGAGTTCAATAGGGCGCTTATCAATCAGTCCGGCTTTTGATGTTCTTTTGAAAGCCCTCAAGGGATCTAAGTAGAAAATTTGATTTGAAAATCTAAAATCTCTTCTTCAATATCTTCTTTGCCTTTCAAATCAACAGATTTCTTCAGATTTCTTGCACGTATTCCGGGTTGACAAAAGAGAATCCTTCAAACTCCGTTTGATCAAGGTTCATGAGGAAAAGTCGGTCGATCGGGGTCAACCTTGGAACTTCGTGAGTGAACTCGGCGTCAAAGTTGGAGACATCGTCTGCCGATTTCTGTAAATCAAAAACTTCTTAATCTACTCCGTGCCGTTTTTTTCAATACGGTTAGTTTTGAATAGTTTATTATTTACTTAATTAAGTGCTGTTAATGATAAAATAATAAAAGGGTTACGGGGAGAAAGATAAGTGGTTTGGGGGAGGGAATTTGACATCATGCAGTTAGAGAAGAGGTTACATACATAGTCAAGGTTTTTCGAATGACAAGCTCTTTGGTAGTGGAATAATAAGCAACATACTGTCTACAGCGATCTAGTGAGAAATGATAGAAGGGAAATGAAATTTTGCAGATTTTTTTAAAAAGATATGATTTCTTCAGAACATATTCCTCGACGGAAAAACACGTTTTACTAAAATAATACAACACAAATCTAGAAATCCTACTAATGAATAAAAACCACGCTTACTTGACTAGCAATGTGCCAAAGACTTGGAGAAGTGTTTTCCAATAAGTCATGACCGAGCTGGGATATAATGTATAAGTGCCTAAAGTGCTACAAACGAACAGACACAAAATCATTTTTAATTTTTGAAGTGTGAACTTCTGAAAGTGTCCATGCTCCAAGTGGATGAAAAGTTATCGATGAAAATTTTTGTTTCAAAAAAAAGCATCTTGAAATTTTTTGCTTGAATTTTATGTATTGCCGGTCCAAAAAATCTAGACTCTTTTCCAACTTGAGTCGATGAAATAAACTTTTTGCTCCGATAAAACCTCAAAGTTTTTCTCAATCTCCTATCAAAAGAATTCGAATCAGAGCAAGAAAATCCGGAAAAAAAAATCTACAACTTTCATAATTTCCTTTGCCTAGCCTAAAGGACAGAGAACACAGCTAAAAAAAAACTTTCAGGGAGGTTCGAAAGAAACATCAGGGTGTTGAACCTAATAAAATACTTGAGGTGCAAATAAAAACTAGAATGACAACAGAAACACACAAAATGAACACCTAAAGATCGTTGACGTCGACATCTGGAACGAAAAATGGATTGACGAAAGAAAAATTAGCGAATTCGTCTCCTCGAATGTTCTCGAGCACTTCCCAGTCTGGAGGCGTCATTTTCGTTGGCAGCTTCAAAAAGTTGCTGTCGAAGTTCTCTGTCGATTTCGGCGTCTTCTGCAACTTACAGTTGGGCTGTCCCATTTTCACATCGAAAAGTACATGCAAGTGCATTCAACGACTTTCATTCTCAATAATGTAGCTCTAAAACAAAATTGAACTGAATGGCGGATCCAGAAAGAGCCATTCCGGAGATCGTTCCTCATGCTTTTTCACGTCGTGCTTACTTCAATAATGCAAGTTGCATCTAAGTTGTTTACCATTCAACTGAAACGAAAACTTGTGTTTCAAAATTATGAAATTGAACCATACTTCTTTTTTTATTAATTATCTTTTAACTGAAAACTTGCGTCACTTTGTACAGATTCAAGCGCATCAAATGCTCAATAGTTTCGAAATTTAACTGACCAGTTTTGGCTTGAAGGGAGGTTGAACTTGAAGAGTTTCAATTTTGAACCAATCTATACGCCGGAAGAAGGGGTGCTCCTGTTGAAGTTCCATTTTTTTCTGTTTTTTTTTCCTCCAGTTTACTTTTATATCTCTCTGCGAATCTGCCTCGTTTGGAGAACAACCCAACCGTTTCACGGGATTTTTCAGCAGCAGGGCTTTGCAAATGGAAACAGCTTCTTTTGACATACTTTTTGGATAAGACACGTTGTGCTCAGTGATTGCTACAATACAATTTTTCAGTTTCTGAAAAAACCGTAGTTGTATACCTGTGAATAGTTCGTCTTCGTCTTCACCGTCGAATGGAGGCTGGCCGGCCAACATTTCAAAAAGAAGAACCCCGAAAGCCCACCAATCAACTGATTTTCCATATGGTTGGTATAAAATGATCTGAACTCTTTTTTTTGACGAAATTCGGATTACTTTTTTATTTTTTCTTTTCTGCTCATTTTACCTCTGGTGCAATGTAATCTGGCGTCCCACAAAAAGTCTTGGTGGTAGCGTCGCCAAAGATGTTCTCTTTGCACATTCCAAAATCGGTTATCTAAAATGATGTTTTTCAACTTTTTTTTTTAGTAGGATTATTTTACCTTGATATGCCCATCTCTTTCCAACATGACGTTGTCTAATTTCAAGTCACGGTAGATGATCCCCTTCGAATGAAGGAAAAACAAACCAACGGCAATTTCAGCTGCATAGAAACTGAAAAGAATTCCATTCTGAGAATGAAGGAAACTTTGGAAAAATAAGGAAAAACGTACACGGCCACAGGTTCTTTGAATTTGCCGACTTGTTGAATTTGGTACATTAAATCTCCCCCGTTCACAAATTCCATGACAAAGTACAGCCGATCCTACAATTTTTAGGCTTAGAACTATTTTATCGTTTTCGACCAACTCACCATAGTTTGAAAACAAGAATGAAGAGCGACTAGGAACGAAGGCTTCTCAGGCAAAGCCAAAACTCTTTTTTCAGTCATGGTGCACTCGACGTCGTCATCTTGAATAATGACGTCCTTCTTGAGAACTTTGATCGCAAACAGTTCTTTTGTCGTTTTGTGCTCACCGAGTAACACCTAGCAACTTTCTTTGGCCTCTAATCTGCTTTTTCCACTCACTTTTCCAAAAGATCCTTTCCCGAGGACAGTGAGAAAATTGAAGTCTGAAGCCTTGATAACGTCTCGTTGATTTGCCAAATTCATTGAATTAATTTTATGACTAAGATCCCCGCTTTGAATAGATCTTGAATTGCGCAAAATCTGAAAAAACGGAATCATTTCAGAAAAACCAATCACGGATTACATTTGGGTCGCTCATTTTCTTTCGCATTTTCTCCATTTCCTCTTCGTATTCTGGTGGGATATTTATGTTGTAGAACTCGCCTTCTTCCTGCATAATTCGTAATGAGAAAAAAGCTAATTTTGGTCTGACAATAAATTGTGATTGAATGGTCTCACCGCGTTAAGAAGCTTGAACCATCCAGAAGCAGATTCCTTCATTAGCTCAGAGATTCCGAATGAAAGACTGCCCATAAAATCGTTCCGTGAAGTGCGATCCCAATCCCAAACTTCTACGGATAAACGTCGATCTTTGTCTCCGGGTTGTAGTTTACTGAAAAGAACTATTTTATTACGTAGATGTCAATTTATTTTTTCGCAGACATATTTGACTAGTGGTTTTCATAACTTTTCTCATAACACTCAAACACTTTTTGATATTTGGCCAAAAAATCTTCAACTGACTGGGCGAAACTTTATTTGATTTCCAATTACAGAAGAAAAAGAGATCTCAAATTGATTTGAATTTTTCGGACGACCTGCAATCTTCAGTAACTTTCAAATTTCCTCACTTGAAAGCTAGGATTTTGAGAATATTTACATTGCGAGTATCTAGATAAAACTTCCGGTAAAGTTTGGTATGAAAAATGAAACCTTCTCAAAAAAAGTCATCATGATTTCAACTTACTAGTTGAAAGTTTCATTCCACTCTGGATTTAGGGTTGCTCGCAAAGTCTTCGTTTTTTGTTTGGATTTTGTGTGGGAGTCTTCGGGAATCAACTTGCACTTGACGTATGGATCTGATAGTCCGTTAGGGTCCATAGGAATCAAGTTCCTGGCTTCGTGTACTGAAAGTTATTCAGGGATCATTCTGACGTTCTCGAGAAACAGAAGGTACCTTTTATCGTGAGTACATCGTTGGTGATACTGACGTCTAGTCGGATTCTTCCTCTTTTTTCGGTGTTGTCGGTTCCACACATGTTCGGAACGTTCCTCACACAACGATTGTGCACATTCGTATCACAAGATTGACACTTCATTCCCTGAAAACCTTATATGCAATAATACAATTGGCTTCTCTTGCCAGACGTATTCATTGCAAAAAATGAAGCTAGATGGTTTTTAATAAGAAAAACCGGGTTTTAATTAGGAAAATAATAATGATAACAGAATGCCTACAAAAGCAATTTGTTTTAAATATACAAAAAATCATCATGTGAGGGAATTTTTGGATTCAGCATTGTGTGTTTTTTTTTCACAAGAACAAAGCTGACCTGATGTATCAGGCCGTAAAGTAGAGATCCGCAGTGATCGCAGAAAGTTGGCGATGAATAAGTTTGGACTTTCCATTTGTGCTGCTGCCGCGGATCCTGTCACATTTAGAAAGTTGCAGCCGACTTGAAACGACTTACGTCGGTGTCCACTCCTTTGTCAGCTCCAGGACAAGCGAAATTGACAAACTCGTGACAGCGTTTGTGAACCACCAACGTGCAAACTGAAAATTTCAATGACTCAGAAAAAAAAAGAGGAACATTCATATATGGAATCTACGTGAGAAAAGACACGATTTTGCAATGAATAGACTCACCTTGGCATTGAAATCCTTGTTTTGTCAGGCCCCAAAGAAAATCTTTACAATGTGAACAGAATGTAGGTTGTTTGAAGAATCGTGCAATGAATTTGTGCTGTCTGGAAAAAAAGACTTTCAGCAAGGAAATTTCAAAAAAAAGCTATATTTGGAAAAAATCATGCATTTCTCAAAAAAGTTGTAGGGATTTTTCACGAAAAGAAAAAAAACCAACTTGATCTCGTGGACATTTTTCTGCCGAAGGGCGCCTCGACGTACGAATGCTTTACCTTCGATGCGCTGGGCTGAAACGAAGACAAACATACTGGTGCACCAGAAACAAGCATCCATGAAGCTGAGGCCAGAATGACTTTTTTGAACCCAAAAATGTTGATTATAGCCGCCCCTCAACAATTACTTGAGGAGAGTCCCCCGCAGGTTGACCAATTGCGCCACCAAAAACTCTCCTGCAGGAGCATTCTTCGCAAGTTGCTCTATGTGCTTTTCCTTTTTCGAGAAGCACTTCCGCCGTTTTTTTGAAACGAAAATCGGCTGGGTTTATGAGAATTTAATAGTTCCTCTTATTCAGTCTTTATGATAAGAAAAACTAATTTCTTTATCATCATAGGAGATTCCGAAGATCATTTGGAACTTTGGGACAAATACTTTCTACCGTACTATATGTACAGCCAAAACAGAAACCCGAAAAGTACACCTAATATCATCCATCAGAGCTTTGATTTGAGAAAATTCAAAGTTTTTCTGATTCCACCAGACACGAAAACAGAAAAATAACTTGACAGTCTCAAAAAACCAACTGACTAATAGATCGACGAATTTTGTGGACTACAAACGAAGCTCCCGAGCGGACAGACATAGGCTTCGCTCACATGGCCGCCAAGGCACGCTTGCCCAGGAACTTGTGCAATAATTCCAGCTCGAGAGCTCTTCTCCAAAATAGGAAGAATGGTGAAAAGAAGACGTTTGTCCAAAGCAAGGACTGCGCGCAAATACCTTTTGGACGACCCTCCTACGTCGTCTCAAGCGTCGCACGCTTTCCCATTTCAGCGGCGCCGCAATCTTTTTCAACTATTTCAATCTCAAAACTTGAAAGGAAAAGAAATTTCCATGTTGAGGATATTTTTCCAGGATTCTAAAGAATGGCCTACTTTTTTGCGCTACCGGGAAGAGGAGTGGGAGAAAGAAAATACGAAACATGGAAGTTGAAAGTGAGAACTTTCATTTATTTGTTTTCAACAATCGGAATATAAAAAAATTTGAGAATTGGCAAAAAAATAATTCCTGGTGCTTCTAAACTCAAGTTTTCAGAGCTGAGTCACTCACAAAAACGATTATTTTGAGTTTGTTTGGAAATTTTCATTAAAAAAACCTTAAACTTGGTTTGACCTATGAAAAAAAATTTGTTTTTACAAGTTCATCCTTTGAATTTTTTTTTTCGTTGAATGCAGAAGATTCTGCGTTGTTTACAAGATTTTATCCATCAAGACTTATCTGATGATCGATTTTGAAAGGATATTTGACATGAATTAGAGGAAGCGATTGCTCATATATATTGGAAACATTGAAAAATGAGGTTATACTTGTAATCTTCTTCTTCTTCCTACGCCTTCGTACAAGTTGAGGGGCGTCGGCGCCGCGAATGGATGAAACAAGGTCCTATCCTGATTTCAGTGAACTGGCTCTAGTGAAATATCCGTCTTTGTGTACGGCTGGAGACTGTGAAGCAGCGGTTTCCCTCTGCCCACATTTCTCAAACCCCTGTTGGGTCGCGGCGAGGTTCGAACCTATGACCCTGTAAACCGTAAACAGGCACCCAACTTGTTACGCTACGGCGCGCCGCAAAGTTACTCCCTTTTTCAAGCTTATAACTTTCAAAAGGAGATTTTTCGTTGAGATCCATCTGCCAGAATCGCATTTAATTCTCCCCTTTTCCAAAAACCAGAAATTATGCGAGCTTCACAAACCTTCTCGAAGAAACTTCTTCCATATAGCTGTAACGACCAAATGCCAATTTAAAACTGGTTTACGTAGCTGTCCTTCATGACAAGTAGGACGGTATTTGGACTGAAGCCAGTGCGGCTTGGAGCTCATAAGATATCAAGGAAGTGCGACACCAGCAGGTCAAATTGCCGGAAAAGTCATTCTAGGCGTACCCAGTGTTCCGCACTGTTCACCCATGGCAGTGATTAGAAAGACAGTTAAAATGAGAAGAAAAATAACGCCAACCAGTTTGGTTTCGTTGAAAAATTCAGGATAAGATTTGTTCTTTTGGAACGAAATAGGTACAATATGTCCCAAGAAAAGATGATGTAGGCACAAGAACCGTGCTTTCGATCTTGTGGACCTTACACATAACCATCTTTTTCAAAAGTGTGCGATGTTTGCTGCCAGTTTCTTGTTGTGTCGCTTGTTGAACCGGCCCTTGAAAGTCAATTACTTAGATGGCGATTTAAAGGTCGCGTGAGACTTTTAGGTACAATATGACCGCAAAGACCGATTGACCTGCGCAGTGGAAAATAATTATTTCCAGGTTGGCTTTGGTCATTTTTCGTTTTTCCTTCGGCTTTGTTTCTTTCGAACTTTGGTCTTCTCTTCCAGTCTCAACTTTTGCACGTTGGACAATAAAAGCGACTTTGCGTTCTTTTTTCTCGGCTCTAATATTGACAAAAAACCTTCAACAAGAAGAAAAATATAATGAAAAAAATGAAATTATGACTCTGTAAAAGCACCATATTCCTTACAACTTTTTTCATTAGCTGACCGAGGAGGTTGAAGATTGGATATTTGAAGAAAAACAGGAAATGATCAATATCAGGATGAAGAGACAAGATCCTTATTGAATTCAATTAAAACTGTGGTTAGAAAATCCGAAATAAAGTCAGGCGAAAAAACTGTATTTACTTATTTTGTCACGTAGGAAGTAGGGAAAGCGTCGAAGCCCCATCTGGTCGATGTGAAGGTTTTTTACTGATAAACATGGATAACGACAGTTTAATGGTTTATGGAATTGCATAACGCTTACGTCACAGCCGTTCAATTCAAAGATATTTTTTTCGAATACCCTCGAGTTCAACTTTTATTTTATAGTTAAGTGCAAAGTAATTAAGTTTTTTATTGTTGAGTAGGCTGTCTGAGTCTAAAAATTGCTGGAAGGGTAATAGAAAATGTAGGTTGGACCAGACTATAAAAAGTCATGGAAAAAGTAATAAGCCCAAACGAAGTTTTCTGGCTTAACATGTCCGTAGGAGTCGTTTTGAGAAAAGTACATGCAAGTAAATATCGAAAAAATACTGTTTCTGAGAGAAAAATTTGATAAAAAAAAAAATGAAAATTTACTTTCCAAAAACCATAAGCATCGGAAATGATGAACGATAAAAAGACGCAATGTAGACTTTTTTATTGGCAATGAAATATTTTCAAAGGGAAGTTTATTTTGTTTTCAGGTCTTTGAAACTTACAAAAAGAATATAGCAAGCAATATTTTCCATGCACAAGAGATATTGATTTTTTTTTTACCGTTCTTTTCGAGATTTCTGAGTAAAACTGGCATGAAGAGAAAATCACTGGAAGCAATCGAGAAGTTTATTTTGACTTTCAAATTTGTGCTTTGATATTTTTGAACTAAGCCATATTTAAATCTATTTTTGTGAAACACGCGTATTTTGGAAGCATGACGATCTGAATCGCAGAAAATGGCAAATTTCCGAAGACTATTATAATTTGGATCCGCCAAGAAAAGTCTAAGATTATTTCAAACGGAAACACGCCGCTTTGCGTCATAAACCACACTGGGGCCCTTGGCATTCAAAAAATCAGTATCAGAGTCGGAATTGGACTGTAAACTGACCAAAAGCCTCGGAGAGCTTTCGGAGGGCCAAGTTGGACTCGTACATGGGGTCGGCGGTAAGATCGAGGCTTGGACGAGCCGAATAGTCTGTGCCGGTCCTGCCGGTGACGTCGGCCTCGGAACGACGTCTTTCACCCGCCTCCATCCTATTCCATAACTCTTCACCTTTCCGCAATATCAAAAAAGAACGATTGATTGTCAGCATCAGATAGAAAGAAAATGAGCCTTTCAAAATAAACAAAAGACGTGGCTGGAAAACCGAATTGAAAAGACAAGGGAGATTGGAAGGAGAAAAAAAAACTATGAATTGCACCAAGGCTTGCGACACGAAATATTCAAAAAGGTGCGAGCATATCATGTTGCCGAATAATGAGAGCGGGTCTTTTCGGCTGTTCTGGAAAATTTGTATTTGCGTTGCATATTAATGGAAGCTCATTAGAAATTTTTATTGATAATTTTTACATTATTCATCATTAAAACTGATCATGAAAATCGATAAAGTTGAAAAAAATTGAAAAGTATAATTTCTTTTTCGACATTCTCAAAATTTTAAAACTGCAGGACCTGAGCCAAAAAGGCTTGGCAAAAAAATAAAGGTAAAGGTAAGACAATGCCTTTCCGCCTCAAATTTTAACAAAGAGAGTTCTAGGAAAACTTGGTTCAATAATGAATTGTTTGTGTTATTGTTCATTTGAGCGAGTAGAATACGCTTTTTTTAACTTAAAAAAATTTCACTATCCATTCTGAGCCAAACAAAAAAATAATAATAAAAGAGTTAAATAATAAATCTGAAAGGTGCAAAATTAAAAAAATTCTCTGAAAAAAAGTAGTGTAAATTGAACGAAAAAAATATAAAACTAAATTTTTAATGTGTTTTTCGCGAAACTTTTAAGGCACACTGAAAGTTTTATAACATGATTTTCGCAAAAATATTAAGCCTTCCACCAGCGCTTTGGCATCAAATAGCTTTCCCGTTGAAAGTCTCTTTGATTTATGTTTCAATAAAAATCTTTATTTTCCTATTCAGAACAAATAGCTTTTGCTCGCACCTTCGTTGAGAAATTCGGCGTGAATTCATTTCTGAGAGGGAGGTTTCGAAAAAGGCTTGAGAAGCCGTATGCAAATTGCTTCGAATTTGTATGCGAAAGAAATGAGAGATTTTGAAGAAGTCGAATTGAGGTGAGGTAAGGAGATCGGGCTACAGTAGTGAGCAACATGGCTCCAAGGCAAAGTGGATGAAGAAGAAGAGTCGGCGAGCCGCGCAACGAGGTTAGTCGCGGCCAAAACAGAGGAATCAAATCACGTCAAGGAAGCCACTTCCCATCAACTTCAGTCGGACTCACACGTCTCGCACTAAGCCTCGCCGTCGAGTCGACGACCGAGAAAGCCGCTACAATATCCCGCGGTTGTTTCAAACTAAATTCCAGCTCGGGATCAACCCAATTACCAATCACATCGGCTCTTCTCGAAATGATGCTCTTCCTAGGTTTTTCAGGGTCATTCAGTTAACACTAGAGCTTTTCAAAAAAGTCGACTTGCGGAGAGCTGGACTTTCTCAAAAAATATCCAAACCTTTCATCTCTTACGGTTGCGGACGAAGAAACTTTAAAATTCTTACTGACAAGGGAGTTCATCTTATTTTTCGGTTGGGATTTTTCTGGAAATCCAGTATGCTTCTTGATGTACCAAAACAATATTCTGAGATTCTCAACCGGAGAAACTTTCTCGCTCTCGGGTAAAGACGCCTCAAAGTCAGAGAAAACCTTCAAAACCCTCAAAAATATGGGGCTTGGAGCCCTATTTCTCCAAAACCAGGAAACTGTGCTGGTTGAGACTTTCAGAACCTTCATTTGGTACACCAAGAAGTGTCCTGGCTAATTTTCAGAAAATTTCAAATCGCAAAGTAAAATGACCTCCCGCGTGAAGTAGGCTTTTTTCCGAGTCAACATCAAGCTACAAGGTTATCCACCCGTCCGAAATGCTAAAAATTGAACGGCGTGCTCACATAGTTACATGATAATGATCGGAAAATTACTCAAGGGGCTATAGCTTCGTATATTTACTTGACTCATAAAAAAACACTTTTTTAAAAAAATTTCAAGTTGAAAATTTTTTCAACGTCATTTTGTACATTTCAGTTTATTGATAAACTTCCGTTTTATTTTTTTAAAAAAAGTATCTTTTTATTCTTGAGGTTTTTTTCGCCCCTGGTGTGATCTTAAGTGAAATACACCAAAACAATGTCTCAGAATTAAGGTTCTTTAAACTAAAAACCCTAGGGCTGTTAACTTGATTATCTCCCTCAGTAGTTATTTTTTTAATTAAATTCCATTGAATATGAAGTAGATATGATGAAATATATAAATATAGAGGATGAATTTTTTGAAATAAAACTATGGATAATGGCCAATAGTTTAGCAAAAGTAGAAAGAATAAAGTAAAAAAGAAAGCCAGTTAATCCATGAAAAAAAAGAAGAGCTGCTTAATGAACAACTTGACTCGCAATTAGACACGCGTCTCTGTTTTTTTTTCTTGAAGAGTTCAGATAGTGGAGAAACTTGTGATTTCGTGAAAGAAAAAAACTAAAAAAAAGATGTTAAACTGGCGAAGGTGTTTCTCATGTGATGGCAGATCCTGAGCAGACGCAATGTGCCGGGATAAGCCAAAGACGGAGGCTTAAAACTATCCTGCACTCCACTCGAATTGATAAAATTATAGCTTGTCACAAAAATGAATAAAAACATACAGAAGCTAGACTTTAATGGCTGTTAGGGCTCAACTTGACCAAGTCTACCAATTTTGTGACTCCATTAATTAATTCCAAGTTTTTATTAGGGAATAAAAAATTGATGTGAGAAGAAATTGCAAAAAAAATTCATGTCCATATATCAAGTAAAGTTTACTTTGAGATATGAAAACTTACGTAGGGAACTAATCAAATCGCTACATGAAATTCTTGTCATTAATCAAAATTTATTTCCATCGTGTAATGCGTAAGCTCTTTCTCGGTTCAAATACTTCTAAAAAACAGAAAGTAAGCTGTTGGGTAAGCCGGTTAACAAAAATAGTTCAAACGATGCCCAAAGAGAAAGCGCTGCCTTTTGATGGAGATTAGGACTCCGCAAAAAAACTCACAACAATAATAACATCTAGGAACTTGATTTCCACTTCTATAGAGGTTTTAGCTGTGATATGGGCCTTAGAGTCTTCACACAGTAAAATTTCCACTTTATAGACTGCAATGATTTTTTTCTTTATTGAAGATTTTAGTTATCTTTTATAACCTTATGAACCAAAATAGCTTATAAGCAAGCTTTTTTTCTGTTTGTAACTGATCGAAACCCTACAAATCATTTTTTTCAGATCGTGCTTGAGAAAGTTTCAACACTAAAAAAACATCTTAATTCTTAAAATTATTTTTTTATAGTTCCTTTTTTTCCCGACCTGAAAGGGCGCGACTTCTCTGCGCCCTCCTTATCTCTTGACGTCTCCCTAATTTTAATATGCTGTTTTCATGTTTCTCTCTCTTCGCCAGTGAGGGAACAGAGAGACGCAACCACGCGAAAATTGTCAAGTCGCGGTGGAATGATTTTATATGACGATTGCGTTGATAAAATACTGGAACTCAAACTTTGAAGCTTCTAATTCCATAGAAAAGCAGAAAAATTAAAGTTGTTAAATTTTTTCTCCAATTCATTCAGAAGATCTCAGAAAAAAATCAAAAAAATTCATTTTTTACGCAGAGAAGTACCTCCCTTCTCAGTCAGCAATTGTGTTCCATCAAAAAATGCTTCGAAAAGCGATTAAAAGTCACAAGAAACATTAATTATCTTCGAAATAACCCATCTATAGAGTCTGGCGGGCAAACTGGACTCATTATTAGACTCATTGAACTTCAAGATTGAAATGGATGCTAGAACTAAGAAAACCAACAAACATTTATCAATGTGATTTTGAAATTTTCATAGAATTGCGTCTAAAAAAATCTGCTCAAAAATAAAGAGAGAAATTTAAGCCGGAAAAACATAGGTGGGAATATGACTTCGTGAGCGGATAATGTCTGAAGATATCAGAGAAAACGACGGCGACAACTTCAAAAACTGGCGATGATGCCATTTTCCGGCAAAAGAGGGAATTGTGCGTAGAATGCGTCAGCCCCCAGTGCATCGTCTCCCGTTTATGTTCGCGAAATATTACACTCCTCAATATTTTTGTTCATGTTGCGTGATGGACGCACATGAGCTCCCAATGGCCATCTTCTAACTTCTTCCCGTTTTTTTATTGAGAATCTTGAAAAAAGATGAAAAATAAGGTCAAGGGTTTTTTTCAGATGTAGTAAAGAGATCTTTGAAGGAAAAATATTTTACTTTTCCCTGGATAGCAGTGAAATTTCGACGTTATTTTAAAACGAAACCCTTCAGGAAAATTTTTTTTAGTCAGTCAGTTAATTCCCTACAGTTTTTTTATGACTCTTTTCAAGTTGAAATATTAATCATCGTTATTTATTAATGCGCTGTCTGAATTTCTCGTGGTTTTCTCATGAAAAACATCTTCCGGAAACTTCGATTTCCAGATCTATTCATTACTAATCATAATTATATTTTCATCGGAAAAAAATCTTCCAAAAAGCATTTTGAAGACAGAAAGAGCTTTTCATCAGAAGTCAAGAACAGGCTTTTTAAATTATAGTTTATTTTAATGAAAACCTTTTTTTCAAAATGCTTGTCTAGTAGAATCCCACCTTTAAAGCTTCCAGAACAAAGCTCAGTAAAAAAAAAGTCCTTTCATTGAAAATCAAAACCTTCCGCCTTCCTTCGAATTGACTCCAAAACCTTCCAAAAATGCAAAACTGGTAAATTTGTTTTTCATCTCACCCCCGAAATTATCATTTTAAGTATTCCGAAGCAAGCGTCAAAATGAAGGAATGACCCTATTTGCTTTCGGGAAGCTTCCGGCTCTTGCCAAATATTGCCATGTTTTGCTTCGAAGTCGAAAAACCGCTGGGTTAAGTCAAACCTTGTCGTGCATGTGAAGTGAATGGCTTTCTTGTCTGTTTTTTTTTTGTTGTGTGTTGAGAATAATTCGCAAATCGGAAAAATAAGAAAACGACGTCGTAAGTGCATTCAGGCTAGAAAGATTTAATTGCGGAGCTCTTCTCCCGCGAGGATAAATTTCGAGCCCGAAATATCATCAAAGGTTTTGCACTCGAAAAATCTGCAGCTGTGCTTTCAAGAAAGTGAGAAAACAACTTATTGTAACAAGATTTTGAATTTGAAACATTCAGATAGAAAATCCGCCTGAAAAATTGATATGTCTAGTTTGAGCATAGTGAATCTCGAGATATAGTGCATACGCGGAACGCTTCAAAAATCCGACTTTTTATATTTATTCCGTTCAGCGAACCTTTTTTTGAGAGTCGTTCGAGAATAAGGATTACATATATTCATTGAAAATTTAAAGCTAAAAAAAACTTGAACGATCTTTTTGATTCTTGGCATTCAATGCAGGAGTCAAGTTATTTTTTTAATTTAAATAGAGTTCTCCTCGTACTTCGAATTTGTCGTGGAAATCAATGGTAAAACGACTTCATTGATAAAAAAGGCAACTTCAAAGTCACTGCCACCATCCAAACTACAATTTTCTCTAAATGAACTCCACAAACCGTTCTTTTCGCTGTCATCGCGCGAGGTCGTCGACATAGAGCCGATCGAAGGCGAGGATTCCCTCAGAGAATCTGACCGAAAAAATTGTAAATGCGAGTGGAAATACAAGCACAAATATGCAAAGCGACGGCATCTTCATACCAAAAAGATAACGTTTAATAAGTTTGTCGATAAGCAACGAAAAACGATGAGAATTGTTGATTTGAGCATATTGCTGATTGACCGGTTCATACCACGTCGTGACGTACTCTACTGATAGAGAACTAGAAAAAATGAAGTTGAAACTAGAAAATTGACAGACTCGAACAAAATTGGAACAAAATAGCGAGAACCAAACTTTTTTAAGTTTCGATCAAGTCCATCACATTTTTCAGAAGTCTTCATAAAAATTCGATTAGTCAAGGTTTTTAGTTATGGAGCAAGAAATGATATCAAAAGGAAGCTAATAAAATACCAAATCGAATTAAATTGATCCGAACTAATGCGGAAATGAACGTCATATTTTTGCTGATGGAAGCAACCAAATTTTCGTTCTGAATGTCGTAACCAGTGTAAATTGAAATTGTAGTCATTTTTTGATGCAGTGAGAGAACAAAAAATTATCGCTGGAAACAGACGGATATGCGAGGACCCAGCAAACGAAGGATTTCGAGATTGAAGAGCTGAAACTCTGTTAACCTGCCGGTGAAACGGCATCTCGCAAATTGGGAAACGACGCTCCAAACGCAATTACGAGCGAGTGAATGGAAAAAAGCCCAGGAACATTATAAGCCAAAACAAAACCGACGTGAGCGTAATGCGTAACCAAAACAAAAGGCCTGTATTTTCCAATTTTATCTATAGATTGCACGCGATTCAAATAAAAAAATATAATGTCAGAAAACCAGTCCTCCGTTGAAATCTTCTGAAAACGCATCAAAAATTGACAAGTGAGTGTTAGTTATTGGTAGGGAAGATAGTTGATTTTTTGTTTTCTGATTTGTTTCTCACAACCGATAAGAATTGTGGAGACAATAAAGAAGACACAAAGTAAAGAATTGTGGCCCGGGTGCCGTATCAACTTCAGATCAAAACTGAAAAAGGAAAGGGAAACAAGTGAGAAATGATCTGTTGTGGGTCAACACACGCAACGGGAGAAGCGATCGTCGGTCTGATTTCGTTTTTTGACCTTCAAAAGTTAAGACCAACACTGAAACAGAACAATGATGGCATCACCAAAAAAGAAATCAATTCTCTATTAGCTTCATGATCGTAATTGTAGAAAACCCTAATTTTAAAAAAATTTCAAAGCTACAAAACCGCAATTTTTTTGCATATTCAACTGACAAAAGTTTGTCCTTAGCAACATTTTTGCGTCTTAGAGATATCTGGCAAAGTTCTTTTTTTGACACGAGAGTAAAAAAAAGATAATATTTTCATTGCACAACAAAACTGGAAATTTTTCAGATGTGACTTGAGAAGCCAGAAACTAGGCCACTATTCTTTTTAAGAACAAAGGGGAAGTTATAACTTTCCGTTCTTTTTGTTTTCATGCCTGGTCGAAGCCGAAGAATGACAGAAAGTTGCGGCGAAAACGTCGCGTAACATGGGCATGCAGAATGAGAGCAGCCCGTTGCAAGTCGAAAAGCTAGGAGTTTTGAAGTTGACGGATAACTTAAATCAGTATGAATTTTGTGAAAATTCAGCATATAAAGAACTGTGCGAAAAACCTAGTGTACAAAGAATTCAAAACGGATCGAAATAGAAAAATGCACCTAGAGACGTATCAACTGCGAGAAACGAGAGAAGTCAAGTCCTTTGTGCAAATATCATCTGGCCGTTGGTTCAGTGACAAAACACACAAAATAGGGCTGACTGATATTTTAAAAGTGCATCAGTAACTTGCTATCAGATTTTCATAACGACGCTATCAAGATGAAAGATGCCTCGATGAAAAAAAGCGATAAGAGTTTTAGAAAAGTTACAAGTTTCTGAGGAAAAATTCGCAATGCTTGGAAGGAAAATTAGGGAACCCTTCTAAGAAATTGAGCTGAGTTAAATCAGAACTGTATTCGAAAAAGAATACCTGCTGTATCAAACCAAAAAAGTTGTATTGAAATGTTTCGAGTTGCCAGCAAACGGATGACGAACACTGTTTGCCTAGGGAACCGTGAGCTGCTGGCCGTTGATTAGAAAAAAATTCGTAGAATTCAAATTTGGAATGAACAATAATTATGGAATTGGAAAAATAAGACATCGCCGAAGAACAGGAAAAAAAAATGAAAAGAATGTATTTTCCAATGTAAATAGCATTTTTCTCCGCGTGCACTTGCCCAGAACGGCGCTGTTGAATGCAAATGGCACGTCTTCCTTGCTGCTCCTTCGTTTTTCTGCGTTTCTTTGCTTAACTCGAGTTGCTCACGAAATCAGACGCTGAAAGTTGAATCGGACAAAAGGAGTTGCTCCGAAATCGGGTTAGGCCCGCTCTGTTCAGCTCAAATCCTCGGCGTCTTGGAAGTCTTGCCTTTTGTGAAAACAGAAAGACCTCTTTTCACTTCAATTTCTCCCGCTCAATTCATGCAAAAATTGTTCCGTATTCAGTGAAAATAAAGGGTGTCCCGACAATAACACAATTGTATCTTGGGAGAAAATTGAGACGTAATTTTTATGAGCTTCTCAAAATATCAAGGAAAGGCGAGTATTGTTTTTTCAAAGACTCGTCATTATATTTCTCTAATAACCCCAAGGAAAAAGTCCCAAACAAGTTTGAAAGTTTAGATCTGGCATTTTTATGCAATATCAGTTGCAAGAAAAAAACTGGTAAAAAAATGAAATTTCCAATAATTGATAGGAAAAAAATTTGTATCATTTCAGGTCATTGCTTTACTCTCACGTCTTTGAATCGCTTAGGCGGCGTCGGCGCTTCAAAACAATGATACAAGGTTCTATCGTGATACCAGTGGTACTCAGTAGACTGTCTCGTGACATATCCGTTCTTTTGTTTGACGGCAGGGGACCGGGAAGCCACCACCACCAATTCTCAAATCGCTTGGTTGGGTAATGGCGGAGATCAAACTTGTGACCCTTCTGAACCTATTGCAGTACGGCGCTCCATCGTCATCTCAGCTCATTACGCTTGAAATGATCATGATATACAGGAAACTGTATTTTCAAGCTTTCAAAAAAATTTATAATTGAAAAAAAGCAATAAACTACGTTTCATTCACTTATGACTCGACGAACTTCAAACACGAGCCCGAAACAAGTTTAAAAAATATGTTCAAACGTGGTTTATTAATTTAATGTCCCAAATAATACAAACTAGTCAGATTTGATGAACCCGCACCGTTTACAGCGACTATGGCTCAATTTCGCGCCAAAGTTTCAGGTCCTTTTTCTGCCAAAAAGTCCGAATACTTAATTAAATCAGATTCAACCCCCCTCCGCTTCAAGACCACTGTTTTTCACTGTTTTTTGCTGTTTTTTACGCATTTTGTGAAGTAATAACCCAAAAAATTATTTCTACGGCAGCTTTTAAAACCTGACCGTCTCGAGCGCGGACTCCTATGACTGACTGAAAAGAAGAAAGTGCGCAACATGGCGAACAGTAGTAAAACTTCAAAAATTGCCGATTGATACGCAAAGGAAAAGGTAAACTCTCGGATGAAAAACTCCTTATCTGTTCGAAATTGAGCTTTCTTCCACAGTTAAAGAAATTTTCACCTCTCTGTTCGTGTTTGTAACTTAATTATTTTTATTTTATGGACTCCACTTTTTTTCCGATATTGTTTGGAAGTATATTTCAGTTTCAGTTTTTCCAATTATCTCATAAACCATTTTTTTAAGGTTCATAAAAATTGCATTTGTTTGATATAACACACAAAACTTTCAAGTTCAAGCGATTAATTTTTTCATCCACCATCAGTCAAGCTTGATAGCAACTTTGACTGAAAATGGATCGAAATATATTCGTTCAAGCTGCCCCACCCGTGTTTTTTAAATAATGACATTTGTAAATTCTTCAAAAAAACGTACAAAGTTGTCGGCCTAGTCCGTCTCCCACAGCCGCAGACATCAGTGGAGCCGAGGCGATCACAGCTGATGGTACAGAAGTTTTCCGGCTGTTCACTGAGCCTGGAAACGAATTGACCTTGCAAGAAATATTACCGAATTAATAAGTTTTTTGTGCAAGCTTACTATCAAAAACTTTTTTTAGTATTTTTGTTTTTCTTTCTTTTTTTGGCCTACGAGGTGAAAGAAGAATCGTGATTTTTGAAAAGTCCAGTTGTTATTTTGTTCCTTTTTGGGGTTCCTTTGGACTTAGTTTGGTTATAACGACGAATAGAGGAATCATTTTTAAGAGGTTCTGAAATAAAATCATGGAAATTGCTTCTTTTTGGCCGTCAGTTCTGATGCACTGAGGATAAAGGGCATAAAATCTTTGCAGAAAGTTTTTGAAATATTGTAGCTTAGATTTCTGCCAATAACAACTGTTTGGGTTTCAATTAGAACGTCTTGATGAATTTGTTGATTTCCCCAGTGAAACAAACTCTCACCTCGTTAGAACAAAAAGAAAAAATCAAAAAAATTTGGTTTTTCCAAAAACCAATCATCTCCGTTTTTCAATCATAGCTACAAAGCTTTGCATAATCAATCAAAAAAGCAATATTCACGTTATTCGAGTTACAAACAAAAGTGAGCACTGACTGGTGGAGCTGTTGCTGAAAAGCCGGACGACGGAACGATGCTCAAAACTCATCTTGCTCTCATTCGATGGATTCTCCGTCTGAAAAAAAGGCCCTTCGTTTGTTTCCAAAAGCCTGTCACAATTGCCAGAAAAAAGAGAACGTTTGGTTTGGGGAAAATTACTTGATTCAGTTGTGAGTTATTCAACAGAAAGGACATTTGAACTCGTAACGACAAACTCAGCAATGTCTGTCTCACGAGAACTCATATTATATTCTCCAATCGCAGTTTATTCGGGGGGAGAGAAAATGTTGGTCGAGAACTTTTTCAATCTGGTTCTGAAGGAAACTGTTTTTTTTTAAAGTTTAATGTTCAACCGCGTTTTTCGCTTGTTCCGGTAAAATATTTCAAAATTAAAAAACACAAAAAAATGCAACAAGGATATGCAACGTTTTCATCTTTGAAAAATAAAAGACGTATGTGGCAAGAAAAATTTGATTTGTGAAAGCTTTTGAATAGGCGTGAACCATGTGATTTCTTGAAGCCAAACTCAATTTGAAACTGCGTTACTAAAGATTCGAAAAGGTATTTCAAGCTGAAAATGAGAATAAAACAAACGTATAATATGAAATCTGAAAGTTGAACAGAAAAAAATTGTGACGAAAGATTAAGGAGACGCGTGAAAAAAAAAACGAGCCAGCTGATTTTATCCGGCAATCCTCAAGTTTTGAATAGATATGGAGCCGTGGGATTAATGCTTAAAAGAAGACCGAATGCACTGTTTCTGCCTCCTTCGCACTGATTAAATTTTTTTACGATTGAAAAACGTCGAAAGGATTTTTGTCAAGTAAATTTTCTAGACTGAAAAAAAAATAAGAAAACATTTCTATAGACTTCTTATAAACGAAAAATGAAAAAAAGTTTTCGAAATAACATATTGAAACTTTGCAAACTTTATCGCAACATATAATGATAACAGTTCAATTTTTTATCAGTTCTATAATCCTTTTCAAGAGGAGCAACTACAAATCGCTGAGTCAACAGTTTCGACTTTTGGATTTTACAAGAAAAGCTTGGGATCTCAAAAGAATGTCTTTAATAAATGGAATAATGGAAGAATCAAATGAAGTTGGGCCTATCAAGAACATGGTAGCAGCAAAAATTTGTTCCGTTTCTAACTGAGTTTTATGACTTTCGGGATTTCCGCGCAGTCAAAGAAGCCTATCACGAAAGCCCCTAGTGGTCTTGTGTTAATAAACACGCTTCATTGGATTTCTCATATGAAATCATGATAGAAACGAAATGTTTTGTTGTTCTTGCGGAGAGAAAAAATGGAACTTTGTTGTTTTGGGTATCTAAGAAAATTGCCGAAGGCTAGCAAAATGAGCTTTATATATGCACATTGATGTTTTTTGAATCTATAATCGTTTTTGCGCTTTTTCTGGAGATCGGAGAAATTTGACAAAGGTATCTTCAATGAAAACAAAAATCATGAAAGCATCATAATACTTCTCAAGAAGAAGATGGCGTCTGCATAAGTAGAAACACAATTTGCAAAGCTCATCATATTTTGGTTCGTTTCCACAACAATCATTTATCAAAGGTTTTTTTTTTGGAAAACAGATTACACCAGGTGATTAACAGGATGAGATTAGTCCCAAGAGCATCGTTGGAAAGAGAGAGGCCGAAAAGGAAGAAATGCGAACGAGGACGAACTCAGCATTTTTCTGCACACGGCATGTCTCATTTCGCTTTTCCTTGTTTCGGCAATGCAGAAAAACCGCGCTGCGAAATGACAGCCAGAAGAAGCCGTGGAGAACCCTCAAACCTCTCAAATCTGTGCGATTACCTTCTGTGATGGATGACTTTTTTTTTGGAAACTTTTTCGAAGATGAAGACTGCGCTCAGAACTTCATACTCAAATGAAAGGAGGTGCAATTTTTAACACAGCAGATATTTAAAGAGCTGGAATGAGGACATATCCGGAAAAAAGGGGTTCAGGAAATCGTGAAAATACAGCGGTAGAGGTAGAAAAAAGACAGTGCTTACCTTGCGGACTCTGAAGCTTCGTCGCAAACTCTTGATGGGTCGAAACGGTCGATTGTTCTCGGCCGACGACATTTCCTTCGAAGTATCGTTCCTGGCAATATCTTCGCAATTGCACTTGTGCGCTGTGAAGGCATGAGAAATCAGTGTGGGAAGCGTGACCGCCGTGCGAATGAATGGGGCAAAATTCAGGAATAGAATTTTTTTTTCGCCCCGAGAATAATCGGAGAATTTGGATTTGAGGTAATTTATTCAACTTGAAGCTTCCGCAAAAGTTCATCGCAAGTCTGATGAAATGAGACTTTTTTTTTGGAGATTCTCAATTCAGAACAAGTTTTTTCATGTGGATGTTTTTTTCAAAAAAAAAAACACTCTGAACACAGAAAATGCTGGAAAATCTTGCTTTTTCAGCTTTGAGAACAATTTTTTTAAACTCTCATTGTTGGAACATTTGATTTTTTTAGAATCCCGCTATTCAAATTATTATACCAAAAGTTCAAAGCTTTTTTTTGAACAAGTTTTACATTGAAAAAAAAGTAACTTAGAAACTGCAAACACTTCTAGATGAAAATTCATTTATCTCCTAAGATCCCGTCATAAAAACGCCTTCGAAGTATGTCACAGCAATTCAGTGAGTAATGAGAGGAACAGAAGGATTTACTTGCATAGGCGATGAATCTTCTAATTAGTCTTTATTTTTCAGGTTCAATTAACTACTTCGAATGAACTTTCTTTGAAAAATTGTCATCACACGTTGTGAAAAAAGGGAAAAAGCAAAAAAGGCCTTAGATTCCTACGTGAGAAAACCATGTTATCACACATCTTCTCAATTTTGAGAGTCGCGAATCCTATTTCCGGTAGGCTACAATGTTGAAGTTAACTTTTTCTCAGCTTTTTTTTACTTCACTTTTTTTTCTTGAAGAAGACGAAAAACCCAGAAAGTTCCTCTCTCTCCAACAAGCAATTTGATGAGTTAGAAGAAAAGGAGATTAACTAGATAATAGGAAAAAAAAGTTCAGGGTTTCCAGTTTCTCGAGCAAAAAAGGAATGAATCACTTTTACTTTCAACCATTCCGGAAGTTTAAAAACAAATTAATAAACTACGGGGGTTGAAAATTAGAACAGTGAAAGAACGAGAAATGAGCAACAAAATGGAAAATAAAGAAAAGCAGCCGTTCGGAGTGTATGATTCAAAAACAAATTCAGAACCTTTTAGGTGGAGAGCCCACAAGATGAGAGCAGAAAAACCTTGTGCGGCGCCTCAGAATAACTTTTCGAATAAATCTGCGAGCAGTCTAGTGTGTCCTAAATTGAGCTTATTTTCACATTTTCGGCAGGCAAAAAAACTATTTCTTGAGCTCCTGTGGTAATGGAGACTTGCGATTGGCTCAATCCTGCAATCCGAACGGCCACTTCAAAAGAAAAAAGCTCAAAAAAGGAAGACCAACCAAACCGAAACTAATGAACGAGGAGCAATTGACAGGCGCAACTCGCCGCTTTCCCCGTTTGGACGTTTCCATTGCGATCTCCCCGCTATTTTCGAAATTGCCGTCTGAGGTTTTTGGACGACTGCCCAAATGAAAAAAGCTTTAAAGCGACGTCAGTCACAGGCAGAGATACATATATTCTGGGTTGCTATGTTTTTCTGAAGACACCACGATCTTATTATGCTCTGGGAGAAAGGAAAAGGTAGACAGGAAAGCTTATTTTGAGAATAGGAAATATGTTATCTTCGCTTTCTTTTGGAAGGCAGGAGTTTTAAGTTGCGCGAAACAGCCAATTCATGAAAAGCTAACGAGCTTTGGGGTTGCCAAGTTTTGATTTGCACGGAAAACAGATAAATAATGCAGGCAGAAGTGGGAAGTCTCGAGTGTCGATTGCTGATTCTTCGGCAACGAAACTTGTCCTAAACGACCAAAAGGACATACTGCATATATTGTATTCCATGAATTTAGGCCTACCAAATGCTGCAAAACAAAACTGCACAGGAGTATTCGTTCTTCGAAACTTCCTAAAAAACGGCAGAATAAAAGAAAGTTTAAAAAAGTTGGTGCGATGGATATCATCAGGATTAAACTGAAAGCAGGTTTGTATAATCTTCACACTCTCTTATTTTAACAATTTCGCTTGCATAACAGAATAATGACATATATCATTCAAATCTATCATAGTTTCTATGTGCTTTTTTTAAAGAATATCAAAAAAACGCGATGATGTTTTATTTTCCAATTTTTAACTTGATCTTCGGATAGATTCATGTTAAAAAAAAATAATCAGATTTGAGATGAAACAAGTATTCAAACTCGAGAGAAGCTTGTTGTACATTGACCTTATTTTAATTGCGATTCTGTCAAATGAAGCTCCAAGGTCGCAAAGAACAATCCCTTAATGAAACAGCCCCTGGCAGTTGATTCAATATTACTGAATATATTAAAACTGATCCGCATTGCATCCAACTTTGAACGGTTTTGCCAAGGACAAGAAAAAACCCAAAACGGAAAAAGTTCGGTGGTCGACTATTTTTTTTTATTGAATCAAGAAAAAAACTACTTACAACAAAGGTCATTTTACTTAGCACTTGGGAATTTCCTGAAAATTGATCAAAACACTTCCTAATGTACCAGAAGAAGTTCCTGGAAGTTTTAACCTGCAAAACTTCCTAGTTTTTAGAAAGGACACCTTGGAGTAGAAGAAAGCACTGAAAATGCGTTTAATAGGTCATTTTGAGGGTTTGAGCCCTTTTTTTCTCTATTTTGAGATCTTAGGCTCTTAATTTTCAAAAACTAGGAAATTTTACAGTTTGAGATTTTCAGATTCTTCTTCTGGTACATAGAGGAGTGTTTTGACCATTTTCAGGAAATTCCTAACCGCAAAGAAAAAAATGACCGTTAAAACGGAACCAAAAAAGTTTTCTTCGATTTTTATTAAGGAATACTTCGAAAGAAAAAAAACCGTTTGTTTCATTTTGACACGCTTTGGCAGATAGCTCTGCAAATAATTCTTCAATTTTCATTCCGGAATCTCATCGTTTCCTCATTGCTGTTCTTATCAAATAGCACCACGTATTCTCACGTAAGATATTTTTTTTCATATTTTTCGATTGCTAGACACTTCCAGAGAAGCCAATACCAAGAAGCCTCTCACGAAATCGTATTCGAAGCCGATTTGAAAAAAAAGACTGCCGAAATCTGTCATTGGTTGCTACGGCCATTCCTCTTTTCTGGTTCCTACCGGAGCTTCTCTTCTTCATTTTCATATGCAAGCTTCTCCCACCGACTGCTCAAGTTCATTAAGACTCCATGTTTCCTCATAAGAATTTACGATGGACCTTTCGATTTGAATATTCACCCGCTTCCCGATGAAGAAACCAGTTGCTTAGCAAGCTGTTCTTTATTCAAGCTTATATCTTTTTTGAGCAGTTTTACAATCTTCCAACCATATTGATGTTACAAAGGCATTAATGACATTTTTTGGCTTTCTTTTCTTTCAAAAACAAAAAAAAATTTCTCTATACATCTCAATCTGAGCTTTGTCTTTTCATAACTTCAAAAATGCATGTTTCAACCTGAATATTTGAGAATTTAACTCCAAAAAAATGGAAAAAAATACGAAGAAAATCTAAAAAAGTCTCGTGGAAAGACCAAAATAGATTTTATGTCACAACGTTCAAATAACTTTGATATTTTTCTCAAAACTGAATAATCTGCTCGCAAGTAGATTTCAGCAGCCTTTTTCTGTTCTTATTCTCAAGACCTTCCGGTCATGAAGTCCTGAGCTCATTTGCTTGATTTATGGGCTCCTGATGCTTCGGAGTACTTCAACAGCCGCTTGTCTTATTAGATATGGATGACCGTGGCACATGAGTTTCTCGATAAAACTGCCACTCGGTTGTTGCTCTATTCTGACTGCTGTTTTGTTCCAGCCGGCCACCATGTTTTTTGTTTTGAAGTTTTGCCATCGCATTCACCTGACTATCATAAACCCTGAGAAAAACATGAGCTGGCCAAAAAATGCTGAATTTGAGAAAAATGTATCACTTGTCAATGAAGACAAATCTGAGATTTTCATTGGATCCGAGAAAAACTTCTTTGAAGAGTTTTAACTGGAAGCTGCACTTTTTTCGTGAAGAAGTATCCCGAAAGATGCACATTAAATTCGTTCTGAGAATATTGTTTGTGGTTTTAAGATTCTACTCAATTGTCTATCATAAACGTTTGAAAAATTACTCATAATTTTTTTCATTTTTAATAAATTTTTTTTCAGAAAGTGAAGCAACATGAGAGTTCTGACGGTTTTGGCAGTTTTTGTATGCAGTCTTCTTGTTTCAGAAGCAGTACTTCCCACATTCTACCGTAATTCCCGTGGTGAGACCTTTTTTTTTAGCTTTGAAAATGTGCAGCACAAGTAGGGAAAAGCTAACTCGCTCGTATAAAATGAAGACATTTGTGAAACTTTCCGGAAAAAAGTCAAAAGTTTACAGAAAAATTCAACCATTTTCAGAATACCAAGTTTTTGGAGAGAAATATTCCTAATTCTCTCATGGCAGGATTTTTTGAAGAAGTTCAATCTTCCTGACAGACTTTTTTTCAGGAAGTGAAGGCTTTTATGGAGATTACATAGTTTGAAAAAAAATTTCACCTTCGAACGACCTACCATGAAAGTTTGAAACTGATACGTTATATTCAGTTCACGAACTTTTCTAACCAGGAAATAGCTTTTTCAGACTATTACGACACCGGTCTTCCAGAAAACTTTGAACAACGAGAAGAACTTCCTGCTGACTCAACGATTTCAGAAAACCAAGGCTTCTTGAAGCAAGTTTTTTTCTCGACACTTCCATAAAAAATATAATTCAATTATGAAGTTTTGCGGATTCATTTCTTGATTATCTTCATTCAAAAAAATTTTTATAGAGAAAAGAGAGGGATGATGAGAATGGGCAAACGGGCTCTGGTTCGTCTTGGGAAACGTGCTGTTTTTCGTCTTGGATAGCTGAATTTCTCAACATTTATTTTGTTACCAATCTTCGAACTGTATCCTTGTCCAAATAAAATTACATCATGTTGATTTGAAGCTGAGTTTGCTCGAATTCCAAAAGATGGTGCAAGAATGTCTTACCGTACTTTTTATTCCATGAGACATAGTGCTTGACTGACTGCAGCAAGGAATGCCTTGCCATGGGAACTTTTTTTTTCCAGCCATAAAGAACAATATAAATCAGAAGTGAATCGTTTCTTGGAAACGAAGAAGCATTTGGAAGATAATTTTTTTGTAAGAATTCGATTTCTAATTCCGCACTTCCGCCAGCATCTGGATTAATACACTTACACGGAGCTGCAAATCGAAAAACTTTTATGACCCCTAAGTCATGACTTGTGAAAAATGTGCATGAGTTATTGCCACAAAGTTATTTGGATGTGAAGTTATGAGGAATGCTCTGAGTGTTTGGTGATACAAATGCTTCGACATTTTTCTTCTGAGTTGGATAGCCTAATTACAACTTTCCGCTTATAATCCTCCACATGTACACATTTTGACAGTTATTTAGATTTTTTGGTGAGATATGGTTTTTTTCTGCGGATGAAAGGCATATGAGCAGTGAGAAGTAGAGTCAAAGACAAATATGTCATTTTTTAAAACTCTTCATTGCGTGTCGAACGGTGTACTTGAAAACGTACATAACTTTTGAGTTTTCCAGAAAAAAAAGAAATAATGAAGTCGGAAAGACTGGAATTTGTATTCCGCGAAAAACTCGTTCCGCAGAAAAGTTGCTCTATGGACAACAAGCTTTACCGTTTTTCGGTTTTATCTCAATTTTCTTCAAACTGCAATTTTTCTGCTCTTCCCAAAGTTTATGTTCTTATGAAATCTTTCAGTTTACTGTGAAAAGTTTTTCGTACACCCTTAGAAAACATATTTCTAACTAATTGGCGGATAAATGAAGTTGCGTTTTCTAAAAATGTACCAGTAACTGTTATTATTTAATGGATTGTTCCATTTGCAACGACTACCTTCAACAGATACTGATTTCTCTCAAAACCCTGTTTTTCACTGCCCATAAGCTTTGATACTGGGATCTCTGACAATCATTCCTTTTAGCACATTATTTTCGACCTATCATTCACCTAGAAAACTGACTCTCGAATGATAAATCAGTTGTCAGTTTCTCCATTTTCAGGGATCTGAAGACCTTCTTTCCGAGAGAAGAACACGCAGTGCGGTCGGCTCCGGAAGTTCTTTCCCGGAGCCGCACACGGCTCTTTTTTCACAGGGACCGGAGTCGATATGAAGGTCGGTTTTTCTTCTTGAAATAAAAACTGAGATTTCTATGAACGATCTCCTTCTGCAACTCCTTTTCGATCATATCATTCACCTAGAAAACTGATTCGCGAATGATAAATCAGTTGTCAGTTTCTCCATTTTCAGGGATCTGAAGACCTTCTTTCCGAGAGAAGAACACGCAGTGCGGTCGGCTCCGGAAGTTCTTTTCCCGGAGCCGCACACGGCTCTTTTTTCACAGGGACCGGAGTCGATATGAAGGTCGGTTTTTCTTCTTGAAATAAAAACTGAGATTTCTATGAACGATCTCCTTCTGCAACTCCTTTTCGATCATATCATTCACCTAGAAAACTGATTCGCGAATGATAAATCAGTTGTCAGTTTCTCCATTTTCAGGGATCTGAAGACCTTCTTTCCGAGAGAAGAACACGCAGTGCGGTCGGCTCCGGAAGTTCTTTCCCGGAGCCGCACACGGCTCTTTTTTCACAGGGACCGGAGTCGATATGAAGGTCGGTTTTTTTCTTCTTGAAATAAAAAAACTGAGATTTCTATGAACGATCTCCTTCTGCAACTCCTTTTTCGATCATATCATTCACCTAGAAAACTGATTCGCGAATGATAAATCAGTTGTCAGTTTCTCCATTTTCAGGGATCTGAAGACCTTCTTTCCGAGAGAAGAACACGCAGTGCGGTCGGCTCCGGAAGTTCTTTCCCGGAGCCGCACACGGCTCTTTTTTCACAGGGACCGGAGTCGATATGAAGGTCGGTTTTTCTTCTTGAAATAAAAACTGAGATTTCTATGAACGATCTCCTTCTGCAACTCCTTTTCGATCATATCATTCACCTAGAAAACTGATTCGCGAATGATAAATCAGTTGTCAGTTTCTCCATTTTCAGGGATCTGAAGACCTTCTTTCCGAGAGAAGAACACGCAGTGCGGTCGGCTCCGAAAGTTCTTTTCCCGGAGCCGCACACGGCTCTTTTTTTCACAGGGACCGGAGTCGATATGAAGGTCGGTTTTTTTCTTCTTGGAATAAAAAAACTGAGATTTCTATGAACGATCTCCTTCTGCAACTCCTTTTTCGATCATATCATTCACCTAGAAAAACTGATTCGCGAATGATAAATCAGTTGTCAGTTTCTCCATTTTTCAGGGATCTGAAGACCTTCTTTCCGAGAGAAGAACACGCAGTGCGGTCGGCTCCGAAAGTTCTTTCCCGGAGCCGCACACGGCTCTTTTTTCACAGGGACCGGAGTCGATATGAAGGTCGGTTTTTCTTCTTGAAATAAAAACTGAGATTTCTATGAACGATCTCCTTCTGCAACTCCTTTTCGATCATATCATTCACCTAGAAAACTGATTCGCGAATGATAAATCAGTTGTCAGTTTCTCCATTTTCAGGGATCTGAAGACCTTCTTTCCGAGAGAAGAACACGCAGTGCGGTCGGCTCCGGAAGTTCTTTCCCGGAGCCGCACACGGCTCTTTTTTCACAGGGACCGGAGTCGATATGAAGGTCGGTTTTTTTCTTCTTGGAATAAAAAAACTGAGATTTCTATGAACGATCTCCTTCTGCAACTCCTTTTCGATCATATCATTCACCTAGAAAAACTGATTCGCGAATGATAAATCAGTTGTCAGTTTCTCCATTTTTCAGGGATCTGAAGACCTTCTTTCCGAGAGAAGAACACGCAGTGCGGTCGGCTCCGGAAGTTCTTTCCCGGAGCCGCACACGGCTCTTTTTTCACAGGGACCGGAGTCGATATGAAGGTCGGTTTTTCTTCTTGAAATAAAAACTGAGATTTCTATGAACGATCTCCTTCTGCAACTCCTTTTCGATCATATCATTCACCTAGAAAACTGATTCGCGAATGATAAATCAGTTGTCAGTTTCTCCATTTTCAGGGATCTGAAGACCTTCTTTCCGAGAGAAGAACACGCAGTGCGGTCGGCTCCGGAAGTTCTTTCCCGGAGCCGCACACGGCTCTTTTTTCACAGGGACCGGAGTCGATATGAAGGTCGGTTTTTCTTCTTGAAATAAAAACTGAGATTTCTATGAACGATCTCCTTCTGCAACTCCTTTTCGATCATATCATTCACCTAGAAAACTGATTCGCGAATGATAAATCAGTTGTCAGTTTCTCCATTTTTCAGGGATCTGAAGACCTTCTTTCCGAGAGAAGAACACGCAGTGCGGTCGGCTCCGGAAGTTCTTTTCCCGGAGCCGCACACGGCTCTTTTTTTCACAGGGACCGGAGTCGATATGAAGGTCGGTTTTTCTCCTTGAAATAAAAACTGAGATTTCTATGAACGATCTCCTTCTGCAACTCCTTTTCGATCATATCATTCACCTAGAAAACTGATTCGCGAATGATAAATCAGTTGTCAGTTTCTCCATTTTCAGGGATCTGAAGACCTTCTTTCCGAGAGAAGAACACGCAGTGCGGTCGGCTCCGAAAGTTCTTTCCCGGAGCCGCACACGGCTCTTTTTTCACAGGGACCGGAGTCGATATGAAGGTCGGTTTTTCTTCTTGGAATCAAAACTGATATTTCTATGAACGATCTCCTCTTGCAACTTCTTTTCAACCATATCATTCACCTAGAAAACTGACTCTCGAATGATAAATCAGTTGTCAGTTTTTCCATTTTCAGGGGCTCGACGACGTACGAATCTCGGAGCCGAACACGGCTCTTTCTTCACAGCGAGAAGACTCCATATCGAGGTCGGTTTTCTTCTCGAAATAAAAAGATTTCCATGAATGTCATTTCCTCCATTTCCAGGGGCCCGAAGACCTTCGTTCCGAGAGGAAAGTCGGTTCACGCCAACACTTCACCGACGAGGCGAGAAAATTTTGTGTAGAGCTCCCAATCCGTCAAGAGGATCTAGAAAACATGATTTTATTAGCTAAATAGGATTCATTGTGACCTTTTTGTACATCTTGATATTTTTTTTTTTAACTGTGGAAATAATCTTCCCTGATGTAGCTCAATGTCATTTTTTTTATTCGTGAAATATTCTGATTTTTCCATTAGATAAAAATGTTTCGACTGCCGTTGTTTGTTTTTCACTGCTCGAGAAGAGAAGGGCCGCAAATTTGAAACTGTTATGGACATTTATTTGTTTCAGAAATCTCTTGATTCGTTTTTCTCAAAGGCTTTTCTCAGACAAACGAAAAAAAATTCTATCCCAGAATCCGGAATAAATGGTTTTCTCAATGAAGGTGCTGAGATACTTGAAAATACTCTTTTTTTTCAGAAATTTTTCCCTCTCAAACGCTGTTTCATAGCATAACGATGATTTTTTTCTGATTAGCCGAAGAATTTTACATCAAAAAAAAAAGATCAATAGAAAATTGCAGCCAATAAGGCTCGTAACGCAGACCTCAGACATTTGTTCGATAATGCAAAAAAACACTGCGCGCTCATTGCATACGCAGAAAAAAATTTGTTTTCCATGAACGATTGACGAAAAACATTTTTGTTGTTCCTCATTGGAAATGTGTTTTTATATTTTCATTTCTTTTTCAATTTTTTTCAAAATTTTTCTTCAATCAAATTCATTTACAGATTCTGACAAACGCACCAAGAAAAAAACTAAGATCCAAAAAAACAAAGAATCTAATTATAAATAGCGATTCAGTTTGAGATAAACATGGAATCGGAAGCAAGGTTTGAGGGATCATTTTTGAAACCATATTTATTGCTCTTTTTCTCAGTTCCTGTGCGGCAGCAACTATTTTCGCCGGTGTTGCAGAGGGTATAAAAACAAAAACAAAAAAGTGAATCCGAGTTTTTAACAGGTTTTTACGGGCGACCATGGACCTTTGAGCAGAGAAAACATCTATTTGGTCGTCTGAACCGTCTTGGCTTGAACACTTACATGTATGCTCCAAAAGACGACATTAAACATCGTTCCAACTGGAGAGAGCTTTACAACGACGAAGAAATAAGTAAGTTGCCCAATTAAAAAATGTTCATTTTTCTACTTTTGCAGGTATTCTGGGTGAACTGGTTTCTGCTGCCAAGGAAAATAATATCATTTTCATTTATGCGCTTTCTCCTGGGTTGGACATCGGTTATAGCAACCCGGAAGAAGTAGAAAAAGTCAAAAAGAAGTTTGAGCAGGTTCGCTTTATTTATTATCAAACAGAATTTTTTCGATTATCCTGATCTTTCTTTAAAAACAATTGTAATTTTGAATTTGATGGCGAATCCGAGTTTTTTTCTGTGTCACGTTTCACACCGTTCCACCGGGGTGTTGAAAGCTGTGAAACTCATTTTCTTACTTTTAAATGTCAAGTTTCAGGTGAAAAATGTTGGTTGTACTTCGTTTGCCTTGCTTTTTGATGATATCGAGCCAAAAATGAAACCAGCAGACCAAGAAAAATTTGAAACATTTGCGGACGCTCATGTATGCCTTTTCACTGAGCATCATCTATTTTATCAGAACTTCAGGTTGCTGTTACAAACTCTGTATACGAGTATCTGAATCCGGACCATTTTCAGTTTTGTCCAACAGGTTTTTTCTCATTTTATATTATAAGTTTTTTATAACATTGATTATTTCAGAATACTCGGAATCGCGTACTATTCCAAAGCTCAAATCTTCAGTTTACTTGAACACTATTGGAGAAAAACTTCACAAATCAATCGATATTTTTTGGACAGGTGTTGAACTCTTTCTAGAACTTCTCTTGAGTTTATTTTTATCAGGACCTCACGTGGTTTCTCGCGAGCTGACTGTGGAACATTTAATAAAAGTCGGCAAAGTTTTCCGTCGTAAACCTTTTATTTGGGACAATCTGCATGCCAGTGACTACGATCCGAAGCGTATTTTTATGGGACCTTTCAAAGGTTTGTTTAATGGGCTGAATAAATGAAATTCCGATTTTAAGGAAGATCGGTGCTGATCAAGAATCACATTTCTGGACTATTAAGTAATCCAAATTGCAAATACGAAGTTAATTTTGTTCCATTCAACACTATGGCCGATTGGTTCCACTGCGTTCTCGATTCAAATGATGACGGTTTGCTTTTTTTTTTCTTATGATTGTGAAATTTATTTTTACTCTCACATGTAAGTATAAAGTCAAAAAAGCACCTTTACAGAAGAAGAAGAGATGATACAAGGAGAGGAACTCATGTTTTATAACCCCGAAAAATCAGCACAAGCGGCGATTGCCACTTGGATGCACGAGTTCCATTCCGTCAACGGCCCTAGCATCCCACCGTGAGAATAAACTTGTCAATATTCAATTCTAATATTATTTCAAGTATCCCGAAAATTGACGAGAACATAGAAGGAGCCGATCTGTATCTCGAAAAACAGAAGGGTGAGAGGCAAATGTTTTCTAATTTTTTCATGATAGCAATTTTCAGCGCAATTGGCTAATGGAGTCCTGAGCCAAGAAAATTCCTTCCCGTTGGAGGAAATCATTCAAACACTGGTTGCTCCTGAAATTGCAGAACAAAATTCAATTGTGAACTCCCTCTCAGCGGATTATGCACAACCCATGGAGGTGAGGGAAAACAGTTGTTTTTGACGAAGTTTTGTATTTTCAGCAAGACGAGAGCCCGATCCCTGAAGAAGATGAACTTGTTGAAAATGTTGAAAATTCTTCTGACGCTGGTAGCACCACGAATCGCGATAAGTGAGTCATCCAGAAGAAAAATCTTCAAACACATTAAAACAATTTCCGTAGGATCCCGACAATCAAGCATATAAATATGCTAATAGATCTGTTCTACTTGCCTTTCGCAAACGGCCGAGGTGCAACGAGGCTGTACGAGGAATTCGCGTGGCTGTATGAGAACGGAGTTGTTATGAGAACCAACGACGACGCTGGATTTAAAAAGTGTCGTTTATTCTATAATAAAAAAAGATTTCAAATTTCAGCAAAGCCGGCGTAATTATCAAAAAGGAGGACTGGTTGGAGCATTACAAATTATTTTTCGACATGGTTCAAGCTGTGGTCGACATTTTCGCGGTATTTTCGGAATGCACTAATAAGGTTATCTTCATATAAAATCTTAATCTGTTGATGATTTTTCAGACCTTAGTTTCTGATTTGATTCCTTTTGTCTGGGAAGCGCATGGAGTGTTAATGGTTCTTCTCGGAGTAATACGGTGGATCAGAAGCGGACAACTAAAAGTAGTACCAGGTTTTCACAGCTTATTAAAGTTTTTCCAATTGACTGTAAAAAATTTTCAGACCCTGTTTCGGCTTTCTGGTATTGTCAAATCGACAAAGAGCCGTGGTCTTCAGCACGAGGTCTCTTTGAGGACTGTATCCGGTAAAAACCGAATAAGTTCCCATGATGAATTATTTTTCAGTCTTCTTGCTCGCGATCAAAAAGTTATGGATCTATTTCGTAACAAAATTCTGCTACCGCTTTCAATCGTCACCTACGATATTCGACCTTGTTTTTCGACCGACGCGGTTCGAATGCATTTTTGATATGAACTTTTAAAAATTTACAGAACTTGATAAGAGAGCTTGGCATGGAAAAGAATTCTGAAATGGACATGAATAAAAAAGAACTCCAGGGTGAGCTTTTCGTAGAAAGGTAACACTAAATTTTCAAAACGTGCTCATTGTTTCTGTTTCCAGAGATTATGCACCATTTCTCCAATTCGGTTCAGAATATAACTTTATTTGCGAAGAAATTGTCAGAGGAGTCACCGATACTCGAAGGGTTTAATCAAAAAAAGGGTCTGTGTAGAATTCAAATTTCAGCCGATCTGTTTTGCCGTTGCACATTCCAACGGTAGCCTTGTGCAGGAAAACCTTCCTCTTTACTTGGAAAGATCTAAGAGAATGTTCACGGACAACTGTTTGAAGGATCATACGGTTTCCTGGTTATATTTGTCAATCAAACGATTGAAATCATTCAGACCGTTGGTGATTGGTTTCCTCGAGTTGCAGCCGACATATTCATTCAGTATCCTGCTTGGCTGAACGTCCGATTCGATTTGGATCCATTCGATGCTGTTCCCATGCGGAGACTCGTCCAAGCCGTTTGCGTTACTTTGGCTATGAATGGTATGTTTAATCAAATTCCTATCGTTTGCATTCGTGAAAATGTTGAAGAGACATTGAAAAATGGGGTATTGGTCAATTTAAATATGCTCACAAAAATAAGTGGTTTTGACTTTAACTGTCAAAAAAGAAGTGCAACGGTGTCCACACAATTTGTTTTGGACATCGGAAGCAGAAATTAAATTTTTTAGATTTGAAAAGAAGAACATGCTGTTAAAATTTATTTCCGTATAACCTTTCTCATGAATTTAGAAGTGAAAGGCGTATTCTGTCCAATCCCGGTGTCGGAGACTGATCGCCTCCAATTTTTCCTTCGCATCGGCTTCAAAAACCTTGGGCTTTCCGAGTGTGAAAAATTCGTTCTCGTTGGCTTGAAAATCTTTTGGACCATTTTTGAGAAAGAGGAGCCAGTGGAAAATACTGAAGACGTTGAAGAAAGTAGCTCAGGTTCCGAAATGTCATTCGACATACTAGCTAAATGAGCATTCACGCATTTTTTTCACAAAATGTTTTCTACTGTATCTTAATCAATTTTGTACTTATTCTTTTTCAAGGATAGTTTGCTGTACAAAATTTCAAGCTTTATTGTCTTTGCTTTAGAACCCGTTGAACATGCATTTCTGTATTTTTCCCCTTCTCTCTAAAGCCGAGAAATTTTCATAAAACATTCCTTTAGACATTTTGCAATGTTCACGAGGTAAATTACCATTTTCTTCTCTTTTCTGCTGAAATCGTAGTTGTCATTGCTAATTTTTTCATTGTCTATTCTGCACGTTTTTTTGATTAATAATAAAGAACCATTTCAGAGTCTCCGCTAATTATTTGGGCAACCGATAGGAGAAAATAAAGAAACATTACTGTTTTTACGAAAATGAGACATACAATTTCAAGCAGTATTTATTTCATATTATATAAGTTAAAAAAATAAATAAATATAAATTCTCTGAATAAGTTTTTTTCTACACTAAGTATACTAAGTGAAATACAAACACATGGACATATCAGGAATGATTTTTCAAGCATCAATTTGTTTCTGCTTACAAATTAATATGGCTGGAGAATAAATACAATTGAATAAGTTATCAAAACACAGTATAATGAGGAATGGCGAGCAAATTGTTTCTGTTGACACTTTGAAAAAATTATGCAACTGGGATACTGTTCGAAATGATAAATGCTGGTATTATTTTGACATGGAGCTGAAAAAGATAAAACACACAGAATCGAACTGAATGAAGTGTTAAGTTCCAGATTCTTTCGACATAGTTCAGCTCTAATAAATGAGATTCAACTAAACATATTGAAATTTTGATTCTTGGTCTTTTTAGAACTGGTCAGCGAGAATTTCGACAAGATGCTTCACGACCGTGTCTTTGCTGCTTCGGACAGTCAGTCGATACATCTGAAAATACACTTTTCGTTGGAACCAAACCAAATTTTGGAGTGAAAGCGTCGTAAAAAGCATCAAAATTTCAAATTTCGAGAACTTGATTCCCAGATTTGATTAATATTTGGTTCTCTTTTTCAAAAAATACTTCCATGTATGTCACAGCTTGCAAGCTACGTTATTTACTGCTCATTATTTTGAAACAAGGGCTGAAATTCTCGCAAGCCGGTAAAATCAAAAAAATTACCTTAGCATGCTTGTTTGGTTCGAGACGGATGAGAGTTCCAATCTGCTGCGTCTGAGTATTGATGATTCCGGCGCAAACGTAATTTTCTGGGTTCGGATCGACATCGGATAGAAGCTTAGCGCCGATTCCAGCGAGCTAAAAAAATTATATATTATTTTTCATTCTTGAGAGTATTTGCCTACCTTGGGAGCAACCACGGCGTTTTCCATCGGATACTTGGCCGGGAATATTTTCTGACATTCTTGAGACGGCTGACCAAGTGCCTTCCATCTGCAGGAAAAATGAAACTACCTTCCTTTTTTGTAATCCACTGACCTAGTGAAAAATTGCTCGGATGCCATTTCAGTTGGCTCGAAGAATTTGCTCACGAACAGAGGCAAGTAGAAGTTTTTGTCGAAGTTCTGGGAAGAGCCAGTGCGATCCCTACAACAAAACATACATTTTCTAATATCCTCTTGTATCTCACGTATAGCGGAACTTGATGTTGACAATGGGCAATTTGTGGAACTCCTGAACGCAGACAAAATTGATCAACTGCTGAACTTGAGTCCCGGCCCCGACTTGAGGCTCCACTGGCTTGGCCTGAATACTTTCTATTTTTAGACTGAAATACTGTATAAAAACTACTTGAGCCTGCAGCTGAACTGCTAGGGATCCTGGGCAAGTGACAATAGGATTGAAGTCGGTGAAGATATGAGGCGTTTTATTGCCATAGAACATTCCAAGACGAGCCAAGTTAGTTCGGGCTTCAAGTTTGCATCCGATCTGTACAATGTCGTCTTCATAAAGAACCCCGTTGTTCTTGCAGACAAATCTATAACGTAAAGAGTTTGAGATTGAGAAAATGGAAAAAGCTCACTTCAGATAATCAGCTAAGTTGGCGATGTTAACTTCGTCGCCGTTAGAAATAGTAGAAGTGTTGGCGGAAGGAACTCCGGCTGGCTGCCCAAAAATGTCGGCAAGGGAGCTGACCTCGGCCGAAGAATCCAAATCAACCAGAGAGCTGCTGCCAGCGTCCTGATTTTGAAATAATCACAAAATAAATGAATGATTGGGGGAGAGAACCTGGCTCATAACAGCCTGAGGTCGTGCTTTCTTTTCTTTCTCCACGTTTTCGGTTTCTTCTGTCTGCGGTTTGCTCTTCTTTAGCTTTGCCAGGAGGCTGCTTTCCTTCTCCGCAAACGGAGGCATCTCTTCCAGAATCTGAAATTTTGAGTTGAGAAGCTTTTGCAATTTTCAGGTTTGTAGAATGAATGAATGAAAGAAGAAGATCTTTATTATATCAAGTATAATAGTTACCGTTGCAAGAACATCTGGAGAAGCCACTTTGCTCATCTGCAGATATTCCACGGCTCTCTGTTGAAGTTCGGCGTCTGGGTTGCGCAAGTTATGGTCGGTAAGAAAAAAACCTGAAAAAAATCAGATACAGCAGTGTTTTTTTTTTATTTTTTTAACAGCCAAGGCCATGAAAAAAATTCCAGGATAATCCTACAAATAATATATCATCCTTACCTGTTGAATGTTGTTCTTTATCTCAGGGAAAAGATTGCAGAACTTGATGTAAGTCGTCAAAAGCAAACAACGGGTCCCGATGCTGCACAAATGGAATTTCGAATGCAAAAGCTCGAACTGGATCTGCGGGCTGAAAACGAAATATTATTAACCTGTACTCATATAATCAGATTAACCTTGAACGTTGATCTCCAGCAATCAGATTTCCGAACTCTCCCAGGATATAGCCACCGACCTTTACCATGTTTTCATGACAAGCTGGCCTCTGAAAAGGTAGGTTTCTTTTCCATCGGTTAATATGAACTCTTGAAAATAACCTGAAGAGCTTCAAACACAGTCTTTGCAGCATATCCTTGCACGTCCTCTCGGTTTACTACAATCTGTAACAAAATATCATAATTTTGATCGGAAAATCAGCTCCGAACCTGGATGACCCTGTACCAGACCTCTTCGCTCACGTAGTCACCAGCAATACGAATGAGCTTCAGGATAACGTCCACATACCAAGTATAGTCGGTGGCGTATTTTTCAGCAAGGATAGCCACTTTCAAAACCTGAAAAACTTGAACATTTGATGGCTATACGTTTCTATTTACCATTTCTTCGCGGATCGAGTAGTCGGCCGTCTCAAGGTAGGCGAGCATTTCAGCGACGATTTCATTGGCGTTTGATCGATCACACATGGCGTACAGCAAATCGACAGCACGCTGACGGACAGAAACGTCTCTGAAATACAGAATAATTCTGAGAAACTGTTGATGAACTACCGCTCAGTCTTCAAACTATTGATGATCGTCTCTTGATGTTTCTTGACGGCGTCGTGCGAGAATTCAGAAGTCGCGAGCAGACACATCGATTCCAGAGCAAGATATCTGAAATCAAAGATGATTTGAAGAAAAAAGCAACACTAGTTATGCCTGAGGTTAGTTTCCCGGTGAGAAAGGAAGGTTCCCAGTTGATTGCAGGCTCGAACAAGCAAGTTTGGCTCGCTGTCCATGTGGATGATCAAAGCGATCGCTTCGAATAGAACAGCGTTTTTGGCGTTGGAATGCTGCACTTTCTTGGACTTCGGAGCGTCTTGAGCCTTGTTCAGAATGCCCTCGAGGCACTCCAAAAGCCGGGCTTTGTTTGATGGATCGTCTAAACAGAATTATTTTGGAGACAGTTCTTTCAGTGTTTTATGAACTGCTCTATTTTTTTTCTTTGATTAACAAACAAAAAAAATTCCGATTGAAGGTTTTATACACTCCATTAATGTTATAATGCGGTTGGAGTTTGCCTGATTTAATTTTTTTGATTGATTAAGAAAGTTCTTCAAATGTGAATGGGAAAAAAAATTATAGTTTTTTTAAACTAGTTTTTTTGTTTCAAAAAAACGCTCAATATAATTTTAGAAAAAAAAACACGTTGCTTCACCAATGAAAAAAACTTTTTGAGCATTAATTAACTATTTACTCTAGCGAATCTAAGTTTTTTCATGCGCAGATTGCATTTCAAAACAACAAAAACTTTTTCAAAAAATAGTACATAAATTTTGCAAGCTCATGAACAGAAAATTCGCAAAATCATCTCGGTTCAAAGTATTACCTGGTGGAGGATAATTCTGTAGAAGACGGAGCAACTTGGTGCAAAGCCATGGAGCCGGAACAAAGTAGTACGTGTAATCCTGGAGATCCGTGTACGTGGCCGTGATAATTCTACTGAGGCGGGAAATGGCCAGTGGGACGCTTCCTTTGTACTCCTCGGGCCATTTCTTCGAGAGAGCTTCAATAAGAGACGCCGCCGAGGTCACCACACCCTAAATATTTTTTTCGTCAGATATCTTAAATTATTTATTTTTTTACCATGTGAGAATCATTAAGAAGGTGTACAATCCTGCTGGCATAGTCGCCTGGCTGGAAAATATCCGGTGCTGTCCGGAACAACTTGAGCATGCACAAAGCTGCTGACTGTTTTACGAAATCAATAGTGTCTCTGAAATTCATTTTTTCGTAATGGTTTCTAGGGTGATATGAAATGAATCGATAAGGAAACATACCCGGAAACTAGGAGTTTTGGCAAATCAGTGCAGAAAGCCTCAGCCATGTCGCGGCTGCCAATGTTGGAGATGCACTGGAGAGCGAGGTTGACGTGAACCGGGTTGCGAGAAGTCAAGTCGTTGCGGATCGCCTGCACGATCAGCTTCATGAGGTCCGAGTTGGCCTCTATCAGCACCGAAATGAACAAATATCCCTGGAATGAAACCTTTATTTGAGGAAAAAAGAAATGAAACAAGCTTGAAAATTATTATTCCGAAAATATGTCTCTTATTTGAATAGTAAACTCACAATTTGCTTTTCGGTGTACTTGTTGGAAGACAGTAGGTTGACTGCTTCCATATGACCAAAATCAATGTCGTTTCCCAGAAGGAAAATGAAAAGCAGTTTGCAAACGTACTTCTTCTTTTGGTACCCATCGAGAGTTTTATCACCTAAAACAAATATTTCTCTCAAATTTTGGTGAAGCAATTTATACCTTTGAATTTGGAGCGAATATTTGCCAATTCTTTATTGATTCTCTTCAACTCGGCTTCTTTACTTTTACAGTTGCGAATGTCGCTGATAAACACGGCCAAGCCGCGCATACCATCGCCCTTCACAGCAGGCATCCTGAAATGAATCGAATAACTGAAAACTAAACACTCAAACAAAAGATAAAAAAGAATAAACATAAATAAAAAAAACTTTTGAAGTAAGGACGAAGAATAAACATTTATCGAGCATGGAAAAAGGTCGATGAGCTGTGGTCTGCAAGGCCGCACGCGCAAAGGGAACCAAATACGCAGAACCCTACGGACAAAATCACAGTAATCGGAAAAACGAAAATTAGCGTCGTTTTTTTGAACAGTAACTTTTTTTCAATTGTTTTTTTATGTTTGGGATAATATTTTTTTAGATGTTTTCGAATACCCAAAACAAATAAAATTTATAGACATGTTGAATATGAGACGATGAACGTGTAGCGACGAAATAACTCAATGAATAATAAAAAGTTCGAAGGAAATGAAAAAAATTAAAAAAAGTTTCAGAGAACTCCGGAAACTTTTTTTATCGAACTATTGAGGACTTTGAAATTTTTTTTTTCTGGCTTTATTTAAATTGTACAAAATTCCATACACTCCGAAGCAGGAAAAAAGTTCATGATCGTTTTTGGAACGTTATTCTCTTATTTTTGTTGGGAATAGAAGATTTAATTTTTCAGTTCCCATGAGAAATTTCGTTCGAAAATGAAAATTGGACAGTTATTAAGAAGGTCCAATTCCGGCAATTCAAAACCAAACGGATTGAAGAAGTAAATTTTTATTCCAAATATTTTATCTCTCGGAAAATGTATCCAATTATTTTGAAACTTAATACTTAGAGGGAAGTCCCACCTTGCCTTTGACTATCATTTTCATAGTTTTCTTTGAGGCACATAGGTCGAAAGCCGTGAAATAAATCTACAGAACTTGATAAGAGAGCTTGGCATGGAGAAGAATTCTGAAACGGACATGGATAAAAAAGAACTTCAGGGTGAGCTTTTTGTAGAAAGGTTTTTTTAAACCTTCAAAACTTGTTTTTTTGCAAACTTATGAAAAAGTATTGGTCAGTTGCTCAATTCTGAGACCTATGAAAAAGGGTTAGCGCGCTACCCTGAAGACTAAAGAATTCAAAGGGATTCTCAGACCATAATCAGTAGACAACTTATTGTTCGAAAATACATACGTGGAACAGTATTTGATTTAAGAAAAAAAAAGTTCCGGCGTCCGGAAAATTCGAGCAATAACTATGCCTATCCATGTAGAGTTATAAAAAAATATCAACTCACATTTCAGTAGACAATCAGTTTATTAGAGGAACTTAAGAAATATATCAAATTCAAGTTAAAAAGAAATAAACTAATTTTTTTCTAATTTTTTTGACAATGTCCTGTTAAAAAAATTGGGAAGTAAAAAAATAAAAATACTTCTTTGTTAATGAGGATATAAAAAAAATTTTTAAAAAAAGCTCTAACAATAAACAGCAATTGTGAACGAATAAAATGAAATTTGTTGAAAAAAAGAGATGCAAAAAAAAAGAAACGATTTTTTCCTAACGAAAGATTATCTGACCATTTTTTGCAGAAGTCAATCAAATCAATCAAATCGATTATTTTGTTTTAGTCAGAGCGCAACAGGTTGTGTGCCTGTCTACGGTCCACAGAGTCACAAGTTCCACCCCCGCCTCGACCCAACCAAGGGGTTTAAGAAATGTTGGTAGTGGGAAACCACGGCTTCAAAATCCGCAGCCGTCACACAAGGACAGATATGTCCCTAGAGCCAGTCCACTGATTATCGATGATATCAGGATAGGATTTCGGCGAATAGATTCAAAACTGCTCAAACGGTACAAAGGCGTAGGAAGAAGAAGAAGTTGGATATAATGGACTAGGCAGAGGACAAGAACTTTTGAAGCTATAACCAGGAACCGCCTTTGGCGAACTAGAAGTCTAAACGTGTAAAAGATCAAGTTGAAAGCATGGTCGTACGATTATTCGCCTCGTTCTTCTGCGCGTAATCCGTTTAATTGCGCCTTGACGATCTCAGAATGAGCCGGATGTTGCTCTGGAGTTCCGAGACCGTGCTCTAGGTGGTAGCCTCGAAACGAGAGCGACCACTTCCAATAAATATTTTACACGGAATCCTAACTTTCTCAACTCACCCGTTTTTTTAAACGCCATAAAAAAACCTTTTTTTCGATGGTTCTTTTTAAAAATATGAATATTTTTTTACCTTTTTTTCTATGATGACATGAATTGAAGCTTGCAAAATTATAACTGAGGTTGAAAAAGCAGTGATTCTTTTTACGAGTAGAAAATCTCTTGTTATGTGGATCGTTTCCTTTCTTTCAAACGAAATTCATTTATTTTTTTATTTCACGTGAAAAAAATCACAAATGTAATAAAAAAAATGGCTTTGGATAATTGTGAAAAACATTTCAGCGTGAAAAAAATTTCCCTCTAAATAATGGAACATCATATCCACTTTTTTTCAGGTTCTCAACCGGAATAATAGAATAAGAGAAATATTGCTGCAAGTTACTAAGTCAAAAAAAACAGTATTAGTCGGAATGACGTGAGAAAAAATGCTTTCAAAGTTGAAAGAAAATACAAATATTGCTAGGAAAATCAACGGAAGCGGGAAGAAACTTCAGGAAATAACAATATGAACATCAATTCAAAATTTGAAGGAAATTTCGAAGAACAACTGTGAAACTGAAACTTAAAAAAATTGGAAAATTAATTAAAGCTATTGTGATTTGAATTGATTGCACACAAACTGAGAATATTTTCGTTTCACTGAATACGAGCCGTAATTCAATATTTGAAAGAAAACAGAGATTATCCATCAAACTGGTAGGTAGACTTGTACAATTGAACTAACACGAGGTCAGTGAAGCAGAATGATAAGAGTACCCGCAGGCACAACCAAAAATGAAATTTTCGCCGTAACAAAACGGATTGTTTTTGAAAAAAGGTTGACAATGCCAGGAAACGAGATGACACTTGGAAAGGGAATACGTTTCAGTTATCTTCGATGTTGACGCGATTTCCATTGAGCCCCACTGCAATTTCTTCAGGCTCCTCAAGTTTGGAGATCTTGAAGTCGTCCTTGATCGATTCTGGCTCCAGCGCCTGTTTTTGAGGCTCATTCTCCTCGCTTTCTTCTCGAGCTTGGTCTTCTCCGACGTCATCGCTGTTCTGAGTTGGAGGAGAAGCCTTATCATTCGATTCGGAGATTTCAGTGCTTCCGCCGTTAGACGCTGCCGGAGATCTCTGAAAGATTTCGATGATGGGTTGTGGAAAAGTCAAAAAAGTTTCGAAAAGTTTTCTGTCAGGTTTATGTGCGTCAAACTTTTTTTTGAACTTTTTTAATAAACTACGTGGAAAAGAGGCAAGAAGAAAGTGCTACAAACCTCATTCTTAGGAGAAATATTAGAAGGCGAGGATACAGGAAGACTGTTGGTGGCAGGACTGGCGGCGACCTTCGGGCTGGGCGTCGAATGAGTAGCCGGCGAAGATCGGTGGTTGGCGGCCTGGGCGGCGAGTGTCGACAACGCCGCCGCAGGGTTGAACTGTGCAAGAGCCGGATTGGCGTTCATCAGCAACGGGTTGATTCCCATGCTGCTCATCGCCAGGAGAGGGTTCGTGTAGCTGAACGCGTTCATCTGGCTGATCGGCATCTGCGGCAGATTGTTGAACCCTGAAAAGTCACTGTTGTGATAAGTGATGACCAAAACTTGTGGAAAGAATCCACATCCTTTTTTTGTAGATATTGTCTTTTTTAGCTATCGCCTCTTCACGCACCAAAGTTCTGCATATTCAAGAACGATGGCGGCTGAACTTGTGGCGCCCGTCGAACGTTTGGAGCCTGCATAACCACTTCTTTGTTGATGCAGTGAGCCAAGTCTTGAGGACACCGGCCAGTGATCGCCTTGCGCACCTGGGAAAAATAGTAAAGATATAAATTACACTTCCAAAACGGACCTCTCTGGCAGCAATCGCACGCAGATCACGACATGAAGAGTCGGAAAACCAAGCAGCTCTTGGAGTGTTCATTATGTTAGGGCAACCGGCCAAAGGATCTGCACTTATGTTTTTGAGCAAGTTCTTGGGTTTAGTATCTTACTCATGACGTTGGACTCGTAGGGAGAATGCTCATGGACATCCAAAGCAGCTCCGCGAACATGACCCGTTTTCAGAGCTACGGCAAGATCGCTCTGTAAATCAGATAATGATTTTTTTGAGAAAATTTTCTCATACGCTCATAATTTTAAATGGTATTTTTTTTTACCAATAAGTGTGATAAGTTCAAATGGCCAAATTTTCATTTAGTTATTGACCCCGAACAACTTCAATGGCTTCTTATGAGGGATAATATTCTACTCCAAAATTTGTAACGTTAGAAGCTCGGTTGAAATAATTCTCAATTTATAGACATAGGATTCAATCCACTTTTTTGATGATATTACTGACCTCATTGATCAGACCAGGACGGCTCGTGTTGATTACAAAAACGCCAGGCTTGCATTGCTTCAAAGTTTCATTATTGATCATCTGACGAGTTTCGTCCGTGAGCGGGCAGTGCAAAGAAATCGTATCAGCTCTCGCCAAAAGCTCGTCCAGTGCGTGAACTCTGGAAAAGAGTAAGTTTCCTTTTGAACTAAAAATGAGGATTGCAGAGTTCACTCACCTTTCGACTCCAATCGACTTCTCGAGTCCATCTTTCTGGAAAGGATCGTAGACAACGATGTTCATGCCAAAAGCTTTGGCTCTCAGGGCGACGGCGATTCCAGAGCCACCAAAACCGATAAGTCCAAGCGTGTCTCCTCTCATCTTTCGGCTTCCGCTGGCCATTTCTTTCACTTGTTCAGCGGAAATCACCTATTCATTACAGAGCACATTATGTGAGGCTTGAAACTAAAAAACCTTCCTAGAATCGCAACATGCTTTGGCTAGCCAGAATGTTCTTCGGTACAAGTTCAACAGGAGGGACATGGTAAAATCGGCGACCTCTTCAATACAATCTCCAGGAGTGTGACAAACAGCGATTCCTATTTTTCAGTTAATTCATTCGAAAGAAACCGCAAAGTTACCTAGTTCCGTTGCCGCTTTGACATCAATGTTGTCCAGTCCATTACCAATCCTGACAACTATTCGGAGAGCTTTGAACTTTTCGAGATCTTCTCTTTCGAGTTTGATGGTGTGATACATCAGAGCTCCGACTGCTTCGTTCAGAACCTGGAAAACGTTTCGATAAGTCCTTGAAAACCATTTTTAAAAGACTGTAATGAATTTCCCAGATATGAATATACGCACTACCTTAAAAATCAAACTGTTCAGCAAAAAACCTCATTTCGTCTTCAAATCTTTTTCATCTTTCAACGCTGGCTGAAGAAATTAATCTCTAGAGTTCTTGCAAAACAATCTAAAAAGGTTCAAACTTTTTTTGTGATATAATTAACTACACAAAAAGTTTCAAAAAGATCCTGAAATCACTTTAAAGTTTGTTGAAACATTCTTTGATGAGCTGAATCAAGATAATGAAAGCCTCAACTTGCAAAACTTCTTCAGTTCTCAAACTCCGTAGAAATAATCCTTTTGAAGTTTAAGAAGGCCCTTAAAACTGGAAAGCTTCTTAAATTGACCTTACACGATTTTGAACTACTATCTCAAAAATTTTCTGGTCTTTTTTTAGAACACTACAAACAAAAAAAAGAAATCCTTATGTGAAAACGGAGCACTTATTTTTGACCTATCAGCCTTCGAATCTTTTTCGTTTTTTTTTGTTCGTTTGTTCTTCTTTAATAATACGCTTAGAACAGTCTAAGTGTGTCGACCTCATCCAGTTGGGAGCTGCAAAATTTGTTCTCTGAGAGCAATATCTTCCTTGAAAGCTCTTTAATTGCTTTTCAAGCTGTTGGAATAACTATCTCACAGCGGCTGAAAGCCCATTTTCAGGGGCTTTTGCGTGCTCCGCGGAGAATCGTTTGATGAATTATTAGCGAAGATGGCCGGATTTGAAATCAATGAATGAGGGCGCGCGTGGTCGGATGCATTTCGTGAATGCAAATGATACCACCTGGGCTCGCAAAACACCGTTTTCCCCATTTCGAACCCTTCATAGCTTTGAAACCTTTCAGAAAAGAAGATATATTTCGAGTTTTTTCTTTTTATTGAGAAAAAGGTACTAAGAGGATTTCTCATATTTATAGAAATTTGAATATATTGGACTAAAAAAATTGAAAAAAAAAAAAACTTTTTTTTAACTAAACTCATAAAGTACCCAAAAAAAGTTTTGTATGAAACATCTCCAATTAATTGTTGGCTATAAAACTCTCATCAAATTTTTGAGATGAAAAATGAATTTGAACAGTGAAATCAATAGTCATAAACCCCATTAAAAAAATACTTCTCTTATTTGAAAAATAAGTCAAAAAAATTATGTACTGGCTCCAACTATTAAAAAGCAACAACCTAGCCAAATTTGAATTTATCCTCGAAATAACTAATTTAATTAGTGGGTGTTTAATTCAATACACCGAATCCTACGTCTTTAAATTTTTCAAAAATTTCAAAATGACCTTTTCGTGAATTTCTTGAGTTGATTGAGCGTCGCAAAACGCCACGGTGGCCACATCCTTCAAGATCGGCATTTCCACGGAGCAGTCGCGTCCGTCGAGCAGAGCCACGAGGGGACGCGAACTCGACGGTCCGTTCATTCTCGGAGTTCCGGCCACTGCAATCCATACAATTATACTTCCTATTGACAAAAAGTTTGGAAATTTCGCAAAAAAAGCGGTTTTCTTCACTAAAAACTCACTGGCTAACAAATCATTTATCTGCTGCTGGTCGAGAGCCTGTGGAGTCAGAGATGCTGCTGAGGTTTGCTCTGAAAAATATCATTTAGGACCAATTCGAGCAGGACAGAATTGTTGGTAAGACAATCGGTGACTGGAATGAAGGACGGAAAAAATAGAGCATGAAGAATTGGCCGAGAGCTCTGCGACAGACCCACTTTCATTGAGTGCACTATGGCAAAATCTTCTCACTATCTTTGTCGAATAAACTTTTGTTTATGCTTTTCAGAGTTCAAAGAACCGATTAGAATACTTGACGGCGCCTTCTCTCTAAAGTTGCATTTGTTCTCAGATGCGTTTGAATGATGAAAAGAGATGTGCGACGTGCTTCTCTCCTCACAAACAAAAGGTTGTTGGACAACAATGGAGAATTTTCCAAGTTGGAAATGTAAGCAAATACCACGTTCTTCAAAACTAAGATCTGACATACTCAGGATTAAGATCACAGAAAACAAAACTAAGCAACACGCTGATCTTCGGATTTAAATGATTACCCGCGTTTATCCTTTCACACTCTTGAAGAATTGCTTTTAGTTCTGCTGAAAAACTGCCAGGCTGAACGTTACAGGACATCACGCGCGATGCAAGGCCAATATCTGCAGATTTCAGATTTTGATGCAAGTTATTTGGGCAAAAAAAAAGACGCTTTGAAATGACTTTGCACCGGAAGCAGCGCGGCCATCGAACACACAAGCATTGGAAGTCACGAAGAGATAGCCAAGTTCATTAGCACAGAAGATGATTGGAAGAAAATTGCTTGGTAAAAAGATGGAATCGTTTGAGTTGAATATTTCCTCGAAAATGGACTTGAGATGTAAAACTTTCATGAAACGAAAACATTCTTTGTGCAACTATCACGAAAATTGTTTGGAGGCTAATTTGGAGGGCAGGAAAGCCCGTGGCGAGAGTGATCTCCATCTGGTGGCCAGCGCCTACCTCTCACTTCAATTAGCATCGCGGATAAGCATTTTTACGCCCTTCTAATGAATGTGTGCAGCCTTGGCTCTCTCTTCCTACCAAATATAGAACATAAGCATGGTCAATCTTTCTTATTTTGCAAGTTCTCAAAAGTTCTCAAGCCCTGGATCCGCAAAACTGAGGATCAGAGTACAAACACGCCTTGCAAAACGTTTCTGCTTCTCAAGAAGTGGAAAATTTTTGAATTCAATTTCCTTGAATAGCATCGGCAAAGGTAATTCTTGGATAAAGTTGATATAATAAATCTTTTCAATGCTCAGGAAATTAATCAATTAAAGTTTTATGAAAATCATGATCAATAACGACTGGGAAAATATCTTTGCTAATCGCAAAAAATTTCAGTGACTATCGTTTCTTCAAAAACGTATATTAGAAAACTAAAGACGCCAGACTAAGCCCGAAGAAAATACCTATCGAGCTTGTTTACAGACGTTGAAAACCAAAAGAGGCGTGTCTTGAAGTGCAAGTTGGAACTGCAGAAAAAGTCTTGCACTTTCGAAAGTTCCAGCAAGGGCTTCCCATGAAATATGCCATTTCAGACATTAGTCACTGATGAAAATTCAACAAAAGGTCAAGTAGACAGTCATCAGGGAAGTCTATCATGCTTGATTTATGAAAAACGCAGTCATGCGTTTCTGATATTAGCTTTAGAAGTGTCTGCCGTCTGAAGGAATGGAAAATATCTCAACGAAGCATGAAAGTTCGTCTAGAGAGCAGTCGAAAATAACTCCGAGATCGTGATAAAATAACAAGGAAAGGAGATTCCAAGAAAAGAGGCACGCAAAAGCGCTGGCGCCTACGAAAAGCTGGAGAAGCAATATGATGATTTCGGAGTGAGTGTGTGACAGAGAGAAAAGTGAGAGCCATGCCCTCGCCATTTTCAGGCAAACCGCCAAAATGAGCGGTGCTGCTGGAGGAGTGAGGACGCAAGCGAAGGGACGCCGTTTGGGGCAGCTAACAAGTATTTGACATGAATTAGATATGGGGCGGCGAGAGAGCTCGAATGCAGAGAAACTCGACGGAGAGCTCTATTAAGCAGTGGCACACAAAACGAGGCCTCAAGGAGTGAACGCACCAACCCACGAGCATTGAAAATGAGCAGCAGCAACCTCTTGCTGCTCAGTCAGAGAGCCTGGACCAGACAGAGGGCGCACGGCAAAAACCCGAAAGAGCAGCGCGAAACCCATGAGTCGCTCCATTCAAATTGCAAGAAATGCGACATGCCGCATTGGAATTGAGTATAACGCTCTCCGGCAACACTTTTCACTTGGGTTTCATCTTCCTCTTTGCCACTGCTTTCATGGGCACTTGAGACCTTCCAGGGTTCGACTTCTTCCGACGGTTTGAAAGCTGAATAATTCAACCGGCTGGAGCTTGAAACTTTGTCTCATAGAAGATATTTCGGAGATGAGAAGTTCAACTTAACACTTATGAGGGGTTTCGAGAAGTTTCAGAAGTCAAAATGTACCGACTTTTTCGAACGGCCCCATCCTTCAGGATTGACATACACCAATTAGCATTAAAAAAAAATTTAACCCAAGTTGGTTTTTTTTTGAAAAGTTACAGGGAACACTATCATTGGCAGAAAAATCTCGAAAGTTTAAAAAAATTGTGCCTATAGTGTTCCACGTATATTTAGGCCCATGTAAAGTTGGTAAAAAATCAGAACAGGGTTTCTCAAAATATTATTTTTGTTTTAATGAAAAAATATGGTCATCGGCTTTTGGATTAGCTGGAAACCAGAAAGTTTGATTTATTGTATGTCAAAGATATGCAGAGTTTAGACATTCAATAAACTTTTTTTACTAAGCTTGAACATGAAATTTCATATTTCTTTATCTCAAGCTTATTAAAAAAAGAACTCTGTAAAATCAAAGAAAAAGCTTTCCCTAATTCAATTCAGTAAAAAGAAAATTGATCTTTCCGCAGTTCACAATTTTCAAAAACTTTTTTTCCATTGGCAAGACGACTTTGGAAGGATATCCAAATACGTAGGCTACGTAGGTGAAAGCAGCTGCCTGGCGCTTGAATCATGTGAAAAACTTCAAAACTACACTCTTGGAAAGCTCGCGTTTTTCCTAATTGAGAAAAATTCTTTCATGCTCGTTTTCGATTTTCTCTTAAGATACGCTAACTATTCTCTCAAGGCTGTTTACTTTCAAAAAAGACGCTCAAGACTGATAAGAGTGAAGCTAACTTGTGTCGGCTCAGAAAAGGCCAAAAATAGGCTCGTATTCCAATCAAGTGTGCCGGAAAATGGACGCCGCGGATTGGCAATTGCAATCAGCGAAGTCTCGACGCGGTGAGTGAAATCACCCGTCGGAATATCAATTTCCTCTTTTCATTCTTTTTGAGCAAGCTCGCAGACGTTGTTTCCTAGGATTTGTTCGAGTGGACTTATCTAATAATGCCTGCAAAACACTTTCCAGAGTTTTTCCAGTTAACTTCAAAAAAAATATGGATATTCTTCGAAAATCATTGAATAAATCCAAGTACAGTAACAAATGATTGTGAGGATGAAGCACTTTTCTTGTTTTTACAAGCTTCAAAGTTTGGAGTTAGAAATAAGCAAACTTACTCATTAATTTTCTGAAAGTCGGACTGTACATTATAGCGAGGAAGTACTAGATCACATATGGCAAACATACGAAGAGCGCGAGGAAGAGAGAGAAGAAAAAAACTTGGTAAGAAAAAGAATTTGAAGTTTTAACAGGCCTCGTACAGATGTTCGGGAAAAAAACGCAACTGTCCAACACCTGCCAGATACATTCAAATCCTGGATAGGGCATAAAAACCCCTTCTGCTTGCCAAATGTTCAATGGAGATGTTCGCTAAGAATTCAGCCATTCGTAAAAACTTTGCAGCTGCAGAGTGGTTTTGTAGTTTTTATTGTCATGTCTAGGAGTCTGAGTTTGAGGAATGACAAATTTCTGCTTACTGAAATAAACCTTAAGAAAAAGATGGTTCCTTCTAGGATATTCTCCCGATAAAATGTATAACGGACTCGATGAATAATCGAAAAGACTTGTCTTAAAAATTTGAAAGGATTTTCACTGATACTTGAAGCTTCATTACTCTAAAAAAAAAAGCCAAAATCCCTAAAAGAAAGGGGTCACATGAAAATTGACCAGAAATACTGCTCAATGAGCCAGGTAAAGAAACTCGAGAAATCAACCTGTCAATGTCTGGTTTTCAAGAAATCATGACCCAAAGCCTAATAAGGAAAAATTCTAACATTTTTTTTTCACTTTTTCATTGAAAATTGAGCTTTTACTTCTAAAAAACTAGAAAGTTGCACTGTTTGAGATTTGCAGCTTCTTCATCATGGTACATCAAGGAGTGAACAGGACGATTCTCAGAGAATGCAAATCAAAAAAACCTACCTTTTTTTAATTTTCTAAAGCTCTCACGCAAAAAACTTTCCAAAAAAACTCTGCAGTTAACTATTGATCCTCGATGAAATATTAAACATTTTCGGAGATTCTTCTTAAAATCTTCACTTCAAAATTAACAGAAAAAAACTCCTATTAGAACTCTGCAACATTTGGGATCCTATCATATTCGAAGGAATAATCATTGTTTTTTTGACAAGATCTCAAGTTGAATCTATAAAAAAATCAAAGAAAAGATTTCAACTTATAATAAATCGAATCCTGTTCTACTTTTTTTCATTTTTTTCAATTTTTTTGCAGCTTTTTATCAGCTCGATAAGAACGTCAAAAAAATCTCTGTAATTTCAAATAAAAAAATGGTACTCACGCGGTGAATATCGCAGCATTTCGGCAGATGGGAACGATGTTCAAGACGAGACTGGCAAAAAAGAAACGGCTCAAGAATGTGTCACAGGTATGACGGACCACAAAAAAGGCACGGCGACTGTTTTTTCTCAAAGGAATGGTCACGCAGGCACGGGAAATGCCACTCCAGCATTTAATTTGTATGTCGCGGCTTTGTTTTGAGTTTTTGACGCCCACAAAATCGTCCTGGCGGCAGGTGTTTGTCCTTTTGGAGCCATCCATAAAATTTGAATTCTACTAAGTGCGTCTCAAATGTCTTGCCATTTCTCAAACTTCACTGAGTCATGGGAACGGAGTCGTGTTATTTGGTTGATTACGTTGATTACTGTAGCAAACCAGAAAAGGGGTCTTTTTTCAATCTTTGAATGGACTCAACTCTTCGAAAAAAGAATAAAGGTCATGACGACTTTTTGGCAGGGAAAACTGTGAGACTTCTGACAGATCAAGGTCTTTTGGGAGATTTTTTCAATTTTCTTGTCAGCTGCTAAATCTTGATAAAACCTGCTTTCCAACTTTCGAGGATTTCCTAAAAATTAGCAATCCTTACAGGGGCCGAAAAAGTGGTCTCCATAGAAGTAAGATTAAGATCCATCTTATAGGGGTTTAAGGTATGATCCCGAAACCTCTTAAGCCCAAGTGGCCCTTATAGGGGTTTTTCAAATTCGTGCAAAAACGTTTATTTATTCAGTTTTTACCTATGGAAATGCTTCTTCGCTTAGCGTTCATAATAGTTATAGAGTAGCATGTCCCCTATAGGGGTCACTAACTCCCAGATAGGGACCCCTTTTGCAAGTTTTAGTGGTTCCTATAAGGGTTGGTAAAGCGGCTTTTTGAGGAGGCCAAAAAATTCATCAGGTTCAAGAGTATTTGAGCCACTGAACATCCACAAGGAAATTAAATTTTGACATGAAACTGACCGAATGGAGGGGGGTAGAGATCGCGGATAGTTCTACTTTTTTTCAAGTACGACGGGCTACCTGGAATAAAACCGGGATCAGTGAAAACTTATGATAATTCTCCAAGTGAGTTCAAAGCTATTCCAGAAAATCCAAATTCAAAATTCAAAAAAGGATCTTTTGGCTCCATGAGATCATACAGTTCTACTGAGATAGTACATAAAGGCTGTTAGACAAGTCAAAAAGTTTCTCAAAATTAGGTTTAGTTATTTGAGATTTTCGGAAGGGACATTTTCTGGCCCGCAATTGAACTTTTGAGAAATCTTGGCTGGAATGCACTTTAAGATCTTCTGATTCCAGAAAAAGAAATAAATATCTTGCAATATGTCTTTTTTCAGGATTTATGAAGCCTTAGGCCCCTTAATGAGCCGTTTTTCTTTCAGTACTTGTAAAATTTGCAATTATTAAAGGCAAAAAAAAAAAAGACTATTGAGAGATTTTTCTCCTTGCTCCATATTTAGGAAGTCTTCAAGTTCGTTCCAGCTAATTTTCAATACCAAGTTCAACCGGAGGCTAAAAACGTTCACTTTGTGAAAAAAAAAAGTTATAATTTCAAACATGAGCAACACTGATAAACCTTCTGAAGAGTCTTGGTTGGAAAACCGAGCAGGAGCCGTTTGCTTACGACGGCGATCTGCGCTTTTGTTCTCTTTTGGCGGAAGTTCAATGTTCAGTTGCTTGTCCACCTGAAAATAATGAACTTACTGTAACTTTCAGGAATCAAAAAAAACTACATCGCTCTTAAAATAAACCGAAACATAATCTTTGTAATCCGCTAAAAAGGTGCTAGTCGGATTCAAGATTTAGGAAGAAACCTTATGAGAGGAAATCAACGGCCGTCACATTTTTTTTTTCCCGGGAGTGAAAAGAGAATGAAATTTGGGCTTTTTGCTTTCTCAATTGAGGATTACCTTTTTTCTTACGAAAAAAATTTATATATAACTTCGTTTTCTTTTGAAAGATAAATGTCGTACCGTGGGATCAGGCACTGGAATGTCACCTTCTTTCTTCTCGCCACCTTCGAAGTGAGCCGAACAGATGCGTAGCTGAAAAAGTCATAATTTTTGATTTTAAATATTACCCCAACTCCTTCTTGGTCCCATTTCATCAACTCAATTTCATTTTCCTATGCGAAACGCGGTGTTGGTCGAGAGAGTAAAACGGCGCAAAGGTAATTTCCGCAAAAAGGAGCCGCGTGCAGATGCGAAAAGCCCATCGGCATATTATTGAAAAGCGGAAGCAGTGACAAAGCAACCCAGTAAATGACTTCCAAGCATTGACACCACAAACGGAAGTGATAGAAGCGGAGGTGATCCGCTGGATTTTTGCCCATTTTTAGCGGATTACACGAGATAAAACTGATAAACTTGCGGTTTTTGTTATTTCACTAGGAAGCATATCACTAGAGGTTTTGCTTCCGAGTGAAATTTTCATAACAAGTTTGAACTTCAAAGCGGATCAAAAGCTGGTTTCTTGTACAATCGTCTCTTTCATTACTGGTTCAAAAAGAGTAAAGCTCATTTAATAAACTTACAGTCTACTCTATGAGCGGTATAGGATACTTGGAAGTTTTTCGAAAGTGTTTTTGGTGATAATTTTTTAAAATTGTGAATAAAAAAACTTATTTCTAGCTTTAAATGAAGCAAATTTTGAAAATTGAACTCGAATTCGGTCAAAAAATGATTAGTTTTTCAATTTATAAACCAGCGAAAAATCAAGTAGCATTCTCGAAAAATGCTAACATTACTAGAAAGAGCCTGTAGCTTTTACCGTAATTTTGATACTTCAACCTGATTTCTAATCACGTAGATTTACGCTTTTTGAGTTATGTTCTTTCAGAAATAGCAGAAAAAAAGAGTATTGAAGAAGACGATTGTACAATTAAACCAAAAACTATAACGTGAACTCTCAAAATACCTGCGAGACAACAGTCTCTTCAGTACGGCCGATGGCCGAAAGCCACCGTTGCCGTAACACCTGCGGCCGTTTTGGAATACGGTAGAAGTGGCGATTGTCCTCCTGACCACGATATCTCGATCGAAACTTGCAGTTTGGAAAGCCGCACGTCGTGGGCATGACCCGCCGACCAAAATCAAAGCCTGCACATTTGCGGTAAGCAACACAGTAAGCAATACATAAGCAAAAGACAACAAAAGCGAAGCCAAATAAGCGAATTTGAAACATAATTTGTGTCGATGAAGTTGGTTTGAACTATTTCCATCAAGTCAGAACTAACCTTTCATTTGATACACAAGAGACACTGTGCAACTTTTGATTAGGTCAAAATTTTTTTACACGATTAATTGAAAATTAACCAAAAGCGTTTGAATAATCAAGTTTATGTGCTTCCAAAAATACTTGTCGAAAAACCTTCAAACTCCATTTAAGGTCAAGATTGAAGTTGAAATATTCATAACAAGAGATCGTTTTATTTTTGTTATTTTTTTGTGATTTCTTCAATGGATTGTGTAGTGAAATTGAAATTCAGAATTTTAATTTTTCGACTCCGAATTACAACCTTCTAATAATTTGAGCGAACTCCTGTGTATCAATTTAATTTCAATAAAGTTTTTTTATGGGCAACCCATGGCATGCATAATGAGTTTAATGACTTTTTTTATCAAGCCAAAAGCGCAAAAAAAGCCTGTTTGAGCAAAGCATAAATATTTCAAACACGGAAAAAAATAAAGAAAAAAAATAAAGAACAAAAAAAAGCATTAAAGGTTGGTCTGTTAAAAACGAAGGTTAGTGGTATCCAATGAAACAGGAAATCAAGGTTTTTGATAATGGGAAAAAATTGGTAATACTGAAAAAGCAGCTGCTTCATAGATGTTTTACGGGAATAATTGGGTTGGAGAAATGGAAAATCTTGAGATAACAGATTCTCTGGTCGTAGTGGGAATGAGAGGCAGCTGCATTTTAAGGTGGATTGCTGGAAGAAACACTATTTTCAAGTCTTCAAATAATATATTTGAAGCTTTACACACACGGTGAAACGTTGGTTAGCAAAAATCAAACAGATAGTCAAAGTAAAAAATTCTTGCAAACTATCCCTGATGAATTCAGGATGACCTATTAAACTTCCCAATCTGGAAAAAAGGCTTGTCAAAAATAAGTCTTGACAAAAAGTTTTGTAAGAAAAAACTTGTGAGAATTTCGATGGGATTGGTATGCGGTAGTTTTATTAGATAATACTGAGCCCTATTATGCATTGAAAAAAAAAATAGAGAATATCGTTCAAAAGCCGCGGGAAATCCGCGCACACCACTAGAAGCTTATACGCCCGTTAGGACGAACTCGTGTAGTTTTAGGAGGTCTCGTCACGGATTTCTCAGCAGGAATTATTCGACAACAACTTTTCTGAGGTACCTCATTTGTCACGTTATTCAGTGATTTAGGAAGTCCAAAAAGAAGAGCTGCAGTTGGAAGGAATGCGTCAGGACTAGCTGCCTTGCAAAGGGCACTTCCAGACTTGCTTTAACCAATTATAGAGAAACCAACGCGCCTCTGCAGAGTCAGTGGGATCAGAAATACTCTGGGAGGGCAGGTGGAATGGCTAGCAGCGTGGCAGTTCGCCTGCGGCTGCAGACGATTCCGCTCTAATCAAATAATTATGCTTTAATTGTTGGTCTGGCCGGGATATCTTTCCGAAGTTTGAGCCACACGGCTTTTGCTAAATGTCTATAGAGCTCAAAAATGAACTTTTGATTCTAAACGGAATCGAGTCCAACTTTCCAGTCAAAAAATTTGATAAAGCACTTAAAAAATTAATTGCTCACAAGGAAGGTCGTCATACTTTGCGGTTGGGAATTTCCAAAAAATTGGCTTGAACGATGTAATAAAAAAAATTCTGAAAGCCCTGAACTACACAATTTCCTATTTTTAGAAATAAAGGTACAAAGCCCCAAACTGGCCTATTTTGGAGTTTTCCTCGAATTCGATGTGTTCTTCCTCAAAAACTAAGAATTTGTGCAGGTTAAAACTCTCAGGATTTCCTTTTAGTACCTTAAGAAGTATCCAGGACGATTTTCCCAGCACAGCAGAAAAATCCCAGCCGCAAAGTTAAAAAATGACCTTTCTTGACAGCAGATTCGAAAAATCCTTTATTTCAGTTTTTCCGCCGAAAAGCATCACTCCTAAATTTTTAATGCGAAAAAAAGTGAAGTTTTTCAGAGTTCGTATTTTGCTGATTTGAGACGTTATACATTGAAGCTAGCTACAAAAAAATTTTTAGCGTTTTTTGATAGTTTTTTACTTAAGCTAACGATTCCTGAAGTGAACCAGAATGGTTAAAGAAATTTATTGAAAGACGTTTCCTAAAAAAATTAGATGATGAACTATATTTTGGTTCCTTTTTTGGATTCGGTCACTTGAGATTGAAAAAAAGGCACTATTCAATGAAAATCGAGACCAATATACATCAAACACACAACGGAAGAGCTCGGACTCTTATCAGAAGAGATGTGAACGAAACCAATGCGAGTCACTGGGAAACACTTGGCATCTCCTTTCGTTTTCAATAAGGGCTTACTCTCAACAAAAGACCGCAAAAAAGGGGAATCACCTCCCTCGCTAACACAAATGAATGGATTAGCCATTGAACTAATCCGTTGCCGCCGCCTCGGCTGGCAGACAAGTTGCTTTTGGGTAAAACGGTATATCAAATCTATTCACTTCTATGTAAAAGTATCAAAAAAGAGAGACGGAAGTATCAAAAGGGCAAGTTTTCTCAAGTCTTCAATAACTATTCCGCTTTTAAATCCACATGAAGATGACGGAAATAAATCTAAGAAGTTAGAAAACGAAATTTTTCAAGGGTAACTCTGGTTGAAATTCAAAAAGCACACCAGAAAAGGACGCTAATGGAAGCTCAACATGTCTGAGAAGAGTAAGACACGGTTAACAAGCCCATTGAAGCGCCAAGCCATTGGTTTCTTCAGGTTGGTAGAGACTCCATGCCTCACCGGCAGCTAATGAGATACGGGTAATTCAACAAAAGCTTATCTTTCCAGAGCGCGGGGACGCCAACCGGCCGCCTTTTGGATCGACCTAATCTTTCTGAGCATCTCATTGACTCCTGGCGCTTTTCATTTGCTTGTTATACTGAGCTAATGATGAAAGAAAATGTTCCCAATTATGAATTTCTGTCAAAATGCGCTTTTGAATCAAAGTTGAAGACTTGAAGACTTTGGTTTTTTTTTCTTGGCTTCCGCTTTTTTTTCCTGGGTTGTCGGACTTCAACCAACTAAAATATAAATCGGCTTACCTTCGATGCATTCCATCACAACGGTGCACTATTGAAAGGCTTTTCATCAGGAAAGACATACCAAGAGCGTGCGGCTTAGTCCTTGGACTAAAGCCTATGGAAGTGTTTTGCTTATTCCATAATGCCGAGTTATTCAAAGTATTCTTTTATTCGTGAAACAGTTGGAGAAATCACGTAGCATCAAACGAGTAAAATCAGGAAAAAATTAAATCATTCTCAATATCTTCCTACAACGTTTTGAGCTTCAAATGTATTGAATTTAGTTTAATTTAGAGGGGGGAACATTCTTGGAGTCTTTATTTCTTAAAATTCCTTGAAGAATTCATAAAAATTATAAACAAGAAGACTCAAAAAATAATATAGTCCACTGCTGACGTAAAGACCGTACTTGAAGCTTCTTCAAAATTGATGAACCACAGAACTTGGACCTAGAACCATTCTCAAGAGCCCCAAGCCAAAGAGGCAATGGATGGAGTCGTACGGACACGACACTAAGCGGATTCCTCTTGAAACCCAATTTCGGAGTTGGCGCGCGGACCCTGCCAAAAGGATCACAACTCTTTGACATTCGGCGGTGAAAGGAAGCTCAGGCCAGCATAGGCACGAGTAATCACATCTTGGCAGGCCAGTCTAGATGCGATCACTCCGCCGGCATGGCACAGCGAGGTCTCAAAACCACTCAGAAGCGTTCACTCTAAGAAAAAGCATTTCACTGAGATTCGTATGGTCCTCAAAATGTCAGCATATTTTCGAACTAATTTTTCGGAGGAATTTGCTAGAATTTGCTTTTGAAGATAATCAACCGGGTGTTGTTTTCCCTTTATTGGTATACTTTGATCAGGAAAGGTCAAATTTTTGTAGTCAGCAAAAGTTTTCAATTCAAATCGGCATCGTTGAAGACCAACAAATAGTTTTTGAATTGGATTCATATGACGAAGTCAAAAAGAACAATTTCCGGAAATGAGCAAAAGTCATGAAAAAAATCTGAAAAAAAGAAGCTAAAAATCAAATTCGCTCTCCTAGTTTTGAAAATACACAAATGATGTATCGATCAGTTATCGTTAGAATTATTAGCTTAAAGTTTGCACTTTCGTCTTTTTTTCTCCTGGGTGAATAATTATGTTTTTTTTAGTGGAAAAAAGATTTGAAAGGTGCCAATCATTTCAGAAAATGCTACTGAAGGTAGCGTCATTTGAAACTAGTCTCTGAGGTTTTGCTACAATGAGACTATTGCAGGGTTAATGGAAATCAATCTTCATCTTATGGGTTTTAGAAAGAGGAAGTTTTTGAAGGTTAATAAAGATTTTGCAACAAAAATTTCCTCAGCTTCTAATATTACGGCATCAAAACCGGAACAAGAGTTAGGTTATAGGGAGCTTTGAAGCCTGAGGACCAGAAGAGCAGAAGCTGCAAAGGAGGACGAGTGACACCATACCCACTTGGAACAAGTTGGCAAGAGGCGGAGCTCCTGGGGTTAACTGCTCTTCAGGAGACAAGCCGCCTCGAGCGTGTCCGCCTATTAGACGATAATGGCGGCAAAATCTTGGCGCATCAGCTCCTCCCCTGGCCGTTTACCCCGTCTCTTCTTCCTTTAACCAACCGGAGCCAGCCGCTATCGGATGCTCCGCCGCCAATTATCTGTACAAGGCGGCCGATTGCCTAACGAAACCACTTGAAGTCGCCAACGAGCGTCCTCATTCTTCTCGGGTCTTTTCTAACATTGGTACTGGAATTCATTGAAGTCTGAAAAACTAGGAAATTTTCATAATGGGGTGCTTGGAGGTCATCAACTTTTTGAAAAGTCTCAAATAACACAATATTTAGACTTTATATAAACTTTGGTTTAAAAAACTGTTTCGTTGTAGCCGCTGAAGAGATTAAAATTATGAAGTTGAGCTTCCTGGAACCCCAAAAAGGGTTTTGAACTTATATACCTATATCTTTAGGAAAGTACCAATATTTTTTGCTATTGCTATTGGAATCGGGTCAGAGTCAATGAGGTTTTTTTGAACTTGACTTACTAGGAGCTGCATGAAAAAAATTTACAAAAAAAGACCTGTCAAAAGTTCAGATGTATTTTTTTAAACTTCTGAAACTGAGCCGAATTTTTCGATTTTTGCCTCTATCCCATTATTACAATCAGATCTCTGAGTTGGAATTTTTTTAAAACCACCGAAAGACGTTTCTGAATTCATCTTTTTTTCGAACCTGATTGAAAAAAACTTTGCCCCCCCACAAAGTAAAATGTCATGATTTTTTTCCATTAACAGCTCTAGGACCACGAATCTCCTCTTTATATACCACTTAGTTTGAATTTATGAGCTCTGCATTAGAAGAGTGCCCGGACCAGACATGCCACTTTCTCATACGTACAATTAGGGTGAGTCGCCTGGGGGTGTCATGCAAAAATGTTCTCCACACTGGATCCAGCCAGAAGCGAGCATTCCCACAGAACCAACTTTTTCCGAGAACAATCTTCTCAGTTGGACGTCATTGAAAACGCGACATTAACGAAACACTACAAAAGAAATGGAGCTACCATCTAAAATTTTTCTAGCGGAGTAGAAATTTTTCGGGACAAAGATACATCGGAGATATCATTGAATTTCCAGTCCAAAACGAAAAATTATAGAAATCATCAACATTCAACTTGACTTTCTTTGAGGATTTTTATTTTGAAATTCCATATAAAGTGACCAGAACAGTTTTTTTAGCAGGAAAATAATTGAAATCATGCAAAAAGGGCTGGAGAACCCGTCTTGAAATGAAAAAGGTGAGAACTAAACTGTTAGAAAAAAACATAATATTTAAAACTTTTATACATTTTTTTTGAAAAATTTGATCCAATTGGTCAATCTTCATAGCAGACAGTTGATATTTCCTGCCAAAATATAGCGTTATTAAAAAAATGATGCTTGATAAGATTCTTATAACTTTTCTGCTCTGAGAAATGGTCGAGAAAAATAGGGAGTTTCAAATCTTCGAAGTATTCATTCTGTCATTTGCACTTGGTAAAAAAAGCCTAAAAAAACTCTAAAGGAAATTTTTGTGAACTTTAAGATTCAATATGTTTCCTCAAATTTTTGAAGATCCTTAGAAAAAATTCAGGAAATCTTTTGTGAATAAGAAGTGCGATTCGGGGAAGAGAAAACAAGCTGTTGATGATTTTCTCGACACCCAAGAACTTCTAAAAAATTTCTAACATAATACCGATCAGATGAAAGCAGAGTAGGAAACTCATTAAACAATCAAGAATCTTTCTCAGCGAGAAACAAAAAGGAAGTGGAAATTTTATTGCTCAGGCGTAGGTTAGAGTCCAAATGACGTAAAAATGCACGAAGTGAGCTGAGTACTTTATGAGAAACTAACTACAAACTTGGTTCAGCGCAGGATAATGAAAAATTCATTGAAAAAGCATTAAAAAAATTAATTAAAACAGCATTTCTTTTTAAATTTTTGAAATTTTTGACCTTAACTCTTTACTGAATAAATTATTGGAGAAGTTTTTTTCAAGTTTTTTTGAAAGGAGACCATGGTATCACTACACAAATTTTTTCGATTACTGTCCTTTTGAACAAAAGCCAGAAGTCCAAATTTGAGCAAAAAGACCTTCACAGGAATATAGAAGAGAAAAATTGAGGAGAAAATTAAAAATAAAATATGTTATTAATTGTGGAGCAAGGCGTAAATGGAGTTGACGGACGGATAGGCCTGCAGAGGAGGCGTCTCAGGACGAAGCTCATTAGCCACGGGCCACCAACCAGCCGGCTGCCCAAGTGACAAGTTACTGTGAAATTGGAGTGGAAGGAGCGCGAAATGAGCCAACCAGTTGAGGCATCCTACTCCAGTTCTCATCTCTGAGCATCAAATAATCAGAGGAACTTTGAAGAAGCCTTTGTAAAGCTAGGATCGAAGCTGTTGGAGTGGTTTGCGAGGTACGAGAGAGAATTTGAAAAATCTAACCGAGACTTCATCAAATTGTTCAAGTTGTTGGTTCTTAAGAAGACCAATAAGGCTGATTTTCAGATAAGAAGAATTTCCGCCAACATAAATACTGAGAAAAACTTTTTTGACAGCTGCGCGATATTATAAAAAGACTAGGTCTTCTTTCTTAGGCTGGAATTGACTGAAAATTTAATCGGAAAAATCATATTTCAATAAAATCTCTAATGCTTTCAAGATAAGAAAGTATTCTACTTATTATTTTTTTTTTAACTTGTCGATACATTACTCGATTGAGTGAGCTACTATTGCAATTTTTGCCTTGATATGTACTATTTTCAAAAAGCAGTGAAATAAAATTGTAGTAGGAGGGAGGAAAAATCAAAGAAGCGTACTGAGTACCAGGTCCGAGCTTCCAGATGGAAACGCCTCCGGGTACTGCCAATTAGGCTCGCCTCGCGGCTACGGTGTCAGATAGAGGAGCACGAGGAGGACCCTTCACTTTTGACATTACCTCGGCTCATCTATTATGCCGGCATCTTATTCCAGTAGCGGAAACTGGATTCCTTATTATCCCATACGGATTCTCACCCAAAACGAGAATCTCATTCATTAGGATACTCAATTCCAAATCATAGATGAAAATAAACAAGTTTAATAGTTGTTAAAAATCAAAAAAATAACTATAATAGTTTCCAGTTTCACTCACAGCAACAAACTAAACTTAGATTGTGCAAAAAATGACGCGTGAAAAAAGAAATTTGAGTGAATCTTCTCAGAAGTAGGACATTTATAAATTTTCTCTTCTATCATTAGTCGGGATGCTTGCGCCGATATTGCAGGTTTCGAAAAAGCTGTGATCCAAAAAGGCAAATAATAGGTTGGAATGGCGTAACCTCTGTGTTGTGATCTCATGTGGCGTACTTTTGAAATGAGTAGGTTCACCAGCGTTATCGGAATTCACGTTACGAGGCATGGGAAAGTGGAGTTTTAGACTTCAGGAATCTCTTTTTTGTCTACCAAGAGAAAGATATCGACAAAACCTTAAAAGTCGCAAAAAAAGGGAAATAATCATCATAAATGGGAAAAAAGTAGGAGATATAGTAACTTCCAGCAAGAAGACTACTGTGACCTTTTTTGATACGTGGGTATGCAAGAAAATCAATCATAAATTCATTTGAAATCACTTCAAGCAATGAAAAAAGGAAAAATAGCAGAAAAGGTTGACCAAAATTCATCTTTTTTCGGATTTTGACGCGGAATTTTTAAAGAAAACCTTCGAAACGCTTCGAAAAAAATTGATGAAAGAATAAAATAATTATTGAATTTTGATAAAGCGTGCAAAGTGTTGCTATCAGCGGAGGCGGTGGCCTGGCAGAGTGCACCTTTTGCTGCCGGATACCCGAGCTGCTCCTCCCAAGTCTTCCAGCCGCTTACCAGCAATTTTCACTTAACGCTCTGTCCTCAATCCTGGTCAAAGGTCGTTTGGCGCATCTTGAGATTAAAATTATAACTATTTAAATTTTTAAAACTCTAAATTTGGTTTTTTTGTTGCTCGAGTTATTCAATCCACTGAATGTCAGATTAAAATTTTGAATTTTGGGGAGAAATAAAGAAATGTGCGTGAAAACGATAACCGGAGAAAGTACGAAAAAAGTGGAAAACCAATGGCCTTTACTGTGGCAGCAGTGGAAGATTTACAATTGCGGGCCCGTTGTCTTGATTTCCTGAGGCCGACGGTTGTAAATATCCGACACGGTACGACTCCTAACTCCTTATCATTTTTTCTCATTCTAGAACTATAAAAGAACCAGCTCAGAGCCCTAGTTATCCATTTTTCTTTTTCATAAGATCCAATCACGAAAGTTCGAGAAGTTATCGAAAAATAAATTAAAGAGAGAATTCATCTCAAGTTACGGTGAATGTTTCAATCTTTGAAAAACAAAGCCAGCATGAGACCAGAAAAAGAAGGCCCTTCTGCCAGAAGCAATACGAAAGTATTAGCAGCCCCAGATTATAATGCCACGATTTAACATACAGACAAGGGTTTCACTCTTCGAAAATTATGAATTTCTTTTTCGGATTTTTTTGGAGGGATTCCTCTCAAATCTTTGGTATCAAATGGATGCAGATTTTATGTTGACATTTGGAAAAGAACTTCCATACTCTACATTTCGGTTGGTCAGCTAACCAAGACGTTCAGCTCTTGCAATATTAGCCTATTTTATTTGAAAAATTCGAAAGTACTCGAAAATTGACGTCTATAGATAGAAGATTTCCACGACTCTTCAAAAAATGTTTTATAACAAGTTGGGCCACATTTTCTGGAAAAGTTTCCAGATCTCAAAATCACACCTCTACATGAATAGAACACCTTCTTCCGGAGAATCTTGGATCCTTGAATCTATAGGTGTATACCATTGGACTCCGGCTCTCCGGTTTCATTCACAAGACTTCGTGACGCGCCTGCCGCTGGTGTATGATTACCAGAGGCTCGTGGTGCACCTTTTCGCATCCCGCACACCACAATCGTTTGTCACCTATCACAATATTTCATCATGTTCATGTCAAGGGCAAAAAGATGCGGTTTCATTCGAGCTGCCAGCTCGCCGTCCTTTCTGTTGTGTTTAGGATAATCGGAGAAGTTTCAGGGAGGAACCGAAAAAACGGCTGTAACTCTAAATAATCCCTTTTTTTGAAATGCTTCCCTCAATCTGAATATTTTCGAGTCAAGGGTCATTAATTGCTTTTTTCAAACTTTTTGTATCGAACTCTGAAAATTTGTGACAGTGAGAAAAAGAGAAAAAAGGGTAGGAGCCTCCACTTCAGGAAAAAAAATGACTTTTTAGAAACATACGCTAAGAAACATCTATTCAGTGCTTCAGACCATAAACAAAATCCAAATAAGGTGAAATTGTAGGCTGTTCAGAATAAAAAGCTGCAAGACTTACCGATGGGTATTTTAATTCACACAAAACTTTTACTAGGTTAGCTGGAAGCTTCGAACTCTAAAGCTACGCAATCAATTAAGAAAAGTGATTGCTGTGAACTTCCGTGATTGTCGTGCAAAAGCTGTTCAGAAATATGAAACAACACGTGTCCGATCTTATTCTGAGCCTAGTCAAGAATAGAAAGTTGAGATTCTGAAAGCAGTAAAAAAAAAAGAAGCGCCAAGCTGAACCATCTAAGAATGGTTTGAAATATCCACTACCCCGTTTCGCAATGAAATAAAAGATATTTTTTCGAACAACACATTTATTTTCCGTACAAAAAGACTTCTCATTTTTTCAAACTCTAGGGGAAGAACGAATCCAAATTGCGTACCGGGCAGAAGTTCTTCCTTCGGGCCGCACCAATGGGCTTTTCGGTGGAAGCTGTGGTGGTCTCTTCGTTTGCCGGCTCGCTCCCGTCAATTGGAGTTGGATGCGACTTTTTCTACATGAAACTTGGGATAAGACGATTAAGAATTTTTAAATCAAAGTCATCAAGGAGGTATTTTATTGACGTATCTAACTTTCGAAAAGCTTTGGCGGCTTCTCATGCACAACACTCCTCAAAGTTGTAGTTTTAGGGAAAAGACTCTTTGTAGTTCTTCACACAAACTCGCTGAGGAAAAAATTAGAAGATCTTCCCTTAGTAATCTAGAGAGAGAGCCTTTGCAGAACTTTCAAAAATAAAATTCAAAAATTGGAAAAAACCTTTTCTCTTTCTATCAACTTTCCAAAAATCTTCACTTCGTTATTGTTTCTAGTCCCTCCAAACTGATTCATTATTTTACAAAAAGAATGATGGAAAAAAAACTTTTCGAGTGTTTTGAATAACGAATGTGCCGATTGAGATTATTGCCGGCGCCAAGCTGAGTCATGTGAGAATGGTATAAACTACCCGCTATCTCGTTTCGCAATCGAATGAAATTTTTCGTTAAAGCAGATTATCCTGCCTATTTTTAAACGGAATAATGAAATTAAACTGCCTACCGGATAGAAGTTCTTCCTACGGGCCGCACCAATAGGTTCCTTCTTTTCGGTAGATCCGGTAGTGGTTTTTCCGTTTGCCGGCTCGTTCCGCTCAGAGGTCGGAAGATATTTTTTCTAAATAAATTGCATAATTGATGAATTGGAGTACTTAGAAATTATATCCGCAGGGAAAAGAATGAGAGCTGCGTACCGGGGAGAAATTCTTCCTTCGCGCCGCACCGAGGAGCTTCTTTTCCTCGTTAAACCCTGCAGTAGATCGTTCTTCCTGCGAAGTTGGCTTCTTGCCGGATTCAAAGGTCGGCTGCTGCTCAGATTCTCCAGAAAATAATGGCTTGTGATAATCTTTGAGGATCGACGGTTTTCCGCGTCCTTCAGTAGACGATCGCTTCGCAACTTCCTTCTCAGTTCTTTTTCGAGACTTTTCTTGAAAATGATGCTGGTCTATGGACTGTAGAATGATAAAACCTGTCTTCCGAGGTTTCTCGAATTCTGACTTTTTTCCGAGCTGCTGTGTAGTTGATGTTGACCGGATCAACCAAGGACTATAACGCGATGATTTCTGAGCCTTCTTCTGGAGAGTTGCTCGCTTGATAACGCCTTTTCTGACCGCGTGAAGAGCCGCTCCGAAGAACCGATGCTGAGGGCAAGAGCTAGAAATCAATGATTTACTTGAAATAAAACAAGCAAAAAAGGCAAAACATGAACAAAAAGTTACAAACCAGAAGGAAATCTTGGTACAACCTCGACAAGACATTATTCAAGTTGACAGTTGGACAGAGCGAATAATGAAGCTTGGATAATATTATGACTGATAGTCTTATGACTTTCGACAGCCAAAAGATGAATAATTTTTTTTCCGGCGAGTGGGTGGCGCCAAAGAGAACAAAAACAAAGCGACATCCTCGCGATCTCGTAGAAAAAACGGTTTTTGCATATCGGAAAGAGGAGCAAAACGATCATTATGAGTCAACGTTCAATGCGGGATGGTTATTTTTAGCTCTTTACTTTGACAAAAAGATTTTTCTTAGCCAACGCTTCGAGAATAAAACTTTTGGCCAGGATTCGAATAAGAAATTTTTTTTGAACGGCGAGAAATATAAAATATTTGCTTGATCCTGTGTGTCAATAAATAAAACTGTTTCATACTCACTGGTTGTAAAATTCCCTTTCACAGCTGGAAATAAATGACGACAAATACTTAATTTTTGACTCACAATATCTGATTTCGGAACCGATTTAACAAGAGACGATAACTTTCTTGAAAAATTTAATGGTATGTTTTTCTGGAACTAAAAAAATTTTTAGAATATTGAGGGCTTTATATTTCAATTTTTAATGAGAAAATAATTAGCTGAAAGTGATCGTTTTCTATTGGTAAGCGTACAAAGAGAGAAACCTTTTCAAAATCAATATTATTGGATAAATGAAAATTTCGACGAGATATTATTTTGCTTTAAAATGATACATTCTGAACTTGAGCGCTTTTTATAAATCCACATCATTTTTTTCACCAATAGCTCGGAAAAAAATTCAACCTGTTTGTCACAAAAAGTAGAACACTAAAAAATCTGGAACTATAAAAAAGAAAATGACCTTTCATAGAGTTTTTATTGAAAAAAATTTGGTAGCAGATTTTTTCGCCTCAATCAGTCTGTTTTAGTGAAATTACCGGAAACAAAAGATACAAGATTTGGAAAATGAGAAAAACCGGCCTTTTTGGGTGACCATTGGAAGTAGTGAGCTTTGCATTTTAGAAATCTGGATTCATTAGCAATAAAAGATGTTTATGACTGCTCTGCAGATAATATTTAAATACAGTTTGAAGACCAAGAGAAGAAATAGGCAAAACTACACTTCAGTATTGACCCTGTTAAACTGAATATATCATTTAAGTAAGTATTAGAAGAGTTAGCCATCAAAGGGAATCGTTAACATGTTTTACGTGTAGACCTAACACTATGTATTAGAATTACTTCATAAATTAATATGTTATAAGTATAATAAGTTTCTTGCAGTAGGAGAATTTAATTTTTTTGCAAAGAACAAAAAAACGAGTCGAAAAGAAGCTTTTTTTGATAGTAGCTCAGTTATGTTTAAAAATAACTTTTATATGTTGCAAGTCTACTGTCAGGACTATGTAAAAGAATTGAAAAAAATTGTGATAAATCAATCAAATGAATCGAAAAAAATTAACTGAGTAAAAATTTTTTTGTTAGAAAAAAAGTAAAAGAGGTAACAATACATCGCAAAAACAAGATGGTGAAAAAAAGCACAAACTTTTGACACCAGACCGTAGTTTCCAAAAAAAGAGAAATCAAATAAAAAGAAGAGAAACATAAATTGGATCAGAGTATTAAGACTGTAAAGAAATTGGTATGAATGAGCGTAAAAAAAAAAATGGAATTTTCAGTTTCAAGACAACAAACTTATAATGAACATTTGAAGAAATATTTTAAAGCTTCTAAAATGAATTAACTGTATGAAAAGAGTCTAGTTTTTTTTCGAAGTAGTGTTCTTGAAAGAGTCACGTGCGGAAAAATTCAGACTAAACAACAAGGAAGCTCAAAATCAAGTTGATAGTAAAAAAGAACCGAAAAAAAAAGAAAGCGAGAACTTGAAGTTTGAACAACGCAAAGCACGCCAAAATCGGACAAAAGAAAGTGACCAGCTAAGATTACAGCATACATAGTTAGAGAAAGATAATGAAAAAAAAGTGAAGAGAAAATGGAGAGTGGGATCCGACGCGGAAAAGGGACAGACAGTGGGTTCTTGGAGCGAACAGCGAAAGTGTTGCGCGTACGTCTTTTCACTTTCGAGTTTTCCCCAACGCTCATTGCAAACCGCTCTACGGGTGGCTTCGACAGGAAAGGAGGCGCGCGAAAAATGGCCCTGGCGTCTGGCGATCTGCCAGATCTACCTTCTTCCTCTTTCCAGACACGAATCTACCGAGTGGATTCGTTCCCACGGTCGTCCCCTTCCTTTCTTATTCTTCTTCCTTTTTTCAGAGGTTATTAGAAGAAAATTTCGATTATTCGTCTTTCCGGAGTAGACTCGAATAAGCTTGATTCTAGCAAAGGTCTCCTATTTTCAGAAGAGTTAGAAGGCTTCCGACGGTGATTCGAATAACCAAGAACTCTGAGTCATGGCAGAAAATGAGAAAAAAAAATTAAAAGCATTCTTGTATGCAATTATACTCAACTAGAATGGAAAATATCCGAAAATCGGCAACTTTTTTTTCTCATATTTGTCTTTTTACAGTATACTTGGTGTGCTCCGACTTGAAATATTGGGGTCGCAATGAGAATGGCTTGTCATGGATCGAATTGGACTCGAAGCCTAGTTGACGCTTTTTACGTATTTCAACCATTCCAAATGCGGTCATGTTCTAGACTCGTCGAATCAAGCACAAAATCGAGTACTTACAGGGAAAAAAAGCAGCGGAAATTAATTCAAGCGCAGACAGGGTTATTTTGAAGCATCATGAGTAGTTCCGCCCAATGATGGGAAATGTGCCATGAATCTTCAAACGGAGGTAAATCAAAAAAAATTGAAGTCTGAAGATCTATAATTTTGGGCAAAATAGATAGAAACCTTGATCTGTGAACATTATAGAACGAGAGAATAATGGCTAGACCTTCTGTATGTAGTTTGGAGCTACTTGAGTTTTTAAAAAAAGCAAAAAAAGGTCGTGTTGATGAAGGTTCTTCTCAAGAAAATAACCGAATTTTTTTGACGCTACTTTGGATTTTCTTGATAGAAAAAAACTCGAATACAGATAAATATTCAAGCTAACCACTTTTTTTGAGTATTTCGCGAAAGATGGGTAGGAACGAGGTAAAGGTATTCGATGATTTTTAGAATGAAAATATTCTAATTTAGGATCTACAACGACAAAAAAAAATTAGAACACCCAAAAACGAAGTTTCAGAGTGAAACGTGCGCAAACTCGGAAAAGAGGTATAAGGATTACGAAGCAATAAAAATTCGAGCGCGACAATTTGGAAAAGAGGCGGAGCAGCAGCTGGAGGAAGCGGCGGCATAAGGACATGACCCATGACTTTGACGACCTCATGTTTGCGCAGCGCAACACATTGTCAAGTAATCGACACATGCGCACCCACATGGTTATTCATCCGGTTTTGAATATTTCCTGAAGTTTATCTGTTGCTAATAATTCAATAATTATTAAACTTTTTAGAATTTTTTTAATTGAAGAAAAGGGCATTTTTGGAAAATAAATAGAAAAAGGTATTTTAGTTTTTTTCTCTACTCTTGAACTACTATCGAAAATTTATTTCAAAAAAACAGACTGGAATGTTGAAAAAAAAATTTTTGAGTTGGACCCCTTCAAATATCATCATCATCTCAGAAAAAAATTTGTAGAAACATCTAAATAATTTTTTTCTCTAACAAGTTATTATTCAAAAATTAATGCAATTAATAACGGCGAGTCCGACAATAAATAACTGTGGCCTTAAATTCTTTTTGTAAAGCTTTATTAAAAAAATTATGATCATAACTTTGAGCGATAATTTTTTTCCAGATGTTTTTACTTTATGAGGAGCTACTTTTTTTGGTTTTTTTAAAAATTTCCTCCAAAATTTCACCTTTTTTTCCAGCATTTTTCAAATATTCAAGTGTGTCTCCAAATGACTTGCAAAAAAATTTAAATAGGCTACCTTGGTCAACCGTCTTATGAGTATTTCTCACTTCGTTATAATATTTTTTCTGTTTTTTTGATCACCTTACAATAGACCAAAAGGATGAAATTGTTCGAATTAATAAAACGTAAATTTTGAAGAAAGGTTATGTTAGTGAAATGGTTTTGGGTTTTTGTCGAACTGCGAGACTAGAGGATACCAGGAAAAAAAATGCTTGGTTCAAGTACTGTCGATTTGGCGAATGGGGAATATGAAAAATAAAAAACCATTGGAAAGCGATAAGAAAACAGTACTGTTGAACACTTTGCGCGCCTCGGTAATCAATGTAAACACGTGTCTGAATTTTGTCTTGTGCAACCACTAAATGGCTTGGTTTTTGATAATTGATAAGAAGCCGTTTCGCGTTTTAGCTTTACCTTTGTGATCATGAAGCCAGAGATAATTTTTGACAGTTACCGACAAGAATTTTACGACTTTTTCCGATCTCCAAACTCATTTCAAAGGTTCCTCGAACTAAGAAATTTGACTTATCCACTATCTTATCCAAGTTTGATCAACTGAGAAAAATCCAGAAGAGAGAAAGCAAAAAAGACAATATCCAACAAAATGAGAAAAATGAGGGAATTTTACCACCGAACCCAGAGATTTTCAAACCGCAAAACTTTTATGTGCAAACATTTTTTCTGCCTCTTTATTTACTTTGCAATGCGAGAAAACAATGTTTGTGATGGCTTAAAAAAAGAAAAATCACCTATATATTAGTGAAGATTTGAGGTAATTTCAAAGTTCAACGCGATTGGGAAAAGAAGTTTTTTCAAGTCTCGTTAGAGGCATGTGAAAAAAATATTTTGACTTGATTGAACTGAATGAAGAAGAGTATTGAAGTTTCTGCTCTTGGCTAGGAATGACAGGAACAGCAGTTATAAACCCAGAAGTGCATATATTGATGCATTACTGTTGAGATTAGTTTAATGAAAACGAGATTGAAAACGAAGAAGCACATAAAACAATTCAATTTCTACTTTTTGAAAAATTCACGTTAAATGAGACGAATGTGAAATGTGGGATAGGTTTATTCGAACTGAGTCGTGGCGATTTCTTCGCCTTCAGAGTCCCTTTTTCCCGGTCGGATGGCGTTCATGTTCAAAACTCCCGGATCATAAGGAGCTCCAAAGCCTTCGTTCACCTAGAAGTTCTCCGTGAGTCTTTACAGACCTTTTTTACTCACATATTGAGTGTGAGGATCGATGCCAACATCAATTTGCGTTGTGCGGATATGGAACGGGAAGTTTTGGTTTTTATCTGTCGGTCGAGAAAGCCACTGAAAACATGTATTGAAAAAATTGATGTTATTTAAATAATCATGAGAGCGTTATTATTTACAGGTTTCTCAAAAGATTTGATTTCAGGCAATGAACAAATGGCAATAGTCACGTAGAGCTGTTTACTTTCCAGATCCACAAACGGAATGAATTTTTGATGAAAAAGTATAATTTTTCTTTTTTTGTACATAATTTTCTGGATATCTCATGAAGTATTTTTGAATTGCCAGAGAGTCAGAAAAAAAGTTTTTTTATTGCATTTTGAACCCTTAGTTCATGAGATCTATATTAAATAAAGATTTAAAAAGGACCTAGAAAAATTTTTTTAGAGGTAATTCTTTGATTCTACAAAATAATCATTGAGTTCATCGAAAAGGGCTTGTTTTAAAAAAATATCCAAACTGAGTGAAGTTTTTTTCCGAGATTAAGAGTCCCTGATATATTTTCGATATATCAAAATAAATTCCCAAAAAAATGGACGATGCGCTTACCAAGAAAACTATGTAACCATAGAGAACAACACAATTATCGACGATGTTGACCACTTCAGCTCGAACCCAACTGTTCAAAAGATGCGTCGCGATGAGTGACACAACAGGAGCTGCCCAAAACCTTAAAAGGAACGTTCAAAACCGTAAAACTTTGGATAAGCCCACCACGGCGTCATGAAAAAGGTGAATCTCGTGAAAAATCCGCGTTTGGCCGGGGAAGCTTCTCTTGAAGTGAAGGTTCCAATGCAAAAGAATACCCATGCCACAACTTTCCAAACAGCTAAAAGGATTCCGGGCAGCGATTCTGATTGGTAAATGACATCAGCCGGATCGAAAAACTAAAAAAAAAGTGTTTTGAAAGGTTAACGTTTCCTTCTCTTACCCTAATTTCCCAGAACAGCATAGATAAGAATGATATGACGAAAAATATTATCATTACTGTTAGAAATACCTTGTCAGCCTAAAAATGGGATTCAGAAGGTTTTTTTTCCATTTTTTCACCGTTGTCAATCGCATCTTTGTCACATTGAGTCCCCTGGCCAGAACCATGCACATATAAACGAACAGCATCTGCGCGAGACCTCTGAATTTTACAGTTGAATGATATTCAACAAGTATCCTTCACCTTATAAACTGGCCTAGACCTTTGACGAGAGGTAAGCCCACACCATCCAAGGAATATATCGAATAACTGATGACGATGAAAATGAGACCAGTTAGATCGAGAATGATAGACTGGGAACACATTCGGAAAGTATTGTGATAAAGTCGTCGTGCAGCGAGTTTCACTGAAGTTACTTCTTTTTTGTATTTTACATGAGAAGATACTAGTTATTACTGAATAACAAACCTCCAATAAAGCAAGTGGCTATCATTAGAAGTGCATCAAAAATCAAGAAAACGGTGTCTGTCGGCAAAATTACTATAATAAGTATTCTCAAGAAAAGGTCAAAAATGCAGATCTTACGCCACTCGTCACTCGAGAACTGATAGTGCAAAACGTCGTCTGGTAATCCGTTTGTCATGTAAAGCGTGTACTGAGTGTAAATCCCCAGTGTTTCGTTACTATAATCCTCGAGAACTTCTCCTTCAGAGTCGCAACTCGCGAGAGCCAAAAACCACCAACGACTTCGAGCAGATCTGTTGATAGCCGTTATAACTCACAAATTAGAAAATGTTGAATATAAACGTACTTTGTATGGAACAACATTTTGAAAATAGAAAGCAGAAACTCCCCAAAATTTGCTGGTGCATGCACTTCTACCTCACTAAAAATAACAAAAGTTCCTCTGTATTCAAATTGAACGATCATTATTTTGATCAACTTTATGAATATTATTCAGACCTCAAAGCTTCTAACAGGAAATGATTTTTTTCCGCAATGCCAAGCTTATAATTTTCCTAAGCCTCCAATTGGAACTAGAAATCCTGGTCATTTCCGTAGGGACTCCATCTTGCACTTTTCTCTCTAGAAAAGGGCTTGAACCCTTTTTCTCTTGGATTCCAATTTTCTAAATGTTTCCAATCCATCTAAAGCGATTAATTGTTAGAATCACAAGGCTCACAAACCTGAAGGTTCGCGTTCCGACACAATGAACCCAAGACTGAGAAAGTTTGTCTTCGACAATCTGACATCTTCCTTGTCCAGTTTTATCCAAAGAAAAAGGGGATAAACGAATCTAGAAAACATTAGAATTTTTTTGAAATCGAATAATTTCTCACAATCTGATGGTTTTCTTCATGATCTTCCAGTAGTTCCACACGTTCACGGCAAGTCTAAAAGGAGTAATAACTGAATCTTTCCAAAAAAAGTTAATTAGAATGATTTTCGATCTTTGTCATCCAGCCGATCAAGAAACAGCCAATCTTTCAGACAGACAATGAAGGCTGGTTAATTAACAGTATTCCGGCCTAGTCTGGCATTTCAAAATTGAGGGAAACAAGGCTTAATTAACTCGTTGATTCCAACCGTAACCAAAGCGGCAGATGACTCACTGATAATTGTTTGTAAGCCTTTGGCCACTGGTCTTCGGTGTCAAAGTAGAGAAGCAGCATTTGCGGCGGATAGTACTGCAGTTTTTTTTCGTTCAAAAACCAAGATCGAAGTTTCGACCTACCGTAGGATATTTGAAAGAGTATTCCAAAACACCACTTTCCGATTGAAAACAAAAGCGATCAAGATAGACGAAATCCTAAACCTTGTTATTTAATCGAGGAAACTGGGGCTTTTAATTGTAGGTTTTGGGTGAGGTTGAATGTTATTCCAACTGACCGGAACTGAATTTTTTCTATCAACTTGATGGATTTCTGAAACTTGGTCTATCGATACCTCTCTCAGTAAGATTAATAATTTCATTTTACAAAAACGGAATCTTCGCGGTTTTTTTTGATTATTCCACTGAAGTGTCTGACTGCCGTTCTCAAGAAAAAGAAATCTGTGCAGGTTGCAATTATCAAAAAAGTTTTCAAATGAGAAATGACCCAAATTTCAAATCCCAAAAATTGTGAGATGGGATTTTCTTTCGAAAAAGACATTATTTTCGATAGGCCTCATGGAGAGCTCTAATGAGGATGAATGATATACGGATTACACTCACATAAATCCACCACGCACACTTTTAATCATATCAACTTAACTGCACACATCCGTAAGTAGTGAAAAAAAATAAATCAGCAAAATTGAGGATGAAGTGCTCAACACAGGAAAACATTAAAGCCGGTTTGAAACAGTAAACTGCAGTTTTTCTGCCTTTTCTCCAACCCAAAGTGAGATCAAAGAAGACTGAAGATTCACTGGAAAGGACAATGATGTAGAACGTACCTTTGCTGTGCTAAGGATGCCTTGAGACCTCTTGGAAACGCCGAATCCGACAAGAAACAGCAGAAGAAGAAGTCGTGGCGACATGGCGAAGCAAGTGGCGGCGCCGTGGGGCATAGCGCCGGACTGTGGAGAGCCTGTTGCCATGCAACCGCAGACTTTGTGACACGTCCGCCTCGCTTTGTTGCGCTCATCTTTTCTCAATTAAGACATTCTAATTACTTTGACACCAACAGGTACGAATTTCTCACTCACTGATGAGTTTCCCGTGAGTTTTTACACGGCTGAAAAGGGTAAATGACAATTTTCTTCGAAAAGAAACATCTGAACAGTGTCTACATCTTTTTTTGAGAAAAAAAAATCCAAGAAAAAGTTGACTATTCCTTTTTTTCTCCGAGTAACTAACTCCCAAGGGTGCCTTATGCCTTTGAGAGAATTTTTTCAATTAGGCGCTAGTCTACAAAAACCGAAAAACCGGTATGAGTTGTCATTCAAAGTTCAATCACAAATTTATTTAAAGATTTTGAGTTCAAAACGCACCAGAAAATCAAGAAACTCTATGACTGTTAATTTTTTTCTTTAGTATAAAAAAAATCTCTTTCAGGTTGATTTTTTTCACTAGTTGAAGCTCAAAATAACTACAGAATTGTCACAGCTCAAGCATGGCAGGCATTCCAACTGCTTTCCTAAAACTCAAACTTTTCATTTTTTTGTCAAACGCGGTCAAGAGTGAATAGTGAAGTATTTTTTTATTATTTTTTTCGACAAAGAAAAAAATCTTCAATAGGCAAATCTCTATAAAATTAAATTTTTTTCATGTCAATTTGCTGCTTTTTTTGAACTTAGAATGAAGTTTTTTTGATATCAAATCTTCAATTTTTCAATTAGACTTCCCAGACGAAACTTTTTTTGTCAATAAGGTGCAAATTCGTTCAAAGAACCTTGGTTCAATTCGAGTTTGAAAGCAACCTGCTTCTTTCGCACCTTGCAGAGTTCCGATATCACGAGACTTGTTTGCAGGAAATTAACTTCCGATTTTACAAATCACACCTGGATTCACTACGATAACTTTATTCCGAAAAATAAAACGCAACTGACAATTACCTTTGAAAAATAAAATGATTAGAGCGTTATTATAATACTTGCGTTTGGTTGAGAGAGGCGATAACACTGAGAATGTTGGCGAAAAGCTACTGACTACATGATGAAACAGAATAAAAAAATACCAAATATTGGTAAAATTTAAGGCATTCCATTAACAAGTAATGAAAGGTTTAGGAAGCGGGAAAGTCATCCTTCGGATGGAATTCAGGATGAATGAGGGTTTGATGTTGTAACCCTATGGAAGGCTCAAAAGCGTCGCAAAGTTTGTGAACTTTGGAGGGAAAAGCATCACAAGAGAAGAGTTGGAATTGTGGAAGTGCTTTACAAAAATGGATACGAAAACACTTCGGATGGTATTGAGTGTTGGATCAACAAATATGATAATATTGGAGTTTGGGTAAAAGACATGATATGTCCAGGACCCAAACTCCCTTTCTCTGCAAACAAAAATACAATAAAAAGTCAGGACTGGCCTAGGCGGTTGGAAATTTTTTGGTTATTTAATTTTTTTCACTTTTTTTGAGTTTTTTGGGAGATACAAACAAACACAAAACATTGGAGGATACAAGAAGCGAGGGTGCGGCGGTCATTTCCCAGAGATTCGACGAAGATCTGTTCCACTTTTTGAAGTTCCGGAAGGGTTAAGAAAGTGCGGAACAAAGCCTCTGATCGGACCCTTAGGTGGCTGAAACAGCCTTGAGCGTCGAGAAAATGACCACAGCAAAGCTCGCTGACTTTTTCCTCATAATAAATTCAAAAAGTGCTCGGTACGGAAAAGTGATGTGAACAATGGAAAAGATCCGTGTCAGAAAATCATTAATATGGAGAAAATTTGAGGTAAGGCTACAATCGACAGAATTGTAGAAGAACTGACAGACTATTACAGCTCAAGCGTTGACGTCAAGTTCCTAGAAGAAGGAACTTGAGTGGTTGAACGTCAACGTTGTTTCCAGAGAGGAAGTGCGAAGGGGAGGGACAAATAGGAGACGACGACAAAAAAAGATATTATAAAAATGAGTACACAGAAATTTTGGAAAAAGCAAAAAAAAGCGGTCTAGAAGCGATATGTTGCATCTAAAAGCAAAGAAAAAGAAAAGAACAACGGGTCTCACTGTGCAAGTAAAGCCCGATCCAAAGATGATTAGAATTAAAGGAATTCACAATTTTTTTTTCTTTTGTTGAAATTTCAACAAAATTTTTTGAATCTTTTCATATCACAAGCGTTTTTCACAGCGGTAACACAGAAGAATGCAGAAACGGGTGAAATGGTTTGGGGAAGGCGTTTTTAAAACTCGTAGTCGTCGATTTGAGGCAAGTTCTCACGTGGGATATAATGTTCGCGCAGGATGGTGTTCACGCGCTCGATGTCCATGCGACAACCCTTGCGGAGTTCTTCTTCGAGTTCCTGAAAAACAATCAGTTAATATTTTTGGGGAGAATTTTTTGATCACAAATATAGGAACTTCTAGCTTTCTTTTTTTCATTTTGGAGAAAGATTTTTAGGAGCCTCAAACTATCCAACTTTCCCTCTGAAAAAAAAACTTTCTTTTATTCATTTATTGCAGACTCATCTGCTATGAGCGTTATTAGTGTCATATTTCAAAAAAACTAAAATATTACACTATTCCCCCTTCTAACCCTAATCATCGACTTTGGACTATATTCAAAAACTAACAGTGACATCTGCGTCGAGAGCTCTCTGACGAGCAAGCATGAAAGGCAGAGCCTTCATGTAGTGCGGATGAGTGCAATCCGGAAAGAAGTCGTTCCCGTCTTCCTCCGACTGATAGCCCGACTCGTTGCCCCAGCCGTTCATCCTTGGGAAGAAGCGAATTCCTCGCGACAAAGCCGTGTGCAAGTCTGTAAAAGGATAAGCTCTTCATGGGCAAAATAAAATTGAGAAAAGCTATGAGCTTCCCAGAAGTGTCAAAATCTTTGATTTTTGAAATATGTTCAGCAAAAGTAAGTAGGCATTAACTTTTGTCACTCACACATTTTTCAGGAACGTTCTAAAAATCAGAGCTTAGAAATTAAAAAAAAAATTTCGAGTCCAATGATCTCACGAAAAAGGAACCCCAACTTTTTCTGAATTTCTCTATGTGAGCTCTGTCTTAATCTCCCTATTAACGACTTTTTCCGATTCTTTCGTTACCAATTTTTCAAACGTCTTTTTAGAACTTAATTCGAATTGTGAAAAACTCACTGCGAGGATGAACCCGCTGATTGCCACTGTGTCTGTGACGCCCTGGCATCGCGTTCTCATAGTTCAGAATCGGACGACTTTGTTGAACTAATAATACGATGTTTTTGTTTTCCACATTTGCAGTTTCTCACTTGGTGCTTCGACAACATCTTCGTCTTCCGAATCTGGATCAATTCGAGCGCCCATGTACATTGCGATAAAATCGTTCTCCGGTATGAGAGTGCACGTTTCTTCATCGAAATAGAAAGATGTGCCTGGAAATGAGTTGCGTAATCGCCTCGATTTTTAGCCTTTGAAAGTCATCTGAATAGAGTATTGCCCTTCATTGTACTTCCGGCGCTATTTCCTATCACTATTGTTATGAAAACGCTATGCAAATGTTGTTGGACAAAAAGACGTACAGTCATCACTGATGAGAATGACCAGTTTCCTGGTGGCGTCACTGCGGTTTTCTTTCATCTCGCTCAGCTTCGCGTAGAAGAATCTTGAATAGTACAATTAGCGTGGTCACGCTAGAGGTGAACGTACTGGTAAACTTGCGAGTACGACTCGAGGAGTTCTGCGCTCCTCGGTTCGCTGAGAAGGTCGTACTTCCTGTAAGGTTGACTTGAATGAACTTTTTTAAGATTATCATCGGATATATTTACAACGGAAGGTGAACCAGAAGACAGGGAAAAGTGTACTGGAAACCATCCCGCACATGCGCATTGCTCAATAGTCACATATTCGTACTGAGAAAAGGAATGCACGGGACGGTCTGCAGCGACAGAACGACGCAGGAAGCGTCAGGGGAAGGTACACTTAAAAGTACACAAGAGTTTTTAAGCTTGCAAGTTTGCTTGAAACTTTTTTTCTTCTTAGAAACTCTACTTCACCTCAAGGAGTTTGATCTTTGAAAGTGATAATCATAGCTTGTGGAAATTGCAAACAGAGGTTTCTATAGCTTTGAGTGAAAAAAATTGGTTTGTTGGTCAATTTCAGGAAACTTTTACAACGAAATTCATTTTTTTTTGGAAAAAAGCGTTCGGAAAAGACAGACGGATTTTTCTACATACCTCAGGTCCCTGTAGCTGCCCACGTAAAAGCCGTCGTCTTCCACGCCGAATGGGTAGTTGATCGGCGGCGGCTGCAACGTTTGTGAATGAGTGATTTCAAGTTGACGCTGTCGCGTTTCGAGCGTGAAAGTAACAAAAGGCGAGGTGCGCCGCTCATTTCAAATCTTTCTGGTGGTTTTGAGGAGGACTACTCACCAGCCCACTTTAAATTTTTTGCTCGGTTTCCTTTTTTAATAATAGAGCCCTTCAAAGAGTCTCATCCAAAAACAGGAAGATTTTTTTAGAACTGCACCAAAATACTCTGTGCAAGTTTGAGATACTTCAGTGTAAAAAAGTAAGATCAAGAATTTGAAATTTGCGAGTTTGCGCTCATATTTTTGCGTCTCTAGAAGATCAGGAAGCTCATAAAGAAGGAATGCCTTCGTTGCTAGAGAAGATCAAAGAACTAGTAGAAAATTCTTTATACTGGAGAAAATAAACACTTGAGCATCGCAAGTAAATTTTTTTTTAGACTTGATTGTTTGGACTGTTTGCCTGGAACAACAAAAAGAAAAAATAATAAATTGAAGGATATCGATTTAAATCTTAATATTCTACAACGCGGAAAGAATTTATTCATTATTAAGATAACTCCTTTGAAGTTTTTAAGATGATATAAACCTTGAAAAAAGCTGATGTTGTCATTCTTGATAGCAAGCAAGTAACAAAGAAACTGACGCGGCGCCGTACACAGGAAAAGGCAGAAAACCGCCGTGGGGGAGGAGAGTAGAAGAGAAGAAGAAAATCGAATTTGAGAATTTTCTGCAACACTGGTAATGCGATTGCCGCTTGATACCACCGAGCGCTCACGATGAATCTCATAGATATATGGAAAAGAGCTTCTAAGTACTGGAGCGTGAACTAATTCGAATCCCACTGCAGCGATTCTTATTCAAATGAAGCCAAGGAAAAAAAGTTTTTTTGAATTGAAATGTTTTTTTGGTTGAAGATTGACATTAAAATTTCTTGACTGCTATATTGACTTTTAGTAAAAAAACTATTCGGGGGAGTTAAAAGGAGCGACGTTCTCATGCGGATTTCTATTCCCAAATAACTTCAGAATAAGAAAAATAAAGCCGAAGCCAACATTTTCTAGTGGTATTTCAAAGAAATGTTCATTTCGCTTCTCTGTTTTCAACTAATAATTTTCCTTGTGAAAGTCAGCATTTTTTTACGAGAAAAAATTTTGGAGATTTTTGAATCCGCTGTATTATTTTTTTCATGGTTATAAGTGAAATTTTTCTTTTTATTACATTAACGATTAATCATGAAAATCAGTTACAAAGGTCGATTTTATTCTTTGAAAGTTCATTCATTTTTTAACCAAGACCCAGCTTTAGTTTTTTTCTAATATTAAAAAAAATATTCCTCTTACATTTTTCTCATGAAATTTCAAAAAAAGGCCTCTTATTGCTGAGACTACAGAAATCGAAAATAAGAGAGATGAGTGCCCTCTGAAAGACTGAAAATTGAACTGAACAAATTCAGTTGTGAAGTCGTCAGCCTACTGGAAACGACAGAGCGAAAGGAAACCAAGTGAGAAGCGAACGTGTGTTCGCGCTTACACGCTTCGTCGGCCGTGTTGGAATCCCCCGCCACAAGACAAAGACGATTGGGTCCGCGGTAATCTTTGCTCGTATAATCGCGCTTCGATGGCATCTTTCGTTCCTTTTTGCCGCTAGCACTCGAATTTCATTCACTCAAGTTTTTATCTAACATTTTTCGATGTACTCTGAATCAAAAATTATTGAGAAGCTAAAGTTTAAAAAAAACCTTCTGGTTATATTTTCCAACTTTCTCACTACCTTGCAGCTGAAAAAATTGGTCAAAACTTAATTATTTCGGCGCGCTGAGAATTCGGAAGTTATAATTTCGCTCTGATTGCTGGCTGGGGAGAGGAAAAGCAGCAATCGAGCTGAATTCAACGTTAAACAAACGCGTCGTTATGTTTTTTTCCGACATATAAATAAACTTCCGTGAATAAACATCAAGCTAATTTTCGCGCTTTCAGAAAATCATGAACCTTTTTTCTGTTGGAATATCTTGAAAAAGTTCTCCAAAGCGAAGGATCTATCAAAAAAACGGATTTGTGAGTTTTTGGGGTTAAAAAATAGGAAAAAACGTTTTTCGTTTCAGATCAATGCTAAGGCTAAGTTCATAAACCCAGCAAGATTTTCCGGTCAAGCTCTGATTCAGTTTCATTTTGATTGTTAGCATTGCGGAAAAAAAAGCGACAACGTTTGACATTGTCGAGATTGAAATGATAGCTGCGGGACATCTCATTATGGCACAGGCGGAGCAACAAGCCGCCTCAAGTGGCGTATCTGGTCGGTCGCAAAACGACTGTCAATCTTCAACTTTGATTTCTCCAGAGGTTTCGCCGCAATCGGATAGCGCTCGGCTGCTTCATCATTGTGCACATCAAGACGCATTCAAGCCGGATTGAAGGCAAGAGTCTGCGCTAAAAAACACGAATGACGCACCTTTGCGTTGGTTGAAGGGATTAGCCTCCTTTGGGGCTGCTCGCCTGCCGGAGTTCATCTTTTTTTTCGAATACTGAATTTGGGCTTTTTGAGCTCCGTACATCAACACTCAAGCTCCAATCATTGAAAGTGCAATGTAATCGTGTCACATTAACACTTTTTTTGCTAGGCCTTCTGAGAAGCTTATAACAGCGAGCGAAAAATCGGAATTCGGCAGGAGAAGCCGGAAAAGTTTAACGTGATTATAGAACGCGGAGAACATATTCCAGAAAGATATCACGTGTTGGGAGACGTTGGGGTGCACTTTTGAAGTTCTAACTGAAACAGGAGCATGAGATTGCCGCTTCCAGGGAAGAGAAAAAAGAAACTTTTTTGGGTTTTTCTGTAACAAATATAAAACCAAGCCAGCTTCTATGGGCATTGAGTGACTGAGCTTGCGAAATTGAATTATAAAAGCCGCCATAATACTACTCTCATCTATCGAGTTGAAAATGAATATGGTTTCTTTCGCGTTAAATGTTGTTTTCGACTTTAATTATGGTCGTTTCTCCCTAATCTCGTTTGGAAAAAAAAGCGAAGTTTGCAGCTCGACTTATCTGATTGACAGTTACGTTTGGCATTGAGTTCACACAAACAAACTTCTCCGCAAATAAACATGACTCCAATGAGGAAAGAAAATTTGTAACGATTTTTACACTAATTTGATAAAAACGATGAAACTGCGTTATTACCCTCAAAAAAGAGTTTTCACGTAGTTTTTTGACAGTTTTCTTTTTCTCCACGCTGCGACATAAAAAATCAGTTGCGAGTTCGGATTGCAATTTTCTGAAGGCGCGGAAATGCATTTTATGATGCGTTTCAAAGTCCACATCCAGGAGTTCTCTGAGATTCTCCTTACTCCCTCCCGCTAAAGTTTCGATGAAAACTCACTCTGTTGATGTTACAAGGAGCCGTCCGGATACGGTAAGCGTCGCTGCTCGGGCAGTACTCCACGAACTCGTTGGAAGCGATTCCAATCGGCTCGGATCTGTGGCCGAATTGCGGCACAAATGCGTCTTCCTCTGCTTCTTCTGCGTACTCCACTTCTTCGTCTCCTACTTCTTCCTCTCCGTTCTCCACTCCGATCAACACGTCCAGCTCCTCATTTCTGTCACCCGTTTCCCTGGAATAAATTAATTTTAAAAATGAATCTGAGTCTTCCAGCGGTACGTTCTTCTTATAAAAAAATAAATAACTGAGATTTTTGAAGAATATTCTCAGCAGCTTCTATGGAAGGTTATAGAACTAAACATTTTTTCCGAAAATCTTTGACGCGAGCAGAATCTTTGAACTTTTCTGGTATCTCTGTTTATAATAAACGGCGTTTGTTGATTTGAGAAAATGAAATTCGACGCCAAACGGAGCCCAAGACACCCATTAGACTAAAAATGCACATTTATCAAAGTCGGGGAATCCCCGGCCATGGATCTAACGGACAGACGGTTCGATGGCCGAAAAGTGTCCTAGTCGTTTTCATCGGTGGTAATTAGTTCCATATGGCAGACAGACGGTGATCCTCGCAGGATGCGCCCAGTTTCTCAGTTACGTACGCGGATTTCTGATCGCCAGAACTCAATCAAAACTATGCCTTCGCCTCAATTTTAGGAAGTGTCAGAAATTTTATTGATAAATCTTATTCAATTGAAAAAAATATCAAATAAAGAAGGAACGCGGTTTTTTTTTCAAAAGCAAATCGACTCACTGCTGCTTTTGGCCGGACATCTTCCCGTAATTGTCAAGTGGCCAAGTTATCGCAAAATCTGAAATTTCATTGTTGAAAGGCTTACTTTAAGATAAAAGCAATATCGTAACGGAAAAACGATCGCAAAGTGGCGGTAAACGACATAAAGTGGAAGGATCAACTTCAGATTGAAAATTGAAGGCGTTCACTTTTACAAAGCGTTTTTTTTTTTGAAATGTGAAAAAATGTTAGAAATTAAACATCTCTACATGATGTCCGAGTTGTTTTTTTCCTCCATTTTTTCACTACCGAGAAAAAAAAGGATGAATAGATGACAGCAGAAGGATATAGGAAAGAATGAAAATTTTTAGGAGAAATAAAAAGAAAAAATAGTGAGAGAAGGGTAGTCGAGTAGCGATAAGAGGAAATGAGGATTGGCAAGCTGGCGCGTCACAGACTGAGGAGGAGCACTAGGCGAGCAAAGAGGCAGCAGCAGCTCGGGCATTTTTCATCTTTAGCACTTGGTAACAACGAATCCCCAAGCTTTGCAATAGCTTCGCGTCCATTTTTGCCCAGATAGATCAAAGGAAACCGCTAGATTCGACTGCGAGCACGAAGCTTTGCATCGTTCAAGACACAAGCCTCGAAATGAAATCTGAAGCTTTTTGACTCCAAAAAATCTCATTGGCAAACTTTTGCATTCCATAAATATCCACTTTTCTATTCATTCTTCAAAATCTCTATTCATAGTCAAAATAATTCTTTTTCATCTGGATTCCCGATTGAAAAATAAAATGGATCTGTGTGACAAGCCAATAAAATTGAAAATGGCTCGGGTGGGGTCCACAGCGATTGTAACAACATCCGCATTCATGGGAGACCCACAGCTCTCATTGTATCTGATTTCATAAACAAAATATTTGCAAAGCGCCATGGGAGGCAAAACGAGCCTGAAAGCATGCTGCTGGAAATTGGAGTACGCTGAAAGCCAGACCTTCAGTCTTGGTTTTAATCGTTGTCTGGATTTCTTAATTTCGGTCTCGATGGGGGTTTGAAAGATCAGGAAGCACGGAAGAATTGATTCTGATTGGTGGAGAGAAATTTTAGTTGGTTTTTTAGTTATGGAATCAAACTCTCCTTACTAACTTATGTCTTATTTATTAACTGGTAACTTTCTCACTTCCAGAAAGAGAATCAAATTTATCCAAAACAGAATCGTCCTCGTATGGTAACAAGTATGAGGACATTTTCATAGAGTGTCATCTACTCATCTCTAACGCTTCCTTTAATTTTTTTTTTTCGATTTGAAATTTTCCGAGAGTAGTGAAAATTATTACGGAAAACTATAAACTAATAAAAAAGTTAATAAAAAAAAAATAGGCTTTCCTCACTTCTACTTAACATTTTTGGTTACCAAAATGAATAAACGTTTCAGTTTAGTATTGGAAAGCCTCGTATGAACACGAAGAGAAGACCTGGGAAAATGCGTTAAACGCGGACTGGTGGTGGTGGAGTGCCGAAAGCATGAGTTATGAAGGCATCCTTGGGAGGCGTGCAACTGTGAAAGAAGACTGCTCCGCCCATTTCCCTTTCCGCTCATCCCTAATCTAACAAGATTTGATAAATTAATGAAGGTTAATATCAAAAAACTGCACTTTTGTCCCTAACATCAGAGATGGAAGTTTTGTGTAACCATTGAAACCAGAAAAATCCACTTTTATTGAACCCTGTTCATACTTGAGCCGTGAAAAAAAGAATCTGGAAAAAGTTTGCAAGAAAAGTGTCGAGATCTCCACTTTGAGCCAAACTAATGAAGGCTCGGAGAAGCTCACGCAAGCTCGCATGCAGCGGTACTCCTTGTTTTAAAACAAATTTTCAGAATTTGCCAATTCAAGGCTTTTTTGCTTTTTACACTGTATAGCTATTATTTTTCAAGTTCTGTAGAAATCTAACTTGTAATGAATATATTTCTGCCTCGATTATTGTCAAATTTTTAACACCTCCCTTGTGTGCTCGAAAAAAAAAACGAAGGAATCTGGCGGAGTCAGATGACTCCTGGTACGATTTCATCTCTTATCAGAAATGTCACCGATAAGGATGAACACAAGAGAAAAAAAAGTGTGCATAGACTTTTAGCGCCTTCGAGTCGCCAAAATTCAATAGTTCGTCTCTCTGCAAAAAGTGCGTTACGTTTTATAGACATCAGAATGCTTTATTAGACTCGCTATAGATTTCTTATCATCAGTCATAAAAAAGAGAAGATTAATCGAACCGACCCCACTTTGTGACACGTCGAAAACTTAAACAGTCTGTTCTGTTTCAAAACTTTCCATGCAATTGGATACTCTTTTATTTTTAGCTTTGGAAATCGAAACAGCCAGATTTTAAACAGACTTACTGTAGAGGGAAAAAAAGCTCGGCTTGATAGTTTACACGACTGAAAATTTTGATAAACAGAACGAGGTGAGAGAGAGAGAGGACTTTGCCCCATTTTTTTTTTGCTGAACTTTCTCGATGAGACTAGGAGGAATCAGTGTGAGTAGTTTGAAACCTGGAACCCTTTGACAGTAAATTCTTTACATTTTAAGCGGGCAGGACCTACTCATAAAAGAAACATGTTGAGAAGGCTGTGGCGAGCGTGAGAAGACGTAAAAGACACTAGGAACCGAGAAGTAAAGTAGAGATTCAAGGTGAGCCCCTCTTCCCTTGTTTGGACCGAGGCGAGAAGGAAAGAAGAGGATGGCCACGAACATTACGCACTATTTTCCATACGCGATTCCTTCTCTCAGCCCTGTCCTCCTTGTTCCCAATCGCGTCACTTGCGTCCGTAGATGTCTAATTGCCGCGTTAAATAACGCTTCTCCGATCCTTAAGTGACGGCGTTCCATATTTGACCCTCTAGTTAACAATTTGAGGTCTTACCTGCGTCTTCAAGTTCGAAACCCTATAGTTCTCGAGGTCAAATGTGTGGCTTGTATTTCTTTTAATTGGGCTTTTTACATTTTCAAGTTTATAAAAAAGTCAATCTCATTATTAAAAGCCAATGAAGGTTTGATTTTTCAAGCTACAGTGTAGCTCGATTTCTGATGTCACAAAAACCTCTCTGTGAAAGATTCACCGTAACCCTTCTGAACATCAAAATGGAAATTTATTGTTGTTACTCACTCATTTTTGATGCAGCTAAGCATTATAAATACAGCAGAGGTGACGCGTTTCGGAAATGGAAATGAAGTTGCAAGTCGCAAACAAGATGTCGCTGCACATCTGCTCTTTTTCAACAACAATTTCAAGTCATCAACGAATATTTTTGGCTTTCGAAATTCATCAAAGTTGAGAAAAAATCTTCTTACAGCCTACGCTCTCTTGAGACGATTAAGTCTAATGCGCGCAAGAAAAAGACGACGCCCGATCCGAGGTAAATTCTTCCAAAATAGTGTGTCAAACAGCGTATTAACTCGTTTTTCGCGCTTCTAACCAGTTTTCTCTTCGCTGTTGCTTGAATTTCTTATTAAACTTTGCCGGCAGGCAGAATTTCCTGGGAGGGACTTCCAGACCTACCTGAGAACTTAAACGTTCCATCTCAGACTGAATTTTTTTTTGTAATTGGGAATGCCATTTTGAAGGAGAGGAACTGAAATGTTTTTCGACTAGCCTAAATTTGTTTTTTCAATTTACAGCAGTGAGATAAAAGATAGCAGAAGTAGATAAAATAGCGCTTCAAAGTAAACTAGAATCATAAAACCTATTGTGAAAGTAGTGGTGTCCAGAGGAACCTACTTTTTCTTGGCATTTTTCGAGGTGACATTTTTTTCTCAAAACCTTATCAATTCCATACTGAACAGGGCGACGCTTTGTAACCCACAACCGCGGCAGGCCAAGAATACGAATTTTTAAGTGTTCTTTAACTTATTCAGGCGGCCAGACGCTGCAGTCCTTTCATACTGGAACGCGTCTTTTTTTTCTGGTAGACAACGCCTTCCGCAAAACTTAGCGACGACGTCCCGTGAAGCACTTGACACAATAAACATTCAGCGCCTACGAGCAACGTCGCCAAGGCAATTTTGGTTTTTATGAGAGGCTATCGCGCAGGTTTCCCTATTCAGACGGGTAGGTCCCAGGTGTCAAGAGAAGTCGATCACAGCTCACGCCATAGTGGTGAAGATAGTGTATCAACGACATGTTGGAGCGCAAAAAAATGGCAGCTTCATGTTTGATTTTTTATCTTCAGAACGAAAACACTGTTATGTACATGCGATGTTGGTGCGGCTCGTTTGGACATATTGTAAAAAAAAAATCACACGTTTTACGACGCCTGTCTATGTTTGCCTTCTGGCACTGTGCTCAAAAACTTGAGCAAAATCTTAGGACTTTTCCTGACATAACACGCGAGAAAATTTCGAATGTTTTAAAAGTTTTTTTGTTGAAAGTAGGCCTTGTGATTGATTAAGAAACTACTCCTATTCAAATTTTTTTCATATTTCGTATGCTTTTTTTAAATCATCAAAATTTCTCAGATTTGAAATTAGATTTACCTAGGTGTTCCACAAAAAATTTTTGAGCTTTTTTTTCTGCCGGAGCTGGAAGTTCATCTTTTTGTTCTGGAAAAAAAGTATACATTATTTTTAGTAACTCTGAGACCATAACAGCCGCAAAAAAAGAAGAACTAGGGCTAATTCTCGGTCGGGATGACCGTCTAATTTAGGCCGACGATGACCCGTTGAGATGATTGGCTGTGAAGGTTGATGGGAAACGCGCGGCCCTACTACGAGCTGACGGGAAATGAGATTGAAAGCGAGCCGGATAGTGGTGCTGTTTTCAGTCGTGCACACCAGGTAAGCGACGCTCTTCACTTTGCGCCACACAATGCTCGTGTAACTCGATATTCGTCTCGCTCAACAACAATTTCACTCAAGGTCCCCCGCCACGTCGGTAGAAATGAATGAAATCTATTAACGTCTGTGACCGGTCACCACTGAAACTGTAAATAGCTATTTTCAAAAATCAAAAAAGCTTAATCTAAGTGTGACTTAAAAAAATGACAGTTGACCATTTTTGACCAACAAACTTTCATAATTAAAGAGTTTTTCAGAATTTCGAACGCGAAAATTTTCGTTGAAAACAGTAACCGCGATTAAATTATCATCGACAGCATGCTAAAGGTTATACTTTAAATGTTTTGCTTTAGTTTATTTTGGCCAGCATCTCATCAGAGAATTTTAGATCATTTACGCATCAAATAATTCTAAAAATCGGTACTGCGCTCAGACATCAAAGAACGTCGCATATATTTTTTTTTCCCCCGGAAACAGAAGCTTCCTACAGGTATTAATTGAAAATCGTTCCTCATCACAGGTGATAATAGAAAAAAGGTACGGTAAAGCGGAAAGAGACAGGAAATGAAGAGGAAGAAGAGCTCGCCGAATGTAAATGCCAAAAGCTTAGAGGAAACACCTTGGGAAAAAGATTTGCGGCCGATTTGTGGGCGCGAAAACAAACAGGCATGACACGAATACGGTGTTGACACGGAGACCCTACGAGCAACGAAAGATGATCGTCTGAATTCCCACCCGCTATTGTTTGATTATTTGATTTTCATTAAGTTCTCTGCATACGCGTAGCATCTTAAGAGATTCTTCAACTGTTCCATAATGATTTATTTTCAAATTTTTCTTCAGCCCAATTTTATAAGAAAACCGGATTATTTAGAGTGTGGTTCAAAATCTTCCCGTTTAATTGAATTTGGTTTTTTAGAATAGAGAAATCGGAGGAAGAAGTCAAACGGATGAAACCCGAGCCCCGCGGTGGCTAAACTGACCGAACCAAGAACATCTGTCACTTAATCAACGGCGGCTGCCGTGTTCAAACATAAACGCCAACAAGGCGCTCAAGATCCCAATATTGTGATCAAATATGCACGTACGGACAGATGCAACTAAGAAGTACGGTTTTTCTGGTGTTAGGTGAATTTCGATTAAATAGTTATCAAAAATGTCAGACTCATACTAAAGGATTTCTTTGGCAGTATTAAGCCGATTCCGTTTTTGTTTTTTTCATTTCAAATTAGCCGTTTCAATCATTAGATGAAAGCAAGTTTTTCCAAACGTGAAGTTATACCCCAAGGTCTGTTAAATTTTTTTTCATAACTCATAACTTGGTTAAGCTTGTTATTCGCAAAAAAATTGAAGGCTCGTGTTAATTGAGGAATAAAGATACTTCAAAGACGTCTCACTCTTTTTTTCCTTCTTCAATAATTTTGTTAGTCGGGTGAAGACAATAATAAAATGTTATCCCAAGCCAGAGGTGGATGAAATTCAACTTGCGTGGGGAAAATCTTACTGAACTTGAAAGTTTTTTGAAAATAAGAGAACTTTTTCTGAAATCCTAGGGACACTTATTTTATTTAATTGTTTGAAAAAGTTTCTTAGAAGCACTTGAAGTTTTTTTGAATTCAAGAAAGTCTTTAGAAAGTTTCATAAAACTCTTGACTTGACCCCTAAATGTGATTTTAGTTTCTCTTGCATGTCAAGCCAACTATGGTTACGATATAATGGAAAAAGATAAGCTCGATGCTACGTGGATCCTGTCAAGTCGCTAGATAAAATGTTTATCAGTCTAAAAAAAAAGTTTGGAGAATTCGAGATAATAGAGGGACCCTAAAAAGACGCAAGTTTGACGTCACTCAGACCAAGACTACGGTTATCTGAATGAGACAAAAAAGTCATGATATCGAATCAAGTGAGTCTGGCTGACTACCGTATGCCAAAACAAAGAGTAAACAGCTTGATTGAGCGAGGCGTTTAATGGACCGGCACATATCTAACTAGAAGCGGTCGGATCGACTGCGAACAGTGTGAGGAGGCCTTTGTTCAGCTCCAAAACACGCGCAGCACAACGACAAAACGGCAGCCCAAACTGATCGGCTGGCGTATCAATCTTGGATGCGGCCGTGCCGGCGCCAGCGAGTTGACAGTTTTCCCTCCGCTACGCCTTTTCCTGCCTCTACTGCATCCTCGGCGGTCGAAAACCGGCCATTTTCGGCATAATTGCTCAATGCGCACAATGGGATTACTGTACTGTGTGGAAAATCGACAGTGCATTACGTAGCACGCCATACCGGTACATGATGTACAAGAAAAGTCGTTGGAAAGATCAAAAAAAAACGCCGATCGTCTTTTTTTCCCAATTTCAAGAGCTCTGAAATGGTGGTACTCCTAAGTTGAAGAGTTACTATAAACCGCGCAGAAAAGAGAGAGGGGGACGATTTTTCTTAAGAGGTGCAGAAAAAAGAGCGAGAGTTCAAGGAGTGGCCGCCATTCCAGCTACCAAGGATCCTTCACCTCTTTCTGGAGCAGGTGGCAGGTCAACACGCTTACAATTTCTCTACCACCATTCTAGAATTCCGGTTATAATCTGATCAGATGTGCTTTCTGAGATCTTTGATATACCAAATACGTAGGCTGTTTCTACCGAGTTTAAAAGTGTCGGTGTCTTTTTTCTTTGGTTCAAATTAGGAGAGAATTTATAACTTTTCAACTTTTTTTTGTATTCTAAAAACAAAGTCCTCTTTTTCAAACAGAATATTCATCTTTTAGAGAAAAAAGAAGGTGCGTAGTGTGAAGAAGAAAGGAATTAGGTAAAGTGAGAAGCGCGTGGGGAGAAGCTAACCAGTTTGTTTTCAAGCTACAGCAAAATAAAGAAAAGTGAAAAGTGCACCGAAAAAACTTTAGAACGTCTGAAATGTATGCGTTAAGTTCATATTAACCAACAATTTTTTATAATTCCAAATGTTAGCATGCAGCTCTCCGAGCAGGTGGCTGTCAGAGAGTTCTCATCCATCATATTTTACTACTCACCCTTCATTGTCATATTCGCATAGCTTAATTGAGCTCCCAATTACTCAAATAGTTATTTTCGAAACATTTTCGGAAATCAAAATGATTGAAAAATCTGTTAATCACTTTTGGAAATTCTTGCTCACAAGCAAAGACCATTACAAAGCTCGAAAAATGGTTTCAGCTTTTGTTTCGGTGACTTCAAGATGAAGACTAACAAGGACTACTATACTAAACTATCTAGTTCAAAAATTTGTGCAAAAGGTCATGCTCTTGGAAAAAGCAAGACTCACGGCACCGGCACTTGGGCGGTAGACGACTGGAGTCCCAACTTCGAACTGGAAGTGCCAGATCCAGAAGGTTGTCCAGAAGCTGAAGCTCGTCGGCAGGCGATGACCGTAAATGGAAAGAGAGTCGGCAGCGGAGCCTCCCTTTCTGAGGCCACGCCCCCCGGAGGCGGAGTCTACATTGCCCAAGAACAACACACCTCTTTGACTTTTTGAGAACTGATAAAACTCTGGAAAGCGATAGGAAAGCAATTAACTACGTGAATCATTCTAATCAATTAGTTCTCGGAGAGTATCTTCAATGAAATTTCTTCAATTGTTCAATTAAAACTAAGAAAAAATGTTTGAAAAAAGTGTGAATCATTGTCTTTTGAAAAAAAGAAAGGGCTGATGGGGCAATGACATCTTGTTGAGAGGATTTTCAACAGTAAGGAAATGAATGAAGGTGTCTTTATCTTTAAAAATAAGTATGTAAAAAAATACGTCTCAGGTTTTTGTTGATGGGAGTCGGAATCGAAAGTTTTTTTATTTTTTTATTTAAATGTAAATTCTGCCTTTCTCACACTAATAGTCTTTTCACTGGCTAGTTCTAGGTTATTTTATGTAAACTCAAAACAAAGTCTTGGTTCATTTTCAACTTTCAAGCTTAGGCTTACATTTTTCTCAAAGACTGCAGCAAACACCGAAGAAATATGCCCATACAAATGTTATAAAAAAAGCCGTCGCAAGGTCTCGAAGTTCGTGTTTTTTGTGGAAAACTTCCAAGAAAGTAGGCAAGATTGTATCAACCGGGCGTATTCTTTTGTATCCTAGACCTGAAATTTTTGTATTTGCACGTGACATTTGAGGAATACGCAAAGTTCATCTTGGAAAAGTGTGGCGCGAGACTCAAAATGTACTTCCATCAGATGAACAAAGCGAGAGGAAACGCTCGCTTCCGCTGCCGGGTTTTAAGGGTATTGAAATGAAGAAAACATGACAGAAGCGACGCCAGGAATACTAATAAGATGCGGAAGAACGCCGCGATGAAAATTAGTTTTCAGGTCGTTGGTTCAAACAAAAGAAGCTCGACCACAGGTGTCCGTTGCATTAGCTGCGCAGCGGCTTTTAGGTCAAGCCACACTTTCATTATGCTTTCTATACACGCCACTTCGTTCTCATCTTTCGTCCTTAATTATTTGGGCGGACGCCTCGTAGCAACGCGGCCGCATCGACACGCGAAACTGACGTCTTGCGCTCTGTTTTAGCATATTGTTTTCTTCTTCCAAATGTTTCCCCAAATGGCTTTTCCCAGAAATTTATGACACGATTTGTGTGATATCGATCCGATCGGATTTCTATTTGGGAACATGGTGGAGGAAAATTCATAAAATTCGAGCTTTTCATTCTAGTCTTCATTTTTTTTCGTCATATTGATTTAGGGAATGGCGTATAATTTGTCTCTGAAAAAAAGTTTATTTTAAAGGCTCGAATTCTGAACTTTGGAGTTCGGATATTGTTGTTGATTCTCAAAAAAATCTGGTTTTCAAACATGAGATCCTTCCAAGATCTAACCTGAACAGTTTTTTTGTTTGCTCTGAAGCTTTATTCTTTCGAAAAGTTTGCAAATTCAAACTTTGACCATTTTAATTTTGGTATAAAATATGTTGTAGATTAATTTCGATATAAAATTTTTTAGCGTAAAAAACCGATTCCAAAAACTTGAAAGAACAGTCCCATTTTTTTGCTGGAAACGGAAAAACCTGCAAATACCAGCGGTTTGCATCTGTTGTCGTACCATCGCGTAACCGTGCAGATATCTGTATCCGACAGATTCTTTTCACAAAAACTTTTACATCGCACGTGCATACGTTGGCCTGAATCGAACAACGGTGCCATGTAAAGAAAACGGTTCAGAAAAAGACCCAGATGCGCAAAAGCTGTGCCGCTCACCAGAAAAAAGGTACAGTACGACGTTTGCACGTGCTCCGTCTGTACACCAGTCTGCGGCTTTTTCAATGAGCCACAAAGACGCCGCTTTTCCTTTCATCTGTAAAGAGATTTCATTACTTTTTTTTCTTTCTGCTGAACACGGACTCATCTCTGCTAAACTTTTGCTGGTGGGTTTCACGTAATCTTTTTTGATTCGAACATAAGATTATTTTTCATTGAAAATTATTTGGGAACTGTTTTTGCAAAGCCTCAGCTCTCTTCTAAAAATTCAAAATAATCATTTTGTTAAAAAGTCAGCTATTTGGATTAAGTATCAGGAATAGGAAATGAGAAAGATTCCATCCGAAAAAGATCGTTCAAAAAAATTCACGGGTTTGAGAAAAAATAGAAAATTTGAAGACTTTTCAATTAATTTTACTCTAGTTTTTCGCTTTCAAAACTTTTCCGAAAAATAAAATCAGATCTGATAGAGTCGAGTACGTAAAAAAAACGGATAATGAGAGGTTGTCGGGTTCTCGACCCAAGTACACCTGCACAATTGGTCAAGTTTGGTCAGAACACAATGGCTGGGCCACGGTCAGCGCCGCTATTTGTCGGATGCGCCTTGTTATCTGCTCAGATCTCTTTTTTTTAGTACATATCCACCTTAATTAGACCAATTTCAAAGAAAAACATCTTGTTTTTGAATCTTCTTCTTCCCACGATGTTATTAATCAATAAGCGCTGCACTAAAAACAGTGTCCGTCTTTTATGAAATCAAAAGATTACCTGAAATGGGTTATTTTTTTGCAAGGGTCAATGGAATAAGTTATAAATTTTTCGCTTTTCAATTCAAGTGATGACAGACTTCTCTTCTTGCAGTTATTTTTGCGTCGAGAAGGGTTCAATTCAAATTTCTTGATTTTTTTAGTTGTTATATGATTTGATATTATAAATTTAGAGCCACATAAAGATATTCCTAATAATTAATAAATCCTAAAAAGGTTTGACGGCAAAACGATGGAAATTTGATTTCTTTTTTTACAAAATTATGAACACGAGTGTTGTTAAAACCACAAAAAGTATGTCGCTTTCCAAAAAATCGTTTTGTCGCATTTTTTGTCACAGCTTTCATTTTGGTTGTTTTCCACAAAAAATTCTTGAAAAGCCTTGTCAGGGCATACAGAAAATAACGTTTTTTGCAATTGCGACTGCTTTTGTCTTTGAATGAAATTCAAGCCTCTTCGACTGGTATGAGGCACGGCCAGGCTACCCAGTAGACGGCATAAATAAATGCAGGCTGTTTTGATATCTCAATAAACAGCGCTAGGGCCAGCGGTATGGAAATGAATTCACATTGTTTAGTCAGGCTCGACGCCTTGGTGTGGCTCAAAAATATTTGACGGATGGAAATCCGCCGATCACAGGATCATAGAGTCGGCCGCCACATCCTCTCTCCCTGTGATCGCAACTTTTTATAGAAGTAATTTTGAGAGACGACTAGTTGACTTTTTGAGCGGACACGGCCACAAAAAGGGTATTTGGAGCCATAAAACAAGCGCTTAGTTGTACTGTATAAAGACGATTTGGGCTACAAATATTTCCGCGAATACTCGTTTTTTTTTCAACATTTGTTGCCATAGTCCAAAAGTTTTAGAGACTTCTGGACTTTCTGTTGAAAAAGTAGTCTTTCAAAAAAACTTCGAATAACTTAATGGAAATCTTCAAAACAAGCGGTCGTACAGTAAAGGAAAAAAACACAAGACATATGGATCATCAAAGTAATCTTTTGAAATGAGTCTTTTCTAATGAATGAGTCACTCAGGTTCTTAAGAAACTTCTGATCAAAACTTGTTCTTTTTTTATAATTCGTTGAATAACTTTTTCTCACGGGAACAAAGTAGCTTTCCTCTAGATAATTCACACAGATTGACGTTCGTGTTCACAAGATAAAAAAGTGGAAAAAGTAAGCTTGCAAATTAAAAAAAAAGCCGCGCTGAAAAACGAGCAGAAAATTGAGAAACGGAAGAAAAGAGAAAAAACTTTTTTTAAAGTTAGTTTGACGCTAGTTTTTAATTCCAATTATATATGGCTCAGAAAATCGGACATTCTTTTAGAGATTTTTTTTTCTTTGGAAGTTAACGGGTTCTCAAAAATCGAAGCTCAAATGTACAACTTGAAACAAATGCCGAAAAACGGGTTGTTTTTGAGCCGATGTTTGAAATTATTGGAAGAAATGCAACTGGATGTAAAAAAAAATTGACATCGGAGATCTGAGATCTTCAGAATACAAGTTGGCGTTAGGAATCGCAGTATTATTTCTCCTCGACACCCCACGCGACAATTCAACTCAATTAGTCATGCTCACTGATTCGCTAAATGCGATTTTGGTTTTCCATGCTACAGTAAACCTGTACGCCAAAATGTTTTGTCACAGGTTCATAATTGCTCCGGCGCCGATTATTATGAATAACTGCTACCATACATCGGAAAAGTTTTTGTAGTGGAAAATTGAGAGGTTGAAACCCGCCGTCGCAATAAAAATTTGGCATTCTCAGATGAGAAATCTCCTTGAATATATTCTGTTCGGGAAGTTTTGTTGGACTTTTCGAGAAGACTTTTTTTTTGTCATACAAGATTTTTGCGCGCTTAGACAACTGAACAAAAATTCAAAAGATCGCATATGTGGCCCAAATCTCATTCAGATTGGTCGTTCTCGAAAAATTCTGGTTGTGCAGCCACCGTAACATTAATGAATTATGAAAGAGCAGATTTCGAAAGAAAGCTTACGAAATAGAAGATTTGCAAAGGTGTAGTCACCATGAACACCGCGGCGATAAAAAACGCAGATTGCTAGGGCGTTCGGCGTTGCGAAATCCGAATTCGAAAACAGGAAATTCGCAGTTGCTCTTCATTTGGACTTGGCATAGCAATGGACTCGTCTTACAAATTCGCAGGTGGATGAAAAAATATTTTTTGGAGGCGATGAACGTGGAAGAAACCAACGTAAATTGGAGTTGAGAACAGCGGGACAAGTGGTTTTCGGAGCAAATAAGGGCTTTGGCGGCTGTTTCTTGAACCTCGGCGCCGTTGTTCGCGGGGCAGACAATGGTGCTCAACACGGTGGTTAATCCCCACGTTGCAACAATGAGACAAACCCTATGTCCTGTTTGCCCAAACGTCAAAGCGTTCGAATCGGCTGCTCGCCTGGTTCTTACAGTCACAAAGGCTGTGCCTGGTTTGTGCTGGATCTCAACCTTGACTGAGTTCATCCATCCTCCAAAATCAGACGTTTCCTTTTTCAGAAGGGCCAGACATGTGCCTGGTTTGAGCTGAATCTCAGCCTTGACTGAGTTCATCCATGTTATGAACTATCCATCCTCCAAAATCGGACGTTCCCTTTTTCAGAAGGGCCAGTCATATGCCTGGTTTGTGCTGGATCTCAACCTTGACTGAGTTCATCCATGTTATGAACCATCCATCCTCCAAAATCAGACGTTCCCTTTTTTTCAGAAGGGCCAGTCATATGCCTGGTTTGTGCTGGATCTCAACCTTGACTGAGTTCATCCATGTTATGAACCATCCATCCTCCAAAATCGGACGTTCCCTTTTTCAGAAGGGCCAGTCATATGCCTGGTTTGTGCTGGATCTCAACCTTGACTGAGTTCATCCATGTTATGAACCATCCATCCTCCAAAATCAGACGTTCCCTTTTTCAGAAGGGCCAGTCATATGCCTGGTTTGTGCTGGATCTCAACCTTGACTGAGTTCATCCATGTTATGAACCATCCATCCTCCAAAATCGGACGTTCCCTTTTTCAGAAGGGCCAGTCATATGCCTGGTTTGTGCTGGATCTCAACCTTGACTGAGTTCATCCATGTTATGAACTATCCATCCTCCAAAATCAGACGTTTTCTCTCTCGGAAGGGCCAGACATTCATTATTTTTTTCTCACTAAACGAAAGGGTGGTCCGCCATATTTCAAGAAAGAGCTACTTATCTTGGAACGATCCAAAAACGTTCAGAGGCAATTTGCATCCCCGCACCAGCAATCTCTTATCGCGCCGACGCATCAGAGCCAATTACGGATGGCTAGCGCACTTACATGAAATAAAAACGAAAACCTCAGGGTTCTCAGGGAAATTTTCACTGAGAAGTCGAGAATCGCTTCCAATACAACTTCTTTCGGTAAGTTTCGAAATAGCCTAGTTATACTTTTCACTGGGCATTTTCGAGACATTTGGTTTGACCTTCTTACAACAACTGAAAAAGGAAAAATAAATTTCCTTCATTTTCATACGGACCTTCCAGAATTGAGGAAAAATCATGTATTTATTATGAAAAGATCCAGGCCACAAAGAAGAAAAGATTTTTTTTCACACAGTTTTAAAAAACCGCTCTTGAGGCGTCTGGAGCCGTACACAACAGCCTTTTTTCAACCCCGACTTTGCTGTTTCAAGCTGATCTATTTGCAAAAATCTTTGACGAGCGAAAAAATTTTTTTTTCTCATGAGCCTGAAATCATGCCGGCGGAAATCCTTTCATTCCGAGATCAACGCTTAAGCCAAATTAGTTTTGATGAGCCCCTCCACAATTTCTTTATGCACGGCTAATTTCAAATCCAAGGATAAATACTACGCCTTAAAGAAAATTAATTCGGATCCCTGCGTATGAGTGGAAGGTTCTTTTGCGAAGCGTGAAGGGATCGAATGATGGTGAGTCTGGCTGGTGCGCGGTGTAGCCAAGGAATAATGAGGTGGTGTTGGAGTGTTCAGTCAAGCATCCAGTGCACGCTCCGCATTACACGCCACGCGCACGGCGACGTGGCCAGCCGCCAAGAGGAAACAGTAATTATTGGTAACTCAACAGCCTCCTTGTCGCAAACACTTGAACTCGATTCGTTGTTTTTGGACAGCGATATGGTGGGGAACGATCGAAATTCCAGCTCACCAGGGAACCTTTTTCACCCTCCGGTTGAATTACTGAAACTTTTCTGGAGTGTACTTTAGGATCTCCTGATTGCAGATCAAAAAAAAATTTGCAATAGATCTTGTTTCCTAGTTATGAAGCTTCAAAGTGTGCAAAATACGCAATTTGGCCAAAAAAGCGCTATTTCGAGCTTTTGAAGTGTCATAACTCGAAAACGAGATCTATTGCGAGAAATTTTCTTTCTGTTCTGGAATCATGGGGTCTTAAAATACACTTCAGCAGAGTTTCAGCAAAAAGTTCAACCGAGGGGGGAGGGGGGGTAAAAAAACGTTCCCTAGTCAGCGTCTGTCAAAAAAACTGAAATGAAAAAAAGACTTTATTCCAATTTACTCAGTTTCATGATTAAATGTGTAGTCTAACCGATTTTTTTATTTTTTTAACTTGAGAGATCCTTCGAAAAAAATCTGTTTCAGGCTTGATTTCAAAAAAATGGTAGATCAGACCAACTAATGGTATAACTAAAACCATAAAGAAGCCAACACTATTTTTCACAGAAAACTATCATTCTTTCTTTTTGAACTCACCCTTCCATCGAGAGTCCGATTTCTCGAAATATAAATATAGGAAGAGGGACTACAAAAAGCGCCAAGGCCAACGTAAGAACAAACGTGCCAAAACCGCGGATGGCTGTTTATTTCCAATTGGCTGCTTCTGCTGGATTAGTCTTCATAACGCGCGACTCCGGCAGACAGAATCGCTCAGACTCGCACACAAACTATCGATACATGCATATAAACACATTTGCAGCATTTGTCTACGCCACTAAACTTTTGAAAACCGGGGAGATGCAAAAAAGAGTTTTCGATTTTTTTTCAATAGTCTTATTTAACAACTCAGCCAACCTGGTGAATAATCCTGGGCGAGTTCTCATTTTCTACGAGCGAGGGTGATTGATGCGACTTTAAACTCTTATGGATCTCCCATTGGAAAAACTTAACTTTGGTCAGCTTGAAATTTTCCCTATGAGTTATGAAAGACGATATCGAAAAAATGAAAAATTGAAGTAAAAGTCGGAAAACGGACAAGATGTGAGAGAAGCAATTCGCAAGAATATATCGAGTAGGGCAGGACCCGAGCAATTACACAGCCCGTAAAGAATAAGCAGGCGCCGACGTGCCGCACACTCAAAGTTGCTTTTCTGTCATGTTTATACAATCTACTGAAATGGAAACTTCGTGAATTTGTCATTAACAGACAATCGACCGCCTGGGATCATTGTTCCGTCATAGGACGTTTGTTAAATTTATGGCAAATATTAGGAAGAAGGTGCGAAAATGTCGAGGTCAAAACCTTGCTTGTGTAAGTGAGGCTCGACCCAATAAGCCGTCCAGCTGACCCATCAATACCGTGCAAATAAGGCATCTTGAAGACGTCTAGTTCACCAAAGAACATCTGACATCTCACCAAGGACCGATTCGCCATCTTCTTTCTGAAATTTGAAACAGAAAGCATAACTTCATGGAATGGCATACTCTTCGAAATGAGAAAAACATGAGATAAGAAATTTCAGAAACGGAGAAAGAACTTTAGAGTAGAATGGGCTAGTTCAACCGACGACTGATCAAATTAAACTGAAATGAAGCAAAAGCCGCTGTCCTTAGAAGTCGCCTCATCGCCTTTTATGGTTTGTTTCGCATCGGTTCTTCCAACGACATGTCTAGACTGCGGATCGTGGCGTTTACCCCGAGAAAACAAAAAATATGGTGGTTGCACTAACCTCCAGTTGATAGATAAAAACTACAAGTAACAGAGAAAAATAGTAAAATATACCTTTGAGTTTGTGGAGCCCCAGCTTTCACATGTTTTTCTACTTTGGATGTCAGTTTTGAATTATTTTTTATATTTTATATATTTTTATCGCTACCCTTAGATAATATCAAACAGGGTCAACATAGATATAGCGAGAAAATGTACAAAAATTTGACTTTGTTTGAAGAAAGCTTTCATTTTTCATTTATAACTTCAGTCAGTCTTGTTCTTTTAAATTCTGAATTTTCACGAAATGGTTTGATGAAATGAAGTGCGTGTTTGTCAAAAAGTCATTATCGTTGAAATTTTTGCACGAAGCAACTGGGATAAATTAATTAGGCCAATAAATGACAGACAATTATTCAAAAAACGATCCATTCTTTCGTTTTCAATGGGCAGATGTCTGTTACCCCTTTAATCACCTCTTTCTGACTGAAAAGCTCATCACGATTCCCTTGGCAACTCGCAGGTTGATTAGTTTCCGTTTGTACCCGAATTCGCCGGCGATCAAAGCAGAGAGAGAGAAAGAAAGAATCGCGTGTCAGACTTCATCCTTAGGTTTCTGAAAGTGCAAGGAGGGACTGAATGAACTAATTCACAATACATGTGAAGAGTTCAATGGCGTATGCGTCTAATTAGTCGTGTATTGTACTTTTTTATTCTCCAAAGGACTCCTGCGTATTATGAAATGGATTGGATATATACTGGAAGTGACAGGATCGAAAGTGCAAAACCTACTATTTTGCTGAATTTTTTTTGACCTTCTGAGGTTTTTAAAATCCGCCTTGAAACCGAAATTTCTACTTTTAGAAGAGGAAAAAAAAATCAAAAAGTATCGCATCTAAAACGTTGCTTGCGCAAATCGTATCATGGAAAAAATCTAGAAATATAAAGCCACAAGAAAGAAAGTTGAAAAGTGCACTATTAGAAAATATCCTTGAACGTATATAAAGTGCATGCGTTTATTTTCGGCCTCTTCTGACGGTTTCAAGGTAATTTAGCGGCTGAGGGAGTCGTAAAAACGCAATTAACAGCTGCAGAGAGGATTTCTCTTGAAAACGACGAGGATTCAGAAATCGCAAAGAAGATGTAAAAATAAGATTTTTCAGAGATTGGATGGGAAACCTGTTTCTTTTTCAAAGCAAAAAGTTCGAAAAACTTTGTATAGTTTCAGAGAAAAGGTTAGATTGGCTTCATGAAGAAGAACGGAGCCCTTATCTTGGGTCGAGCCCTTGCTCTCCGCCGATTTTGATTGGCTTTTTTAAACATCGCAAGGACTTGTAAAGTCAATTTGTGATGCCTGACAGAAAAGCGACAGAAAAAATGTCAGAGAGAAAACTAAGGATACAGATTGATTCAAATCAGAACTTTGCTTTTACTCCTCTATAAAAAAACTGTCCCTTCTTCAGCTAAAATTTGAAAAACAATAAACTCAGTATGAAAAAAGAGAGCTCCAAATTTTCAGTTAATTTCAAATTTTCACCAAACTTCCAGAAAAAATTCAGTTGTTTTGCATGAACGAGCGCAGAATTTCAATTTTTGCTGTCTTTTATTCCCCTTTTTTTGGTTTACCTCGTTAAAGGCTATTGGGCATAAATTCTGCTCGTGCATTTCCCAATCCTCGTGTTCAAAAGCGTCTTCCCCATAAAAATTTTATTCTGAAATGGACCATTTCAAAAGCGAACGATGATTGTTTTAGATTGCTTCAAAGGGAAATGGGATCGCTTTTGGAGGAATAGTTTTTTCTGGAAATAGTACGATGTAAGAAGTTTTTTAACAACCTTCCAAGTAGGAAAATGTTTTTTTGAAGGTATAAAATAGACTTTCCAAAAAGCTAGCAACTTGTTAATTTGAGAACACTTCACGGCTGATTTTTTTTTTGAGTTGAGGTTAACTTTGAAATGTATGATAGAGCATATTGTAAGATTTATTATAACTATATAAATTTATGAAAAATTTTTTTCAAACGTTTCTGATTATTCATTTATCAATATTAACTGGAAAGAAGCTTACCGACTAACGCAAAGCGTAAAAAAATATTTTGATAATTTTTCTGTGTGCCTCAGTTTCCGTGAAACTCAAAATATTCCCTCCATAGCTAAAATGAAGATTTACGTCGACTTCCAAAACCAAAGCAATCTGAACAAACTGAGGGATGAGCCCGAGCAAGTCGCAACAATATATTACTGCCACAAATCTTTCTAACGACTAGAGTTCTCTTTAATCTTCCCGTGTTTTGCGACGAGAACGCTCCCAATGGATTTTTGGCGACTGACGAATTTCTTCAATCTACTCATGTCGTTCAAAAAGCCGACAAAGGAAAGAATGTTGTCAAAGTCGAATGGGCTGTGTTTTCGGCAAAGGCTTGGTTTTATTATACTTTATTTGTCGCCATTCGAAACTTCATGATTTTTGGGGAAATTCTCTCAAAATCCTTGATGCGCGGCAGGAAAAAGCAACAATCGAAGCGTGGAATATTTTTCTTTACGTTTTTTCAGACAAAAGTCATTGAAAAAGACTCAAGCTAGGCAAAAAAGACCTCCTTGCTTTATTTTTAATTCAAACGTAACAAAGCGAGAAAGTTGCTTTCCACCTGACCTTCCTAAAAATGTTCGTCAAGTTGATTTATTGATTTTTTCAGCATTCATGGCGCTTTTTCCAACTAAAGACATCATAGTTTAGCAGACCTTCACTATTTTCAATGACTTTGTCTTCTTTTTCATACCTTGAAACAGCATTGTGATGTAAAAATGGAAGAAAAGACTACGGATAAGATCAAATTTACACAAAGCGCCATAAAACTAGTAAGACAATAAGTCAATTGTAATTAATGAGGTTCCTTTGTGGAAGCACGGTTCAAGTTGAAAATGAACGTCTTGATGGGAAGAAGTCGTTGACTAGAAGTGGGTCGTTGACGTGCCAATGGCGATTGTGACGCGAAGCACGTCTGTCGGCAATGGAGATCTGGATGACAGGGCGAAGGTCGCTTATGATTCGTCACAGAGCAATGGGCCACGCCGCACAGGAAAAAGGCAATAAGTAATGAATTATGAACATAAGCGAGGCGGCGCACTGTTCCTTTTATGGGCACATTATCCATATGTCAGCGTTTTGTCTAATTTTCACTTTTCAATCCTTCCAAGGGATTTCAAATTCATTTTCTTTCGAGTTTTTGAAGTCAAAACGGACTGGAAATTGTAAAAATTCATTTAAAGGGTTTTCCTTATTAATGGTTTTTTTTTCTGAATACCATCATGGTAACTTTTGAAAATTGACCTTTTTTTGAGTGGGGCATTGGTATTTTATCCCAGTGAGTCAACATCAAGACCATATGAGAAAAAAATTTAGTGTTTCAGGTCGAAATCGCTTTTTTTTCAAGAGTATTCGATTTCCATAATCTTAACTTTTCTTTAATTTTTTTCATTTTGCGGAACTTGTGACTGGAGAAAACCCAAATAGATCTCAAAAATACCTTTCCAATAATGACATTAATTTTTCTTCCAAAATGAAAACAGAACTTCATCCAAAACTAAGACCAGCTGCCGAAATAGAAAAGATTAAGCTTCTTGGCTTGCGGCTTTATGGGTTTTCAAAGTCCGACTTTTGGAGTACGACACGGCGCCGAGGCTCATTTGTATGATTGACGCTGCAAGAACTACAACCGGACATGTTACCAAACAAAAATACACATTTAAATTTAGGGGGAAGGCAAAGTGGAATATGGAAAGTTTTAACTCAAAGGAATCTTGACAATACTTTCCGAGAATCTTTTTCAGAAAAAGTTTAACCTATGAGTCCACTTTTAGCTGCCTGAAAAAAAGTCTATCACAAACCTAACAGAAGATTTTTTAAAGTGCATAATTGATTGAGTTAGAATCTCTCAGCTGGAAGTACAGTTTCCATCAATTTTCTGATGTTTCCTTTAATTCATAGGGTGGTTCTGTTAATACACTCTACATAAAACGCTTGGTAAATCTCAATGAAAGTAAAATCTCAAAAATATCCTTTTTCGGGTTCAAAAAGTCAAAAATTCGAACTTTTTTGGAGACTCTGTCGGTCTTGAAGTGATGGTTTGCCGGAGCGACTTCAAAAAATGTTGTTTACCTAGCTGTGATATTAAAACTGGACTGAAATTCAGCGCGAAAACTTCAAACCCTTAGAATTTATTGTCGGAAGAAAAATCATCTCTACGAAAATCCGTGTTTTGCCTTTCCTACCAGTAAAAAAACCTCTGAAAAGTACATAAGTCTGGTAAAAAAAAGGCGTTTGACTTTCCGATTATCGTACACAGGCTGCAGATAATTACCATGGCGGCGCATTGAAAAATGCGGAACGGAACGGCAAAATCACTTTGTCGGCGAGGTGGTATTTCACTGCAACGGTAAAACCTCAAAAAGGTCACTCGAGTATTTAATTACCCATCGCCCGGGGACATCTGTCAATTACCCAAGCGACAACGATGTATCTGGTTGTCTCGTGTGTCCGCCGGTGCGCATCTGTGGATTTGTCACAAAAGTTCTACTGAACTTTAGGGAAATACAAAAAATACTGATTTTGAGTGTAGTTACCTTTTTAGCTTTTCAGGGGATGGAATAGGTAATTTGAGCTTAGAAAACGGGATGATTTGAATAAAATTTTGAAAAACGAAGTCCTTTTAGGGTGACAAAAGAAGTTCATTTAAAAGCAAAATCATCTTTTTTTTTGTCCTTTTTTGCCGCTGAGGTGTTCGTGTTCCTCACAAGAAAGGTTATTCCACTTTGCAACTGGGAATATTTCAAAATTTGGCCAGGAAACTCCTTGAGCTACTAGATGGGTATCCTGAAAATCTCAACCTCCACAACTTCCTATTTTTCGAGGAGCCGCAAAATGGCCTATTTTAACGGGTTTTAAAAGTTTTATTCTATTTTTAAAGCGTCCTTTATGACAAAATGAGAAATTTTGCAAGTCGAGATTTTTTTTTGGCTTATCAAGGAATGGTCGGGCCAATTTTAGGAAAGATTCAACCGCAAAGAAAATCACCTTTCTTGTAAGGTTGTTTGATAACAATTTTCTTCGTTCTGAGAAATTTCTGTTATTTATGATATCAACAAAATAAATGAGCTTCTGCCTAAAGTTTTTTTTTCAAGATGAAAGGCCTCATAAACCTTCCTCAGCCATCTTTTTCCTCCTTGCAGTTTTCTTTTTATTGAGATCCCGAATGGCATCAGGTAATTGTAGAGGCTCGGCGCAAGATTAGCCTCGTGTAGACCTCCAAATATTTTGACGCAAGATATTGGACACCAAAAAAAGCCATTTTATTGCAAAGTGAATGGCCGATTAGCAGGTTAATGGCGAATAATCGACGGCGGCAAGGATTTTTCGACGTGATTTGGCCATATTCAGGGGTTCAGCGGATCCCTCTGAAATACTTTTTTTTTTTGGGAAAGTATAATTTGATGGAGCAAAAGATATTTCGTTAAATGAGAAGTGAATTGACCAAATTTTTACCGTTTCTCCAGCAGCGTACTCGATTTTGAGTATGAAGACGTCTCTGCGTAAGAGGTCCCTCCAAGGAACGTCTCCGTGGCTTATTCTCAGCGCAGATCCAGGTTGTCCAGGAATGATGGAGCGATCGGTAGACATAAATGTCACTTTTGTCTGAAGGGTAGCATTTGATTTTTGACTTTATTTACATTTTTTTGTTTCACATGGTTTTGGGATTTTTTACTTCAGAATCGTCTAAAAATTTTTTCAGTAGCTTAGGAAGTATCCAGTTACGGAGTGTTTTGTATCAATTTCTCATGGACTGAGAGGAAAAAACGGAAAAAAAGAAGATCAGACAACGTTTGAGTATACTTTCTGAAGAGGTAAAACCCTCAAAAAATAAATCGGACAGTTTAAAAATCCGAGAAGTTCGATGGTGATAATTACCCAAAGTTTTCATTCTTTTTTTCCATCAAATCTTTTTTTTCGCTGAAATCTAAAAAACCGATGTAACTCAGTACTCCGGATAGGCTCAGGAAAAAAAAAACTCACAGCAGGTGGCTCGTAATTGCAATAATTAGATCGTAAAAACAGCACTGGCGCGGTTTTATGCGTGCGCCGCTGGTAATCACCTACCTGTTTGGTCAATTTCACGCAGTCTAGCTCCAACACATCGAAATTCGTGTTCAACACCCAGGCGTAAATTATGGTTTGTTTCTGCAATTGGGCGTTGTAGAGGCCTTGATGGTGTTTACGGTCACGGTATTTTTGAAGTGTACCTGGAAAAGGGGAATCGAACAAAAAATTCTCACCCAATGCTTTAGGAGCCAAGGTCAGAATATTATTATTTTTTTGATCAAAATTTCGTAAACTAAAAATGTTTTTGAGTTTGGTTGAGACTTTTGGCAATGCTTAAAAAAATGGAATAAATAATTTGAACTTAATTTGATAACTGCTTTTTAGTCTTTTTAACTGTATATGATTTTTTGAAGATCTTGCCTTTTTCATGGGTTAAGTGGAGCTACGATGAAGCTTTATTGATCCTATTCAAAACTGTATTTCGTTGTTTAAACACAGCCCTTATAAATACATATTGATTCAAAAATGGAATTAAGAAGTTTTTGTTCAGCAGATCAATTTTTTTGAAGTTAAAATGAAAATTTGATTTATTTAGGAGTCAGCAAGAGAACTTTTCTCTGATTTTTAAACTTGTACTGTGATCGCCTTTTCTATGAGAGGAATTTCGAAAGTCAACATTAGCCTCAGTTCATTTTTTCACATCAACTAACCAAACGTCTGCTGTAACTGTATCATTTTGATAAATCCAAGGTTTCGTCGCGTACAACGCCTCCGAGTGCACGTCTAGGAATCTTGAAAAACAAAATTAAGTGAGTCACTTTCACACGACCTTACTTTCCCATTTCGCGAAGTCGGTCTTCGAAAATTGGAGGAATTCTTCCGTGCATGTCGGGACCAATGTTCAGAAGAACATTTCCATTGCAAGAAACTGTCCGAGCGATTTGAGAGATCAGTTCGTAGACTGTATGTACATCCTCGGACTGTGAAAAAGAAGAAAAATATGAAAAATTGGCTCCAGGAAACCTTCATGGTTCTTCTGTTTCCCCAGGAGTTTTTATCTAGAGTCATGCAGTTTTCCCATTTTCTGGCAAGAAGCTTTCCTGCAGAGGAAGTTCCAATGAGCCTATTCAGGGAATAGCTTTTTACCTGGGTCATAATGATCGGAATAGGTAAAGAATCCGCCGTGTTTTCCAATAGTTCCAGCTCCCCAGCGATCATTTACCACAACCGATTCTTTCACTGGGCTGAAAAATGCTTTGTCTTGAATCATAAAATTCATAAGGTCTCTAGAAAATCTGACCTGGAGTTGTAAAGCCATGCGAGAAACTCTCTGCTTCTCCAATATTCGTCTGTTTTGTCCCATTCACCGTCACTCCAAACGATTTCGGGTCGATACTTTGAAACGATTTCAAGCATTTGAGGGTATGAAATCAACTGAATACGTGTTTTCACGGATCTGTCGCTGACTAATTGTCGAACCTTGGAATACAAGCTCGTATTGTGGTGGCCGTCTTCAATAAAAAGCGGATTGAACCACTCGAATTGCGAGAAATAAAGCCCGTAGCGAACGTTGGTGGTCTTAAACGCGTCTTTCAGGTCGCCTTGAAACGAGATCAGAATAAATCCTCGGACGAAACCTCACCAACGATATCGCGTTTCGGACCGATATCCAGGGAGTTCCAGTTCCAGGAAGTTCTTGATGGCCACATCGTGAAACCTTCGTGATGTTTACTAGTTAAGACAAAATATCTGAAGTTTTGAGTTGATAATAAGCATTTATTGAGTTCCAACTTTGCTCCAGAAGCCTGTACAGTATCTACAAATTCTTTCGGATCGAAGAGCTCCGCGGTAAACTGAAACAAAACTATTGGAGGGTTGAAAACTTAAGAAAAGTATAACGTCTTTAGCGAAGTCAGCGTAGGTCGTTCCTGGCTTGTAGTTCTTCTCCATGTAGGAAACAACATTCACATCGGGTTGAGTTCCTTTCCAGTACCACCAAAACCATTCAGACCTTCAAATATTTTTTTCTTCTTTCTAAACGTTTTCCAGCCGGTGTTGCACATGAAAAAAATTGAACTTTTCAAACAAAATATTCTTTTTATTTTTTTTGTGATAACTTATTTGGAAAATTACATGATTTCAAATTAACATTGTTTAACTGGTCAATCAAGCAAAACATTTTTCTCAAGAACTCTCTGGAAAAATCAAGGACTGATACGAGAAACTCTTATCTTTTTTTCAAAAGGTTTCTCTTTCCAGATTGCGAAAACACAAACACTGCCTTTAGTGCCCTTGGCCTTCGTCTCCAGATTTTTTCTCTCGAGGAAGACAAATTGGTGAGCAGACGTAGAAAATGGCAGAAACCTGTACGCTGGGACCGAGTACACTCCCCAATGACAGAAGATTCCGAACTTGGCTTCGTCGTACCATTGCGGTATGGGCCGAGCGTCCAAAGAGTCCCAGTCCGCCTGAAAAAAATTTTTGAAGACTTTCAAAAAAATAATGATTTTGTAAGCTGAATTTTTTTTTTCGTTCCATCAGACGATTCCTACTAAAATTTAATGAATTCTCTGAGAGATAAAAAAACCAAAAAAATAAAAAAATTTGGAGATCTCTTATTTCAATACAGCCAGCTCACAATCTTTCAACCGTCATTGGGAAGGAGTTGAATCCGTCGATTGCTCGGATTCCTGATTCTTGGCGTGTTTAAAAGGTGGAAAACACTTTTTGGTTCATGTGAACCAGCTCACTTATTGAAATTTCTAGAAAGCTCAGCAAAAGTTTAGTGAAGCGCTTTGAAATCGAGAAATTTCAAAATATCCAAACTTCGAAAATCAGATTATCGCCGTTTTTTTTTTAAAATTAAAATAGCTTTCAGACTTGTAATTTTTTTGTCAAAATTTACTTCATTCACAAATGAGCTGAAAAACTTACTGGAAAAAAACATTTTTTTATTTTTCATGGAATGAGCAGATTCTCAAATTTTTCCGTCAAATTTTTCCCGTTATGTTGAGTTTTTTTGCATATCAAATGAGCGGGGAAATTCAATGTTTTTAGAACCTTTTATAAATTTTAATTTTTGTTGTTAATCTACCCGGAGCCTCGAAATCCTTTTTTTTCAGCGAAGTGAAACCTTTGTTTAGACTCAAGAATAACATTCCACAGTTTAGTATCAAAACTTTGATACTGAGCAATTAAAAATCAGATGTCATGTTGGTAAAAACTGGCTAATATCACAACGAAATGTCGGTTTAGGTGATTTTAATGACAGTTGATGTTTGAATTTTTCCCAATGGAACCGCTGGATTGTCTCCGAGAAGACATTACAACACCTATACTCAACCATCCCTTGATTGGTAAAAAAAAGAAAAAAAAATGCCGCAGTCTTCTTTTCTCCGAATCTTATCGATAAATATAGCGAAATTCATCAAGAAGTTGACCAAAATGATTCGTGAAAAACGAACGGTGTATTTTGCAGAAACTAGTGTGAGGAAGAGCAGGGAAGGCCAGATGACCGCCATTCGAGCAACAGAACCGAATGATAAGGTGTTGTCGAGATATACACAAGGTCAGCATTATCAGGAGCATTCAAACGACTTGTCAGTAAAGTTTTCAAAACAGACTTGTGACCATTGATCAGAGCTCATGTGTATGGAAAATCAAGGTGCGGAAAGTCGACGACTGGATGATTTGGGAGTCGGAGGACTTTTTGAAGAATACATCCTTGAATAATTTTTTTATTGAATTTTCAGTGGGATAATTTGTTCAAGTTCTATTTGAATTTTTTGAATCTTGTCAGAGCTTTCATTGATCTGATCTTATGTTCAGCATGACGTGCTTGACGAGAAATTCAGACATTCTTCGGAGCTTTCTGGAAAATTATCTAAATTTCCCTGAAAGTATTTGAAAAGTTTCATCCTGCATAGTTTGCATGGTTTAACTTCGGAGGAACTTTCTTTTCAACGGTCTTTGATCGCTTCTCTGACCTTGAGGGGCCTTTTTGAAAAATGAGCAGAGTGCACATTTCCAGGAATTGTTCGTACAGCATACTATAGAAAACTCTGAGCAATTCTCAGAAAGTTTTGATCCATAAAATGATATACTCTTTTATCCACTAAAATTTATAAGCGGTTTTCACTGTCCACCTAGTCAGTCGTACCATGACTAATAATTGATTTAGGGCTCTTTTCTGCTTAAAAAAATTCCCACTCAAGTATGAATTTGAGTTGGGGTGAGTGAATGATTGCTCGGAAATTTTTTTATGCGTACGCACAATTTTTTTAATTTATATTAATAAGGGAACCAGGATTTGAAAGGAATTGTCGACTAGAATCAAATTTTTTGCTCTTCTTCATGTTGGCTACAAACAGCCTTCTTTTATCATTTCATGATGGATTTATCCAGACGCGGAAGTTTGAGTGCCACTGGTCTGTCTGTCGATGTAGAAGAAATTGCGGTGGCCGGGAAAAGAAATGCTATCCACAAAAACTGGCGAAGGTCAAACCAGGAAAGGCGAAACTGTTTGTGTGTAACGTTCCGCTTCCTCCGGGAATGCTACTTAAAGGGTCAGCGAGATGCCATTCGCCATCCTGTTCGTGTCCCGGCAACTTCCAGGTACTTTCTTTCTGTTTCCAACTTATAACTTTTTGTTTCTTTTAACTATATTGAGTAAAAAAATTTCAATGTATTTGGGAGACTCCTGGAAATAAATTTATCTGGATTACTGAATGGTTAACTTACAACAACCCACAGGAGAGGTCTACTAAAAAATATTGAAAATTTTTAAAACTTCGCTCTAAAACTGTTTCAATTTTTTTGACTTCCTTTTTCTCAAATCTTCCTTTTTTGTTGGATAGTGGCTAAATGCAACATTTGAAACCGAGAAGTAGGATTTAGGCTCGTAAATTGTATCTTTGAAAGGGAAGTTTCACCACACGCATTGTTCTGCTGATGTACAAATCACAAGAAAAAAGTTATAAAACTGAGACAGGTGCAATGAAGTTAAAAATTATCCTGAAAGAAGAAGATTTTTGTTTACCTCCATAGAACCTCTGAAAATACTGACTTGTTCTGAAAATATGAACTCCGCATTCATTTTCAAAAATAAAAATCAACTTTCAGGATGTCGGAGAAAAAAATGGAAACAGAAAAGGTGAAGCGTTTCGCCTTCATTGGCATCGCCGTGTCCACCGTTTCCACTCTGACAGCCATCATTGCCGTGCCGATGCTCTGCCTCTATCTGCAATCCGTCCAGTCTTCCCTTCAAGACGAAGTCAACTTCTGTCGGGTTCGCGCCACTTCTCTTCAAGGAGAGCTCACCAAGCTCAACTTGGTTCGAGCTCCAAGAAAGGCTAGAGCTGCCGAAGGAACCTGCTGCTCTTGCGGAGTTGGAGCCAGCGGACCACCTGGACGACCAGGAAAGAATGGACAGCCAGGACATGATGGTGACAACGGAGCGCCAGGAAACCCAGGAGCTGATGCCGACAGTGAGAACCCATCTCCAGATGCGTCTCAGTTCTGCTTTGACTGTCCAACTGCCCCATCTGGACCACCAGGAGGCGCTGGACCTAAAGGACCAAACGGAAATCCTGGACAGCCAGGCCGCGACGGTCAAGCCGGAAGACCTGGACAGCGCGGTCGCCCAGGTAGCAAAGGAGCTGATGGACAGCCAGGAACCAGCGGACCACGTGGACCTCCAGGACCAGCCGGTTCTGCCCGCTCTCTGCCATCTCCAGCTGGAACCCCAGGAGCTCCAGGACAACCTGGACCACAGGGACCTCCAGGAGCCGATGGTCATCCCGGCCGTGATGGACGTCCAGGAAACCCAGGATCTCAAGGACAGAACGGACCAGACGGAGCTCCAGGAAAGCCAGGACGCGACGGACAACCTGGTGCTGCAGGAAAAGACGGCGGCCACGGAGGCTGCGACCACTGCCCACCTCCTCGCACTGCTCCAGGCTATTAAGCCAATCTCTTCGTCTTACAGCCCAACTGCCCTATCTTTCAGGACTTTTCTATTGCTCATTTATATTGCCAATAGGTTTTGTCGCAGTAAAACTTTTCTCGAAACAATGTTTTATTGACATGAAATATGAAAACGAAAAGTTCACAAAGTGAAGATGTTGGAATTGTTCATTGAAGCAAAAAAAATACTCTGTTGTGTAGAAGTATCAGTCAATCTCTGCTGCCGTTTTTCTGGAAAGGCGTGTTGGAATTCGTCGCACTTTATCGTGGAAAAACTCACTTTGCAGTAAAGAACACAAACCAAACCAAGAAGAATATTGCAACGAATAGGAAGATAACGCCGAGAAACAAAAAACCCAGGAAAAAGAATCTGTTTTTAGTTCCCAGCCAAGAAGGGTGTAAGATTTTGAAGAACTTCTCCGTGCCATCGTTAAAAACTGAAAAACAAGCCACTGAACGAGTATAGTTGCAAAAAAAAGTTTCGATACGCCCGGAGGATCTGTCACTGATAGAACTAACTTACAATTGTTCTCAATATAAAGGGTGTATCGACCGGGAGGCAGTCCGTTTTCAAATGCCCCGCTTGGGTCCAAATGCCGGTAAATTTTGTTGAAACTAGAGTACGCCACAGGCCTCATCCATACAATGAAGTCAATGTTTCGATAACCACCCATTTCACAAATATGTTTCGGCCAACTTTCCGGCTTGATTGTGTTTTGAAACTGGAACTTGAACTATGACGACTCCCAAAAGTTGATCACCATAGCGTGGTCACACAGTTTCTTGCTGTTTGAAGTAGGCGATTCCGCGTACATTCTCATTTCTTCTTCAGAAACAATTCCTGCGGTTGTAAAAGGTACTCCTCCAAAACTGCTGTGTTCTAGGTGAAAAGTGTCTGCAACAATCAAAGTTCGTGGAAAAAAACAGCTGATTCTTATCTAAAAATATAATAGTTTATTGCAGCTTGAATTTTGGTTTGATTAAAAAAACACAATAGATTAATTTTTTTATATCGCAATTTTTTTAATTATTTATTTTTCTCCTTCAATGCCAAGAGAAATATTTTTTTCTACGATTATTTTTCCTTGTTTGATTGGAAAAAAATGTTTTTATGTTTTTCAAACGTTTCGTCTTCAAAAAGAAAAAGTTTTTGATTTCTACAGTTTTGCCCAATGCTGAGAGATAATTTAATTTTTTTCGTTTTTTTATTGAATTTTTCGAACTCGGTTTTTTTATTGCGATTTCCATGACAACAATCTATGCTGGTAGCAAAATAAAAAAACTCGAAATTTTTTTGATTTAGCACTTCCATTTTCAAAATTATTGGGATAGTTAGTTTCACTTTATCGAAACTTCTTTGTATGAACTGATTTTTTTCTAGCCTTTTTTTCTTGATCTTATTTTTAACTTATTACGAATTTTTTTGAATTATGCGATCCTTGTTAGATTTGATTAATTTTTCTAAAAGTTGACTAAAAACAAAAGTAGCAAAAAGTACCGTTAAACATCGAAGCTGCAACAGCACCCATTGGCGCAAAATATTTGGTGCATCGAGGGACTGCCGCGCACATCGGAAGCCATTCCGGACAGCTCACGTTGATTGCAGAAGCACAAAAATATTTATTCATGCGGTAACGAAGTCTTGGCTCAAGTTGAATATTTCTCTTTGAAATCCTGAAAGGTTAAATTACCGTTTCACACATGGAACTATCTTCTCCTATGAGTTGTCGATAACACACACTGTGCTGCATTCTTCGATGGTTTCTCGGGAAGTTCTGCAACTTGTAGAAAAAAAGGACTGGCGGCTGAACGACGATTTTTTTTTTCAAAACGTTTTTTGTAACATACTGGTACGTGTGTATCTATCTGAATTTCGATCGAAGCTTGAGGTTTCGAGGAATTATCGTAGCGAATAACGTATTCCACGACTGTAAAGTTTCCTTTTTTTTCCTATTTTGGGACTTCTTACCTTCAGAATTCGCAGCATAGACGAAAGCAGATAATGCGATGAAAGTCAAGGAAAAGAAAAGGGTTGTTGAAATAGAGAACTGTGCATTGGGAACGAAGTCATGACCAGAAAGTTGCTGAGTGAGAATAGAACGCCCTGAAAGCTGAATTACCTGTTAAAAAAATTAAATAGAGCCACCGAAATTCCTAAATCGTTCAGAAACTGCTTCGAAACGTTGCAACAGCATGAATCAGGAAATTTCTGTCGTTTTTCTTTCTGATTCATAATGTTTCCCAAAAGGAACGTGTTTGTTTTCAATGAATTTGGCAATGTTACGATAATATTTAACATCGTCAAAAAATTTTTCATGGTGCGAAGGGTACAGCTTAGATGAAGATTCTGATTACGCAATCATTCGGAAAATTCATCAGGGCAATTTTTTCGAACTGAGACTTTTTATGATGTTGGGCGTTGCTCGGCAAGTTATCCAAACAACACCTGCAACCTAACTTGGTCTTATTTTAGTTCCTTTTCACGCTTTACGCTTTCTTAGCTTTTCGAAGGTTAAACGTCACCGGAATGCTGTCTGTACTAACTCCTCTAACCGTTTTTTTATTTTTTGAGTCTCATCTACCAGTGAAATGCGGTGAGAATTGTGAAAAGTTTAATTGTATTAAAAAAAAATTTTGGAAGTGTTATATCTCTTGAATGAGAAAATAAAAAATAATTGAAATCATATCGAAAATAATGTGAATTAATTTGATGGCTGTAGCAGAAATAAACGACTTCTTTCTACGAAATGATGCAGTGGACATTTTCAGAGACGGCCTATGAAAGTTATATAAACCACCAAAAAAGGCTCGCCAACGATATTTTCCAAAATTACAACAATGACGTTAGCCCCGTTATGTCCGGTAGAAACTTTGTCAATTTTGCAAATTACCTTTTTTTTACACCAGATGAAGACACCTTACCAGAAAGCGCTCGCGCACAAATCGAAAAATTCAATATTTCGACGTTATTGTATTACATAAAGCTGGTAGAAGTGGTGAGTTTCTGAAAATAAATTTTGAGAAAGAGTTTCATTTTTTAGGATCAACCACAGGAGAAAGTTTCTTTCGCTGTTGAACTCGTTACGGTGAGGTTCATGAAATCGTTCTACTAAATAGTGTATTTGAGTTCTGGAAAGAGCCCAGGTTGCGCTGGAACCCCCCGGAGTACGGGAACATCGAGCAACTCTACGTGACAGAGAAGAAAATTTGGACGCCGCCAATTCAACCTTTCGGATCGTAATTCGAAACCTCTTCAACAAAAAGTACAGAGCTTTTTTTTAGGAACAGCTACGAAATTTTTATGAACGGCGACATCCGATTGAATATTGTGAGTAATATGGTCATCCATGAACTTTTTTTTTGGCAGATAAGGTATAACACTGAAGCGTCCGGCTACATTTCCGCGAAAATCGCAACTGTCTGTCCAATGAACGTAGGTTACAGAATTAAGTGTAAATTGGAGCCTTTTGGATCATTGTAAATCTTTGATTTACTTATGAGACCGCTCTGTAACTAAAAAAAAATTCAAAATTAGTTTATAAGTCGACAGTATTTAATCCTTTTCATGATGAAATAATGTTTCTAAGGTCGCCGATTTTCCTTTCGACTCGCAAGTGTGCCAAGTGCGGCTCTGCTCTCCATATTTTGCCATTGAAGAAATACGAATGCTTGCTGAAGTTTATCAAGCAATTCTTGATCCAGACATGATTTCCACAATGGTTTTTTCAAAATTTTTGACAGGGTTGATATTGGAACTAAGGGCAATTCCGAGTGGAGCGTCGTTCGGCTGGGTAGCAAAGTAGAACAACTCAAGTTTTTCGACCATTTCGGCAGCATGGAGCTAGTGAGTCCTCGTCCAATTTTAGTCAAAGTTTCTTTCCAGGTAATTTTTGAGATTGAAATCAAAAGAAATCCAGTTTACTACATCTACATGATACTCATCCCGTCTTTCATAATCAACGCGGTCTCTCTTATTGGCGTATTTCTGAAAGACGCCGATCGTATGTCGAGAGTTTGCGAAGAAAAATTTTATTAAAATAATAAGTTTTTGTTAAGTTAGGCGTCGGGCTCACAAACATCATGACGATGACGTTCATACTAGGAGTGATGGCTGATAAAATTCCGAAAACGCCAAGCGTACCATTATTAGGTTTGCCGAACTCTTTTTTCTGACGAAAATGCTTTCAGGGAACTACATAATGGCTAATTTGGCCATCATGGTGGTTGCAATTTTTACGATGACTGTTTTACAATCAGTGAGAACAGGAATGCAAGGAAGGTTCAAAAAAACGAGGAAGCCACTTTGGTATGGCAATAGAAATGAAATGTTCTCAAGGTAGTAACTTTCAGGGAAAAATTGGAAGGATGGTGTGGAAGCCCTATTGAAGTCATCCTAACGATTATTCTTGAAGTTTTGAATTTCCTCAATTTCTTCGCCATTGTTTCTCGATGGGACTGATTCTAATTAGACGACATGAAACTTGATATTTTTTTCAGTTTTTGTTCGTTAAATTTTCTGACTCCTTCGTTCACGTGATAAAAAACCTCATCTCACCTGTTGCACCCAAAAAAACTAAATTTGAAAAAGGAACTCATCAAGTTGAATGTCACTCGAGGTGTCGTATTGCGGGTTGAAAGCATTATTTTATGCATCAAGCTTCACTTCCACTATATGAGTTCCATTTATTTTGTAATTTTGCTTTCTATCAATTCGATTTCTTTCTCAAGGTCGGATAATGGTGAGTTCAAATTATGAATCAAACTTTCGAAATTTTTAGTGGAAGAATACGAAAGTTTTTTGAGCCATCAAAAAAGGTTGGTGGCTGATGTTTTCAATGGCTATGATGCTTTGGTGACGCCGGTTTACACCAAAGGTTCTTTTACTTTTTTGGAGTTTTGATTTTACTGAAAAATATTTTTTAGTAGATAGCTTGCTACCTCCGGACAGCGTTCCAAACAAGCCAGCCAGATTTAACTTGACTATTTTTCTATTTTACGTCAAGTTAGTAGAAGTGGTAAAAATTAGAACCAAATATCAAAACTATGAAGCTTTTTTTTTCAGGTGGAGCCCCAAGAAAAAGTGTCCGTCGTCACAGAAATTATCTTGGTTTGAATCAAATTGAGTTGATATCGAAACTCTGTGCTTTTAGAAATCTGTCCTCGTAATTTATATTCTGATTTTAGGCTACCTTGTTGAAAACGATTTTTCATTGATTCTGCAACTCCTGATCGAAAAAATAATGAGATCTCAAAAACCTTGTCTAGACTTTTTCAAAACATTGAATAACAGTTTTCAATTTCCGCCTGCCCAATTCAGTATTGGAACGAGCCGAGATTAGCTTGGAACGACTCGGACTATGGCGACATTCAATCTATCTACGTGACTGAGGAGAAGGTTTGGATACCACCTTTGCAGCCTTATGGAACGTGAGTGGCAATTTTTTCAAATTGAAATTGATTATAATATATTTTACAGAAATGGGTATGAACTATTCAGTTCACGAGAAGCACGTTTAATCAATGTATGCGCATAGGAATTTTTCAATTTTTTACAGCATTTTCATCAGGTCAGATATGATTCGCAGGCCTCCGCCTATGTGTCCGCCATCATATCCACAGTGTGTCCAATGAATGTAAGATAATTTTTTCTCAACCTAAATGTAGAAATCAGAATTCAGGTGGCTGACTTTCCTTTCGATGATCAAGTTTGCAAAGTGCGTTTTTGCGTTCCCTATTTCAACATAGGGGAAATTAAACTATTACAAGAAATATACGGGCAAATTATGAATCCTTTCAGCATAGCAACAATGGTGATGTTCTCATCAAATTTTCCAACTTTTTTCTCGGTTTACAGGGAACCTCGGAGTGGTTGATGACTAATCTTATCGGCAAAGTTGACGAATTGAAATACAACGACACGTTTGGAAACATGGAAACAGTAGGATTCTTTTAGATTCATCGGTCTAATATGTTGCAGATTGTATACGAGCTACACATGCAGAGAAATCCCGTCTACTACGTTTACATGATACTGATCCCTTCTTTCATTATCAACGCCGTTTCCATTATTGGCGTGTTTCTGAAGGAAGCGGATCAAATGTCAAAGGTGCTGAATCTTTGAAAAAAGTTGCATTGAGAAATTCAGCTGGGCGTTGGTCTAACGAATATCATGACGATGACTTTCATCCTCGGAGTGATGGCCGACAAAATTCCGAAAACACCAAGTATCCCTCTTTTAGGTGATCAAAAATTCCAGAAACAATATAGAAAAGTTTTCAGGAATCTACATAATCATCAACTTAGCACTGATGATTGTGGCAATTTTTTTGATGTTCTTCTTGAAAATCATAAGAAGACACATTCAAAAACGGATCGAAACAACTAAAAACTTAGTTTGGTATGTAAAAAAAGCATTCAGCTTATAAATTGTGAATTTTAGGCAGAAACTGGGAACATGTTGTGGGAAGCATTTTGAATGGATATCGGTTATTCTCCTGGAGATTTTGAACCTCGTGAACTTTGTGTACATAATTTCTCATTGGAAATGATAATATATAATTTTTTTCATTTCAATTGAATCTCGATTACTTTGATAATCTTTATTAATGAATTCTCGAAAAGTTACTTTTTTTCTTTCTGACTCAAATCGCCGTTTCTTCGACTTCTCGACGTGTTTCCATATAAACCACGGTTGACTCATCTGACGATACATGAAGACGATCCTATAAAATCATTTAACTCCTGCTTGGAGATAAATTTTTTAGCTGTAACTCAATTTTAAAAAAATGCCAAAGCCTTTCTTCCCGTTACGACTTGAAAAAAAGTTTTTCCGATTCCTTTTTTCATCATTTTTTTTAGTTTCTATATTTTTTCTCATTATTGATAACTGTAAAGTAAAAATCCTACTCGTTGGGCGCGTCGAAAGAAGAAGTAAATGCCCATGCCAAAGAGGAAGAGCATGGAGAGTAGGAGGCCGATCGAGAAGACCCACAACGCAGCGCCAAAAAGTATCGGTAGTACAATTATGTCAATGTGTGAAACAAGAATGTGCGGTATCTTACCTTCATTCAAATGACGGAAAATCAGAGGTTTCACCGAATTTCTCATAAAACGATGTTTTACTCAGATTAATCAAGAAATAAGACAAAAAAAGTTTTTTGAAAAGTTCTTTGGAAAAAAATTCTCTGTCGCACATCGCCAGGAAAGAAAAACTTACAGTAAAATATTGGAGCGGTTCGCGAAATTCTCATTCTGCTTCCAGAACATGTGGGTGAGGTTGGCGATATGCTGCGAACGCATTTCGGCAGCTTCCGAGGAGTTATCGCTGTTAAACCGCTTCAGCATCGCAATGACTGACTTTTCCAAAAGGTCGACCTCATGACAATCATTTTCAAGCTTTCGCATTAGTTTAATGGAATATTTAAATTATTGCAATGTTCTTTTCTTCTCTCAATCACGTTTCTCTGACGTAAAAAGAGAATTTTGGATTTTTAGACTTTTTATACTTTGTGCAGAAACTTCGGTGCTATCGATCTCTTTCTAATTAGATGATTGTTTTTTTGATATAAATTATTCCCAAAAAAACAGGAAAAAAATCACTTTGAAAGCGTTCTCAAAAATTCGTGTGCGGAAAATCCTCAAAGTTTGGAAGTTCGAAACTGAAAGCAGTTGTGACTATTTTTTATGAAAATGCAATGTTTTATAGATGATTTCCGCAGCGTTTCCTTCTGCAAAAGCTGTTATAACTCAATTAGCGAAGTTTTTCAAAAAAGAAAACGTGTTCCGCTTCCAGGAACTTTTTTTCAAGAAGAAAGGCATGAACTTCTGTTGCTGATTTTATTATCATTCAAACCTCTATAACTCAAAAATTTATTATGCACTCCTAGGAATTTTTTCAAATTCACGAAACTTCAGGAAAACCAGAAATACAATCAAAAATAGACCAAAAGTAAGTACAGCGTAAGCAATGAAATACACCAGTTTTGGAGTGAATACTATTCCTAGCCACATTTTATTATAAATATATTGGTTGAGTACTGCGTGTGCGTCTTGCCAAAATAAAGGGATTATTACATTTGGCAAACTTGTTGTTTGTCTGAAACAGTTATTATCATTAACTTGATTATGAATGGAGCTCACACTGCCAATGAACTTTTCATGACTGGCATATTGATTTGTATACGATAGTCAACTTGTATGACGGATCCAGTAAACTGAAATAAACATTAACTTCAAAACTCGATCTTTTTTTACTTGTTCATGCTGATAAACCATTGGACGATGCTTTTGTTCACAAGGGGATATACCAGAAACGGACTTCCTCACTTGTTCCGGTGAGTAAAGAAAATGAGGAGCCGAATAAATGACACTGAAAGGAGCAGGCTTCAAATGACCTGAATCGATTATTATTAATCAAGACAGTCTAGAAAATAAACCTGGGTAGCATACCAAAGGGAACATTCCTGGAGGCAGCAGATGAGTTCCATTGACTATGTTCCTGCCACAACAAAATCTGCAGGTTTCCGACTGACATTTCGAGTTGCAGAAGTTCCTGGAAGAACTAATTATAAAGGTTCTTCTGACGATTTACCTTGGGCAGCCTGGCCAGTCGGGGTAATAATCAACTTTCTCCACGTTTTTATACCGAAAACCGGCATTCTTTTCAGAAGTTGTGTCAAAATCTTCATAGGGAACGGAAAATCTGCAAACTATTTGTTTTCAAAAATTCTTCGATTTTGACAGACTCCATTGCAGGAATTCCTTGTATTACGCCCTTGCCGCTGAAAGTTTTGGTGAAAGAACGGCATATGAAAGATTGAAAGAAAGGCAGTTCGTCGGTCTCCTTGAGCTTCGTTTTGCAAAAGCTGGCCGAATCTGAAACAAAAAACTGAAAATTTTCCAGTTTTTTGCTTTGAACAGTAAACGAAAAAATTCTCCAACCTGAACCTCGAATCTCACGTGAGTAGTCGGTTGACCACCAACTGGAAGGCAATTTGTGGACTCCGGCCCAAGAAACAATCCCTCCCAAATCGTCTATATCATCTTTACCAGTTTTTATGAAGAAGTTTTCGTCGTACGAATTATTATACTGAAATCGATCTACCAGTTTTTTGAATTTTTGAAAATATGTTACCCCCATAAAGTATCCGAACTTTTTCATGTCAGGAACAGCAACAGGAATAATTGATTTTCCTTCATTCAGTAGTATGGATAACACATTTAAAAGCTGAAAACTTGAAAATCAGATCAAGACTTCAAGATTTGAGCATCACCGGTGAATGAGCGATGTCGAGGAGCGCATCGTTGTATCCGTCAAAAAGAACTTCTCTCACTTTCTTTGTTCTGAGAATGGTATTTTTTTCAATCAATCTGTTTACGCTACATTATTGGATATTCTCCGAGTAACAATAACGCAATCGAAGTCGCGAGCTTCGTTGTACGCGACATGTTGACTTCAGGGTCAGCCATTGCTGCGACGGCTCCCTGAGGGAGGAAATAGTTTGTACTATCCTGAAGGATATACCGTGGCCGTAGGATTAGGAAAAACAACAATGTCATCGAAAGAAGTTCCTTCATCCGATTCTCCACTATCATAAATGTATTTCTTATAGTTTTGGTAGAACAGCTGAGAGCCCTCTTTGTTGAATTCAATGTATTTTTTCTGTTCAGACTCTCTGAAAACTGGATTTAGAATTAAAGAAGTCCTTATTCTTACATGCAAGCATAAGCAGATGACTCGACGAGTTCAGGCTTGGCTCCATAATACAGGACTTCGTCTGGGTTGGTCAGGTTGAAAAAATGAAATTTCATGACGTTCCGCATTGGTGGATTCGCCATCATGAAGGAAGAATATCCCAATGAATTGTCTTCTCTTTTCGAAAAAAACGCAGATTCTATAATTAAATAAAAAAAGTTTTTTTGTTTGAGAAATTTTTTTCGAGGCTCTCACAATGATGGATAAACTTTAATGAAAAAAATATTTTTCTCTTATTTTTTTAGAAAGAGGTGAAACTAAATGAAGCAATTTATTTTTGCGTTTTAAAACAACTTTTAAAGTTCCCTTCATGTTTTTCAAAACAACAACAAAACTGCAAAACTTTTTTTGTTGAAGTACTTCAAATTTTATTTAACTCACCTTTTTGACCATTGCTTCAAATATAGGGGGAAACGATATTATAATAACACAGAAAATTAAAACACAAAAAGCTGAAATACTCAGAAAAGCAATGGTTCGCTTTTGAATAGCCATCACGCCACTGACCGTGTTTCCAATTAAAAATGCAATATCAATCCCTTTACCATGCTATTTGTTATCACGGTTCGCTTTTGTTTGCTCTTTTAGTTAAGATTTTCTTATCTTCAAGACCTTATAATCCAATAAAAGTTCTGGGTTTCAAAGAGCGAATGACGCGTTTTTTTCTTCTTGTCTGAGCACCTTTGACTCGAATATGAAAAATTTTTCTAGAAACTTCTTCCCTTTCTTTTCTGGAAAGCAACTCACAATAAATTTATTAAAATGATTGGAAATAGTTTGAAAGATTTTTATTTTTATACTTTTCTGAGTAAACAGAACAAATTGAAAAAAATTTTTAAAAACGGAAAAAATTTCATTTTTTCTAAGTATAAAAAAACCAAAAAAAATTTTTTTTTCCCTTCAAGTCGATTTTTTCTTGCATTTAGTGTTTTAACACTAGGAAACAATTTAAACATTTTTTTTACCGAGATCAAAAGAATTTTGTTTGCGCGTGACATGCGGCGTTTAGGGTGCATCCTGACCCGGAGTGGGCGCACGAAGGGTATAAATACCCGAGATCCGCGCTCAGTCGTCTCTCTCTGGTTCTCTTGGCTCCGTCTGCCGAATATCATGAGGTAAAGGTTTCTTCTTCACTTTCTTTTCAATATTGTATTGAAGTCACTGGAAAGTTCCGTTCTCAATGCGTTTCGCCGGTCAAGAGCCTCAGGAAGAAGGCGTTGATAACGTAAAGGATAGAATCTCAGGTAAAATCAAGTTTCATCTCAAAAAGCATATTCTGTGTTAAGCATCCATCAAACTGTATCAACTGTTGGGCGCCAAGGACAACAATGGTCGCCAGATTCATTTGCCGTTTCTCAAGAGAAATTTATTCTACGTCAAAGATCAGAAGGTTTTTTTTTAATTATTGATTCTAACTTGTCCAAATTTTAGTCGGGTGAAGAAGTCGATGAGGCGTTTGCCGATGCGAAGCCGTTTGTGAAGAGACGTCTTTTGTCCAAAAACTCTCCCAAAAAGCCTCAGAGCGATGGCGAGAGGTTCTTCAATCTTCATCTGATTGTCAAAGCGTTGAGAGTTGCCGACGAGCTCCAAACCACGGTTAGCATAATTTTAAAAAATCAAAATTTGAAGGTTTTCGTTCGGAAAATCGAGGCGTCTTGGTATCTCAACCTCATTGACATCTTATCGATTTTTCAGGCCTCTGCTCATGGCGACTACTCGTTTCCGATTGGGATCCTGGCGCAGTTCATGGACGGATTCGATCCACTTTATTTGTCCCAGCACAAACCCTTCGTAAAGAAATGCTTGTCCTTGTCCAAGGTTATCAATTTTTTCAAAGTCAATATAACTTTGTCTCAGATCTCACCGGAAAGTGTCGTTCCGGCGTTCCGCAAGCTTTGGAAAGAATATCTTGTGGAGGTGGAGCCTTCGAATGTTGCCTACCGTTTCGCGTTGTCTCCGAAGCCTCGCTCTTGTTTCCTTCAAATCAAGTGAAAATCTCTCCTCTAATTTCAAACAACCATATTTTAAGAGACTATAATGAGGTGCCGTGCATGTATGAGTTCTACATGTTTGAAGGAGTGCCGGAAACCCTCGAAAGATTGCCAAAATGGGTATCAACGACTTTTTCCAGGAATCTTATTCATTCTACATATTACAGGTCAAGTTGGATCCTGATCATTGCTCTCACAGAGACGGATTCCTTTTCGATCTCAAGCCGCAAGAAGAACTAAAAGGATTCGAGAGGTCGTACATTCTGGTGGTTGGCACTTATGGTGATTTTTCTCGCCTTTCATCATCACTCTATTGTAACAACTTCCAGAACCGGATGAAAATGGTATGCCAACCATGCGTCGGTTTGGTTCTCTTCTGTTGTACAATTTCCGTTGCGGAACCTCGCTTGATTCTGGCTACTTCGAAAGCTCTCAAGGGATCCCGATGGTGTTCGTGTAGAGACAAATCTTTCCTGATTCGAGTTCTTTTTTTTCAGAGATTGGTGCGAGAGCGACGGAATTGATCCTTACTTCCTTCTGGAACAAACCTTCGAGCAAAAACCAATTCTGCCGTTTCAGTCTCCTGTGAAAAGCTGTATACAGAACTCGGTATACAGTCTGGTCGCTTATATCCACGATCATAATGGTACTCCACTGGCCTCCCGTGACGACCTTGCCGACACTTGTGAGCTCTGATATGTTTTATCCTTAACTTCAAGTTGAATTTTTTCAGCGCATTCCAATTTGAGTTCCACTCATCAGAAGTACGTGGGAGTCTTTCCCGAAGGTCATAATTACATGGATGGCGTGCACAAAGAACCGCTTCCGAACGAAGGTTCATTATTTTTTATCCAAAGGGATTTTTGAATAAAACTTATCAAATTTATTCTTACAGAGCCCATGCCAAGTTGCGGAGCGGGCGGCCTGGATTTTGGGAAACTTGTCTCAAAGTTCAGCAAAAACAATTTGAATCCAGTGGAAATAACGTAAGAAAATGAAAAACCGCAACAAAACATTGTTTCTTCAGCTATCGTTTGTTCTTTACCCGCGGTCAGCCAACGGTGGCAGAAAGACGAACTGCAGACATTGATGTTAGTGTTATTGATCTGCTTCTTTTGATATGTTTTTCTCAGGGACACAGAGAAGTGGACGTCGCCAATTGGGTCAACTCGGACAGTTTGCTGTGTGTTCGAAGCGATAGCAATGCTCTGAAATGCTTGTTCTGTGAAAGGTTTCATTCAAATATAACCACTTCAAACACAATCTATATAATTTTCAGAAAGTTTCCAAACACGTACGCGCTTCTGATGCACTGCAACAACAACTACACTCGACTGTCTTTTTTGCTCTCCAACATCTTCCCAATGGTAAATAATAATTGTTGATGACTCATAATTCTAACCACAGTTGGCACTTTTCAACATCTGCGGTCCTGTCATCGACGTGTACCTCAACGACAGCTACATCGAAACGCCAATCTCGAAGAAAAAAGAAGTCGTCTGCAAATTCAACGAACCCGCAATTTGGGTGGTCACTAAGTGCCAGAAAAGACTTTTGGAAAGCTACATGCGCATCGACCTCGACGTGTTCACAGATTACTCCTATACCAAGCCTTCTTCTCGCAACACCTACTTTCGGTTTCAAAAAGTTTTATAATCAATCAATTCGTGAATTTGTTGAAGAATTGATGAACATTACAATTGCGCAACTGGAAGGTTGGAATCCGCCAATCTGAACAAGTGCAAGGACGCATCAGAGTCTTGGCCTCACCCGGGATCGCATCACCTGATCGAGATCAACAAAAAAGTTACTGTAGCAAACGCAAGCATTTAAATTTCATCTGTTCAGAGCTTGTACCTCTTCACGGATGTGAGCGACTCAGTGAGGGGATTCGCTTTGTCGTGGAACCGTTTCTGTTTGAAGTTTGGCAGGAACCAAGCTGAAATCGTCGGAATTTACATGCTGATGGTGCTTATATAAATCACAATTATGAACAATCGAATTTTTTTCAGAGACTATATATCGAGCTCTACCGAGACTGGATTCTCAAGCAGGGCGAAAAGTTCACAGCTTGTCTCAATGCGTTCTTTTTTGACGGCTTGCAATATTGCGATGAACTCGATTACTACGTTCAAGACATTCAGCAGAGGTAAACGTTGGTTCCGCTCAGGCAATGACGTTTTGTATTGTTCAGACTCGAGAATCCTCTCTATGATCCCCTGGATGAAACGAACGGACAAGCTCGGCACTTCATCGCTGACAAAATTGTGAGCGCGCGAACGAAGATCAGAAGAGGTAATTTGGTCGTGAAAAGTTGTAAAACAAACGTTTTTTTTTTTTTGAATTTCAAATTTGAATTTTTTAATCAAATTTGCTTGGTTTCAGTGGAAAACGACATGGATCTGGAAACAGCAAAGTCATACTTGGGACACGATGTTTACGTCAGAGGCGTCCTCGACGATGACTGGAAGGAAAAGCTTCGAGATGCCGTCATCACTGCGTCGATGTTCCCATATGGCCACCCAGTCTACCTCATGCTGACTCCGACCCCCAAGGTTTTCTCATCTAGCATTCTGCCGATGTGAACAAATCATTTTGCAGTACATCTTCGCAGATGGAACGGTCCCGTACTGCTTCTTGGATCCCGAATGCACTCCAGAAATAATCCTCTAAGGATTCCGAGTATCAATACTCTAATCGATTCCTGTAAATAGTCGCGACGTTTTATCACTATATTTAATTTTTGTACTTCTTCCCTACTCAAAGCTTCTCATTTGTAAAATAAGGATTTTTCGAGACTTTCTAGTAGTTGAGTTTTTTTATTTATGCCATTTTGGACGTTTGAACATAGTCCCTATTAACCATCTCATTTGTACAATTCTATAAATAAGCATTGCCCATTTCGCGTCATCTTGGCCCGGTTCTTTTTCCCTTTAAGCTAAATATCCCTTTCTTTCGATGTGCTCAGCCTATCTTTGCGTATGCGCCTTTTGTCAAACGGTCATTATTGGCTGGATAAAACTCCATGCATAGACATAGGCCGTCCGTCGAAGGAAAGGTAGGACAAAAACTGGTGCGGATTGATCTCAAATGGCCTCATGCCCATATCCTGGTGAACTCCCTCACGAAGTCTGTATATATATATTGTTTATTGTTGTGTCGATCTCGCTCTCCGATCTCATTCCTATTCCTCAAATATGCCGGGTTCAAACTGAAGATGTTTCTTCATCATTCCTTAACAATCTACGGTCATACAGTTGTACAATGCAATAAACATATCGGTTCGAACTTTTTACAATAAAAACAGTAGTGACTTGAAAGAAAAAAAAAAGAGATTGAAACATCTGTTGGAACATTTTTTGTAGGGTCGATCGATTTGAACGATGTCGACGTTATTCTTTAAAAAGAGCAGAGAATTGGAGTGTTAATTTTTTAAATTGTAATCAATCCTGGTCACCTCATAATTTTCTTTCTGGGTTCGCATTCGATTTTGGTTTTCCTCCCAGTCTAACAGAGCTTTTCAGAATTATTTAATTTCTTTATATTAAATAAAACATTAAACCAAAAGAATAAATGTGTGAGAAAACAAAATCAATACTGAAGAGTAGTGTCTGGATGTTGACGAGCGTGGCTGAGAAGTTTCGGTTGATTCGGAGGTAGATGCCGCGCACTTTGAGAAGGACTGAAAAACGTTCATTTCAATGTGTTCGACTTTTGGGAGCACTGCTGGAAGCCAATTTTCTCAATAACGTCATACTTTTAAATTTGGGATAAAATCATTACAAAAATTTACCAAGAATGTAACTTGAGAGATTCCAAATACGAAGGAGGGGCTTTGTATTCAACGAATCTTCCATTTTGGAACATCATTTGATACCCTAGACGTCCGCTCTCGTCATACACTGGCACGCGATTTGAACTGCTGTTGCTGCAAAACCAAGCTTGTTTCCAGGGAGAAAATTAGGTGCAGAAGATTGTTAGTAAATAAAAGTTCGTTTTCAAATCTTAACCAGGAGGTTTTTTCCCCAAGTTTTTTCCGACTTCCGGTTTTGAAATTTCATATTTTCAAGAAAATAAGAAGTTCATTCACAAAATCAAGTCAAAGTCAAAAAGCTGATGATAACGTAAAAGGATAGGAAATAAAGATTACTTAAAAAAATGAAAATGGCGTGTCAGCGTGAAATTGAACGTAGTGCAGAAACCGGAGATAGGTTGGGCTCTCTGGACTCGAAATTAATAGCCTATTCTAACTCTGGAGACCAATACTTCCTATTGACGGACTTCATTCACATTAAACATTCTGTTTCAATGAAATCGTACTTCTGATTATTATTGTTATTTTGACAGGGAAGAAAACGACTCTTCGTATAAGAGAAAGAAACATAATCTTCTACTTACCTGAGAGTCATGCCGTCAACTACCCGATATTGCTTCTCGAAGAGATCTGGTGGATAATTTCTCCTTCTTATGCAAATAGCCAATCCCAGAATTAGAAATATGGCCACCGGTGCCAATATTCCAAAAAGCAAATAGATCATGAAAGGTGAAATCCTGTAAATGTGCTCGAGGTTATTGGCCAGAGTGATAGGTTGGCTAGGTTAGAGCAAAAAAAGAAAATTCGATGTGGTTTTTGAGAGGATGCTGAATTCGAGTGGCCGTCAGCCACTCCAGCTTCTCATTTCGCGTGACTCTGCATACAAAACGAAACCGAATCAGAGAAATTTTACACCCAAACCCATTGTCGAAGGGCTTTCCCATAAGGAAGAGGTTGGTCAGTGATTACCTAATTCGTTCCAACCTCTTATTCCTCTTAAGATCGTTCCCCCGATTTTCTCCAGACTGACATTGTTTAATTATATAAAAGATAAACCAGGTACAAAAGAATTTTTTAAACAAGTTTTGAAAATTTTCCGCGATTCATTTTTCGAACTTCCAGGTAAAGAACTACTTAAGGCTTATTTTAAAAAAAACTCATTGAAAATATCTGTCGAATGAGAAAGTTACTCATATCAACTCCTATAAACCCTTCTGACAGAAAGAGTCCTGGTTGAGAAGTTTATTTGGGTGAAACAAAGAATAATCGTCCAAGAAAAAAAAAGGAAAAGAGACTCAAGAAAAAAAGAGAAAAGGGAACAACTTTGGGAAGGTACAAGACATGTTGTCTCCTCCAGATACCAAGCTTATATGTCCGCAAATCGGGTTTGCCTTGCCAGGCTCATCACACGGACGGACGCTACTCATTTCAGTTTCCCAAGAAAAAAAAAACCGCGAAACGACAGTCATTCCTTTATTTTTACAAAGAACTACATGAGTGGCCGTTCAAGGAGTTCAGGAGCTTCGCCTAAAAAAAGTTATTTTTGAAGTGAAGGGAGTAATAATTATTTGTCCAACATAACACGGACTTCTTAATTGGGCACCTCTTTCAGTGAACTTAAAACGAAATAATTTGGAATTTTTCTCGCCCAAAATGTGGTTGAACAAGTTCAAAATAAATTTCAAGGAAACCCTATTCTATTGTTATTATTTTCAGAGGTAAAAAAATTAATTATGTTAATGATGGGGAACGGAACCAAAAAAAAAGACGCTGGGAAGAAAAAATCTAATGATAAGTTCTTTGAGCGTGAGACGAAGCGACATGGTCGGTAATCAGAAAATATCGAATTTTGATTGGGAATATGGAAAAGTTGATGAATCTCTTAGACCAGAGAACACATTTCTCTGACGAAGGAGTTCATTTCACTTTGCAGTCAGGATTTTCCTGAGAATTGGCTAGAACACTCCTTGATGTACCAGAAAAAGATTCTGAAAACCTCGACCTGCACAACTTTCTACTTTTTGAGAGAAGACGTGGCAAGTTTGAAGAAAACGCTCAAAATTCATTAAAAAGAGCTATTTCGGGGTTTTGGACTTTTATTTTTTAAGAACTAGGAAATTTTGCAGGTTGAGAGTTTCTGAATCTTTTTTTGGTAAATCAAGAAGTTTTGTGGCAAAACTTCAGGAAGTTTCCAACCTCAAAGTTAAGAGGTAGCTTTGATGAGCAGGAGATGTATTGAACTGAAAAAAGCAGGAATTCCAGCTCTCGCTATAAATTTCTGAACTTTCATATATCCCTCAAACCGGAAAACTCAATTTTCAGAAGTACACAGGGTTTTTTGGGGTTTGAGAGCCTCTCTCCGACTAGAGCTTCACGAGTTCTCCCAACGAAATAAAATGCACTGAGCTCTTATCAATATTTCATGAAACTGAAAGATGTTATTTTCATCCGCCGTTTTGAAACAATTTGACGCCTCTTCAGTGAAATTACAACGCGTAGATTAATTGATATTAGAAAGTGAGTGTGGCGCTCAAATGAGACAGTTGTTCTTCTCTGTTGTTTTAACATGTGCAAACTCCTCCGCACGTCATATTGTAGAGAAAATGGGATTCGTCTCTGTTTTGCTTTATTGCTTCGATCAGGCGAATCGAGAGCCAGACAGGTGATAAAAAGAGAGAGATGGGAAAAGCTGGAAAACCCACACAATCGAGCTTTTTTCCCATGAAAATACACTGAAACAGCAATGAGTAATAAAGAGAGGAATTATTTTTTGTTGCAGGTGAGAAGTTTGAAAAAAACTTTTACGAATTTTTTAACAAATATGCCAGTTAGGATATTGTCAGGATCTTTCGAAAGGAATATGTTTTTCTATAATTTTTCACAGAACTGGTTCTCATCAAATTTTTAGAAGAACAAATTATTGACAAATTTTAGAGTACCATTTCTCTTTTAGAAAACTCTCTATCTTGGGTGCCTTTAAAAGTTTTCGAAATTCTTGTTGATATAGGAAACTTTAACTTTTTTTCAATCGGACCAAGAATATTGTCCAAGATTCAGAATGGTTAGCTGAACTCACCAAAACGCACAAATTTCGCTCCAGATTCGAAAATTTGGTCCAGGGAGAGTTCCTTTGACAAATTTTCAGTTCGATGTTCTAAAAATAAATTTTCTGACTACTACACCTGGCCGAAGTATTCCTGAAAGGGGAAACAGCACATAATTGAAATCATCAAACATGAAATATCACATCAAAGAGAAGTTGTAAATTCCGTTCAGTAACTCTAAAAAAAGTTACGAAAATATTAATTTTTTTATTTTTTTAACTTGATTAAAAATTTTATTGTAATTGACCTCTCAGTTTTTTTCGGAGCTTTTATTAAATTTTCCCGCTCAAAACTTCTCTTCTGTTTTCTCCGACGCTAACCGCATTCCTCGCCTATCGAAAAAAGTGACGAAGTGGCGGTAAAAAGCCAAGATTGTTTTGTTAGCAAGTGGTAGCGAGGGCAACGTGAGTGGCTGGCAGTTGTTGTTGCTCTTTGTCAGACACCGCTAATTAGTGTCGGCCGCAGATCCGTCTTTATCTATCCATTAGGGTGCCGCCGAAGACCTCGGGTGTACAAAGTCAAGAAGCCGAGCAGTCAGTTGTCTTCGTCGCTCCTCACCTGCCAACGATAACTTTCCGAGTTTTTTTTCGGCTTTGTCAGTTGTCTTGAGAGCTTTTCGACAAGTGGATCGATCATTCGAAATGGATTTTTGAGGAGGTTACTGTATTCGTCATGAAAAACGGTGATAGTTTCCTGACCAATGATTTATGGTGAACAGAAACAACTTCACATTTTTAGGCTCAAAGCTCCTGTTGGCTTTACTAATCCTTTTCAAAAAATGAAAAAATAAATGGAATAGTAATTTTTACCTAGTGTATTTATCCAAACCTTGCTCAGATGAAAGAGCACCTAACAAGGAAGGTCATATCACTTGGCGGTTCGTACTTTCTTGAAAATTGCTCAGGACACTTTTTGACCTACAAGATGGGGAGTCTGAAAAGCACAAATCTTTAGTTTTTCGAAAATGAGGGCTCAAAATCAACAAAAAGAGTCAGAATCCGTTGAAATAGGCCATTTTGGTACTCTGAGATCACATATCTCAGAAACTAGAAAGTTTTGCTGATCTAGACTTTGATCATCTCCATTTGATAGATCCAGGAGTGTCCTGGTCGATTTTCAGAAAAATGCCAATTATAAAGACCTTCCTAGTAAAGTGAAAAAGTACCTTAAGGAAAAAATATATATATTATTTCACATCAAATCTTGTTTGAGACTTTGAATTAACTTACAAAATACTCTTCAAGGGGACCCTTCAAGTCATTTCATTTGTGACCGCAGTTGTGGCAAAGAAACAGATCACACAGACCAAATTCAACAGCTAAAACATCACGATGATGAATAATGGAACCGATGACTTTCAGATAAAAGCTGTGAAGGTCGATGTCTCCCAGAGGCACGGCTAGTTGCTCATCCGTTTGTACCAGGTCTCCGGAGATTGCCATCTATGTTCCCTGAGTGCTAACTACCGACATTCAATCCTGGGCATGACGTTATCTTTGAAACAGACGGAAGGATGGATGACTGTCCTTAACGCCAAGTTATTTTTTGTTTTGGAAAAATGAGATTTTTTTAATATGCTTAAAATTTCGTAGAAAAGTTTATAAAGAACTTTCATCCGTTCATTATACCTATTTATCTCAAACAAAGGAGAAAAGTCACTCAGTTCGTTTTCATCGAATTGGATGACCATGTCCGAAGAAGAACCATAAAAATTTAATTTTTCCTGTTCATGGACATGGATATGCTTTATGAAATCAACAAGCGTATAAAAAGTGTATTTCTTCCATGCACTTCTTTAAAGGTAACCGGTCTGGTCAGAATTATAAAAATTTATAGTCAATCATTTCTGACTTGAAAGGCGAGATGGCTAGATTGGCGAGATTGAAGCGTAGCGTACGCGACGCGGCTTTTGTTGAGGTCCCGGTAAAATAGAAAAAAATTTTTTTCGACTAATTCTTCCGTTTTTTCGGCCAACCCATCTTTTTAAAAACCAAATAATTAGAAAGATAGAAAAAAATTTTTAAAAAAATGTGGCTCACTTTTTGAATTTGATTTTTTTCTGCCAAAACCCGCATCGCATACGCACTCTTGATAATCTACCCATTTGGCCTCTCAATTCGGGAAAGATCAACTATGCAGCCAGAGAAAGAAAAAAACCTCGACGCTACAAGTCTTTCGGTATTTTTCATGAACGTTTCATCGAGCTAAAAAGTTGTTATTCGAAGATTACAGTAAGATTTTTCAAGCTGCGGCGATGAATTTTCATTACCACCCAGGTGGAGACGCTTCCTAAATCACATGTGAAAGAGCCATTAAAATAGGCGTGCACTCTGAAAAGCCAGCAGGGCTCCCACAGCCACGACACATTTTCCACGTTAAACAAACTTTAAACTGGCGCTTTGATCAATTGGCCGTTGTCAGTACATTTGACGCCGGCGCGACGGCACAATTAGCCGCTTCATTCGCGACTCAGCGGCCTCCTTCGCTCCCCCCTCCAGCTACCGTAGTCCACACTCCTCGAGTTGCATCTGGCAATATCTATGAAAAATTTGGCGTTTCATCAAAACTTGATATTCTCCGGGTTATTTCTGAGTGGAAAACAATAGCTGATATGATAATTTCAAGGCGTCTATCAGAACTTATCACTTTATGTTGTCAGATTAACAGTCGCTTCGTTTTGAGGCCAAGAATTTTTTCACCATGGATTTCTGTCTCTTCTTTTGCAAGATCTTTTTCGAAAAGTTTAAAAAATGCCAACTTCAGAAGGATTTCCTTGTTTTTTTTAAATTTAAATATGCTGAAAGATAACTTCTCTAATGCTCCGAACAAAGAAAAATAAATTTTGTTAACAAATATTAAGTTGATTGCGGTAGAAGTAAAGTTCAATGAAATTATTTTTATATTCATTAAAACTTGCTTGTTAGTTTGGAGTCTTTTTTCTCTCAAAAACTGGGGAAAAAAAATTAAAATTTTCGTTTTCCTTTTGCAGAGCTCTCTTTTGAAACTATACAGCGAAGCTTCACTCCATAGAACTTTCGGCTCGGGCCGTGGCAAGTCTGTTAGAGTCGTAAACCGTGCGTGGCGTACAATATTGCGATAGGTTGATTTCCCATAACTCAAAGCAGCGCCGAATTTTCAGACATCCGCTCTCCTTCGGACAACTGTTCAATTGACCTCAGTGGGTTTTATTAACACATTTTACGACAAGCTTTGAGTTTTAATTTCTTTTATTCTGTAAAATGATTTACACAGTTGAATTTTTAGTAGTGAAACAAAATGTAGGGGGGCTTAAAAGTTATTTTTTATTTGAATTTTAGGTATTTTGAGAGTCTTCAATCATGATCTTCTCATTGGAATCTAATTTACCAGTTTCACTTCTTCAAAAATAAGTTTTGATGTATTTCACAGTTTTATTTATTTCTTCCATTTTTCTGATTTTTGTAAGGAAACCACGACTTTTCTTCACAAGGGAGGTTATTTCACTTTACAGTTGGGCTTACCTTGAAAATTGGCCAGAACACCTCTTGATGTCCCAGAAAATACCGAGAGTCTCAACTTGCACAACCTCGTTTTTCAGAAAAGTCGCTCCAAAAAAAATCCAATAAAATGAGCTATTTTGATGTTTTAAGCGAATATTTCTTGGAAACTTGGAAGTTGTGCAGTTGATACTTTTAGAATCTTCATTTGGTTCATCAAGAAGTGTCCTGGTCAACTTTCAGAAAGTTCCCAACCGCAAATTAAAATGACCACCCCTGTCAGTTCCTTTCACACCTCTAATAAAGACAAAAAAACTTTCTAATTAGCGCGGCAACTTGAAAAAGAATCCTGGAATCATCAATGAATACTGTCTTGTTTCACAGGCTCACCCAATCCCTTAGCTAATCCTCGCGCGAGCATGGTTGCGTTGCTCTCCTCAAGGGCGCAATCTTCAAAACCACCGTATGCAAATCACGACACGGCTTTTTTCTCCGGTTTCGCACGCCGACAAAAATATCTGAGTCGGAAGCAAAAGGATTGAATAAATTAGATATTCACTGCATTGCCGCTTTCCTTTTTTTCCTATTAATTACCCGTTTAGCAGAAGGTTGAAGACGCGCGAAAAAAGTGTATGTATCAATCAAGAAGAAGCAGTTGGAACAGGAATCGGTCGTTCCCGCCGGAAATTGGCCGGAAAGCAGTAACCGCCAATGAGATCAGTAGGTTTCTTGGCTATCATTCAAATTTGGATTTGAATAAGGTCTAAGGAATCTGGTACAAAGGTTGGGATTTTCTAGAATTTTTTCGATCATTCTTTGAAGGTCTGAAAACATTGCCATTCGAATTGGGAGTTTGGTTTCGAGAAAAGCAAAGTTTTGGTTTCTAGCCTTCTTTTGGGCTAAACGAGTACTTTGAAAAATGGTTCTTGCTATGAATTTAAGGTAGGTAGAGTCTAAAAAGGGATCCCATTTGGACGTTCATACTTAGGAGCTCCAGAGAGGTCTCTATAAGGGCAACCTTATGAGCCCTTGGAGGGTCCCCTCTAGGGACCACTTTACCAACCTCTATAGGGCCCACTACAGCTTGCAAAAATGATCCTGAGGCGGTGTACGCTAGTCGATAATTGTTAAAAACTCTATGCGAAGAAGCATTTTCATGTAACAAACTAGAAAAACAGTTTTTTTGGATAAAATTGAACGCCCCCTATAAGGACCACTTGAGCTTTAGGGGGTCAGGGAGTAGACCTTAAACCCTTGTACGGACTATCTCTATTTTACCTCTATAGGGACCATATTCTCAGTCCCTATAGAACTGTGTCCCCCTATAGGGACCACTCTGAAATTCCTAGTAGTCTCGCGAAAAAAACTAAGAAATCTCGAGCTTAACAAAAAAGTTTTCTTGTAATAATCACTCGATTTCGTTTCAAAACACCACTCGCTCAAATTCTTCTCTAAGGAGAAACCACGCGAGAGCAGCAAAAGCAGTTGTCGTGTTAATTTTCGAATTCCATCCGACCACCTAGACGGTTAACGACGGCGCCACCTAAATCAAGCCGCCATCCGACGTCGAAATTAACCTCCTATCATGGTTTCTTCCCTTTTTCACTCATCATTGGCAAGAGCTCTCACAAAAACAATTACGCAGTGTTTAATCTTACGATTTTCTAATTAAGTTGCCGAAAATTGGGGTGAATTTCTACTGCGGTTAAATTGGAAAACAATCAAGACCCAGAAAACTTGACCCGTCAAGAAAAAATTCGGCTAGAGATCATCAAACAAAAGTTTTACTTAACTTTTCTAAATTAGCTTTTGAAGTTTCGAAATCATGATAATTTTACGCAGGTAAATAGACTGCAAGAAAGTTTCTAATCTTAGTGAAACGCATTTATATTGAACGGAAAAAAAAGAAAGATTTTTTTGAAGATTAGCTAATGGGTATAATAATGCAATTATATCAAAAGTGCCGAATTCTTGGATGAGATGGAGTTAATCTCAAGGAGATTACATACAGTTGAGAAGGCGCCGGTCGTTTTCTAGTGGCTACTAGAGAAAGTCAACTTGTCAATCAAAATGCAGCCCTTTTGTATTTTCAATCTGAAAATCGTTCAAATTTCAATGAATCCCGTAAAAAAGGCAAAATAAAATAGCGGGAAAGATAGTTATAATGGACTTGCAAAATTTGCAAAATTTTTGACCCACAAAATTTTGACTCTGGAACTGTGACCTGCTCCTTTCGCGCCACATAGCCGCGTTCGCTTGTTCGCCACTCGATACGCCAACATTCTCATCATTGCCTTCTTTTGCCTGTTGTTACGTTCTCATTTTTTTCCTCGACAATAGAGGGTTAATAATTATTTTCTTTCTTTTTTTGAAGCTTTCAATTCTCTTTATTGATCTTCCTATCTCTATCTCAAACTTTTTTGGGATTCCTTTTTGAAAATTGAGAAATGGAGTAGAGAAAGCAAAAAAAGTTTCAAACATGAAAGATCTCTATAATCGTTTAACTTTAAAAGAAAAACTTCTATTTCGCATGTCTCAATCAAATTAGACGGTTTCATTACTCGAAAGTTTCATTTCATTATTTTTCACTCACTCAGTTCATTAAATTCGAACTTTCGATCGGAAATATTTATTGTAAGCTTGAGAGAACGATAAATCAAGCGATTAGCATGCGAAGGAGGTCTTTCGCGTGTACAGATCACCCGGAGTGGGCGGCGTTTGACAGAAACTGAGGCCGTCTAGTTGTTTCTTCTCCTTGCCCTCACCTATCGCATTTCTTTATCGAACTGATAATTTCTTTTTCAGTAATTGCACCTTATCAATGTTTTATTTTTTTCTCCTCTATCTTCATAATTGATTGCCCCAACTACTATTGACGGAGTAAAATTTCCAGCATTTCGACAATTACTCGGAGCTCATCCTAACTAGCGCTGGAGCAATTCATATTCCGGTTCTACCATTAGCTTGAAATGGGCCGAGACGCTACCCGTTGTTAATTACCAATAATTGCTTCAAAAATATTATGACACTTAGCGTTTAACTACCGTAGGAGGACAGGATGGGTCCCAACGGACCAAGCTTTTCCCTTTCCCTTTTTCAGTAAAACTCAAACTTTTTGCGCGGTTTGAATTTTTGTACAGCTATTGTAGGAATGCTTCTTTGATTGAAAAAAGACCTCCATTAAAATGAAAATTTTTCCAGAATTTAAATTTTCTAGGCAACAAAAGTGCCGTGAAATTTAGGAAAATGTTGATCAAAACCGATCTCTGTAGATATTCTATTTTCTGATGAATCCATTGAACTCATCGCTGCGGAAGCCGCATTTTAACGACGTCACACCCAAGACGAAATTGCGGCGCGCATCGTTATGAAAATGATAGCCATCTGCCTGCAGCGTGTGTGCACCGTTACCGTAGCATTGTTTGCAGAGCAATTTAGGCGGTGATTTTCTCGGATTGCATGATTGCCTTCTTCGCTTTTGCTGCTGCTGGTAGCACCTCCTCTATTAATTACGAAATCAAAGTGGTCTCCGCGCGTGTCACGCCCCTTTTCTTCCGTCTCTTCATACCGTAGTTCGTATGCGGCACCCTCATTTCTCGGCTCGCCCAATTTGGTCTTTATTGTAATTAATTGGATTCTTTTTTTTCATTTCGCTCGCCATGACTTCGTGTCGGAAAAATGCATTTCCTCGTAAATGCGTCATTCATATCATAGTTCTTACAGATGGTAATGGAAGACATGAAAAGGATTTCGGCATTCAGCGTGGAAAGCCTTCTGGAGTCTCCAAGAGCCAAAGTGGAAATTCTCCGTCCCACTCCAGTCACTCCGCGAACTCCTTTGGTTGTGCCTGGACTGAACCCTCTAACGCCATATCAGCTGAAGTTCACCAGTCCTTTTGAACCCTCATTGATTTATTTCTCTCAAAGCAGGTATTCAAAACCCGAATTTTTCTACAATTTCCTATCATTCATTACAGGTTACCTGTGATCAACTCGGATAGTTCGCCAGAATCCTGTGCTTCATCGCCTCTTTCTCTGCCTTCTCACATTCCCTGGCTTGGACATAAAAGAAGCGAATCGCCAAGTACAATATAGTTACATAAATTTGAAACGGGAATTATTCATTTCAGCAAGTGAAGACGCGAGTATCCAAATGGGACTTACAAAGTGTATGCTGAGAAAGCACAAAACGAACAGGAAGCCGCGGACGCCCTTTTCTACCAGTCAACTCATAGCTTTGGAGCGCAAATTCCAGCAGAAGCAATACCTGTCGATCGCGGAAAGAGCCGAGTTCAGCGCCTCCTTGCAGTTGACCGAAACTCAAGTGAAAATTTGGTTTCAGGTATTTTTTTTTATTAATTTTGGATGCTGAAAAAAAAAATCAAAATGGAGCGGAATTGATTTTTTTTTTTCGAATATGGGAGGAACGGGTCACGCTCTTTTTAAATTAAAAAAATGGGTGTTGGGGTAAAAGAAAAACAGTCTTTTTTAACTTTAGAAAGCTCTCTGAAAAAATTCAAAAACTACTATTCAAGTAAGAAAAGTTAATCGCTTCAATGCATAGACAAAATTCATGAAGGCCACAAAACAAGCCGTTTCAAGTGTAGTTTTTAAGTTTCACAACATTTCCAGTTCTTAGAAAACTTGGTGGATATAATATGATTTCTCTGCGAGCCAACATTCTGCTCAACTCCGTGAAAAAACCATTTTCTAATCAGATTCGCGCCTGTCCTTAGAAAGATTCCAACAATAGAAGGCTATAAATCGGGAAGGTGGCTGTTGTGGCACGCGCTTTTCTCGATCGCAATCTCCATTCTCTTCTCGACACGCTCTTCATAATTACAGTGTGCCGGTTGATTTAGTCGCTCCATCGACTGATCTTATCGCTGACGGTGGCCGCCTATCGGGATATACTCTCGCACATCAAACTTTCGCACCTTCCCGCTAGCTCATTATCCTTTTCGCTGCCGCATTTGTTAGTAAACATTGGCGTTTCATCTCGCCGTCGAAAAAGTTCCTCGAGACGTAATTAAGCCATCAAATTGAAAACCGACAAAGTGTTGAGACAAAAAAGGCACGAAAAACCTTTCTTGGTTTACCTCGTTCGCTCTGTGATTTCCTCTCGGAAAATTCATCACATCGAACGTCACAACAGTGTGAAGCATATAATTCGAGGGCGGATGCCTGCGTCCAGCTGGTTACAGTATGCTGGCACGTCTTTGTCTCAGATTTCGCGCGCTTTCCGCCATTCGAGATACGAAAAGACAACAATTTCAGCAAAAAGGGAGAGTGAGGTGGCAGATGATAGTAGTCACCCACTGGGCTCATCGCAATTGACCTTCGGCGCTTCCGTAATTGGCAAACAATAGTATCTCACTGACCAAATACTGTTTGGTGAGGTGAAGATTACGCCGCCTGGCAGATTTCTTAGAAAGTATGAAAACAATTTTTTGGGAATATTTCAATTAAAAGATAGTAAGTGTTGAACGGAACTTTTTTCGCATATAAAAATTCTTGAGATGGTCAGAGGGCTCAAAATTTTCTTTAAAAGGCTCGTTTCCCGAAAATTCCAAGAAACTAACCACTTTTTCATCAATAATTTAAGTGAGTAACCGTGACTCTAATATACTTGATTTTAATGTTCCAAAAAGAAAGTGAAAGCTATAGACTATGAAAACTTTTCTTCGAAAGTTCAACCAATGAAAAATGAACTTTTTTGAGAAGCCTCATATTTGACGCGATTGGCTAAATCAATAGATATTTTGTCATTCTAGCCCTATTCAGAGAGTTCATAGTCAAGAGATTAATGAACTTGAACGGCTGACCAGCCTCAGACAATCGAAACGCGTTGAACCATAAACGTAAGCTATTGCTCAATGTCTGATTGTCTCTAATCGCTTTTTTGATGCTTGCGAATTGGCTCATCAGCCAGGATTCGTCAGTCGGCCGATGTGTGTCGCATTGCTCAACATCTGCACGTTGCGCGCCTGATTTACTATCTCGCACTCGGATTTACGTCCAGGCGCGATGTGTTCTCACATGATTCCTTGAAATCGTTTTGTTATTGGCCAATTAATTGGCTCGAGGATTTTGAACTGGATGCAGATTTTAAGATCTAGAAAAAAATCTCAAAAAGTACGCAATGCGAATTTTCGGAAATTCTCGTTTTTATGAAAGCAATTGATGTGTGAAATGGTCGGCAGGTGGGCTAATGATTTGATAAATGAAGTGTAATCAGAGAAGCGCCACACGCCTTAGAAAGGTCTCCCGCTGTGCTCGGGGTTGAACACGAAGGTGAAATTCCTTTTCGAATTGTCTACCTTCCGAGAGAAATGAAGTTTTTGCAATAAGTTCCTAACACGAATTTAGTCACAAATTTAGCGGAAAAGCAATACTTGGAAGTTTTTGAATGTAATGTCATACTCTTGCGGAAATAAAACTTTGCAAAAAAATCAAAAAAAGAGGCTTCAACTAATAGTATTTTTCCATTAAACTTGGCTTTCAAACAAATAATTTAATTTTTCATTATATTTGAAGACTCCGTCGAATTTGAAACTCATGGAGTTTCAAAAATAAGATCAGCGATTGTTTTTAGAGCTTCAGATGTTAGCCAGTAGGATGATCCAGTGTGATCTAGCTGGTGCTCTTAGTGAATTACTCGAAAAGTTCAAAAAAACTACGGCTCAAACATTCAATTTAGAAAACTCTTATTCTGGTTTCACAAAATTTAACGATAGAAAAGTGAAAAGAAAATTTCAAGTTTCTTGAAAACTTACCATCTACTTATTATTAAATTCCATGATTCCAGAACCGCCGAGCGAAGTCCAAAAGGCTGCAGGAAGCTGAAGTAGAAAAAGTGAAGTTCGCCCAAGCGAGTGCCTTTGCCGCGGCTGCCGTTGGAGTCCCTACAGATCCGACCAAGTTTCTCGGATTCTATCCACAGCAGTGGTGATCCCGTTCAAGTTCCTAACTGATCCCAAAAACCTCCGGTTATTAGTTGAAATCGTCGCAGACATTCCATGTATTTGTGTCAATTCGTTGTGAAATGTGCTCCTTCTACGTGTGCTTTTTGTTCTTTTTCCTATGATTTAGCCATGATTCTCCCCTTTACTGTATAATCTTCTCCCATTCTGTAAAAAATTTCCACATCGTTGTTTTTCCCTGTATTTGTTGTTATAGTTTTATCAGAGTCTCAAAGTTTACAGAAAATAGTTTTTCTGGTGATTTAGTATCTATGTAGTTTTTGAAACTTTCTTTCATTTTTCCCCACATTATTTATCGTCAGCTGCAACAGAATTCGTTCGTTGGATCTCTTTCTCATTTACAATAAATTGCATATACAACTGTTTTTCAGCCACAGTCATCATTTTGATTGCCGTCCCTATTTACCAAGCTATTAATTATCCGTTTCCATCGTGTCTCGGCGAACAGAAAATGCCGCTGATGACCCAAATCGTGCATAATCGGTCGAGTGTGGGTTTTTCTACTTGCCGCTGGTCATTGGCTGCCTCGGGAACTTGTTAACAATCTATCGTAAATTAACGACCTATCATCAGGTCTTTTTTCCGATGATAAATTCAAAGGAGACGCCGCCCGAGGCCGTGATAAACTGATGACCGAAGGACTTTTCAGATTTCCCATGAAAGCTTTTGTACATATGGACTTTATGTGGATCTTCCCAAATAAATTATTATCGAATCTGTCACGAAGCGTCAATTCAACTGAAAAGGCATAAAACATTTCATTAGGATGTGAACGTAAAAGTCAGATTTTTTTGTGAGTTAGTTCAAAGTTCTCCTACGGAGTTATTTTCCGGATTCATTGAGGGAATGTTCATTTGAAAACAAAAAAAAAATGAATTTTTAGTCACTTCTCAACAAATTCACACGAGGAAAAAGTTGAGAAATTTCTACTTGTGATTAGATTTTGAATCAAACTAGGAAATTTTTGGGACGTTTCCTGAAGTCAATAAATCAAAAAAAAGTGTAGCTAAATACAAATTAAGTTTGTTAATAATGAGACCATGATGAAAAAAATATCAAATATTTATTTTGAAAAAATATAATTTTGACTTTTTTTTCCCGCTGACAACAATCCCAGAATCATTTCAGAACAAAAAAACCTTTTGACCAAACTTTTGAGAAAAAAACCTTTGATAGTAACTTTTGCGGAGTCAGACAAAGAAGTGATATCTAGAGAGCAGTTGCTAGCTCCAGTAGAGTGCCGTAAAAGCGGCCGCGGTTAATGAAAGAGTTGGACACACAAAGAAGCTTTATGGACCTACAATATGCGCTGTGATTTACAAGCCAAAGTCTTCTAGTCGAGCCGAGGGGTTGTAAAGGTCACCTACATAACTGCACCAAGCTTCTCGCGATAGTCTGGGGGTTAACTTTCTTACAGATAAAATAATAAAACCTTGTAATCTACTCATATTACATACTTATTCAGCCTTCAGAGAAGAATCTCCGCTGAATCATGGAATAATTGAAGAGTTGTATGCCGGTTCGCAAAACTGTCGTTGATCAAGAACGGCGCGTAGATCTTTTCGTTTTTCCTGACGGCAGTAGCCGAACGTTGAACTTTTCTATGATCAGCTCCTTCTCCATGTAATAACAGTACGACGTCAGCTTCTCCTGGGCTGGCGGGCGTCGAATTATATCTCACACCAGAGCGGAACTGAAGACCAACCAGGCTTTTCTCGACTTTGTTCCAGACAAAAAAATATAATCCTTTTCCAAGTTTTAGGATGCAAATACTCGCAAGCCTCACATAATATTCTAAATTTTCCGCACTTTAATGGAAAAATTTTAGAAAAAATGAGGCGTTAAACATTTTCAAAGAAGGATCAAACGCAGTTTTCAAAAAAATCTTTTAGCCATTGCCGTCAGTTATGAAAAGATGAAGTTTTTATGACAAACTAGCTTTCCTTGAAACTAATCATCGTCAAACGTTGTGGTGGAATTGAATTCCATAAATGGGCTCAATCTAAAAACCCCTTGTTTTTTTTTTCATGACTTATTTGTTTGTTGTTTTCAGCACCGAACTTCGATCGAGTCAAAAACAAAAGTGTATATTTACTAGAATATCCAATCTCTCTGTTATGTTGTTTATTCAAGCTCTGAGAAATCCAGAAAAAAACAAAGTTTCTCATAATTTTTTGGCGAGTCCAAAAAATTTCTTGAAATCTTATTTGAAAAAAACTTATTTTTTTGGTTTAATTTTTATGTTAAAAACGCTCTTACGTCATTCTGACGAGGAATCCCTACAACCTTAATCACAAAAAAACCTTGGAAAAAAAATATTTCTCCATTTTTTTCTCAGTATGACGAAACAGCTTACTCACTTTGGAAAGGAAATTTTTCTGGAAAAAAATAAGGTCGAGGACTTCTTGATTATTCAGTTTTTTTCATTGCAAAGCGTATCTGATGCTTAAGTTTATTATTGAAAAAAACGTTCAGCTACAATATAGAAAAACTGATGATGTGAGTCTGGAAAAAAATGAACTTAAAATAGAAAAAAATTTAATAAATGAGGCAAAAAAACCATTGAAATTTGTGACATAATTATATAATAATGGAAATAAGATAATTTGTAAGAATTATCAAATAGAAAGTATAGTTTCACACTCTTCCGACGTGTCTGAACTCTTAAATCAATATTAGGTTTGCTGTGTTTCTTAATATTATTACTCTAAATAGAGCCTAAAAATCAACGGGAGAGTATGTGAATTGTCGTGGAGTGCCCTGAAGTCCGCAAACGCCTCCCAAGAGAGCAAAGCGATCACATGCATGTGCTTGTCGTTCTTCTTCTACCGCATCAATCACCTATTTCTCCATTTATTCTTCCCGCGTTTGTTCTTGTTTTCCATTCGGCTGAGCCTGCTTATTGATTTTTCAATGGTGGTTGACTCTTGAGTTAGGTTTTCAGAAACAACTTTGCTATTTGCCAGTCAGCTAGGCTAGGCAGTAATCTTCTTTTTAAATTGATTGAAATTTCATAAACTGGGTAATTCGAACTTTAAGCTTATATTGTAATTTTTAAATTTTATTTTTTTATCATCAGTTTACGAATAGTTTTTAATTCAAAAAGAAAAAAAGTAATAAAAAAATCTCAACTTTTTTTAGCTCTGGAATTCGAAACTACTCGATGTAGCTCAGAAAACAACGCGTTTATGAAGAAAATCTGCTTCAATCAATAATTGAAATCTTAGATGCAACGTAGACAAATGAGTCACTCAAATGACGCGCCGCGAAACGGCAATCTGACGTCACAGAAAAAGATTTCCTTCTCGATCTTTTGCGTCATTTCATAGCTCGATCGGTTGTATTCTATTTTCCACTGGCAGAAAAAAGAGTGAATAAACTTGTAGTGCATTTTGAGGCCCGTTGTTGTTTTTGCAACGGGCGTTGATATCGTGTTGTGAAATCGTCGTTTTCTGCTTTGCTCACTCCGTTGAATGTTTTCCAAAGGTCCTTTGCATTTTGGATTTTCATTTCATACTCGAAATAAATACTCCGGCTTTTCCGTTAAATTTATATTTTTTTATAGTAATATTTAGCTATATTTATATTTATATCAACTGGTACGTGTTTTATTTCAGTTAGCAATAAGAAAACCTTTTTCACAAGCATCATATCGTATCCGCTAGAAATTGCGGTATTCAATCGGTTTTTCCAAGTTTGAACACTTTAAGATTTTTTTATGAAAAAAACTTTTCTACATCAAATATTTCATCCTAATAAAATCGAAAAAAACTTTCTAAATCATCGCGTTGCACAAGATTCTATGATTTTTTTCACACACCCACCTGTTTTTCATTGATTTTTCTGGGCTTTTTCCATTTCCGCGGCAGTCGATTTCATCATATGTTGTGGTCGCCAGAAAGTTCTATGGAAAGTTTTTATTCTTTCACCCTGCGATGTTTTCGTCAAATTTTCGCAGAATTTAATTTTTTTTTCCCCACTGAAAGTTTGTTTTATTGAAGGTATGATACAACCGAAAATGGAAAACGATGTACAGGCTACAAATTCCTTCTCCAATAGTAGCTTGGTTATGGGTGAGAGATTTTGTAATTTATTGTTTGTTCTATGAAGGATATTACAGAAGACGCGCTCGATACAATGGCTAGTTCTTTGCAAATTCCAGCGTTCAGAAGAAGGAAAAATTCGGGAATGATCGAAAGAAGTGTCAGCACCAATGATTTGCAACGTGCGTTTTCATTTTAGAATAGAATTTGATTTGTTTATTTCAGAATCCAGTTTCTTTCCAAGAAATATGGTTGATCGCAATTGTCAATCTCTCAGAATGCACTCTAAAGAACAAGGAATAGGTTTTAAAAATTAAATTAAAAAAAAGAAGTTTTTCCGTTTCAGATTCGGAGCTGGGAAACAAAAAAACTGATGAAAAGATATGCGTCTTTGGAATCATTGCTGGATATGCAAAAAGCACTGATGGAGAATTCGAAAAAGTTGGACGCAGTCTTGGAAAAAAGTAAGTGATTTTGTAAGAGTGGATCGTGAGATCAAAAAATGGAACGTAAGATCAAAAAATAACGCGCGGCAAAAAAAAAAACAATGCTCCGGTATGCGGCAGAAGTGCGCTGCACCGAACACACACCGCAAAGTGTTTTTCATCACTGCGCGTTGGTCCGTGATAGTTTCTCATCACAAATCGACGTTCCATGCCTTTCCTTAGCAAAATTATATTTTCCACTGAGCAATTGGTGAAAACTGTTCATCACACTTTAAGGGGACTTCAATGTTTCAGTAAGAATTTGTTTAATTTGTTGTTTTGAATATTTTCATTGTTTTCAGACGGAGAAACAGCTCAAGTGAGTGGAGACGAAAAGCCGAGCAATCAGAGTAGTGGTAGTCAATCGTATGAATCTCTCGAAGTGGTCGAATCAAGTGCCGACGTTCCAACTGTTAGGGAAAACGACAGCATGACGATTGGGTTTGTTTTCTGATAACATTCGCATATCGATCAATATGTTTTAACTTATAGCCTTTCGGGTGCGTTGACTGTCATAACAAAAGTCAACTCTCTTCTGGCGTCCGCAAGGGACAAGCTTCTTGGTCGTCGTTGGATTCCAACCGACCATGCGGAAACTGTCATCGTTCCAGAAGACCTGGCCCCCGATTGCAAGGTTTTTTTGCACGAAAGAGCAGTAAATAATAAAAAATTTTTAGATTGTTTACCCTGAAAATTTCGCCCCAAATCGTCTCATGGTTGTTCTTCTTAAATCGGACAAATCGAATGAGCAATACGAGACAATTTATCACCTTGTTTACGCCAAGAATGGTTTTAAAAACATTACTCTCTATTCTAATCAATTCATTACAGGACATGCACTGCCTACAATGTACAGCATTTACCGTTGCAAGGACATCAAAGAAGCGCACGATTTATTCCATAAGTGTTATGATTCGCTCATTCTTTTCGATACGATCAGTTCGTTAAATGCAAAGTAAACTGTAAATAGATAAACTGCAGATCCCGAAAGAATGAAAGTCCGCGAAGGAATGGAAAAAATTTTCCGCAAAATCAAGACCAGGCCTCTTTACCAAACTATCCACATTGCGATCGCTTGCGACAGGGTCGACTACTTTGGGGAAGCTGTCGTGGAAATGCTGCGCAGGGCCGGCACCCCAATTGAAACGTTAGTTAAAGATTTTTTTTGTTGAATGCGGTCATGATAATGACCATGATACACATGACTTTCAATAAAATTTTTAACGATTTCTCAATTTTTCTTTTCAGGCAATTCCAACAGTTTTGCATCTGCGAGGGATGTTTCCCCTTACAATTGGCCATCCGCTTCGACAGATATCTGATCGTTGCCCGGATGCTCCAGCTGAAAGCCGATGTCATGATAAAAGATTGGCATGGGAACAGCGTTCTCCACACGGCAGCGCTCAACAGCGTCCGAATGCTCGAAGTTTGTATTCAACAAAAGAAAGACAATTGTGTCTCTTCAGTTTGTAGTTATCCAAGAGTTCCACTTGTGATTTTGTAGCAACAGAAGTGCGAAAGCAAAAAGAATCCAGTTCTCTTTTTTCCCAGAAGTTTGTAGTTTCGCAGAAGTTTTATTGTTGCTAGGTTATTTTGTCATAAGATCTGCGAACAATAGACAGAATCCTTTTCATGCTGGATATGTACTTCCTGCATACCTCTTTTCCTTTTTCTTTGCATTATGCACGCCATTCGAAAGTCTCTAATCCCGGCTCAAGCTCATCCCACTTGCAGTTGCTTTGGAGTGAGACGCCGCAAGTGCTGCCGTTGATCGACGAAATCAACCACGATGGGCACACGCCGATAATTGTTGCTGTGAGGGCTGGAAATCCGCGAATCACGTCGACCTTGCTCGGATTCGGCGCTAAGCTGGCCGTCCGCGGAGTTCCTCGTTCGCCTCTTTTTGAGGCCATGAACGTCAAAAACAGCGCTGGGTAAATGAAAGCTCATAGGAAAATGAATTTTTTCAAATTTCAAAAAAGCTACTTTGCGGTCCGATGAACTTTCAATTTTTCCTCCAGTTAGATAGTTCCTATCCATTTTATTTAGGTGCGCAACTTTACGGGAAATTTCGTTAACTTATGTGAGATAGTAAAAAAATAATAATTTTTATCAAAACTTTACGATTAACTAGCTAAAGTGTTTCGAAAAAAATACTTGAAAAAGGGTAATCATTTGAATTTTTTTTAATGCATTTTTCAAAATTTGTTACAAGTACTCAAATAATAAAATTTTCGTTAACAAGTTCTAGAACAAAATAAATTGCAGTTAAAAAAAGTCAAAACTTTTTTTATTTCGAGCAACTTAGGGACAACTTCCTTTACTTTTTTTTTGCAATTTCGTTTTAATCCAACCAGTCATTATAATTTGTTTATTTTTTCAGTGTCGTGGATGTCCTTGTCAATGCTTCTCCTGAAGTCGCGCACGAGCGTGACGTCTTCGGGAACACGGCCATTCATGTAGCGGCCTACAAAGAGTCTCTGGCAGCTCTTTTGGCTCACAAAACAAAATTCGACTTTGACTTGGACTCAAGAAACCATTTCGGTGAAACTCCTCTTCACTGTTTCGTTCGTAAGGTTGAGAGGAAGATAAGTATCAGAAAGAAAACAGCAAAGTTAAGGCAACTGCCCAAACCCTTCCACTGGTCATGCTCATCGTTTCTCATGGTTGCAATGTCAACGATGCCGATAATCACGGAGATACCGCACTCCACAAAGCGGTTGTTTCCCGGAATGTCAACCCTTTGGTGAGTTCTGACAACATGGAAATGCTCTTTTCAATGACAAATTAATTCCGAAACTCATCTTTTTAGAGCATCCGATTCTTGCTTTGCGCTGGAGCTAATCCCAATAAGGTCAACATGCGTGGCGAATCTCCTCGACACATTGCAGCTAGAATTCAAAAGTGAGACATTCTTGAACAAAATTATTGAGAATAGTGTTAAAAACTTTCAAATGTAGAAAATCTCCTAAAAATAACCCACATAAAATGATTATTTGTTTCAGCATTGATGCTATGAAGGATTTGATCATCTGTGGTGCTACTCGTTGTGCCAAAGACACTTCGGGATGTGTGAGCGACTGCGTGAATCTTGAAACGAGAAGCGTTTCTGACGTGGATACGCGAATTTTGCATCTCACTCCATTGGCCATCGACGACTACCTGGAAGCCGACTACGAAGGCGCTACTCTGGACCATTCTGAGAAGGTTTTTCCTCAAATAATGAAAAATGAAAAGTAAAATTGATTTCAACTACGATAAAACTGGAAATGTATATCCAATCAATATTTGAAATGATCATTTCAGGAAACGTTCAACGAGCGTCTTGCCGAAGAGTTTGCACAGAAGCCAAGGAAGATGGTGAACTTGCTGTCGATGGACGGCGGTGGCATCCGGGGACTTGTCATTATCCAGGTAAACATTTTTACTTCATTTTCAAGCATTTCCGAAATTTTGCAGACTATGCTGGAAATTGAGCGTCGACTCGGTGAGCCACTGTTTCCGTATTTCGACTGGGTCGCTGGAACTTCTACTGGATCTCTCATTGCCGCAGCTCTTTCTAAAGGTGGAATTTTGAATTACCTCAGAAATAATTTTACTTTTCAGGCCTTTCACTTCAGCAGCTTCTGCTTTCCTACATTAGATTCAAGGATCAAGTTTTTGAGGGTTTCGCTCCGCCTTTTGATACTCGCCTTCTCGAAACTTTCATCAAGGAACAGATTGGAGAAGGACCAATTTCCGATTTGAAATATCCGAGGTTATTGAACTCGAAACTTTTTCATAAATTGCAATTTAACAGGTTGATGGTGTCGGCTGTGAATGCGCTAAGGTTCCCGGTGAAGCTTGAGTTTATGCGTAACTATTCTCCAAATGATGTGGATGCTTCGGAAGGTTCAAAGCCAGTATAAATTGGTTTGAAATATTTTATTTTCCAGAAATTCCCTTGTGGGTTGCTTTGCGTCGATCTACTTCTGCTCCTGTGTTCTTCAATCCGTGTGATGAATACATCGACGGCGGTATCATTGCAAACAATCCGACTTTGGATCTTCTTACTGAAGTTCAAAAGTTCAATAGCAAGGCTAAGCTTCAGGTTTCTACTGTTCTGAAAGAAGGTTTCATTAACAACTTGCAGGAAAAGAAAGAAGACCACAAAGTGGAAATCAATGTTGTCCTTTCTCTGGGAACCGGCCAAATCCCGTTGTCCCCAATGATGCCTTTGTTGCTCGATTCTGCTCGGCCTTTGCAGTCGATGCTTGCATTCAAGAACCTGTCGATGATTTTTGTCGATCAGGTGAGATACTGGCAATCAACTTTTTTTTATTTGAAAATCCAGGCGACCGCTTCGGAAGGAGCTCCCGTCACTCGTTCGCGTGCGTGGTGTGACGCCCTTTCAGTCCCATTCTTCCGTTTGAGCGCTCATCTTTCTCATGTTAGTTTTTTTTGGATATCTTTTTCAAGTTCTGGAAAAAAAAATCACATCAATTGATTTTCCAGGCCGTTCAACTCTGCACAACGAACGACGTGGATGTAGTGACGATGATGTGGGATACGTTGAAATACTGCCGCAAGAACCAGGACTACCTTGACCAGATCTGCGCAATGCTCAAACACGACCCGAAGCACGTCCAGCGAGGCTCTCCTTTTGCCAAAGGATCCACGGTTCAGTCCTACATGGACGGAACTCCTGCCAAACAGCACTCGATTGTGTAAATGTTTACCAACTGTTTTCTCTTTAATAATTTATCATCCTTGCTATTGTAAAGTTTGATCTCTTTACTGTGAATAGCCGTTTTAAATTTTTTAAATTTTAATATGTCTTTCGACTCTTTCAAAAAAAGCATCTTTTTTTGGTTTTAACCGGTGTTCCACCTTGGAAAGTGATAATTCTCGCATTTTTTTTAAAAAGTTGATTAAGATTTTATTGTATCCCACATCGACAAAATCCGGTTTTTCGACTTTGTATGTTTCCATGAATTCCTGACGTATTTTTATGTAATGTTTTCATTTTTTTAAATTTTATATGACACTTGAGAATATATTTGCTACGGCCCTTGTTGAGAATTTTTATTGCTTTGTTTGAATATGTGGTGGTATGAAAAGAACACCAGCGAAAATTCAAACGGCGACTTTTCCGATTTTTTCAAATCGCTAGGGAACTTTCCGACGGCCACCTTTCCGACTAATCTTTTTCCGACTTTTTTTCTCGATAAAATCTTCGTTTTAAATCTTCCTATACAAATTAGGTAGTTGGTTCATGATTAAAACACAAAGAAATAGGGATAAAAAATGTGAATAGATGTCTTATAAACCGAAAAATATAAGGGAAAAAAGTCGGAAAAAGTTTCGTCGGAAAGGTGGCCGTCGGAAAGCTCCCTAGCGATATGAAAAAATCGGAAAAGTCGCCGTTTGGATTTTCGCTGGTGTTTTTTTCATACCCCCGAATATGTTGAATTCACAACTTGAATGCGTGTAATTCTTTAATTGCCTACTTTTGGTAGTTGTCATTGCCGACTCTACGACCTTTTCAAACAATTGCCTATCTTCTCTTACAACTCATTTGTCTCCAGTTCACAACTTTGTGGAATTTTTTATCAACTTTTGACAGCGCTGCGATATTCTATTTAATTGTACCTCTTCGACTCTGTTTTAATCGGGTTGTTCAGATCCTTTTAAACGTTTCACTGCAACAAGATGTATAAATTTTCACATGCGCTTTTTGATGCACATAGAGAAGAATTGGCGAATTTTGAAGGTTTTTTGAATTGTTCGCAATTTAAAGAAGGAATACTTTGCACTTTTAAAAGCATCATTCAAACAATATCAAGAAGAAAACATTTCAATTTGAAATTTTTTTTTCCAATTTTCAAAAATTCAACGGATTTTTGGTTTTAAATCTTCTCTAACGGCTGAATTTCGCAATAAAAAGCTGAATAAATTTTTCAATGCGTGATTAATGCAGTTTTATGAACTATAAACAGCCGCTGGACAAAATTTCATTGCTATTTTCATGAGGGTTTATTACATATTTTCTCCTCGAGATATTTCGAGCCGGATTTTCTCGAATAAAAATGTCATTGTTCAATACATCCTCAATAAATGAATGATGATCGAAGGAATAATATTTTTTAATCTTATCTATTTTTCTCAATTACTGACTTTACAAACTCTTTATGATAATTTGAGTAATGCTAATGATAATAAAAAAAGACTAATTAGTTTTTGTAGAAGCTTTTAGGAAGAAAAGCAGACAGCTCATTTCCTATCAATAATCGTATCATTTCGCTAGGTTTCACAGCGATACGCATAGTTTTGATAAAAATTGAAAAAAAGTCTTTCAGAGCTTAAGACAACTAGATCAGTGGATGTGAAGACAAACTGGCCCCAAGAGAAGCTCGTACTTTTTGCGCACGCATCTCCTCCAGCCATTTATCTGATCTTGCACTGCAATCGGGAGTTTAACATGTCTCCTCCGGTCGGCTCGAGGTTGTTGGCGGCTCTCCGGAGTCAGGTGCTCGGCGGCCGGAATCTGCGGCTCTCGGAGCTCTTGTGGCTCATAATGCCACCCGGGGCATATGCAACCTTTTTCCGCAAACCCTTGACCCATATCTCTTTCCGCTCAATTGCCTCTCGTTGGTTGTTTTCATACCTCTAGACCACTAAAAATTTTAATTACTTCCACTAACGACGCACATGTGTTCGTATTTTCCTTCAACGCTTTTTCTGCCGAAAATTTAGGTCGACGGAAAAATCCTTTTCCGGCTTCATTTATCTATCGAACAGTTTTTCGAAAAATATCCTTTTCCCACAGAAAATTTTTTTTTCCATTTTGGTGAGTTTTTTCAAAACAAAAAACAACAAAAAGATGCCGTGAGTCTTCTCAAATTTGCATTCTTTTTTTTCCTGCAGTCGCTGGAACACGCTAAAACGCGATTGGCGGCTCGCAAACCCCCATTCCCATATTTGCCTTTGTAAATTGAGACGTATTGTTTTTCGGTTGCAGATTTATTTCTCACTACTCGAAAGTCTCAGTAACTTGCATTTCGCTGCAGAAGCCTTTCGAAGCGATGTGACATGGAAGAAAACGACGCGTTTCCGCAAAAAAGTCCGTTGTGTCGCCGTGGAACAAAGAGGTTGGTTTCAACTTCATTCACACAGAAAAAATACAAAGCTTTTAAATCTGAAAATATATTATGAAGCTTATGATGTGGAGAAGTTGTCAAAAATGGATAATTTTTTAAAACCCAGAAAAAGTCTGGAAAAGTTCCTCTAATGATTCAATATCCGGAAAATCACTCCTAGTTGATCGGGTGATTTTTGCTAGAATATATTGGCTCTTTTTCTCTTGAAAATGTAGGTTTCAGCTTTTTTATCCCCAGCCGCACGTGTCTTATGAGTAATGTCGTAGAATGAGTGAAAGGGTCGAGAGACAGTTTAAAGTCGGTTTAAAAAAACGGCCGAGCTTGAAGAACTTCACGCAAGAATATCGCAACATTATACGACTTGAGAGTGGTTTTTTACGACATGATATCCTTTACACAGCTGGATTTTTTAAAAGTTGGCTTTCATTTAGGATAGAAAACCAAATTTCGAGTGAAAAATGGTGGAATATCTTCATTTTAGCTTTTTCATACTGTAAAGAACGCCCACAAAAAAAGTTAATCGATCAAACAACATAGACTGAACATGTCTCCACTTTGAAGCCCACGTATATTTGGGGTTTCAAATCGGCGGCTCCTTTTATTTAACTCGGCTCTCAGCTGAACAAATATCCACGGTATCACTTCTGTTGACTTTCGTGTAGCCGCATTCAAAACAGCTTCTCATGACGCTTTTAACTTTTCTCTTTTTCGAGGAACTTTACAGATAAAACTTCTATGAACTTTTGTGATCATTCTTTTCTTCTCCTTTTTTCATAAAGAACAAAATCAGTTCATCGAAAATTTTTGTCTACCCCAGTTTTACTACTGAAACGGTCTTGTTGTTTTCTACCATGTTTCAGATGAAAGTTTGAAAAAATTTCCCTTTGTCCATTTTTGTCTTCTTCGAAAGTTAAGGGATAACTCATATGGTGTCATAAAATTTTCCGCTGTTCACAGTTCCCGCTCTGAAGTTTTCGATATCTCTGACAGTTGAAAATTTTGAAAAGTTTACGAATAAAACGTTTTCGAGTCCAAACTCTAAAAAAAAAAGTTTCAAGTTCAATGAACGGTCATCCTAATCGCGGGCTTTTGTACCAATTTGAAAAAAACCAAGAAAAATAGAGAGTTTGCAAAAAAATGATAAATGTTTTTCAGAAATACACACTTGAAACCCGCATGAGACTGGATTTTTTTCCATATCCTCTTAAAAAAAGTAAAATTAGCCTAAAATGGACAAAAAAATCTTTTTTTGAACAGTTCATGATGTTTCATTCTTAATTCAAAATACGGCTGTGATTTTCCGTTTAGAGTAAATATTCAAAAATTTTGTTTTCTGAGTGTTTACTCCTAACGTCAAAATTGAATATTTTTAAGCCGAACTCTCATGATCGTTTTTTACTTTTCAAAAGAATTTTTTTCCAAATGCTCCTGTGACGTTGTAAGTTGTCCTATGTTCTTACACGAGAGTGAAATCCGAGAAAACGGACCGGAAAGAGACAAAATGAATTGCCGAGTGATCGATTGCAAAATGGCGACTTCGGGGGCTCATTGTACGCTGTAACACCTCCAAGGCGGTAGGAGGTGGCTGTGACAAGGCTCATGAATTGTCGCCGCAAGCATAACCTTCCGTTTTGCCCGAAACTGCGCGCAATCCAAGAAGAAGACGTGTTGTTAAAGCATTCCGGGCAGTAAATGTACATAAAATGTTCGGCCCTCAAACGCGAAGCCGTTAAAGTTTTTACAGTCTTGAATTTTCACGGATACGTGAAGCATTTATCTTTTTCTCTTGGCATGATGGAAAATAGTTTTAGTTGAAAAATTTTTTGCTGAAAAAAGCTGTACATGTTTATGAAAAATCATGAGCAACGAGTTTTTGAGAAATTTTTCGTCATCGTCTTCGTAATGAGCTTTTTGAAATTCACACTTCAATTTAAAAAAAGGGCCTGAAAAGTCTACATTTAGCAAGAAAAACATTTTTTTTAAAAGTCAACTTTCAAATCAAACCAAACTTCTGCCAGTGACAGTTCTGTGATACATAATCATTCGTCATGAGACCTTCGGAATCGAAAATTTGATCTGACAGATCGACTTCTTGTTGACCACCCAGTGATCAACTATCTGTCACGTTTCTTTTTTTTTTGGATTCTTAGTTTCCAAAAATGTCTCCCTTGGTTTATTTTTCAGTTCATAATTTTTTTGCTCAGTCATTAAATGAGATATACTCATATCGGCGGTTTTTTTAGCTAATGCTTTGGAAACTAGAAGTACAAGGAAATGTCAGAAAAGCTGAGATCAACGGAAAATCTTCACCCAGATTCCAAGAAAGGCCTTCATGGTTTTTGTGAACTTCTCAATTCCCCCTCCTTCTTACTTCTCTCTGGCTTTGAGATGTTGAATAAGCAGCTAAGAGAAGCCGGCTTCTTTTTGCGATACAGAAAACTCATTTGCATCCATCATTCACTGATTGTTTTCAGCTTGCGCATACAACGGCTAGTGGATTGCCAGCACTTTCACTACGCGTTTGTCGAATTAGGCCCAATAAAGGTTTTGCTTCAAAACTTCTTTTTTTTTTTAAATCTATAGAAATACACTTTTAGGTCGAGTTTGATACTGTGGAAGTGAATGAAAACGGCGAAGAACGCATTGTTTTTTCAGTGACCAGCAACCAGAATACTTGGTATGTCCTTTTCTGTTACAGATATCAACAAATAACTGAGTCGAAGGCCGCAATCTTTCACTTTGTTCTGAAATTCCTCATTATTTTGCTTGCTGTTTTTCTTGAATTTTTGATCACCTTCAAGTTTCTCTAAAAACTGAAAAATAAAAAGCTTTCAAGACTATGAAAATGTTTTGCTTAAATATGTCACGTCTCATAAATAACAGTTCCGTCGTCCGACTCCCTTTATATCCCAATTAATCAACCTGGTGGCGGTCGCCTGCTTTAATCTGAAAAAAAGAACGCCGCTCAACCCATTTTATGACCACGTTTGGAACATTTGAAAGCGAGAGGAGTGTCGAAAAGCGAGAATTGCATTGATCCCAGTAAGGATGAAAAACGCGAGAGAAATCCACGCAAACAGACTATTGGCCTGGGTTATCAGGCAGGTGAATCGAAGCCGTGAGGAAATGGCGCTTTTCGATCGCCAACTCCACCGATGCGTCTTTGAACGGCGGCTTTCGCGGCTGGACGAGCTTTTTCCTCTCAAAGACCTTAACAAAACTGAGTTCGAGGTTAGTTTTTAACTTCTTCAGTTTAAAATTCCGTCTGCTTTTGACGGATATAATCCAGTTTGTTATCTGCTGAATATGATGCTAGAACAAATTCGAAAGATCGATTTCTTGTCACTCTCCAATGATGGATTTCCTTTATGAGAATTGAATTCATATTTTCAATTTAATAAATAACAGAAATTGAAATTTCATTTTTTGGTGCAACCCAAAAAATATGGCGGCACTCATACATACCAAGTGGACTTTCCATGTTTTGCTCCAAAATTTACTGTACCTGAGAGGAAAAAAACTGATTTTGGTCTGCTGAGCTTCCAAGCTGCCGTTTTTCAGAGAAATCAAAGGTCCACGAGTAGTTTAAAAAAATTATACATCAATTCGAAACTCCCGAACTATCAGTTTTTCCTTTCACCTAAATGAGTTAAAATGAAAAATTTTTCAGGAGGTCTTGAGCAGATATTCTGATCGCCTCTCTCAACTCACAGGAAGCATAATAACTTGTTATCCCGTTTTGAAGTTTTTGGAGGTTCGTTGAAGTTTTTTTTGACATTCACCAAAATACAAGACAAAAAGTGAAACTACTTATTTCATTTTAACCTATTATTTCGGTTTCAAAGAAGCTTTGCATTTTCGACTGGAGCTTGATTCAACTTTCCAAAAGTTCCTACCAGAACCCGGTATCACCCAATTAGTTGGTTCATCTTCAACTTCCACAGCTCATAAAGTCAGCTAGGCGTAATAAGCACGACTGACTCACCTTGACGCATTCATAACTGTTTATTGGAGGTCGATTGCCGCGGAGATCGTTTCGAACCGGCGGAAGAGACGTCGATCAACGTTCCCGCGATCGCTGCGGCGGTAGTCACCAAAGACTTCGAGCCAACCCACGAATCCCATTTGAGACTTCGGGTGAGTTTTTTTTCAGCTTGATTTTTTTTTTTGACTGTTCATGCAAAAAATGTTTTTTCGATTTTTTGGAAGTTTTTGATCTATGGGATTTCATCAAAAGGACTGAAATTTTTCCAACTTTTTATAGGTCTTCTTTTGAATGGTAGCAGCAAATAGAACTCGTAGTAAATGACTTCTGCAGCTCTTACAGGCTCACAGCACAGTGTGAAAATCAAAAAATCTGAAATTTGAAAAAAAAAATTTTTACAGTTCATGTGAAGCTGGGCCAAAACTTGGAAGGTGTTTTTTTACAATGAACATACGTTTCTACAACTTTTTTAGTCTCGAACCAGCGATGAACAAAATTAAGAAAATCAAAGAACTCAAAAAAACTCCTTTTTCAGGTGGGCGATATCGTTTCGATTATTGAAATGACGTCACCCGTTCAAAATGAGGTGATTCATTGGAAGGCGAAACTCACGATATCCAATAGAAAGGTCTCAGACAATCCAGACCGGCAAGGATTTGAAGTGAGTTTTCTTCTAATGGAGCTTTTCAGACATGTTTTTTTCTATGTTTAGGTTGGCTATTTCCCAAGTGACTGCGTCATGCTTATTGATGACAAGCAGATGCCGACGAATGTGAATGCGCAGAAGAAGGTTTCTGCCATATCAAGAACATTCTTTGTGTTAACTTGCAGTTTCAGGGTACTTTGAAAGGCGCCAGGAGGATGTCGGATATGATAAGGAATCGGGTTCGACGTCGAGAGCCCATTTTTGGCGTTGACCTTCCTGAAGTCTATGAGCGATGCAATAAACGAGGTAAAAATAATCTCATTCTATTATGAAAATTGTTTTTTCAGTTCCAATCATAGTTGAAAGATGTTGTGAAGCTATCGAAAAACAGGGCATTGTGACGGGTATCTACAGACAATGTGGCATTCAATCCAATATTCAGCGATTACGGTATAATCTTCTCCAGTTTTTATACTAGAACATTTTTTCAGAGCAAAATTTGATAGTGGAGCTGAGCCAGACCTGAATGAGTTCGGTTTGAGAGACATCTACTCGGTTTCTTCCCTTCTGAAGCAATATTTCCGACAGTTGCCAAATCCATTGTTCACTTATCAAACCTACTCACGAATATTAGTAAGAACTTATCTGAAGTATGAAAACTTCAAGTAATTTGATTTTCAGAAAGCTTTTGATACCGAGCCTGAGAAAAAAGTGGAATCATTGAAAGAAGTTCTGAAACTCATCCCGGAGGCTCATTACAAGTGATACTCCCATAGTTTTTCCGTTAGTTGAATATTTGTCGTTTAGAACCGCAAAATACCTTCTAAAACATCTTTGTCTGCTCTGTTCTCACAAAAACCTGACGGATATGACGGCAAAAAACTTGGCGATCGTTTGGTCCCCGAACCTTTTCAGGTATTCGAATCGCCACAGAATATATTAGAATAACAATACAGGGCACCTCCAACACTGAATGGCGTTGACTCACACATGCTCAGCGGTCTGAACGTCCACACGGCCATTTGCGACTTTTGTATCGAGCACGCTTTCGAAATTTTCGAAGAGAAAGAAGAAGGTTGGCTTTTCATTCACTCGGAAAATTTCAAACCAACGTCAATGAGAATTTATTCCATTTACCTTGAAAAAATTTATTTTTCAGCCGAAGCGCTTGAAACAAACTTTCTCCCGATTGAGAGCGGTCTCGGAAAAATTGAAAAATCAGCAACAATGTCGGACATGAGGTTGAGGCTCAGAGGATCCCCAAATGAAAACGAATGGTTTTAGAGCAGAGACCGACTCGAAATGGCCGCGCTTCTGGCGAGGAAAATCTGTCGAGGGATTCTGGAAGTTCAACAAAAAGACGGGCAGCACGGATTTGAGTAGCTCTCCTACCAGCGAGGTGAAATGGAGAAGGTAAGATTCAAAAATTCAAATGAGAAGTCTTCAACAAGTTTTCAAACCGATAGTTTTGAAATAAAAAGTTTCATTTCAAAATCATCATCTAACCGCTAACCTAAGCGCAAGAAATTTTATTAGCGTATTATTTTCTTACTGGAAATTTAATAACCATTTTCCATGTATTTGATGAATTACTGTTTCAGAAGCATGAGATCGCATTCAACGGACGCGTCGTTCCAATCTTCAAGGACAGACTCCATAATTTCGTTCATGTCGCGAGGAATGGACGAGATTCGTGATGGAGTACGGTCACTTCGAGCAAGAGCGCGGAGCATGCGGCCCACCTCGCGACCTCCGCCGTCGCCACGTGCACGACGTTCCAGGGCTTCTCAACCTACTCCAAGTCCCCGTTTTGCGGAAGAGAATCGCAGTATTCAGGTGAGAGCTTTCCATCGGAAAAGTGACTAAAACATCCTCAGATAATGCAAGAGTCGGTGGTGACAACTTCATCAATGTCTCAGAACACCGACGACACTTTGATTGATCGAAGATCCCAGCAGACACCCAACTTGACAAGGTTCGTTTTTCAAGTCTTTAAAAATAGTAACGATTCCTGCAGGAATGTCAGCGTGAGTGAAACCTCTACGGATGACCCCAGCCAGCAAGAAATGGATCTCCGCGAGCGGAAAGTTATGTTCAAACAGTCTCATGAAGGTAAATCCATCGAAATCACAGCCTATGCAGAAATATGACTGAGTATAGTTTTGGGAGATCAAACTAAGAGGAAGTTTTTTGAGATTAGGAATATTTTCAAAAAATTTTCTTTGCTGCATAAGGCCACAAATTAGAAATGCTCTTAAAAAACCTCCAACTTGAAAAAAAAGAATTGTTACAACATTGAAGGTATGAGGTCATCTCAAAAACATGGTTTAGTTTTTTCTAGCAAGAGTTGAGAAAATGATACAGACCCCCTTCAGCAACGTAAATTCATAGGGGAAAAGACCCATGTAGGTTCGTTTTTTGCTGAAAAATCTCTATTTCTTCTTTTCTCAAAAAGCTTTTTTGAGATTGAACTATTTCTCTCGATTCAGTACACGCGACACCAATCCATGAGAGATCGAGCCCGGTAGAAGAATGGTCGAGTGACAGTAGGGAAAGCCTTCATTTGGAGATGAGCCGCTACGACAACGTGTCCCCAAGTGGAACTCTTACTCGTGGTAATATCTCCAGAAAAATTTCATAAGGCTGCCAAATTTGGCGCATTCCTAAGCTTTTCAAGCTTCTTCCGAGTCGACTAAGTTTTCCGAAGTCGCGAAATGATTTCAACCAAACATAAAATGCAAGCATGCGTGTGCGGCATCGTTTTCATGAATGGCATGGGCCTCTGGGCGGCCTGCGACCACCTCATTTTCTCTCTTTCTTTCTCGATTCCACCCATTTTTCAACGAAGCGACTATTTGCAGGCAACCGAGAAGTCGTCGCCAACAGAACGTTGTCCGCCCCTGTCACTTTCTTCGATTCACCACGCGCAAAGCAACTTTTTCTTGCCTGAATTTCTGAAAAAAAGTTAACAACCAACACCTACCTTTCTTATTTATTTGTTTTTCAATCGGAAATAAAAAATAAAAAATAAGCTTTTTTTTCTTCTGAAAATTTGGCTTCCACCCAAGCAAAAGTTGATGTCGAAATGTGGTCTTGTGAAATTGAGAGTGTGAATCTATTTTTTGTCGGTTTCTCGTTGTACTTCATCCGAAAGTTGGTCTCATGACATGAAGATAAACTCACGCGCAAATTCATGTCAAGTCCATAGGTTGTGGACGTACTCGGCCGTGAAATTCAAGAAAAAAAACAAGAAAAAAATGGCCAGCAACGCAATGAACGCGTCTTCAGATTAATACTGCGCCTCTCTTACTTCTCTATGAAATTTTCACACAGCTGTAAACTTTTTCTGGGGATAACGACTTGAACGATATCGGGGGAAAACCTCTTAGCATTCTGTTCCTTTTTTTACAGCATACGAAAATATCTCGCGCGTGGTTTGTCTTTCGCGGCTTTGGGTAATTCGATTTCTCTCAAATTTAGCTAAGCTCGGAGCAGCAACTCTTACGCCCATCAACAATCGACGTCCGCCGTTGAGCCATAAAATGGCTCCGGCCAGACTTCCTACCTCCACCACGGAAAGTTCAAGTAAGATGTCTTATTTTCGTTTGCGAGAATATGAAAAAAACTGCAAAGAGTTGAATAACGGCTTTTCAAAAGAATATTTTGGAAGCTGTAAAATGCTGCCCAAAGACCTGCATTTAAAAATCAAAAAATTGGTTTGAAAAATTGTTCTGAAAGATGCTTCGCTGAAATTCGTGAAGAAATATTTTTCTAATTCTAGAAAATGGAAATGATAAGATTTTATCACGAAATATTATACGGGGATGTGCTATATTGACCTAGCTGTTAAGTCTTTTTTTTGTGAAGGATGTGTTTTTTTTATTCTTGTTTATTTTTTTCATGTATTCAAACTTCACCAGAGGATCAATTTCAAAATTTAATTTATTTGATAATATTTGAAAATGGTTCAAATTATTCATCAAACCTTGGACAACTTGACTTCAAAAAAAGATCAATTTTTAAATTTCAAATTCATCATTCTTAAAGATTGTGGTAAATGAAATATTCTTGTCTTTTTCTGAGTTGTTCGAAAATTTCTTCTTGAATAATTTTTCTGAAAACTAAGCTTGTCCAATTTTTCCAATTTGATTTTTTTATTTTTTTATTTTTTTCCAATATTTCTCAGCGATTGCGAAAACAGATTTTTCCAATATTTCTCAGCGATTTCGAAATTGTCATTCTACAAAGCTTCAACTGAGAAAAGAGAAACGCTTGAAAATTTTTTTCGTGTTATCAGGAATTCATTTTTTTCTTCGTTCGAAAATCAACATCAAAGTTCCACTTCCACCTTGAAATTTCCAAATTTTATACGAAAATTCGTTTCTCACGTTCGTTAACTTTTTTTTCCCATAAAATCAAGAAAACATGCGGTAAAATTCTTCTTTTATTTACAGAAAAGAGTCCTGCCGTGAAAAAATAGTTGCGCGGACCGTGGGAAAAAACTATATCGTTTGATCAAAATCATCGATAAAAATGCGATAAAAATAACATGAGTACAAAAAGGGTAAGTCATATATACAGAGCATCAGATCGGATGGATTGACCCATTTGAGCCACTAATGGCGCCAAAACCTCTACCAACAGACCTCGCGCGCAAATCAATAGCACGCCCTGCCTATTTTGCGTGAATGAGCGTATTCAACGTAGGGAAAAACTTTTTTCTTACCTATGGGTAGCCAAAACTCTCTGCTGTTTTAAATTTCAAGTTTGAGTTAAACTCATCTTATTTCAATCGGAAAAGAGTCAGGTGGAAAAGCTAGTTGTAATGTGATATTTGCACAGAGCCTTATTTTCCCACGCTGTTTCTCTCAGTCCCTTGTGCCCTCTAGACAGGTGGCCTTTTCTCTTCCCTTTTTATCTCTTCCGATTCAAAAAAAGAAAAGCAAAAAAAAAATGAAATCTATAAAGCGCTTTAAAAGCCTTCCTGCTAAGTTCGTCGCAATTTTCACAATCGATAGCCTATCGTTGGCTCCCTTTTTTGCCCATTCCTCTTTTTGTGTTCTTTCCTGGTTTGAGGCGTGACTCAAAATGTGATGACTTTTTGCAGGATAGAATAATATATTTTAACATCGAACATTTTTGCTCTATTTCAAAGATAATATTCTGTGCTCTTTTTTCCTCGTCTTATTTTACATGACACTTATATTTCAGGGACCAAAAGTAAGCATGCCGCAATGAGTGTTGGACCAAAAACGTCAAGCATAACGACGTGGTTCCAACAAGGACCTGACAAGCGACCTGTGAGAAAGCAAACTCGGCTGGGACCGCCGGACGTCTTCCCACAGGATCCGCGACAGGAAGAAGACCAGCTCACTACGGAAAGGCTCAAAAAAGGATACCAGGTTTATTTCAAACACTAAAAATATATTCTCATTTTTTTCATCCCAAGATTTGTAAAGTTCAATAGTTTGATGGGGAGTGAATGAAATTGTTTATATGATCAATACCAATGATTCCAAGTTTCATTGTATTAAGCATCAAATTGAAAAAAGGCAAAGCCAATGAATATGACTAAACATATGACTCATGTAAATTTCGAAATCAGAAAAAAATGAATGAAACGAACGCCATTCTCGAGTCGCGGAGAAGCGGTGGAAACAGTTTGGCGCAAATGAGTCACTTGATGGCAAGACTTTCCCATGCAGTCTGCGCGCTTCTGTCTGCATCTCTCCAAAAAAAAGGGGGCACCTGCTACATTTTTTGTCCCGACGCTGCTTTTGTTTTTTTTTTTTTGCGTTGCTCTAAACAAAAGTAACACTGTAGCTTTCCGATAAAACCCAACAGAATTGAGGTGTTTTCAGTATCCTGTGACAAGCTACGAACATGAGTCCCTCGTGTACAACGGTCGAGTTCAACGCCTGGAGCGTTTGGAAGAAGCTTCCTACAAGGCAAACGTCCTCATTGCACTTGTCGGTTCCTTATTAAGCATCTTATCTGAGTAATTTTTTCAGGTTATGTACAAAAAAGGAGAATTCAATGCAACTTTGGACAAAGAGAGGAAAAAGAACCGTGAACAAATCAGTGCTCAGATGACTTTATGTCCTGCAAAAGCTATGGTGATTGCAAAAAAACTTATAATTTTGAGTTATTATTTTTTGATTTAAGCTCAAAGAGAGAATGATGTTTTTCACCGATTTATCACGAGGGAAAGCACTTTCGCAGCTGGCAAAACGAGTACCTCAATTCCGCAAAAAAGAGGAAATTCTCGAATTTTTGTATGAATTTCGGTCAGTTTGGAGGAGTATTTTCAAATCGCAAATTCGAATTTCAGGATACCAATGTACCGGGCTCTGTGGTTCTACAAAATGACGGCAGTTCTTTCTTATTCACAAAGTAGCAGCGGGAAACAGAAGAAAACTGTCAGCGATTCTTGCTCACAAGGTTTTTCGAAAAAAATGATAAAATTTATAACTTTTTTCCAGCACTCTCGGACTTTTCACACATGTGCGGGAAACATCTCCGGTCTCTTATTTTTCCAAATATGGCAAAAACCACAGAGAAAATCGCACACGAGAAGTGGACGTACGCAACAACGTTATTCCGAAGAGCTTTTGATGTTCGTTTTCTTCTTTCTATTTCACTTGTGACTTTCCATTAATATTTTGTGAAATATGATAAATTGCAAAATGAAACTGATAATAGCTTTTTCCTCAATATTTGCTTAGTTTTAGTTTTTTTAATCTACATCAAAATTCTCCAAACAGGCTAAAGAATACTGAAAAAATTAAGGAAGGAGTTCTGGACCGTCAAGAGTTCCTCAACGAGTTGTGCGAAGTGTTTTCCGAGTGCTTCGTCCGTTCTCCTCCCGAGTTTCAAAAACAAGAAACTCCCACCCAGCTCCGGTATAATCTCGTTTTTAGTATTTTTCAACTTTGCTTCGTTCAGAATGTATCTTTTGTTTCTCATCAAGTTCACTCGTGAGATCAGCTGGAGTTTGATATTGGCAAGAAGAACTGCTCATATGATCGCCATGAAGATCCGAATGATGTACGACCAATCAGAAGGCTGGAAAAAACCGTCAAGAAGAAGGCGAAGAAAAAGAAAGAGGAAGTTTCGTAAACTACGTCTGAAGCTGAGGATGCAGCAAAAAACCAAACGGAAGCCTATCATTTTCAAAAAGTGAGATTTTAATGATTTTTTTTTTCATTGTTTGAGATTTCCAGGAAAGCGGACGCTGACGGATTTTTGATTCCCGCAAAACCAAAAAGGGTTGGAGCACTGCTCAATAAACAGAAAGAAACGTTTTACGAAGCGAAAGTGGTAAAAAAGCCCAAGACAAAAAGTCGAGACAAGAAAAAATCGAAAAAGAAGAAGTCAAAAAGATCAAAATCTTTGAAAAGACTTCAATCTGCGGGACATCTGAAATTTTTCGACCCTTTCGATATCATGGAGAAACCAAAGAAGAAGAAAAAGAAGAAGAAGAAGAAAAGGAGGAAGTCGCACAGAAAAGAGCCGGAAGACGTCATTATGGCTTCTCCTCCACCTCCACCTCCGCCAGTTATCGTCAAGGCAATTTGCATACCATCTCCGCCACCTCGAATCTCGATGCCAGTCATGGAGATGGACTACGATGATGACGACAAAACTCCAGTCGCCACTCCATCGGAATCATCAGCGCCATCGGAGTCGGCATTGGAAAACGCAATCGAAGCTCTACCAGAAGCAATTCCTAAGTCTCCGACAAAAGAAGAACCAACCACCGAGCCAGCAGCCGAGACACCAGCCAGGCCACCAGCGGACGGAGCTGAAGCAACAACTTCGGAAACAAAGCCACAGACAGAAGATGGTGCTCCTTCGGAGGAGCATTCTGCGGAGAAGCCAACGGAAACGACAGCTGATGCAGCCACTGAAGGAGCGGTCGAAGCAGCTGCGCCTCCTGTTCCGCCTCCTCCACCTATAATACTGAAGCCCGAAATTCCGAAGCCTCATATTCATCCTGGGTTCGCGGCTCTTCATAGGTGCGCTCACTACAGATCTTGTATGCACCTGATGAGTGGTATTCTTCATTCGATCGTCGTCGACGCCCCTTCGGCTGTCATTTGGAATCCATTCATGGTGAGATTTTCAGTCAAGATCATTTTGAAGGCGCATGAATATTTTAGGTTGGAATGGAACGGAAGCCTCCGATTCTTCAACAGCTGTGTGGTTCACCGCTCGACCCTTTGCCATGCCCAGTCTATGAACTTCCAGTCCCGTTGTGTAAAGGTTTCATTCACACATTAATATTTCTGTAGCTATTTTCCTAGAAATGGAGAAGTTCTACGAGGTTTTGAAGCTACGGCATACCGAAGTCGTAAGACGCAGTCAAGCAGTACATGACCGTTGGAATTTCACAAACATCGACAATTTTGCTTTCGGTTAGTTTGGAATTGTGATTTTTCTCTAAGACTTGCGAATTGTGCAGGAAAAATGGTCGAAATCTGCATCGACGTCATTGGAATTCTGGATTCTGCCGATCTCATGCTTCCTCATACAGTCGATTATTGCTGTGACCGTCTCTTCAACTTCAAATCGAAGTTTTTCAAAGAAGAGATCATCATAAGGTTTTTGGACTCTTGAAGCATCTATTTTTTGTTTTAGAATAAAATTGATGCTGGTCTGGGCAATAACGGAAGAACGCGAAGGAACTTATCGAGCCACTTTCATTTCAAAGATTCTCCAACACGAGATGTATCGCAAGCAGATTTTCAGCTTCGGTGGAATTTCAATTCAAGATATCATTCTGAATTTTTATTACACTGAAGGACCGAGGGTAAATTTTTACGAAAATTACATGTAGGCGATGGTTTTTTTCCAGTTGGGAGATCCACGATTCTTCAAAGAATTCCACTCTTTGATGCTCCTTTTCCTTGAACTCATGCGCTTTGGACTGTTCAGCCATGACTTGTGAGTTTTCTTTTCTGATTCTGTGATTATTCTGATTTTCAGGTTTGTGAAAAGTCTCATTCGCACCGGAGAGAGCGACTACAGTCGGCCGCTGATGCATAAGTTCAAACTTCCTATCGACACGAAGATCGAGAATAAAATCAAGAAAAAGAAAGAAAAGAACAAGGAAAAGAGCAAAAAGGAGAAGAAAAAAGAACGAAAAGATAAGGAAAGAAAGAAGGATAAGAAAAGAAGTCGAAGCAAAGACAATCGGGAAGGATTCGAAATTCCAACACTTGAGAGTTTTGCTGCTCTCGACGACTTCAACCTCCCTCCACCTGAACTATCTCAACCAGAAATGATTCCTGCGGAGGACAAAAACGGATTGTACATGGGAGAGAACGGTGAACCGGTCATGATGCAGGAAACAGATGGTCCTCTCATCCCTCCGAAGTTCCTTTCATACCCTCCAGAGCCTCAAAATGAGAGAATTTTGCTAGCAGACGCGTTTGATCTGAACGAAAAGCTCCTCATCCAGGTTTTCACTTTTTTTTAATGGATAAACCCAAGTTTTTCCAGTTGCCGCTGCGACAAGTGGAATTTCACAGAAGTGAGGCAAACCAGAGGTCTCTGGTATTGTACGGGATTGACGACTACAGGGAAGCCTACCAAATTGAACTACACAAGGTTTGAAAGAGCCCTCTAGCTTTTTCATTGTGAGCATTTCAGATTGCCCAAGAGATTTGTAAAGTTTGGACGAAAAGAGTACATGTGCAGTTCTCGCCTCACAGCGATTTGGTATGGTTCCCAAGGAGGATGACCAACCCAAAGCTGCACGAGATCCTGACCAAGTTTAGGTGGGTTTATGGTTAATGTTTTGTCACAATACACGTGTTTCTTCAATTTTTATCGCGAGTTCTACTTCTGTTTGTCTAGAGTACATCGAAAAGGTTTCTACATGCACAGTGATTTCCTGATAAGAGGGATAGTGTTCTCCGAAACTCCGCCAGTGTAGTAAGCAGCAGTGCAGACACTCTGAATATGGGAGAATTATGCAAGGATATAATTAGAAATGATAATGAATACCTGCTCAACATCATCCAAGTAGTAGTACTGCATTTGTCCGCAAATAAGAAGCAGGATCTGAAAGTCTAAGAAATCCTTATAGTTTTTCACACTCACTTCAAGACTTTGTCTGGTGGGAATCATCCTGAATCCGTTTTCTGTTCTTTCTCCCTGGCACGCCATAGCCCATTGCTAAAATTTATCGCCTATTTAATGAAAAATAAGGTGTCTTACTTCCGTGGCGAAAAATGATTGTTGGCCGGTTGTTGGGCAGATATTTTGCAAGTACTAAATTATGTATGCTTTCAATATAAGAAACAGTTAAACAAACCTTATTGTACGTTGCAATGATGTTATATCTGAAATTCCAATAAATGTTTTGGCAAAACTGTTGCCAGTCCTAAAAATTGACATGTCATTTTTAAGTATCAAGAAAATACATGAGGTGGTGTAGTAACAAATTCGTTTCCTGCTGTTGTGGATGGCTGCTCGAATTTGCTTCTGATTACAAATTATTGAGATCCTCAAACTAACCTTGGAAGTGGAATCGTTCTCGACAGTTGTAGCATTATCACTTGTCAAAGTCGCGTTTTGCGCAACAGTTGAGAAAAGACAGAAAACCGAGAGAAGACCCCAAAATCGAAGCAACATGACTGTGAAAGACGGTTTTAAACCCATGAGGCTGCTTTTTATAGGGGTCAAAGAAAAGTGGCAAAATCATTTTCTAAATTTTCTAAGATCCATTGTTTACCTGCGTTATTGAATCACCGGAAAATTTCTTCTTCGTGCTTTTCTATTTTCCTATGACTCAAAATTTTCGCAATATATTTTTTTCCGATTCTTCTTTTTTTCATTGCCTCACATGATACCAATATCTTTTATTTCGCTTAGAAGAGACGAGAGAAAAAATTCAATCGATACACTCCATGTAATAAGTTTTGATCATTTTTTGCACACGGCGGATTTTATTTGGTCGATAAGATCTTTGCTGAATCCTTTGTAGAAAGCCATAGTGCAGGTGCTCTGGGATCAGTCGATATTAGTAAGAAATTCGTGTCATGTTACTACCTTTTCCACTTCGTCAAGGTAGTAGAGCTGCATTTTAGTGCAGATCAACCGAAGAAGCTGCAAAACGAAAAAAATTATTAAAAGTTTCGTTTCAAAAAAGAACTTCAATGTTTCGATCGTAATTGGAACTGATCAGGCTGAAGCCGTTTCTAGTTCCAGAAGGTCCACAGGCGCTGGTCCACGCCTGAAAAGGAAATTTTCACATTTATCCTACATTGTTAATAACAGTCTGAGTTGTAGTAGAATCGCGATTTCCAGGAAGGCACATTCTGCTCATAATCTATAAATTTTTCTATTTAATAGAAGATACTCAAATCCAAACGTTCTGGAAGTTATAAGGGTCATATCCGCCGGTCTTCCAGTAATTCTGAACATTGTAACTGCTGCACAAAGGTTGCCAAATCTGGAAAAACTTGTTCTGCGAAAAAAGTAAAACAAAAAAACATTGTATGGGAAATAGCCGCCGTAATTTTGCGGTTGCCAACCATACCAGCGCTGAAAACTTTTTTTTTTAGCTTTCTGAAATTTTATTCTTGCTCTAACTTGATTGAGGGGAGTGTTGTTGTTCCGTCTCTAAAAAAATTTTTTTATGAATTGAATTTTTTTGAATTTTTTTGAAATTCACCCATTGGCGAATTCCACGAGCAGCCCGTACTAGAGGAATATCTGGTGACGGCGTTTCTTCGGTAGACTGAGCTTGAACCAAAGAAAAAGCGCAGAAAACAGATATCAGGAGTATTTTGAACATTTGACAACAACCGTAGAAGAGTGATCTTTTTGAGTTTGTCACCAGTATTTATAGTAATGGTTTTCCCGAGATTTTAATTTTGAACTTTTTGTTACTCCGAAACTCTTTTGTGCGCCTTTTATTCTTTTGACTCAGTTTTGAGTCATGATCATGTTTTGCGGAGGGAAGTTGCATCATCTATTGTACAAAACAGACGAACAAACAGAATACGAGTGCATCTTAGAAATCACATCATAAAACAGAAACGTAAAAATAAAAAAACTCCAAAATAAAAATTGAAAATTGAGAAAAAAATAAATAAAACTATTTTTTTAACAACACTTGATCGAAAACAATACTCTCGAGGCTTCCCGTTCGCGCCAAAAATGAACACCTGCACATCTAAAAAGTCGCTTCAAATTCTTATTTGAATAAGCGCGCCATTTTTTTCGCGCTTGAATTTTTTTCGCACTTTCCTGCTTCAAATGTTTCTTTCGATTCATTTGATTTCAAAAAAATATAAAAAAAGCGGAAATTGATGACTTTTTACGAAAATAAAGAAGAAAAATAGTGAGGAGAACTTGAAAGCGCAAAAAGCACGTTTTGGAAGACAGTGTTGCTGAGAAAACTGCAAATAAAGAATAAAAGACAGAGAGTTTAAGGTCTCATTGTTGTTCCACAATGTTTTGAACCAATGTATTGTTTTTTAACAGCTTTCTGAACTTTATAAACGCTTTTCTGGCCTTAAAGCTTCAAAACCCGAGTCGATCTCGAGAAAGGGCTCGACAGTTTCAGAAACTCCAGTATATCAGCATTTATTATTATCGATTGATTTAACCGTTTATTTTTGTTGTCAGATATTAGATGTCATATGAAAGAAAACCGAAATAACTTTTTCAGTCACTTTAATATATAAAAACAAAGGTTCTGAAAAAGACTCACTCACTCACTCACCTCTATCCTGAAGCCTGAAAGATCGTGAGACTACCATGAGACTCATAATTAAATTTTGCAGATCACAAACCTACTACGATCAGATGGTGATATGTGGCTGGTGTGCGGAGTCCTTCGCCGACATGCTTTCCGACTTCGCCACCTGCAAATCCATGCAGCTTCCCACTTCCGAGGGACTTGATCTGCTTTGCTCGCTTTTTGAAGCCGCTCAAAACATCTATGGGATCTTCGAACTTTGCGAATTGGTTATTTCCTTTTTCTTTTTCTTCTCAACTATTCCTTCAGATGGTTCCTTGGATGTTGCCTTGCGAAAAGGTTGTCCGTACGCTGGCGTCGGATTGTATTCCTGGCAGTGTTGCTGGTCAACTTTGCTATGTTTTTGTGGCTTACATGAGCAAGCACTGGCAAATGTTTTTGATGTGCGAAAGAGCTCCAATTATTGTAAATTTGTGAGTTTTTAAAGAATTACGAGTTCAAACCGATGATTTGATTTCAATTTCAGTATGTTTCCGATTTTCTTTTTGTGCATTTGTTGAAAAATAGTGTTATTTGGCGCACTTTAAAATCTTTTTTCTCTTGAGAGGTAAAAAAAGAGCTCATCTACTTCAGAATTTTAACTTTGAGGCGTGAACTAAGTATAAAGCAAGGTCTTTTTTCCCATTTTCTTACAACATTTTCTCATAGTTAAGTCAATATTCGTATCCAAAAAGTACCCAACAAGCTTTCTCATCCCATTTTTCCAAAGTCAAAAGACGATTTTCTGCAGGCTGTATGAAGTCGTGGAAAAACCAATTCGTGCCCGAGATTATCCGATAACGAGCTGGATTCGTTGCATTGCCGCTTTTGTCTTCAACGCCAAGCAGCACCTCGAAAGAGTCTTTTCCTCTCTGAAATAATTTTCAATAATCTTTGTTTAAGTTAACCCCGTTCCATCTGAGCGGCTGTGCCGCAGACTTTCAACGGGTATTTGATTTTGGACTGGGTTACACAAACGAGGGGCCGCGCAGATTCAATGAAAATTTTCAAGACTTTTTTGATAGTCCTATGTTGTGAGTTGAACTCTGAAAATGACTCTTAAAATGAATTTTGTGTTTCAGACGGTTTTATTCTTATCACGAGTACAAAAGGCGTCTTCTTGAGTTTGATACGGCTGATAATCGATATTCCTTTGTGGTCAGCGCATTAATTGCTGCAAGGGTTTGTTGAAACTGGAGAACGCTCCAAAATGAATGGAGGAATTTAGAATACTGGACGCGATACTGATAGACTTTGTGAACTTGCTACTTTTTGCGGACATGTTTCTGCACAAATCCCTGAAATGGCGGATGAATGGGTTAGTAATCCCACATTCTCTTTAGCTTATTTTGTTCATTGTTTCAGGTTGGAGCCATCAAAGCTTTGTGCTGTTTTTCCGTTGAATACCATCACATGCGATACGCTGAACTCTACGAGATTTACGTATGTTTTCAATGGTTTCTAGAAATTCGAAAATTCAAGGTCTTGGCCAGAATGATAACTGAAAGCCAATGTTTCAGTTGACGGATTGTCCCTCGCATTATCCATTGGCGACGTTCATTATGCTGCTGGCCGGCAAAATGGCGTTCAGTGTGCCTCGCTTGTGTGCCGAAATCCTCAACTACGTGCTTCCTTTGATGATGAGAAAAGACGGGAGAAGAGATACGATTGGTATAAAATTAAAGTAAAAAGAATCATAAGAAGGTCACTTTCAGGGCAAACCGAGAGTGAACCAGGAGTTTGTTTGGCGCTGCTCATTTTGGCCAACATTTGCTGCAAAACTGACGAGCCATTCATTTGTTCGTTTCTTTTTATTTTTTCTCAAAATGATCCTTTTCATTTCAGTGGCAGAACATTTTACTGGAACCAACGAGAAACGGAAACTTTTGGATAAAAATGCCGACGAATTTTTCCTTTCATTGATCCACTGGTTTGTTGTCTTTTTTAATTATTTTGTCAATTTCGTGCTAACAGGACTCAAATGGACTCTGTGATCTTTCCGATCGTCAGCAACATTGCCATACTGCTTGACTCTCTTAGAGGCAGATATCGCGATTTCGAGTTGGTTCTTTCACAAAGAACGTTTTAAGAGCTTGTTTCAGCCTTGAGCTAACGATCTACCCGCTGACGATGGAATACCGCAGAGAATATTTTATGAATATTGCCAAATGGGTTCACACTTCAATCTGTGAACAGGAATGGGTCCGTCATAAGATGTTCCAAATAGTGCAGTCGAGAAATATGGAGGCTTTCAATCACGACAGGTTGAAGCAAAACTGTTTGGTGAGTTCATCGCAAAAGTTTCCGATCTATTTCTGGTGTCCCAGGGTCAACAACTTCTGAGACTTTGTACAAGGAATAAGTGCGAGAGAGAAATAGTTCACGAGCTTTCCATTTGCAATGTGAACTCCAAAAAAGCGCTCATTGACCGGCTTCTTTCCGGAGTGACACTGTGGAATTTGAGAGCCACTATGTTTGATCTCATGCTCATGATCAAGGAGGTATACGAAAAAAACTTTAGAAAAAAATTATAAAAGTTTTTCAAATGTAGATTTCTCCCGACGGCGCTCAACGGCACGCTCAACAAGGAGCGATTGCTGCCGACGCGTTGATGAGTGAAATTGGAAAGTGTGGTCGGGATATTTTTCACCGGAGCTCATAAAAAAAGTCAATCAACCTGCCGAGTGGAATGGTTAATATATCTTTGTCAGATTTTAAAAAAATTGAAACAAATGAATTTCAGTCCATCTACGATTTTCGATTTTGTGACATCAACAAGTACTGGCTGATCGGCCCTCTCATTCGGCTGTGTCCTCAACCAACGAATGTTCCAAACCAGTTCAATTCGTTATCGGTATGATTTCGTTCTGATTTCAAGCTTCAATAACCAGCTTAAGGTGGCTGGAAAGTTTCTGAAAGAGGCGGCTTCTATGCTCGAAATCACGGTTGATGCTTCAAAGGAGAGGCTGCAACAGAGGTAATATTCCTTCAATAAATATTTTTGTTTCAATAATGTTTCTATAGTTTTTCTCAAGGAAATAATCTCATTTGTAACAAAACTTTTCAGTGCTTGGCTTCTCAATCAGCCGACTTTCATCAACTTGCTCATGTCGTGTCTGAAAGCGGAAAAAAGTCAACAAAGTCGCGACGTTTTCGTCAACGCTTTGTTCTCACAATTCCAAGCTATCATCAACAGGACTCGGATGGTTTGTTATATCTTCACAAATATAAAAATTGAAATCGTTCACCTTCTCGAAATCCTGTTTAGTTGAATACGATAGTTTGAAAACGTCGGCCCGAAATCTTTCCTGGGCTTTCTTGAAGTTTTATCTCGCGAAATGATATTTCATTATGGGTTCGGCCAATTTTTCATTGCCTTTTAATTATTTTTATGTTTTTTCTATTGCCTCCCTCTCTTCAATTGTGTATTGAAATGAAAAATAAAAAACATTCCAAACATTAGAGGATAATTCTCTTCTCATTTTTGTCGGCTTTGTTGGCTCACAATCAGCCAGATTAATTATGATTTTTTATTTGATCAGAAATTAATTATTGAGTGATTAATTGCAGCAGCGAAGTCAGCCGATCGGCCGACCGGGCTTCGATAAGTTTGCGGAGTTCAGAGAAGCAATGTTACTGCGACTATCTCTTGTTGGATGCATTTTTGATGAGGTTATTGATTTTAAAAAAAAGCGGAAACTTCATTTGCTTACTTCAGTTGTGCCGACCAAATCAGAGCGACGGTTGGAGTCATTTGTTCTTCCAAATAATGTTGCATGGCGTCATCAACATTGATAGAGAACGGTTAGAGACTCTTCATAATATCACCAAGAAAAACTGAATTCTAGAGTTCTCTTCGACACTTGCTACGATATGCTGTCAACCTTGATGCTTTGGACTCTGACGGACCCTTCGACTTCGACACAAATCCCACAAGAAGGCGATCAGCCCAGATTCCGCTGGCCTTCGTACTCCGCTATCATCAAACGTTTGAGGGTGAATATATCAATGATTTTTCACCTCACCCAAAAAGAGTTCGAAAACAGAAAAATTATAACTATCATTCATTCTCCTGTATTTCGTCTCTTTCAGTAGCAAGAAAATCAAAAAAGCGCTGAAAACTCATTTTTTCTCAAATTAGGGTATGTTGGGCACAGAAAATACTATCATGAAAGGTCTTTAGTTTTTGGTTGGCATTTTTCTTAAAATAGGTCAAAACACTTTTTGATCTGCCAGAAGAAAAATCCGAAAGTCAAAATCTGCACAACTTCTTAGTTTCTGAGAAAGGATCTTTCAAAGTCAAAAAAAAACCCTTTAAATTTTTAGAAAACGGTTATTTTGCGGCTTTGAACCTTTAAAAACTAACAAGATGTGCAGATTGAGACTTTCAAAACTTGATAGTGTACATCAAAAGTGTTCTGGCCAAATTTCAAGGAAATTCCTTTTTTTAATTTCATAATCCTTTTCTCTTTTTTTCAAAGTCTTTTTATGCTTCTGAGTTCACTCTCTGATGCTTCGTTAACATTTTGATTAGTTATATCATTTCTTCATAACAAAAAAATCATCAAAACGACTTTTCGACGCGATATCTTCTGTTACTGAAAAAGTCCGAGTTTGGGACCGTGATAGACAGCAATTCTTAATCCAAGTGGTTATGTTTTCTTTTTGAATATTTTTAGCTTCTTAATTATTGCTTCGTTCAAGATTTTTCGAAATAGTCGATTCGATACCTGTACTTCTTTTCTGAGACTCTCTCTGTTTCAGAAAGAGGCTCAAGAACAGCGAATACCAGTCGAACACCGTTCCTTGCTGCATTTCATTCCCATTCCAAAGAGCAGCATCGATGTGATTGCCTGTGATAAGTACGGAAACCAGGTGAACACTGTTGTTGTGAAGGTTTGCATGCGAATGTTGTTTGGTCTAACTGTGTTGGTTGGACTTGCAGAACAGAGCTCCGAAAACGCCGATGATTTTCCCCGGGACTCGAAGAGGTCGTGTGGCTTTCCAACCTTACGAGAAAATCAAACTCACAATCTTCGATTTTCTCACTGGTTATACTCCGGATCAAAATTCGAAAAGCGGTTGGAAGTGGGCCTGGTTCCAGGTGAGCGTTTTTTTCTTATGAACGGTCGGAAGAGAACGTGATATTCAGGCGTCGCGACTTGATCGATACCCGATTGCCATACAACGGAACATCTCGCGAGTGTTCTCACACAAGCACTATTTGGAGTATGAGCGACCATCTCTGGTAAGTCTATCTGAAACTCCTTCAAGGAAATCAGAGTTGCAGGGAGTGAACATATCAGAATAAGTTATTCAAAACTCTTTTTCCAAAATCTCTTTTCTCCTTTCTCAGTAAATTCTTAATGTTTTAGGTTCCTATTTTTCTTTATTTTGTATCATTCCTACATTTCAGAATGCTTTTTTTGCCAATCTATTTCATCCTAACACGGCAGAAAATAGTAATATAAATGGAGTTCGTTTCAGAAGCGGAAACTACAAGATCACACTCGTAGAATTCTTTGAAAGAGTTAACAAATTATCGTGTTGCTCACCAATTACTCTTATTATTTTTGTTCCAACAAAGGTGATTTTCGACCTCTACGAGGAATAACATTAACTTGATTAGAGGTTTGCGTGCTTCGTCGAGATTGTTAAAAAGCACGTGAATTAGTATTGGATAATGCCACAAATGTATTATTAGTTTCTGTTTTGAAAAAGTTCTAGATCTCCACATTTCAACAATGTGTGATCCATTGTTTTTTTCAAATTTGTGGAAGGCTACGAAAAATTCATTTTTCACATTTTTTTCAAGTTTAAAAAAATTAAGCATCAATTATTAAAAGCAAGTTGGTGATAGCCGAATCGAAACTATCAGTCTTGTTTTACAATTTTCGAAAAATAATACTTTGAAATGAAAATAGTGAAAAACTAGTAGCAACATCATTTTTCACTTCCCAGAAAGATTAATACCTGAAAATGCACAAAAAGCAGTTTTCATTGCTCACGGGGAAAGTGCAATGCGACGCAGATTCGAGACTTGCTAAAAAATATTGTGAGATGCTCTTTGACGCCAAAAACTTTGCTTTTTTTGAAACGCAGCGATAGGATTTTAATTTTCGGGCGTTATGACTCAGCCGAAAAGCAGAAAGCGGTATAAAAGTTTTCTAATTGGGATCAGAGTTCTTCAAAGTACATCTCTTCAAGTTTTCAGCAAACCCCTTTTCCTTTTGCACTTCCCTTCTTAGGGCGTTTACAAACATTAAAAAGAAGGTTTTCCCAGTTTTCTCATTTGAAAAAGCCATAGCCCACTTATCATTCTCCCTGCAATCTTTAATTGCGCAATAAGTGTGCTGGGTAAATTATTGCGTCACAATTTTCTTTCCATTTGTCGTCTTCGAACAATTACAACTCAAGCCTTCATATTGACATTTCAGGTAGCAACAGAAGCTGTAAAGGACGATATCTTCCTGGCAGCGCCGGATGTGGAGATAACCGGAGAAATTCGACCACCTACGCCACCAGAAGATAAAGAGAAGGACAAGGAGAAGGAGAAAGAGATCGAGGCTGAGAAAGCAAAGACAGAGAAAGAGGACAGCAAAGAGGCGGCGACTCCTCCCGCCGTCGCGGTAGGCAATTTGTTTCAACTTTAGTTTTGACGCCGCTTTTGCAGCAACCGGCCGCGTCGGCGTCGACAACGCCGAAGCCAGACACGCCTGTGACGCCAACGCCGGTCGTCCCCGAAGAGCCCAAGAAATCGCCGGTTCCAGAGCGAGTCAATCCCAAGAACGAGGCGGTAGTCAGCACGCCAACTCCCGAACCCACCATCGACTCCATTACGCCAGAAAAAAGTCAGATTTCAGTTCCGCAGGCTTTTTCTAAAGCTCAGAGTTTGAGAATGAACTATAAAAAAGTTTCCAAGTTTATCAGTTAATAACTAATGAGAATGTTTATTTCAGTCGTTAGTTTTTATTGAATAACTTAGAATTTAAATTTTATAATTCGTATCTAAAAAAAACTTTTTTTCCGACATTTTTGATTTTTTTGAACATTTTTTTCTTAAATTTCTGCTGTGATATTCGGAGACTATGACTGATATTGCTTTTGGTTGAGAAATGAACTCCCTAGAGTATGCGAATAATTCTCTACATTGGCGAAGAGTACCAAATATTTAATGAAAAAAATGTTCAATAAAAAAATAACATTATTCAATATTCGCCTTTTTCAAATTATGCATTTAAAAATCGCCACACCCCACAACCAAATTTTTTTATAAAATTTTTCATGTCGGGACGTGTTCAAACGGCTTTTTTTATAAAAAGCTATTTTTTTCTTGGTCTGTTTTTTTCTTTCTCCTAAGTGCATTGACAAAACATTCGCAGCTTTTTGCAGATACTCAAAACATAATCCAGAAAAAAATATTGAAAGTTTTCTCGGAAACCTAGTTTTTTTTTCAATTGTCAATGAAAGCTAAAACCTATGAAAATTAAAAAACAAATTATCTAGTTGCGCCGGGAGTCGCTCCTCAGCCAATCACGGCTTCTCCTTCTCGGGGCAGCCGCGGTGGAACGACGCGGAAACGGACTTCAGGTGCAGGTCGATCCGCAGGACCACGGAGCAAGAGGGTCAGTTTACTCCAAAGTAGAGCACTATCTCGAATAAGACATCAGATTTGAAGCTTCAATCTTTGAATATTCATGAAAGCTGCATAATCCGTTGTACAGTAAAATTGAAGCTTTCTGGAGCTTTTGTAACTGTAATACGGTTTTTTTTTTTTTTTTTTCAAGTTGTTTGAATAATTTTTCCAAAAGTCATTTCTTTATTACACAAAAGTACAAATCAAGTTCATAACTATTCTTATCTCAGGCGGCTTCGCGGAACGAAAATACTACAGCTGCCGCATCCCCAAAAACCAGTCTCAAAATGCTCCTGCGCAACATCCTAGCGGATGGCACGGCCAGTCTTCCAATACTTATCAACAAATGGTAATTATCACTTCGTCTGAATTCGAATTTTTAAGTCGAAAAAAAACCAAATTATATGACTTTCAGTCTTCTTCTCAAGCACCGATCACCAATGGAGCAAGCGTCGAAGCAAAGGCTAACATCAGAAATCTTCTGAAGAACAAACAAGAAAAGCGAAACTGTAAGTTTTTCAATTTTGAGATTGAAGTTTGTCTGTAAAAGTTTCTCATAATATATTTCAGTTGAGTTTCTTTTTTTGAATAGTTTTTGAAACCTTGTCCGGTTTTCACGATCTAATCTCAAGCGCATTTTCCATTCTCATTTTCTATAATTGAAAGTTATCACAGAGCGACAAGAGCCTAAGAGCCATTTTGAGATTATCCTAGTGTCACGTGGTTCGAACCTCCCCTAATCTGAGTCAATTTTTTTCTCACCCATTAGTCCGTTTCTGTGATTTCCAGTTTTTTTTACTTTTTGAGAAAAAAACAAATTTGCTTATGAAAAAGACATACGGAAAAAAAGATTTCGAATTTCTCAGAAAAAAATTCAACAAACTTTAAATCACTGGTAGTTGAGTAAAAGACTCATTTTACGAGGTTTTTCAGCGGTTGTTGCTCAACCGAATGCTCCGTTGCTGCCCGTGCAGCAGACGCCGAATCAGCCGACACAACAGCCAACTTCTCAGGCTCAACATGCATCTTCGACAGCTCCACCGCAGCTTGTTCCTCAACAAGCTCCGACCCAACCTCCGTTTCCGCCGCCAACTTCGACGCAGAAACTATCGAAACCCATGCAGTCTCATCAGCCTTCACAGCCGCCAGCTGCCAGTGGGCCGTTAGGAGGAATGCCGACGTTGCCGCAGGCGATCCCACAATCCCAGCAGCAGACTGCGCCGCAGCCAGTGGCGCAGGCTCCGCAATCTTCGACGCAGTCTTTACCGCAGCCAACGACGCAGGCTCCTCAAACGTTGAAGCCGACTGCTCCTCAACTTACGCCACTAACAATGCCGCAAACATTGAATCAGCCCGCTGCGAAACCAAGTTCGCAGACGCTCTCGCAGTCAAGTTCGCAGTCGAAGATGCCGCAGTTACAACAGTCGATGCACGCTCAACCTCAACCTCAACAGAAGCAGACAATGCATGGCCTTCAGCCGCCACCCATGTCACAGAGCCTGAACCAGCCTTCTCAGCCGACGATTCCGCCACCTGCCTACAGCAGCGAGTCCTATCAGAACCCTCAGCTCCATCAACAACAACACCAATCTCAATCTTCTCAACAACCTAATATCCAGCAGCAAGCTTATCAGCATAATCTTCAACAACAGTCCCAAGCTCATCATTATCCTCAGTCGAATCTTCATCAATCTCAAGCCCAACATCAACATCAACAGCAATCATCTCATCATCTCAATCTCCAGCAGCAAGCTCATCAACATAATCTCCAACAACAGTCCCAATCTCATCACCAGCCTCAGTCGAATCAGCTCCATCAATCTCTAGCCCAACATCAGCAGCAACCTCAGCAACAGATGCCACAAAGAGGTACGGTTCACAAACACAAAAAATAAATGAATAAATACTTCAGATTTTCAATCTTCCCTTGGTCAACCGTTGCCTCAAAATCCACCTCAGTTTGCTCAGCCGGCTCTTCCACCACCCAGAACATCTTTGGGAACTGCAAACGGTAGGATTTTCCGATAGGTCACTGATTGTTGAACTCAAATTCCTTCCATAGTTCGATAAATATAAAAACTTCTACTATTTTTGACATTCTTGCAAAATTCACGGTGTCAATGAAATATTTTCGGAAAAGATTTTCGATTTTGTGCAGACCCTGGTTTAAAAAAAAATGTGTCAAAATTTTTTTTACAGTTTCTTCTCAACAAGGACACGGTGTGCAATCAGCGCAACCTACTTCGCAGGCTTCATACCAGCCAAGAAACAACGTGGGACAGTTCACATCCCGAGACTCCTTCACAGGCGAACAGCACCAGCAACAACAGCAGCAACAGCAGCAGCACCACCAACAGCAGCAACATCAACAGCAGCAGCAGCATCTTCAACAGCAGCACCAACAGCTCCAGCAACAGCAGCATCAACAGCAGCAACAACAGCAGCTACAGCAGCAGCAGCAGCAGCTTCAGCAGCAGCAGCAGCAACAGCAGCAGCAACAACAGCAAAGTGAGCATTTTTCTTTTTGTAATCTAGTTGTGATTACAGTGTGTTCTTTGCTCATGACTGAAGTCCGAATATAATGCTCTTTTTCATTCGGAAAATCCTTGAGAAACTTTCCTCCTTTTTAGAAATGATTTTCTCTCTGAAATCGCTTAATCATGTTGAGGGAAAATTTCTCACATTTTCGAAAGAAAAAGTAACGATATCAGCTTACTCGGTTTGGAATTTTTTTTTGAAAATTTCACAGAAAATCAAAACGATGTCTTACTCTTATTAGTGGTGAACATAAGTATCAAATCGAAAAAAAATTCAAAATTTACAAAAAAAAAGCGTGTTTTTTGGAGTGGTCAACTCCATTTAGGATTCATCAACAAAAAGAAAGAATCTGTGGTCCAAAAATTGAAGGAATTAGCAGTAGACAGTTCGAACAATAAAGTTACTTTTCCGTCTTTTTGCGTTCTATTCAAATTAAATATCGTGTCAATTTCAGGTCGTGCGAGCGCCTTCCCGATGCAGAAGCCCACTCAGAATCTTCAACCTTCGCAACAGCCTCAGGCTCATGCTGGAATGACACAAAGCGGAACGCATGCAAAGCCTCAACATCCGCTGGGCGGAATGAACCAGCACATGTCGGGAATGTCGCAGCCCGTTTCTCATCCTGCTGCACAGTCGCTGAATCAACCTCAGGCTGTAAACCAACCGCTCCAACCTCCTCATTTGGCGCCTCAGGTGCAGTCCCAGCTGGCAGGATCTCATGGACAAGGTCATGCCGCAATGTCTCAGGCGGCGCAAAACCAACAACTGTCAAAACAGCCACCTACTCTGCAGCCTCAACAAATGTTGAACCAACAGCAGCCGAATCCCATGCTCCAACAGAGACCGGTTCCCACTCAGGCAGTACAGCAGACGCCTCCGAAGCAGGTACCGCCGATGATGCAGCAAGGCACGTCTCATCCCCAGAAGCCTGTCCAACGACCGCAGCAAAATTACTCCGAGCAGATTCAACCGGCGCCTCAACATTACCCTCAACAGTCTCAACCACAGCAACCTCTTGGTCCTTCACAGCAGCAGCTTCAACTCCAGAGGCAGATGAAACTTCAACAAATGCAGCAACAATCTGGCGGACAAACGGGTTATCAACCAGGTCAAGCGGCTCCTGCTGCTCAGCAATATCCGGCTCAACAACCGCCATTGCATGCTCAGCCACACTATGAGCCACAGCAGTATCCGAGTATCCAACAGAGGCCGTCTCAATTGCAGAACCAACAAGCTGCAGTCCAGCAGCAAGCACTGCACCAAGCATCGGCTCAAACTCAGCATATGGGCCAACCTCAAGCTCAGCAACAGCCGATTCAGCCGCCCAACATCCAGCATCAGTCCATGCAAAACGTTCAGCCGCAGAATATTCAGCAAGCTCAGATGCAGCCGACTTCCTTGCACCAACCATCTCTTCAACAGCCCGGATTACATCAGTCTGGTTCGCAACAGGCAGGAATTCATCAAGCAAACGTGCCTCACTCCTCTGCTCAGCACTCTGCAATGCCCCAATCTTCTCTGCAGCATTCCAATATGTCTTCTGGGATTCAACAACAACCTGGCTTACAAAACACCGGTGTACCTCACCCGAGTTTCCAACAAGCGGACATGCATCAACAGCAATCATCTCGACAACATCATTCTCAGATCCACCATCAGAATCAAATTCAACAGCAGCCCACACAAATGCAGGCAACTCAGCAAGGTGTCCAACCAACTCAACACTTTCAGTCTTCCCAAGGTTACATGCAGAAAAATGTCAACGTGGCCGCTACGCTTCCTCAGAGCCATGCTCAAGGTCAAGCCCAAGCTCAGCATCCAGCTCAAGGACAAAATCCAATGGGTCAAAACCCCATGGGTCAACCGCACTATCAACAACCCCAAAACACACAGTTACATCAAGCGGTTAATCATCAAGTCCCTCAGCAAAAAGCAGCGCCTGGACAAGCCGGTTTGACGCAAGATCCACGATTGGCTGCACATCGTCAAGCCATGGATCAGCGACAAGCCATGAGTCAACGCCAAGCCATGGATCCGCGCCAAACCATGGATCCACGTCAAGCCATGGACCCACGTCAAGCCATGGATCCGCGCCAAACCATGGATCCGCGCCAAACCATGGATCCGCGCCAAGCCATGGATCCACGCCAAGCCCTAGACCAACGGCAAGCTATGGATCAACGCCAAGCCATGGATCACCGTCAAGGAATGGACCAACGCCAAGGAATGGATCAAATGGGAATGCAGCACGGCCTCAATATGAATACAGGATCTTATGGGCATGATCCAAGAATGAACTTAGATCCTCAACGAATGTCGAGCCATCAACAACTCTTGGGACAGCAAAATCCTCAAACTCAAGTTCAGCAACATGGAACTCTTGGTCAACCCGCTCCAATGTCTTCTCATCATCAGACTTCCAGCTCAGGAATGCAGCAGTCGATGATGGCTCATAACCAGCAGACATTGCAACCACAGATTCCAAATCAGTATCAAAGTCAGCATCAAGGATCTGGACAGGGACACATGATGAGACAAAGTCAATTGCAAAGTCAAATGCAAAGCCAACACATGCCAAGTCAAGTTGCTAGCCATGCTCAAAATTTGGGAATGCACAGCCATTCTCTTGGTCAGCACGACACCAGACAGCAGATGAATCAAATGCAAGCTTCGCACCAAGGAATGCCTGGATACGGAAATCAGCAGTCATTGCAAAGTCAAGACCCGTCGATGGGCCAACAACGCTATCCGCAGCAGCCTGGATTGGGTCATCAGCAGATGATGGGCGGGATGGAGCAGCAGCCTCATGTTCAACCTCATGCTCAACCAGTTCAACAGCAGTATCATCAGCAGTATCCTCAGCAGAACGCACAACAGCTCCAACAACAGCCGCAGATGTCTCAGAGCGCGATTCAACAGCAAATGAGCAATTACTTCATTCCCAATGATCAAAGGTATGATTTTCTTGTCATTTACCGTCAAAGTATTACTTTATTCTCAGACTGAAATTTTTTCATCGCGTTTTGTAGAAAGTAAAGTTGTAGTACCGTCAGAGAAAATACGAAAAAACGGGGTTTCGGTCACAATTTTCTCATGAGGAATTCAATTTTGCTGAAATTTTCTGGGGTTTGATGACTTTTATTTTCAACACATTGATAAAATTCCAGTTCACAGAAAAAAAGCAGCTTCAGAAACTTTCAAGAAGATTGAGTTCCTTAAAAAAAAGTTGTGAAAGCCGCGATTTTTCGTTTTTCGTCTTCTCTGACATTACTGTAGCTATCAAGTTTTTCTATTATTTTTTTCCACGAAAAAGTTTTTTCAAATTATAGTGAAGTTAGATAAAATTATGAGCCAAAAATTTGAGGATTTTTGAAAAAAAGGAGAAAAAAAGGTTATGAATCGTCTCAAAATCCTTTTTTCAGGATGCCACCTTCTTATGGTCATCCCCAGCAACAGCCTCCTCCTCAGCAGCAGCAGCCGCATCCGCAGTACGGTCAACACAACATGGGACCTCATTATTAGATATTTATTTTTGAACTCATCTTATTCATTTTCAATTTTATACTAACCTTCAATCTCCTTTCTTGTACTTTATATCTTTCATTCAAGTTCAAAACTTGCTGTATTTTATTTGCTTTAGCTCTGAATTATCTTTGGTTGTAACAATTGTCATCATAAAAGATCTAGTTGTGATTTGAATTATATAGAAAAATTATTCTCCAATGTCCTTTGTCCCAGGCGAATAGTCTACAGATCAAATCAAATTTGACGGGTTTAGTGTCAATAGAAAACAAGTATTTTTATATTTATGATATTATTTTTCGATAAATGGGTTTATTAAGTCTTGAAAAACGAGCATCACAACGAAATGAAAAAATTAACAGTTATATAGAGGTAAGGCTGTGAAATCCAGAGAATTATGTTTTGCATTTAATCAGAAGAAACACCTTTTTGAGTTTTTTTAAACTCTGAACGTGGAACTACTGTGGGTGGACATAAAACGTGTTTGCATAGTCTATTTGCAATGTTGTCGACAACTTTCAAGTTTTGAAGACCTCTTAACGCTTTTTTCCCTTAAAAATCTTGCATATCTAGATTTTCTTCTCTTTTCTGATTTTCCTGATAAGAGAATCTAAGAGAGTCGCTATTTTTAATTGGAATGTTTTTTTACAACGTTGAAAACCATAGTCATTTTCTTTTTTTCGAGATCATTGGAATGCTGATTGCCGAGAAGCTGAAAAGCCGCGCTGATTGTCTCCAGGCGCCTTTTTCACCTGCTTTCTAATGGAAAAAAAAATGAACTTCAACTCATGTATCACGTCTGAAAAAAGTCATTTCTTCTGAATGGGCACCTATGTACCACTTCCCGCATTAATTTGATTAACTTTCGCTTTGACTCATTCAATAAGGCCGTTCATTTTAGGAAATCAAGCAGATTAATGTTCCATGGAATGAAGAGAAGTTTTGAATGTTTTTGGTTACCCCGGATACCTCGTAGATAAACATTGCGTTCTCGTCTCTTTAATTTCCTTTTTTCACAGGCGCTCTGCAAAAGGAAGAACGAGAATGGCCGAGCTGCCCCCATCTTATAACTGTGAGCTTTTCCAGAACATTTTTTGTAAAGATCGTTTGACTGGAGCTATATTTTTTTTCTTAAATCCGCCGAAACATGAAACAATCAACGAGTTAAGAGCGCTTGAGGTTGCAGTGAAAGAGTGAAATATATTGTCTTTATATTTTTTTTCATGAAAAAGCGTGGATATTCACAGCTGCGCCATTTTTTTGAAGTTTGTCCTCTGATTTTGTCTCTGTTGCTATAGCGAAAATTTTCACCTTATCAGAAAAAACTTTTCCATTTCAAAATGAAAAGAAAGAGAATACCAACTAACTTTTCTGAAACTTAGAGAAACAGATGTTTTCCAAAGTTTCAAGCAGATGCAAGCGTTTACCGTTTTGCCATTTCTGACGATTTCAGCTGTATCTGAGCAAAAGAATTTCGGGATGCAGCAACCAGCTTACAATCCTCAATTCGGGCCTGTACTCTCTCCGAACAATCTTCCTCAGGGCGATATGAATGGTCAAACAGGCAAGAAATCTGGAAATCACTTTCAAAAAAGCTTTTGAAGTCGATTTTTTTATGTTCAACTATGATATTTCTTCGTATTTTTGATCACGTTTTGATTTTTAGAAACCTATAAAAGGCTTCTTCCAAGATCAAGCACATACAAATTTGAAAAATTAATACGCGACCTTTTATTGAAGTTATCTTAAGGATACACTCCTCAACCGCAAATAACAACAATTATCGTTGGTACTGTACCATTGGGATCGGCACCCATGCGAATGCAGTGTCCTCATTGCCAACAACAGGTGTGTTTTCAAAAATCGAATTTCGAGTGAAAAAAAGTGGATAAGTCACTGCGAAAACCTTTTGAGCGTCGATCCTATTCCCGTTGGTAGAAAAACAACTAGAAAAAGTTTCACAAAAGAAGTTAAATCATGTACAAAAATTTTTTTCTGTTTTTATAGATAATAACCCAAACGGAAATGAAGAGTGGGCTTTTGGCGTGGCTTCTCTGCGGGGGCCTCGTCTTGTTTGGGTACTCTTTTCTTGAAAAATTTAATTTTTCCTGTGATTTCAGGTGTTGGCTCTGCTGTTGCATTCCGTTTTGTATCAACGCCTGTCAGGTCAGCCCCAAGTTTTTTTCGATTCAAAAAACGATCAATTTCAGGACATGCACCATTCTTGTCCAAACTGCCGACGCTACATCGGCACCTACCGGAGAATTTGAACAATGAGATCTGTTGAATAAAAGATTTTTCCTTGTTTTTAGTTGTTTCGGATAATGTAGAAATTCATTTTCTTTTATTTTTCAAAAAGTCAAAGAATGAAAAAAAGAACGAATATGGCTTGGTTGGGAAGATATGATGAGTCAATGATTGTGAGCATAAAAGCAGCCAACTACTGAAATATCGGTACGATTGAAGGGAAATTTTTAGGAAAAGTGTGAACTTTGGTCAAGTGAACCCGTGTGAACCGAAAAATCCAGTTCTCGAGGCGCCAGTTGCTCACAATCAAAGAAACGGTGATAAGGATGATGCAGGCCACAGAGATCTTTGTAATGATCTTCGTTGATTGGAATCACATCGGGGCTCCTTCCAGCGCAGTTCTCATGTAGACGAGCCAGTATAGAAGGTTGTAGCAGGTAAAAACAACTGAAAGCAAGTTTTTTTTTTTGCCTTTATGAACAAGAAAATTTATCGTTTAAATCTCGAAACTCACGAGGAAACGCGATACGAGCAAAGTTGTCTAGCCTCTCACAGTATTGTATGCAGGCAGATTTTTGAACAGGAGCATCGCCGACCGCAGAAGACTTGCTGAGATTCCATCTGGAAGAAGAGAAAAAGAAAACTGTTACGTAGTTCAAAACAGTATAATTTATGTAAGTACTTTCCGGAAAAGTACCTGCGTGTACTTCCTCGCCCCAGAGTTGGCCGTCCTTCGTTTCGCATCAGGAACCCGATAGTTGCTAGTTCAACCAAAGATGCGAAAACGAAGCATATCCCACTGAAATGGAATTATCCGTTAAATCAGAAGAAAACTTGCTTGGTTCATTTTTTCAACTTCAAATCGAAGAAAAGTCATCTTCTCAATGTGTTCTGTTTTGCATCAGAGTGATTGAGTTAAATTTAATTTTGTGAATTTGTCGGATAATTCGGTTTTTTTTTCCTAGGAGATAATGACGATGGCGTCGAGGAAAAAGTAAAAAAAAAGCTTTCCGAAACACTTTAAAATGATTTGCACTTTAATAACACCATTTTTTTGATACGCTTTGATCACCTTAAAATCGCCAATTCTGTCAACAAAAAAACGGTATAAAACAAAAGTAAAAAAACCTCAGCATCCAGACGTCGATTGCCTTGACGTAGGAGACCCGTGGCAAGTTCCGAATGATATTTCCGAACTGAAACGTCATGGCAAGCAGCGCGTTGACGCCTACAAGACAAGTTTTCTCACTGAAAAACAAAACCGAACGCTCCTTCAAAAAATTGATTACCCGGGAAGATTTTATTTTGTGACTTGGAAATTTCTACAGTTTTGCTCAAATGATCTCTGAAGGTTTATATGAAGATCAATTAAAGTTGCAATCTGCCAGCTTCTAGTTTGTAGATAATTAATTTTGAAGGTCGACAAGTTAGGCCTAAAAAAAGCAAAGTTGAAAAATCATATCTTGATAACTAGAAGTTTGCGCAGGTAGCGACTATGACACACTTTTCTTCAGATTTTTGAAGAGTGTTTGAGCAAGTTTGTAGCACATCCCAAGCCTTAAATGACCTCCCTTGTTGGGTTACCTCTTTTTCATTTTTCTGAGAGACTTATTAATGTAGATGATTGAATTACCGCTCCTGAAAAATTTTTTTTATACGAAACCTCATTTATTCTCGGATTAGTTGATCAGGAGTCGAATTTGAAAAACTTTTCAAATGGGTTTTTTTGTGGAAAATATGATTTTGTCTAGTGATATGAACTGCCTCAAGAATATATTTTTTTCTAATTTTTTCCTTTTCCTTTTTTGATATAATTAAAAGCGCATTTTTTGTTCATAGAATTTAATGGTACATATGAATAGTTTTCGAAAACAAGGAAGCTCATTTCAGTTATAAACATCCCATGGATTTGCTCAAAAACTTCTTGATGTGCTGGGAATCGCGCAGGGAATGTTGTTATCTGCGCGAATTCTAGCAGTGGATGTTTTAGGATTTTGTGTTTCCCACGGTTGACACAGGAATACGTCGCAACAGATGAGGCTTTTCTATTGCTTCCTGTCTCCATAATTAAAAAGTCCCGTAGATAACGGATGTGTGCTTTAAATCCCTAGTATGTCGTTTTTTTTTGTTTGAGGGAAGTCATGGAAAATGCAGAAAGTTTTGAATAGAATTACCTTTTCCGGGAGTTTTGAAAACTTCTTAGCAAAACGTAAATATAAAGTAGAATATGAAACGATTTGAAAACAAAATGCTCATAGTGGGTTGAAAACTCATAACAAAGAAAATTCATGAAAGTTCTTATCTGTGAGAAGAGAAGATTTCTTGATTAAAAGCAGAAAATTTAATTTTTAACCTCTTAGGAACTCCAGAGTGGTCCTATAGGGAGAACCTGAGGAGACCACTTTACACTAAAAGTTGCAAAATTGGCTCGTATAAGGGTTTTAGTTAGTGGCCCCTATAGGGGACATGCTAATCGATAATTTTTATGAACTGTGTGCAAAGAAACATTTCCATGCAAAAAACTAACAAAAATAGAATTTTCCACAGAAAAAAACTTGAAATCTCCCAGTTTAATCATCTACGATTTGAAGTATCGATTTTTGATTAATAGATGTAACTACCTTCTCCATGTAAAATTGAATTTTGTTTTAAAATCAAGCGTCATGGCTGTGACTGTTGCTCGCAGGTCAATCGTACTGACTGCTCTGAGAGCTCGACGCGACTTGGCTCGACGTGTTAGCCTGCTTCAATTACTCGCCCCGGCAGGCGTCTTGCCACGATTCAGACGCCCCAATCGAATTACCCCCGCATTTGCAACAGGATTTATGGCGGCGTGGACAACAAAATGCACTTTCCTCTACTTGAAGGCTCAAAATCTCGCGGCATCTTCCTAGGGGAATTAAAAGGACACCGATTTCGTCTTTCTTTTTTGGCTTCTAGCTCTGGAAGTGTACCTATCATTGTCCTGGCAGGAATCGCTTTTGGACCGAGGTAGAAAGGAATCCACGAGATGAAAACCGTCATGTACGTTGGAATGTAACCTGAAAGTTTTTTTCTTGATTATGAAAGAAAAAAAATTCAAATCGAGATATTGGAAAATCCAATAAGACAAAACCTGAAAACTAAAAAAAAAAATCAATTTTTACAATTTCATTCCTAATGGAAATTTTTAGAATCCAGTCGAAGAGTTGAAAAACAAACCTTGTAATAAGTACCACCCGTATCTTCTTCGAAAGAAAAAATTCACCGTAAGTTCGCTCCAATAGCCGGCAGCGTAAAGCTACAAATTTTCTAAAGTAATCTTCTCCTTCATCAATCTCCACAAACTTGAAACTTAGAGGAAGTGCTATAGTTGATCATGGTGAAATCAGGAAGGACGATGTCTTTGAACTGCGTCAGCGGAGGGTCTCCCCATCGCATGAAGACTTCTTCCTGCCAACTTCCTCGTTCTTCAGTGTTGTCCTTTGGACTAACCTTGTTGTAGTTGAAGGACTCGAAAGTGAGCATGCATTCAATACTATCCATAGGAAACTTGGTGAGGTCCATGACACAAGGTCCCGTGCTTTTAATCCGCCAATTGGACCAAACTGACCCTGAAAGAGGAAATTCAACATCTCTTATTCAAAAAAAATTCCAAAAAGAAGTATTTGGTTACTACTTCCTCGTGAACCTGAGCAAGGCGAGGTTTCGTTTCAAAGCAAACGTTTGAGTTTTGCCTGGATTGAAAAGCGCACAAATTTTATCCCTTAACGCAGGGAATTTCTTGACAAAGTAGGTTATCCGCCAGGAGGTAACTTTTTTTTTCCAAGACAAAATTTGGTCAAAACGTGAAATGATGCAAGAAAGTCTGCGCGCTTGGCAAAAATCAATCAAAAAGTATGGATGGTAATAGAAAATATTTCAGAAAGCAACTAACCGTTGGGAAAAACCATAAGAAAAACATTGGTGAAAGGTGAACTGTGAAGCTGTGCTCTTTTGGAGTTTATGAAGCACGTATTCGGCGTCCAAATGGTTTGCATTACGGCCCAGTCAAAGGACAAGTTCCCCTGTAAAATTCAGTTTTCTGGACAAATTTTAAATGCAAGTAACCTGACAAGGATTCAAAATGTCATAAGCTAAGCCTGGATCCGTCCAATATTCGTTCATATACAAATCTAAAAATCGAAAGATCCTTCATTAAATTTGCTTTTCGTACAACCAACCGATTTCGAAGTCCTGCGTGAGTTCGGACACAGAAGTGACTTCTTGGACCCACATTTCGATTCTGACGTCCACTTGGGGAGATGGGAGTTTGTGTTTGTTATAGTGGAGCATGTTTTCGAAAAGCAAATGATCGATGATTTCGGTGTCGTTGGCGCATCTTAATTTGAAGATTTACCAGAACAGTCAGAAAAGGGGAGCAACGTTATTGAATAGGATAAACTCGGTTTATTGGTTTTTTTTTATTTTTCAGCAGGTCAAGTTTTTTTGAACTTTTTCCAAATGAGATTATCATAAATTCGCCTTCTTCTGGATTATTTAGAAAACACTACCAAAGCTCTCATTGATATACTATAAAAAGATCAAGGAACTCTCAACCTGCTTAGTTTTCGAGGAATAAAGGCTCGGACGGAATGAGCTATGACAGTGGTCTCAAAACTTCTCCTTGTTTTTCTCAAGCCAGTTAATTTCTCACCCTCTGTCGAGGAGGTAGGCGACTGTTGGACTGATTTCAGACGGCAACCCGTGAACGGACCATTGTCGAATCGCGTAGAGCAGGAGGAAGAGCGAGGAGAGCATATCGTCATCCGAACGCTCGCCCTCCTCAATATGAACAATTGCCGCAGGGCGAAGAAGCAACGATAACTGTGGGGTTCTCTGGGGACCTACGAATGTTAAAAGGATGCTTTCTTTGAATCTGCGGAAGATTTTTCTTGGCAAACGGATACCTCGTATCTTATTGCATAGGTTTTCAGCTTTCTTGAAGCGGAAGTCAAGGTTTTCACACTCTACTAGGACCATTGCAGGGAGAATGGGTAATATCAATCAAAAATATTTTTCATGCACTCTTGAGAGGATTTTGAAAATCGAAGAAAGGTTTAAAATTGACGGAATATGAGCTTGTAAAACAAATTTTTCGCCAAAAAAAGTATAAAAAAATTCAGTTTTTCCTAAAATCAAGCTTGCAAGATTAGTTCTAATAAAATATGAAACTCTTTCGAATCTATAGAAGAATTTGCGTAACAGGCACTTAAAAAAACCAACTTTTTAAGGGCTAAAATATTTTTTTGATGGGAAAAAAAGTCTCAGAAAGCACTACGAGAGGAAGTTGAAATGTCCATTGAAAAAAATTATTTTTTTATTATAAAGATACGATTAAATTTTTTTAACAAGAGCTAAGTGGGATTTTTTTAACTGGAAAATAAAGATTTAAAAAAATTCAAGAGGATATCATCTTTTTCCTAATAATAGTTACGAGAATGAGCAGGAAAGAACTGGAAATCTTTTCCCGAGAACGTACTTTCTGAAAGCATCCCAGCGTTATAGCCTTCTTCAAAAAACGAAGTCCTAGCTTTTCGATAGATTAAACAATTTATAGCCTTTTTTGCCTATGATTCGAACAACAAAAAATCAAAGCTTTCTGAGAAGCAGAAGGGAAAAGAAGAGAAATTTTAAAAGCGTCTTTTCCCCTTAAAAGCTCAACACGCCTAGAAGCGACGGAATCCAATTAGCGCCTTTGAATTGTCTGGGAAGTGAGCTTTACCAAATTAAGAACAACAGAGGAGAACGGAACACACCTAGTTAGGTCGGAGCATGACTGTTGGCGGCGCCGAAAACAAGATGTGCTGGACGATTGTGGCCGTGAATCCGCAGTTTGTTAGGCACATCAATATTCAGCGGCGGCTGCTTGAGGCCCTCGGGCTAACAGAATCGCAACAACTGCAGGAAACGCCTACTGGCTGTTCAAGGCGAAGAACGAGGCGAAGAACGCTCGAGACTCAAGATTTTTCATAATTACTCTCGGAGGGTGTCCATCAGTCTTTCAAGTGTTCGAATATAAGAATATGATCTGAAAAAGGAGAAATACCAAACTCTTCAAGGAATCATACGGTAATAACCAACAATATTGACAAATGCTTTTCACTGTTCGACTTCAGATTAATATACTGAAGCTTCATCATCAAGAAATTTTTAGGGGGAATTTAAAACTGTATTATAAAAATTTGCCTTCAAAATCTCAGAATTCTCAGATAAAAATCTGATTTACGACGCAAAAACAATTTTTTTGCGCAAATTTGAAAAAGTTTCAGGGTGACGCAGAACTATGTCAGGTGTCCCTATTGATAAACTTCATTGAGTTAATGAATCTCCCCTCTAGTTAGGTGAAACTGGAAATTTATACAAATAGAGATTTAAAAATGCTGCTGTTTTGAAAACACCAAAAGATCCTTGACCGTTTTTTTGGAATAATTGAATATTCCAATCTTTTTTTACTGGCTCAGAAGCTCAGGGAAGGCTTCAGTCGCTTTTTTTATTTATTAATTTAAGGCCTATTTACCAATTTTTTTCTCTACAACCTTACTTGTACATGTTATTTTTTCTTCCTATAGATAAAATTATTATAAAACTCCGGCTTTTTTTATAAACCATGAACGGCTGTAAGAACATTTTTTTCCGTTGACTCCGTCCAACCTGCTATTAGAAAAAAATTGATTAAAAAAAGGTGAGTGAAAGTTTTTTTGCGATTTTTCAGGGCTTATCAAGTTTTTTTCTGCAATTTATCTGTTTATTAGACGCTGCTAGCTTTGAAAAAAAACTCGTAATTATTTTTAAAAAAATTTAATTTTTTTCAATATTTTTGAAAGCTACCAAAAAAACCGCTCTCTCCTTCCAAAGCTTCGAGAAGTTCTGTAGAAGTTATGTGAGATCGTGTTACATTTTCGCAGTGTTGGAATACAGTTAACAGGTGAAAAGCGCGTTGGTCATTGCACCGGAGAGCTCGGGTTACTAATACGGCGAGATTAACAGGTGTATGGTGCTCGCGAGACAACACTGACAGTTTATATTTCGGCTCAATTCGCTTGCGTCGAGTGACACGATCAGTATTCATCCACTTACCTATTACACCGTTTGTCCCTTTTTTCCTCATTAGATAAATTTAGACAAAAGAAAACTTTTTGACAAATATCCTTGGCGAAAAAAGAAGATATCTCCCAATTATACAACTATTATCTTACGGCAAAATTAGTGGAATGATAAGCCGAGTTTTTGAAAATACTGCACGATCCTAACGATTTGAAATAAAAAAACTATCTTCCTTCCGAAACATATGTTTTCATTCAAAGTCATGTTTCCTTCTGTTTATCAATTTTCTTGAAAGTGAGCAAAGTTCAATCGAATCAAAAAACTGAGCATTCATACAGAAGCTCTTGAGAGTTTTTGTCGGCTATTTGTGTTGGCCCAAAAAGATGAAATTTCACACGAGCACTTACAGTTCAGCGCAAATTTGGCTTCATCTGTCCACTTTACCGCACGCTTCCTCAATTGCCCCTCTTTTTCTTTTTACTTTAAAAAGGTAAAAAAAGTTTGAAAATTGTGCAATAGAAAGTTAGATAAAAAAACAAATATTAGTCAGTTTTGAATAATAAACTTTTTTTGAATGATTAGGAAATTAGAATAATTGCTTTTGCGGCTCCTAAACAGTCATCACAAAAAAAGCTTCGAATTAACTTGTTTGTTTGCATTCATAAACACAAATGTCATATAAAAAAAACTAATTTGTAGCGTTTCCATTTTTAATTGAAAAAGAACTAGCAAGGGCTAGGAATGTACGAAAAATTTCACTTTTTCTCCTTTAGCGACGACTCGAAATATTTTCTACGATTTTTTTAGTTATAAGGATATGAATCTGACATAACAGTTTTTTTAAATTTTTAGATTTGAGATGTAAATTTGCTGGACTGATTGGTTGAGATCTCTGAGATTTTTTCTTTAGGAAATAGTTACCTTCTTTGATAAAAATTCAGCCGCCTTTTGTTATAAAGATCGACCGAATTTTTCAACCTGTTTAAAAACGTTTGTGTGGGCGCGAAGAGTGAAGAGCGGTCAAAGCTGTTCGTTTTCAACGCCGCGAAGAGCCGAATGAGGAGTTGCGCGAAAAGTTCGCTGATTGGAGTGCGCGGCAAATACAGGCAGCATTTGTCGGCCAAGTTCTTGCCTTGGTTTGACAGTTTCGCTACTACTTATGTTATCATCCTAATTATTGAAATAATGGCAAAGCTCGTGTTCTTTTTTGTGGAATTTTCATGTTCATTTTCTTTTTTTCGTTGCTTCTGAAATGTTCTGAGGTTTTCTTGAACATTTTTCAAACAACAGAGAAGGAGAAAAGCTTAAACTTGATGAAAATGCAGCTGAAGTTTGCTTTTTTGGATCACCAAAATAACTTTTCAGAAATTTGACAGATTATAATAACGTTTAGGGTTAGAAGCCTCCATATTTTCGAAAATTTTCGGTAAACCTCGGTAACTTTTTTTTTCGCTCTGAAACCGAATTTTTTCCTACATGTAGAAGTGAATTAACTTTTAGCGTTTGGGAGAAAGAGAAAAAAATCAGCTGGCAATTGTATTTACTAGGAATCAGCACCCGAATTGTGAAAATAGGCTCATTTTTTACAAGTTTCCGGAGGAGAGTTTCCAGAATTTAATTAATTTCTTTTCTTTGATTTTCATTGTGCTCGAATTTCGAGAAAAAGATACTTTAGTACCTCGAAAATTTTTGAAAATTCTTTCTCTCACTTTTTTTTATTCTGAAACTCATTTTCTCTCAGATTTTGAACGACAAGATTTTGCCTCACTCATAGTCACCCTTTCTGAATTCACTTTCCTTGACTTGAGCCAAATCGCTGTCTACAGTTGGGATTCTTCCCACGACAGCTTGGCGTATGACGAATCGGTTGGTGACACCCCGGCGTGACGCCTCGCCTCATTTCTCGATTACCTCATTCAAAGCTGTAAATTGTGATCAATTGCCAAGACAAGACGACGGCGACGTAAATTATAACGTTGAAGAGGCGATGCTTGTCGAATTTCATGAATAGTAAGAAGAAGACATACTGCGTAATCCCAATATGCCAGTCATATATTGTACCGTGATTTGCATAATCTTTGGAGGTCTGGAGGTTCTGGCAGTCGCTTTGATGCGAATTTGACGCTTCTGCGCTTTAATTTTCCCTCTATTGGTAACTGTTTAGAAATGCTAGTTTTGTGAGTCTGCTCGAAAAAATTTGCAGGTCTTTTGAACATTCTAAGCAGAGCTCTGGGCCAAGGTTGATGGCCAAATCGGCCCAAAATCAGTCGAAATCGCGATTTTTTTGATCTTATTTCATGATTTACACCTCATACTTTTTCTAACTAACACATTTTCGACCATTTACTCCCCCATTTACACTTTCTGTGAAAATTTCAAGACAAAAAGGTTTGAAAATTGGCAATTTTTGACCGCTTCGCGACCGCGTTGCAACACTATGGCTAGCCCGGACGGCCTGTCTCATAGCTCTGATTTTTAGGAAACGTTGAAGAGAGTCTTTTTTGACTTTTGAATTTTTTTTTTTCGATGTTTTGTTTTGAAAATGTATACTGACTTTCAAAATACCTTCAGTTAATACAGTAATTCAGCACCTTCACGTTCATCAGAAATTTTTTTGAAGAAGATTACATTCCAAAAAAAAGCTCTCTAAGGACTTTGGAGCCAGCGGACAAGTGACTAACTTTCAATAAAAAAAGCAAACAATTAGATGAAGCATACTGACTTAATTAAAGACTTCCAATTAACTCCCATGTTTTTTTCTGAATCAATTCCATACACAAATGTCGGCGTCAGCGATTCTATTCGATGTTATCTTGAGCAGGTTCTCTCAGTCGGTTTCATTTTCGCCTTGAGATCATAGCCTCGAAGTCCTTTGCGGCCGGTCTTTCCGAGAACTTTTTGCTATTCAAACGTACTTTCGACGCCGTTTTGTCTCACCTTGACTTTTTGAAAAGTTACGAGTTTCCAGGCAATTTATTTTTCTGTGTCGCGTTTACTGTTAAAATGTTTTCCGATTTTTTTATTATCGAAATGAGTCATTCAGAGAATCTCAAGGAACATAATTTCGTCATACGTTCTATTTTAAGCCTTTGAGCTCGGCTGATTTTTTCCGCTATTTTTGCTTCAAAACTTCGACTCTTTCCCTCTGACATGTCAGAGCAACAGGTGGATGGGGAATGTTACAGTTATGACTAAGCTTTATAGATTTCCTGTTGCCTTTCCAATTTTTCGCTTCAAATCTGACCAAAAAAACAATGGGCGCGGTAGACGTTGTCTCCGTATGGAAAAAAAGGTGGGAAAAGTAAACAAGCCTTGTTTGAGAAGCTGATAAATCCAGCTTCTATTTTATCTTGCAAAAAAAATTGCGCTGGTTCTCAGAGATTTTTTAAACAAATACAGTATCGTGAGAAAAGATACGAAAAAAAACGGAGTTTCGGTCACAACTTTCTTGTAAGAAATTGAATCTTTCGGAGACTCTCTGGGGTTGGGATGACTGTTATTTTCAACAATATAATGAAGATTCCGTCCACAGAACAAACCACAGCTCTGGAAACTTTCAGAAAGCCCGATGAATAATGAGGTTGTCAATCCCAAAGAGTAACAGGAATGTTGTTAATTTCAGTCTTTTTGAAAAATAATCATTCTTTGCGATACTTGGAAAACAATTTCTGAGTCAAGAAAATATTTTCAGTTTTTCTATCGTTTCCTTTGTTTTCTATCAATCCGCTTTCCTTGAAACAAAGAAAAAATGTTTACCAAAAAAACCTTTGCCTTTGAGATATATATTTTTTCATTACTTTCATACCCTTACCTTAAAATTTTTCTTTAAAAAGGTATATCATTTCGAAGGTAATAATTCCAAAATTACTTCAACTTTCTTGTGTCGTTTTTTACAAGTACTCATAGCTTACTGGTCTTCACCGAAAATCCAGGACCCGATACCAAATTTGTAATTTGTAAGATCTGCATAGGGTTTGTGATCTGACAAATCCGACACCATAGAGACTGTCAAAAAGCGTCCGCCGTGTACAGGCCGCGCAATCCTATTACCAGCAGATGTGCGTGTTGCTTTTCAAAGGACAGCCGAGAAGATCGCCTTTACGAACCATTTGCCACGTCTACTGTTTGACCACTTTACGGCCCTCCCAGTACTTTTTCTTGACATGCTATGAGAAAAACCGTGAAAATGGAATCTTTTTCCACGTGATCCAATGATTTTCGGTTTGGAAACCCATGTAAAAAGTGCCAAGTAACTAGATATTATCTTTTCTAGCCTACTTGTAACAGAGCAGAAAACTGGACGCAAAATTTCATCAAGAAAAAATGGGCTTTTTGTTATTCGGAAAACAGAAGTTCAAAAGCACACAAAGTTTTTCCATCAACTTTCCATTCCTTGTTCCAATTTTTTACTTTGATATTCAGGTACCTATTTAAGCTGTACCACTCACGCGAAGGTAAGCCGCGAGAGGGATAAGGCAAGTTCAAGACAATACTACATTACCATGGAAATAAGAACGGCTTCATTCACACGTCCACTCGTCTTGGATTATCGCAAGGCTTTTCTCATTATGACAATCTCCTGGTCAGTTGCATTCACGCTAGAATCAGAAACTTTGAAAGTGTTGTGAAATGATGCAAATTCCTCTGTAAATCCGAAAAACAGTTTTTGTGTCACGAGAGATCTTGTTTAGGCTTTTTATTAGTCAGAGATTGTGACTAAGCCATCTTACAGAAATAGAAAATTTGAAAAATCGCAAATTGTGCGCTTACAGCACGAAAGGTCGCGGCGTCTCGTCCATGACTCATAGCCTTTCCTCTCTTATCGTGTCCATCTCGAATGCTTCTGTCGTTTGCAACGCACCGTAGACATTATTTTCGTCTTTGGATTTTTTCTTGAGGGCTTTACGGAAGGCTCATTGTAACGTCAAAAGATTCGGCCTTGCGCTGCTCATTTCGATGGTTATCTTATCCTAAAAGCAGATCTGCGCAGCCGTCTCCCGCATGTAATTATAAGTGTTGGGGCGTGACCGATGGCTTTTGGCGCGTTGGTACGAGCTCACTAGATAACGTTTTCTAAGGTCGTATTCGATCCGTCGGTCAACTTGTAGGTTTAATCTTTTCGGAGAGCTGTCTTTAGGCATCCACAAATTTCTCACAGTGTTAGTTAGGCTTTTCAATTTTTCAGTCATCTTGGCTTTTCAGATTTCCTGCTGGACTTTATACTCTATTTTTTGAATGATTTCTATGCTCCTCTCCGAATTTTTTCATTTCAACAAGTCAAATCTTTTTAAAGACATCATATGAGCTTTCTAAGAATATCTGCAATCACGTTTCTTCATTGAAACTTTATCTGTTATTTCGACCTCTTCCCAATTTTTGTTTTAGATTTTTCCATTTTATTTCTGATGGAGAATTTTTTAGATTTGAAAGGTTTTTGATCTATCTTTTTCAGTCACTGAGCATATTTATTTTCTTTTTTCAAAATAAATTTTATCCGACCGATTTTTTTTTGACAGAAGCCCTGTGAATTTAAGATCATACACGTTCGGTTTTTGAAAAAAATGAGTTCTCGAAAACTCAATGAAAAATTAGAATCACTTCAATTATGAGAAAACTTTAACTGGCTTGGAATCTTCAAACAAAAGCTCTCAGTATTTTGTGGTACAAAAAATGTCTCACTTTCCAATTGAAAATGGAGATTTTTTTCTTTACTTTCATTTCACTTCGCTATTCTCTCCGTATCAAACAAAAGTTCTAAATTTTTCTGAAAAATTTCGCAAGAAGCCAGACAGTTTCGCAATCTTTGTACATTGCTGCATAATAGAGATTAAAAAAAGATTTGTTTATGAGGTAGATCTTCGGCGCGTGCAAAAGTCGGGGGGCGGAGTTTCGACGGTCGAGGCCAGCATTGTCCGCGGCCTGCCATAGTTCCTCAAGTGCTTGTCCGGCGTTGTTTGGCGTCAAACGGGGGTCACTTCATATCCTCCACAAAGAAGTGTGATGTTGGCGGCAAGGTCCTGCAGCTCACTTTGTTTGGCTAGATGCTATCGGACCGTGTTTGTGCTTGTTTATTTGCAAGGTCACGTATGCCATTGTCACCCGCTCCACGTCCTTTGTTCTACCAAGCTTCAAAGCCTAAATCCGTCCGTTAGAGCTCTTTCTATACTCTCTTTTTTTTCTAATCCAGCTTGGTTTTCTATTTTTATTTTGAAGCTTACTGGCTCAACCACTTTTCGATACATTTTTCAAAAATTTCGAATGTTTCACACAAAAGTCCGAATTTTTGAGAACATTGATCTTCCTTGAAATAATTGCCGTTCCTTTTTATCAGCTGACCAAGAAGATAAGAAAATAGTTTTCATGCGCCGCTATCGTATCACATTGATAAGCATTCTCTTATCAATTTATTATTCTTTCTGAGATATTACTTTTTTTGTGCGGTCATTCATTTTTTTACAAACTCAAAAAAATGGATAAAAAGAAGTACTGTTCCAATTGTATGAAGTGAAAAAAATTTGAAAAACTATTTACCTATTTTTTTTCTCGTTATAAACTGTATTTTTTTTTTCCTGGAATAATTCTCCCTTTTAATTCCTGATCCCAAAGACTTGCTTTTCATCAATTTTTCGTCCTCGACCCGTTTAAAAAAGTGTACAATGGAAGCGGGGACGCGTGTTCTTTCTCGACTGTACAGCCGTCCATATGTTTTGGCTCCTCCATGTCAACACGTTTTCTGATGAGCTGCGCAACAAGTCTCGCAGATCTTCGCAAGTCACGTATAATTGCCAGAATTACACGCTGACCGTTTTGTTGTTCACTCCTTCTGTCGTCGTGACCTTTGAGACCAGTTCAGACACATGCCACGGCACCTGGTTGACCGTCCAGACGCGAGTTTCTATGTATAATTCTTCTTTTTGCGCTCCAATGGCATCCTAATGCTTGAATGCTTAATAATAGGTTTCACTAAGCGAAATCTTCCTGGCGGTCCAAACTAAACAGCGGGTGTCGGAAAAGGCGGAGCCGAAGCCATGATAAGCTTCAAGTTGTGCCGGCGTTTACCACCGTCTGATTCATTGCCGTTCGCCTATTCCTTTCAAGTAATGTATGACTTTTGGGAATTCCCAACGACGCTAGGATATTTACCAAATAATTAATCCTCGATAGCGCTCAAGTCACTTCTTGGCTTACGCTGTAGTACATTCAGTGTTGGCTCGCGTTTCCAAAAGCACGAGCCATAAGTTTAGTAAATGTAATTTTTCAAATTGGGTAGTCTGCCTGTAAAATTTTTTTTACATTTGTCGTTTTGAAAACTTTTTTCTAATAAGAATTCTGTCTCTGAAAAACGTCAAGATTTCAAACCTATACATCGCTACTATCAAAAATTTGTATTTTGGGAAGTCAACGGACAATAACTTTTGATTTTTTCAGTTGCCAGCGGTGTTGGCCAAAAATCCCTTAAACGTCGTATTGTTGAAATAACGTCTGCGGCTTTGGCGACCGACGGGTTGGAATGCAACTGGTTCGGCCTCCCAATACAATTGGAAACGTGGAAACGCGGCCAGAAAGAAAGGAAAATTCGTGGTTTGAAGACGTTCGAGTTTTCTTTCGGATACGGAGCGCCGTTTATTCACTCAGTTTCTTTGGACTTTTCAAGTGATTCGGTTGGATATGAGTGCGTTTCAATTGTGAAACATTAAACTCAAAGAAAGTTGAGTTGCAAGTCCATTTGGATATAATTTGAACTTTAAAAGTTTAAGTGAACCAGAAAGGAGAGTACCTTATCGGTATCATAATACTCGCCTTAGCTTCTTCTGTAGAATAAGATTTACTTTTATTTGTGCACCTGTATTCGAAGCATCTGCGTTATCCATCTTTGCTGGACGGCTTTTCAAAAAACCGCTCAAGGCCGACTTTTTCACCTCCGCCTTTTTGCTCAACCGCTTGTACCGATTAATCTTCGGGATGAATCCAACCGTCCTCGGAGCGCATTTCCTGTGCGGAATGTTGCCGTCAGATGCCTTCTAGTGTTTTGATTGGACCTTCGTTGTAGTACTCCAAAAGGCTGACCATTGTGCTTCCTAATGTATGTGTTGACGTTCCGGAAGGCGCACTCGAGATTTTCAAGAGCCGTCTTCGGTAATTCACTAATCGTTTGCCTTAACTAAGACTCGGCCGTGCATTTGGCAGTGCTCATGCATTGTTGCTCCGCGGCTCTTGTGGTATTGGCCTAAGGGTCAAATATTGGCTCCTTTAAGGAGTCGCGTCAAACTTTTGAAAAATGTGGGAAATAAAATCGCAAAATTTTAAGCCTACTGTCTTTTCTTCTTCAATATTAACTTCTGTGGAAGAATCAAAGTCTTTCTAGACTTTTCAAGAATCTGAAAAATCCTCTAGAGTTGCTCAACGTCAAAATTATTTTCTGTAATCATGGGATAACATTTTTGACATTCATAGTCCAAATCCAGTTTGGTAGTCCAGTCCAAATCCAGTTTGGTCTTTATACAGGCTGGTAGCTTTGAAAAGAGATAATAACTCGACTTCGTTTTGTGGAAACTGCTCAAGCGTAGAGCTGATTTTCACGTCCTTGCTCTTGGATTGTTGCTCAAGGAAGGTCTAAAGTGGCAACTATTACCGCCAGCAACCTTACCTGTGTACTTCCGTGGAGCACTTAATTGAGCCCCATTAGCCAAGAGGTGGTAATTAGCACCAGTCTCTTTCACGCGGCTGCCGCGAGAGCTTCCTCAACCAGTCATTTAGGCGCGTGCCTTGGGTATTTGTTCTAGACCTGGTCAAGCTTAATGGGCTCGACAACCGTTTGATGCTCCTGGAGATTGAAATGTTGCGCCATTGCTGTTGGCTCAGGTGTCTTCAGTGAAAGTGCTTGACGCCGCGGTCAGATGGTCATGCTCCGCCCACTTCTTCATCGGGCCTACCGTCGCTTATCTAAACCTTAAAATCCTATTGTGAGGTCTTCTTTCTTTTTTTCCAATCCATTGTTGCGGCTTTTTGAAATTCGAACTTTCAAATTTTTATTTTTTTCGATTTTTCAAGTTGCTGCTAGAGGAAATGATCAGAATAAGGAAAATATTATACCGTTTACAGTCTTCAGTTTCAAATTTTGACAAGCTTTAAGAAATAAAGAGAGGTGGGAAGCTGTTGGGACTATCCTCGCAATATCCATTAACCTTGTGACTAAACACCTTGACGGATGACGTCATCGCTTCTTAGGATCCACTCCACTTTATCCTAACTATTGACCGTGAATGCTTGGTCGCCGCTGATGAGACATTTGATACCGGGAAAACCCATATGGCCTCCACCACTACATCCAAGTGTCTTTCTCCAACCTCCTTCAAAACGATTGCTCAAATTTTTGTTTTCCATCTGCTTATCCATTCGTAATTACAACTGCTTAAAATTCGTTCAAAGGCCGTTTTTTTTATCTGAGCTTTTGAAAATTCCGTTAATTCTTATTCAAAGATTGACCTTCTAGAATATTTGAACATCCACTTTTTTTTTTGGTTACTAATATCGAACCATTTAGGAACACATGAAATTGCATGAAAATCGGCTTAATCTTCTTCCCATAAAAAATCCAAGAAGACAATTTTTGCTCGTACCTAATATCAAACGCCACAATCTATAACTTCGAAACTCTTGAGAAAACAGTTGATCTCCATTTTTTCTGGTTTTTTTTTTGTCACACCCGGGGGCCGTGCCGCCAATGAGGTCAAGCCAAGCGCATCGATTTCGTTCATCTCATTTTCAAATCGAGATTCCGTGTCGCTCAAAGTTCTGTAGGTTATACTCGATATGTTTTGAAGAATTTTCAGAAAATGCCACTTCTATTTTTTTGTCATTGTTCTGATCAGCCGCCAAACAGGTGGTACTTTCTTTCAATGGCGGTTTTTTTCCTTGAGGGTCACGTGCGAACCGTGCCATCTCGTTACTTTGTCAGTGACCGAAAGAAAAGCGTTTCATCTTGTTTTTTTTTCTTTTCGATTCTACTTTCAAGGCTTTTCGAAGCCATGAGAAACACTTTTCTCTCACGTTTGAGACAGATGCTACTGTTTTTCTTGTTCAAAATATCGTTTTCGATTTTCGTTATACCGATGTTCCATGAGTACTTTGACATTTTTCGTGCTCTATTTCTCGGTTAGACAAAAAGGCTAAAAATTATCGGATTATTTCTAGGAAAAGATCAACGATGCGTTCTGCGACGGCGCTCCTGGCGCTGTTTTTCATGACGTCGACAGGTTTCGGTTGTTACAAATGGAAGTAGTTTATTTTTTCTTGTAGTCATTTGTCACGAAGTGAACACCTTCGACCCAGAATACGGCGTTTTCCTTGGTGACCTCTCAAATAACGGCGTGGATGCCGGTCTTTCAGGACAGGTTGGTCTTTCAGATTTTGAAGAAAAAAAAGTTCAGACAAAGTTTTTTTACGGGCTTTTTGGAAAAAGTTATTAAAACATTTCTGAAAAGAAAACAGTCTTAATAGAATTTTTTAAGAAGTTCGAGATAATAGAGCGAAATCGAAATAAGAAAAAATGTTTGTAATATTCTTTCAATTTCAGGTTTTCCTGGTCAACGCCTCGACTATCCAAATCTTCAACTTCACTTTCAACGGTCATCACCCAGGTAACGATAAAAGCGTTGATACCTACGGACTTCTGATTTGACTGCAACAAGACGGGTGAAGGTTAAGATGGTCGTACTGCAATTTTTTATGCTCTACCGCGCCCGCAATTATTACCTTTCGCCTTTCCTTTGCCGGTATTATGACGGCCAAATGGTTTTGGCCTTGCTGATGAGAGTGGTTTTAGAAGAAGAAAATAGCTGCCACCGTCACAGTTCTCTTTTTATTGCTAGTCACGGTCAAAATGGCTGTCTTTATTGGATTATAACCATTTCGATTTGAGAGCAGTTATTCTTCATTCACTCTTTCTTTCTCTTTCTCTCAAAAAATCCGCTGGAAAGCAGGATTTGCGAATTGGGTCAAGTTAGCAGTAAAAATTCACAATCGCGATAAACCAGATTGACATGAATAAAAAACCAATTGACCTCGAAAGTAGATATATTTTACAGATGTCTACTTCTGGCTGGACACGAAAGACGCTCCAAGCAACGATGGACTCAAAATTCCGACTTTTGAGTATGGAATCACGCCGTTGGATAAGTACGATCTGCAAGAACGTGTTGTCCTGAACATCCCGCCGCCTCACAAAATTGTCGATAAGACGCAGCCCTTCAAGTCGCTCTCTTTGTATTCCTATGCAAATGAAGTTGGAAAATGAAACGAATATGGGAAAAAAACAAAAGTTTTCAGCACAACTTTGGTTCCATTGTCATTCCTGACAACCTTATCATTCCGCGTTCTCAGAGCTTCGGCAGCGAATTGAAAGGATCGAGGTAAACTCTTTGATCATAAAATTTTAGAGGGCTTATGAAAAACAATTGATATGCTGAAGTTCTATGAGTGATAAACATTTTTCAGGTACAATTTGCGCTCGGGGCCCATCTACGTCGTCGACAAAAGAACTATCAAGATTTACGGCTTCACTTTCGAAGGTGATCGTGCCCCAGGTATAATTTAGTTGTGAATGAGAGTATTAACTTTTATCATCTGTTCCAACCTGACTGAAGGAATTTTATGATGTTTTCAGACACTTACTTCGCAGTTGGACGAGGAACAACCGTCACCTACGATGCTGGAATCCGTGTAGCAATTCGAGGAAAAGACGACGCTGGGTTAGTACCGATATGATTATCAAACTGATCACAGGAAAAAAATGAAATCAAAAAATTAATATGGCAAAGGGGATCGAATGTGATGAAAAAAACCTGAAGAAATGAACAAAAAAATGCGGATTTTTGCCGATTTTTGCCATAGAAAAAGTGAAAGGCCATGCCTCTTCTTGAAAAAAATAAATTCAAAACTTCTCTCGAGCTGTAGAAATTCCAAGATTTTTAAGGAAAACTTCACATTTTTTAGATGAACTAAATCGAGGACACAATTTTTTTGAAATCCATAACGAAAAAGGAATACTTTTCCAGTAATTTGAACTTTTTGCTCGAGAAAAAAAAACTCACCTTCTTAAGAATGAAAATCACCTATCCCATCATTCTTTCTTTCTTTTTTAGTCTTGCGTAGGCAGTTTTCTCTTGAATCGAACGAGGTGTTTCTCAGATCTAAAATCAAAGTTTCTGAGTGATTGCTAAAAAGAGATAAGATGGAACAGTAGACTCTGGAAGTTTGAGAGGGAGGTGATAAGAGGCCAGTTACTGCAATAGAAACGGCTCTCTGCAATCGCCAGCAAAGAAAAAAAGATCAACAATCATGCCACTAGCCGGCATCGGACGATCGCGCCTGTTGCTGATGCAAATAAAAAGTTGAGAAGTTCATTTGGGTTCAGAGGAATCCAGTTCGAAGACACTTCTGTCTCAGATAACAGCTTTTTATATGACTCTCATATTTTAGTTCTAGTTCTATGAGTTGCTACCCATCATTCAACGTCAATTCCTCTGATTAAAAATTTGTAAGCGTAATACTAAAAAAATAGTATGAAAAATTTTTCCGAGAAGCATTCAAAACTAAAAAAATTAGATTTTTTTAATCCTTGGGGTCCAGAAATTATTTTTTAGAAACGCTTTAGCTTATTCTTTCCATGAGGCAGAGTACGAGTAAACCTTTATTTTTCTTACTCTTTGTACCCCCCTTTGAGAAAGTTTTTATCTTATTTTACCGCCCTCTTCCATATGACTTTCAAGTTTTAATGACGGCTTAGCGATAAAAAAATAGAAACCCTTCAGTTTTCGCCTTTGGCTTCTAAGAGCTTTTATAATCGAATAATTTTTTTCCTTGTTCCTGTTTTAGTTTAGTCAAGTCCACTTCAAGCAAGAAGTCTGCGAACCTATTTGATGGAACTTAGGTCCCACTAGTGCCACACAAAACTCACGTGATATGCCGCTGTTTCTTCTATGCTTCTTGAACGTTCTTTAACCTTGGCTATCTCTCAAGATGCAAAAACCTTCCCACTTTCTTGCTGACTTTTAAGATATTCTGTCGTTCGTCAGTTCATTCTGCAACTCATTTCATCGAGGCTTTCCAGATTTTCTAATCATTCCAAATGCGGGTAAACTTGTTCGGCGTGAGAATCCGATACAAGCAAAGAGATCTCGAGAGATTCTGTACAGTATTTCTGTTAGTGGCTATCACGTGAGTGTTCTACTTTAAGCGTCTGGAGAAATCATGTGACATGTCAATAAAATAAGTGATTTGACTGGATCACGTGAGATCATCTCGTGGACGAAACGTTGTGTTTTTATCTAAGCTGGAAACGTTTTGTCTTCCTTTTGAGAAGCCTGGAGAAACTTATTTTGAAGCAAAAAAAAGCTATCAAAACATTAAAAAAATGGATAGTTTAGGTCCAGCTGACCTGCAACTATCGACAAAAATCTAAAATAACTGAATAATGATTTTTGCTTTCAGAATCACCCAGATAACGGACAACTACCGTGGAGGCACAGACATCGTCCTCGACCTGCCTGAGGACTACGACATCCACCACATCGACTGGCTCGCCGTCTACTGCTACAAGTACCGCGTCAACTTCGGTCACGTCACCGTTCCTTCCAACATCTCCAACCAGATTCCGCCTTACGTTCCACGCCAGAAACGAGTTAGTTCCTTCAAGATCCCCAACTATGATAATCCTCCACGATATCGCGTTTGTTATGAGAATTGATGGGCACGCGGCGGTAGGTTAGATATGCAAAACGCACTAGCGCCTTGTCATGTTTGACCTTCTGTGTCAACCCAACAGACGATAAGATGGACTTTCTGAGATTTTCTCTTGTTTTTTCAGGGAGATGACCAACCGACTCCTCCTGATTCTTGGCCTAGACAGGTGCTTCTTGGAACCAACGCTCGCAAGAACTTCACCTTCCAGCTGGGTCACAGTGGAGGCGAGAAAGGATACAAGGTAAATGCGAGTCATTGAAGAAATTTTACTACATGACCTACAATAATAAGAAGTTGATGTTCCAAATAGGAGTTAAGCAATATTTTAAAGAGTTTGCTCTCCGTTTTTCGTGAAAATTGAAAAATTTGGTTTGGATTTCATAAAAAAAGGTTTTTGATTCCAGGAATGGGTTTATCAACATTCTAAAAGTGAGAAATGAACACGGATAGGAAAGGACAATAACAATAAGGAAAACTGAAACTGAACTTTGAATGAAATACGATACGATACGATGTTTCTTCCAGGCTTACTCTCACATGCGAACTGGCAAGTATGTGTGGTACGTGAACGGTCTGATGTCGCCCGACCTCTACTTGAAGCGAGGAGAAACCTACAACTTCTTGTTAGTTTTTCAAGGCTTTGTGTGTTTCATTTTTGGATTCAGCGTCGAAGGAGGCAATGAACCTGAGACAATCAACCTCTACAACCCGCTCTATGTTTCCGCTGACCGTGAGGGTGGTTTTGACAAGCTTTCGAAAGAAGAACAGCAGGTTCGAAATTCCGACGTTTCACTTGTGAATCCTTTTTCTTTCAGAAAATCGTGTTTTACACCGACGGCGATGCGAATTCGCATGCTGGAAAACTTTGCGCTTGGTCTAACGAAGGTAATTTGTCGATTGAGAAAATTTGAAGCATTTTCTCGTTTCAGAAGTGAATCCGGATGTCTTTTCCACTTTCAACGATTTCCGCAAATCTTTGATTTTGAACTGCGATCCCGGAACCCAGCGAGGATTTCTCCAGTTCACTTCCAACTCCACTACTCCTGATGTTCTCTACTACCAGGTGTGTGTCAGGAGATATGAGAAACGTAAAGATTTTTAAGAAAACCAAAAAGACGTAAAATCTCACATACTCTAATTTTTTTTTCCCGAATAACTACATAAAAAAATTTTTTTTGATTTTACTGCATTGAAGAAATCTCAATTTCATGAAAAAAATTTTTAACTCAACACTTCCGTTTTGAATGAAAAACTTTTGTAGAAAAATAATCTTTCTGGAGCAAAAAAAGATCAAAACGTTCCGAAACTTTTCTGTTTGAAAATTCTGTGAAGAAACAATTTCAGAGCTCTTCGAACTTCAATATGGGCGGAAGGATCTTCATCGTCAACGAGATGCCGCAAAACGTCACTGACGTCATGGAAGAGCCCTTCGAGTACGAGGAATACCTGAAGAAGCTGGACAAGACTTCGGAGATCAACTCCGCCGTCGTCAAGTTCATCTTCCTCATCTTCTCTCTGGGTTTCGCTCCCCTCCTCCTCTAAGTTTAATTATGCAGTCCTATGATCTCCTCGTTTCTGTGTTTCTTGGACCTGAGAAACTACTGCTACCCTGTCTTTCCAGTGACCACTTATTCCCGTTTTAACACCTTCATAATTATCTACTCATGAACCATACAAGATATTTCCGTGACATGATGCGCATTTGTTTTTTGTGTCATACCATCCATTACTTTCGATCAGAAAAAAACCAAATTGCAATCCCCCCCTCTGTAAAACTGTAGTTGTTTTTTTTTTACCTGGCTTAAACAACCGCGCATGCGGGTCTTAGTCGATAAATTCAAAAATGATTTTTTCGTCGACCTGTTACGGTCTCCTTTATTTAATTTATCCGTACAGGTGGAATTTCTAGTTTTTTTCTAACACTTTATATCTATTGGCTCGCCATTTCGCATACTTAAATTCATTATTTTTCTAACTCAAATTGCATAAAGTTATGAATTGACTTCAATTCAACAACGAAAATAAAAAGAAATTTTATAACAAAGATATAAAGGGGAACATGAGCCAAATTCTATTTAGATGTTTGAAATGTAGCAATTTTTATTTAGTTATTGCCATCCTATTTTTAGAAATTTGAGCGATTCATGAACTCATCAGCCATATGAAAGTTAGAACAACAAAAAAGATACGATTCCTTTTCTATTCGAATTGCAAAAAAATCTTCGAAATTCAGAAATCCATCAAAAGGAACTTCAAAAAAGCGTTATTTGACAACGGAAGATATGAAAAATTCAAATTTTCGCTGTATCGCAGGTTGAGTTTTAACTGTAAAAGTCCCTCAAAGTTAAGAAAAATATTGATAGAACCGTTTTAAACTTGGATAGTTTGCTGTATCTTATAAAAAAAAGCCTGGGTTTCTTTATAGGTTAAAACTTGAAACTGCAAAAAGTTAACGTCATTTTGGCAGAATAAAGTTTATTTTTGAAGTCGAGGGTTCAAACTCTGAAATGAACTATCACTTAATTCTATGACATGAAATAATTCCCTATTACAGTACCTTTCAAGAAATTTGACCGAATCTTCCAGCTTGAAAAACTAGAAGTCTAAACGGTTAGTTGATCATGTTGAAAGCATGGTCTCACGGTCCTTCGCTTCGTTCTTCTGCGTGTAGTCCCTCCAGTTGCGCCTCGAAGAACTCAGAAAGTAACGGATGTTGTGCTCTAGGTGGAAGCTTCAGAATGAGAGCGACCACTTCGATTGGAGATTATACGCGGATATATATATCATTCACTTCTTTTCATCAATTTCCCGTAGTACTGCCTTTTTCCCACTGAATTTTTTTAAAATAAGGAACTATCTTGAATTCTTCATCGTTTCAAAAAGTTTTTAAAAAAATGTTTTTCAAAAGGATACATTTCTTGATCATTATTACAATTTCACCCCTTACGAATTTCGAAGGAAAACTAAAGTAGCTAAATATGTTAATAAAAAGTGCAGAATACGCTTTCTTTGCGGGTTCAACTTCAATCTGTTGTTTCTATAAGAAAAGTTCCACTTCTAAAATTTTCATTGAAAATGGAGTCATCATATTGAAGAGCTTTTTCACTTGTTTGAAACTTTAATGATTGAAACCAGCGAGTTTTCGTTTTAAATATCTTTCAGGGAGAGGAAACAGCCGGAAAAATAAGAACAATTTCGTTAAAGAAGTCTAATCGAGAAGATTTTCTGCAAAAATCAGCTATTATTTGCACGTTTATTCAATTTGCCCCGGGAAGCGGTTAAGATTAAAATCAAAAGGCTCGATGGACGTTTCCGCTTAGCTGCCAATACGAATTTCCTATCGTAGACCTGCTATGACGATTTTCTTCACAATATACTCATTGGGAATGTTTTATTTGGGAAAAATGCATTATAGAGAAAGAAATTTTGCAACGAATCAAGTACAGATAAAACTTTGAGACAGAAAAGAAAAACGGGATGAATACGCACTGGCAAGCGACTAGGAGCTCATAGATAAGAGCTCAAATCAGTAGGGTTAAAAGAAGCCTCGCATTGAGAAAGATATTCAGGGAACAATAAATATTGATGCCTCAAAGCGAACCTCATCGACTGCTTTATCGCAACTCTGGGAGACTGATATGAACGGTAACAAAGTAAAATGAGATAAATATATATTGGAGGCAATTAAAACTTTTGGTTTTGGTGAATTCAGTCCTGCAATCAAATAAACTCGGATGAGAATGAAGACCAAATATACAATAAGACGATCACAAAGAGATTGCTGAGATACGTTTGATAAGTGTGTGAATCGCGACTCCGCACTGGTTTTTCCAATGGGAGTCTGCTTTCAATTCATTATGCACGGATGCGAAAGAACTTGAACGAGTATCGTGAAACAAAGAATAAAAATTTGATAAAATGACGTTATCGATAAATGCGATGAGATAAAGCTAAGTTATTTTTCCGTGGACGAATCTGCTATGACACAAGCGGCTTTACTCGGCTGTTTGCAGCAAATGGGACTGATGGTGGTGCTGCGCAATGTCAGCCAGTAAAACTGCGCTCGAAAGACCAAACTCCATCTGCAACCTAAAATATTACTAATTTTTCCTCGCTGGAAAAATTTCACCTGAGAAGGCGAGTTGAAAGGTTGCTCATCGGTCCATGGCTCCTTTTTTGACTTCATCATTGTTTTGTACTCGGTAAGTCTCATCTTCTTCCCGTCGACAAGACACGTTCTTTTCGGTCGTGGCCTGATTGTCGAGGTGAAAATGATGTGTTTTTTATGTTCCCACCTATATCGGTAATCGGGGTGTTGCTCCATGTGAAGTTTGCTCAGACGAGATTGTTCTTCATAATAAGGTTGCTTCTCTGTACTGCTCATACCTTTCCATCGGGAACCTGAAAATAACCAAAGTAAGTTCCTTATTTGTTCATAACTTTCATTCTGAGTCGTTTTTTGACATTTTCTTAATCATTTAGCCTACCTAAGATCTTGCTGATATTGCTATTGTGCATGTCCGGATAAGCCTTCAAGATTTTCCTGCGTTCATCTCGAGCCCAAACCTTAAAAAACATTATTAACTCCGCTCGAACAATGAAGTTTACCATGAAAGCGTTCATTGGCCGTTTTATATGGTTTGGGGATTTCGCAACAGGCCGAGGCGTCGGAACCTCACTGCTGACCGAAACATTGCCAGGTGTGCTTTTTCCAGAAGAAGCCGGGGATATGTTATTGAAACATGAGGCTAGAAATATTATTTTTTGACTTTTTGCAAATTTTGTCCAACCATCTGATCCGAAATTAGAAGGCAACTGGAAGGGGAGTCGGAAAGGAGTTAAAGGAGACTGAGGTACGGTACCCGGGATATGAATCTGCTCCTCCTTGGCTGGCTGCTAAATAGGACAATTGTTGAGATTCTTTTTTGAATGACGCCTTGTGTTACCTTTGAGAGGTTGAGCGGACAATCAAACGACTTTTCCTGTTTCACGGCTTGCTGCATTTGCACATTTGCCGCAATTGATGCAATGTTTTGTTGAATCAACGGCATTGCGTTCATAAGATTCCCATGCAGAAGGTTTTCGTATGACCCTAAACAAAAAAATGTCATGCACTGCGATGCAAAACGCTTTTTCAATAATTGTTTAAATAAAAGTTGCTTTTCTGGATCAAGAAATTGAGGAAAACCGTCAACTGACCGGAGAATAGAAAGGGAAACTGCGACTGTCCCCCGAACATGGACGCTAGAAGCCGATGATTCTGATGTTGAGCTTGTTGCTGGAGCAGAACTTGTTGACGAAGTAGCATTTCGGCGTCAAAAGCGGCCGTCTGCATCTTCTGGAAAAGTTTGATCAAAGTCGCCAGAGGTAAAGAAAGCGTTTTTTGTATTCTGTCTGAACAATGGCCGCCTGATGCCTGACACGAATTTTCCTACAAAGGATTCCGATGAAAGGATCAAAAGGTCGCGCCGTTCTTTGAGCATGGTTCTGGCTTTTCGACCCCTTCGGACTAGACAAAGACGCCAATCCCAGAGGTTCGCAACATTTCAGGCAGCTGTTCAGAAAAAAAGTTCGCGAGAAGAACGAACGTCCGAGGGGAACGTCTTGGTATTAAAAACAACAAAGGGAAGCAAAAAAGGCTATGACACATTGGCTTTGTACTGAGAAAGAAGGCTAAGTCATTTGGGTTATTCTCGAAAATTCGAATTTTTTTCACTAATGAGTTTTCTAGTTTGAAGGAAATAAAAGCGTGGGTTTTTTTATAGACTTATAATTTCGAAAGATAACGAAAAATAATAATCAAAAATCTTGTTGGATGAAAAATTTTTCTTCCTATACATTTTTTTCAAAAGTTTAAACAATTCGCTCCAAATTTTTAAAATACATTCTGGTATAATAACTATTTCGAATAACCAATAAGACAAAGATTTCTAGAAAAAACGTCTCGAATACTTCTTCTTCTAACCAAATAGGCCCATTACAAAGTTTTTCCTAAGAAGTGAGATTTGAAATTTCTTCACCGAAAACTTTCAGAGTTGTTTCCAACCGATACTCAGCTTCTGATTTTCTTTGAAATGAATAATTTTTTTTTGAAAATGGAAAGACCCTAAATATCTTCCCGCATCATTCTTGGTTAAGGGCTTCCATTATTCGGCAATCAAAAAAGAAAAACTCCAAACTACTCAACAGCTGCCATAGTGTTTTTGCTTCGGCCTAACCTCGTCTTTGTAGGAATTCTCGCTGTCCTCTTTTTCTTCTTTGGAGTGCAGCTCCTCTGTGGACAATCTTTCTTTTATCGTGGTCAGCTGCAAATGATCTTTTTGCATTTTTATTGAGGCAACTGTGGTCACCTGTCTAATGACGTTTTGCAATAAATCCAATTTGGCTTCCTGGCTATCAACAGAATTGATAATGTCTCTGAAGTCTCATTTTCAGACAAACAATAGTTTATTGATAATACCTCAAGTTATTGCCGTCTATCAGAACAGAACAGCCGTGTTCAGTTTGGGCCAAGATATCAGGAAAGTCGGCGATGCCAGTCGTTGCAGAAGTACTGTAATAAGATTTGTTAAAGGAGCTAGAAACATGGCAGGGTGTTGAATACAATGAGCCCTTTATGTGGATGGTAAGAAGTGACCACATAATATGGCCGCTATCAAATCGTTTGTACTTTCTGCCCTTTGTGATAAGCAGCGGTCAACGGGCCGTCGGTGCCGTTCCTTTATTTCTGGCTTGCGATAGAGGACTTAGAAATGGGCAGAACAATGTCACCAAAAATAATTTACCAGAAGAGTTTCCGGAATTTGATAGCAAGTTTTTGAATTCTTCTGGTTTTCAAACTGTGATTAAAGTTCTCTGATTTTCAAGCTGTTATGAAGATTTTCTATTAGTTTCAAGATGTTCTGGGAAAAAATCTTGAATAGGAAATTTAAAGGTCTTTTCAGCACGCTTCACTTTTTCAAGAAATAAGGTTGATATTTTCTGGCACAATGAACTAAGATTGTGAAAAATAAATTGGTTGACTTTTCAGTGTCTTGGAATTTTTGTGATGTTGCCAGTGAACCGCTTTGCGCGCCGTCAGGATCAAATCCAGCTACGATTCCAGAATTTGAGTTGAAACCAATGATAGAGCTTCAACGAGAGAGCTTGCCAGAAGCATCAGTCAACAGTTCATTCTTTATTAGACGCCTCTCCATGCAATATTCCTTGTGTTATTGGCCCAGCAGGCTGTCAGGCTCCTGACATGCGCGCTATTCAGACGACTACCGTATGCTCCCTGAATGAGGCGGAAGCCCGCAAAAACAATGCACGGCGGCATGTCACGCGAACAAACTCGAAATTCGCAAATGAGAAGATGCATGTAGGTCTACGGTACCTTCAATGGATCAAGTCTTTTGCATGTCAGGAATAATATAATGCTTATGGCTCAATGCCGCATATTTTATCAGTCGGAATTATGTTCTTTTTTTAACTACTTTCGTCAAATATTATCAAAAACTTGAAATCCTGGCAGGTTCTATATGATTTTTTTCAATTGCCAAGATGTTGATGATTAAAAAAATCGAATTTTAGGTACTCTGGAACTCTTGAAAATTAGTCATGTCCTATTCTGAAGCGAGCATTTTCAAAAAACTGAAGTTTGCTTCTAACTTTGAGTTCAAAAATGAACCTTCCAGAACTTTTCTCAACGGTCTTAGTCTACTTAAAAAATGGTTTCTAATTGAAAATATTATATTCTCATAGTTTCTCGTAATACGATAGATAAGCATGGTCTGAACTGTTTCTGAGTACGATTACCATTAATTAAAATTTTTCTTTGAACTTGAGAAGCTTTTCCAGATTTCTAATAAATTAAGTGTAGGCTCGCCGGATTTTTTGCTATTTCAAACAGACTCCTCTTCATTTTCTACTTTTCAATCAAAGCTCAATCAGCTTTAAATAAATGAAGATCCCGCTTCTCAGCAGTACACTCGCTATCAAGAATTTGCACTAATGTTTGAATCTTGGCTTGAAATCCCCATCGCCATGCCAACTTTTTGAAAGCAACAGTCAGACAAAAGGAAATGGAATAAAAGTTTCGCGCGCTGGGTTGGCGCGAAGGACCCATGTAAACGGCTACACGCGATTGTCGTGATTGATTTGCCAGTGTGCCTTCTTGTGCACATCAATGACGACGCGACAAAGAAACAAAGGGTTCGAAAAACGGCGACATAGCCTTGCTGGACAATGCCAGAACAACGGCTCGCCCGAATAATCCTACAGTAAAATCGAGTTTCTTCTTTGGATTTTATAGGAAAACTGAGATTGAAAACTCCGTCAAGTAGGCTTTACGCCTTTTATTTACTTAGAACTGACGAGGTAATACGCACAAGATTAGAAAAGCATGAGAGTCGTGATGCCATCATGTTTTTTTTCTTTCTAGGCTTCTCCGAATCGCATACCAATAAACATGAAAAATCATCGAAAGTAAACTGAGAGAAAATGACAACACCTTTAAAAATGGATTACGCAATTCTTAGGTTTGTTCTTTTTGTCGTATTGTTTTTCTGAGATTCGTACCTGGCACGGTACAGCCCCCAACCTTTCTCACACCTCAAGCATTCTTATCAGATAGCATTCCAAGAAAGGTCAACTCCAGGGCTTGCCCGAAAGTTTGAGCAGCGTTCAAAAATTGGCTGTCCACTCGATGGTCACCCAACCGTTTTATTTGTTTGCTCTTGTGTCGTTCGGAAATAAAATGATAATGGCTGTCTTTTCAGGGCACTGTCGAATTCACGATGGCGCGAAAAAAAGTCACACGGGCTGGCACGTGCCGTTGGAGCCCTGGTCATTTTTGAATTTTGTGCCATTTTGGTACGAGAACGTGAGAACGTGGCTTCGCATCGAAATTTGACGCGACACAACGGTTCTTTTCAAGTTTCATGCTCTTTCATGTAAGCGACGAAAACGGTAGGAAAAGCGGCGCCGCCAGAAAATGAGATGCAGACCGCTCCAAAGGTGCTTTTAATGTTTTCACACATTTTGGAACAAATTAATGATACGATTGGATCGTTTATATTTGACTAAATTTTTGAAAATGCCAACTAATGGAAAATGTTCAAAAAGACTTGCTTTCAATAGTCCTCTTCAATTCAAATTATTATGAAAATTTCTTTTTCCGGGAAATCTCAGCATTTTAAATGGAAATAACCTTGTCTGCTCCGACATAGAGCTTGAACTGCTTTTGACTGAGGCTCCATGTGGTGATACCGCCGCATTAGGCGACTCGTCCATTTCCTGAAGTCAATAAAATTAAACAAGTGCCCAGAAAAGCGGGATTTCGACTATGAACATCTTGAGGAAATATTTCAATTCAACAGATTTATAATGTAGGAAATAAGAAGTATCGGTATAATAATAAACTTGAAAAATTTGTCCAGAATGAAAGTCTAGAATAATCGCCATCTTCTTCACTTGTTTGAATCTTCAATTTTTATAATTATTTGCATGCAGCGCAAAAAAAGAAACTCTAACCGTCAGACTTGGAAAACAGCCGAGACAAATTTGGGCTTTTCATTTGAAACGCTACGTATTCTTCACAATCAAGAGCGCAAAATTGCTCGAGGTCTAATTGTGCGTGGCGCGAGGATGAATATGATGTGAGTCTCGAGATTCCGAATAATGTTGTCTTATTACAAGTTATTCTTCACACGACACCCTATTATGCGTCGTCTTCGGCACACGGCCCTAATAGTGCCGACGTTTCCCAACCTGAGTTCCTACGCTTGTCCTAGCAGTAGGAAAGTTCCATAGGACTGATTAGAAATGATTAAAAGGCTGATGGAAGAGAAGTTACTTCTGAGAATGGAGTAGTCAGAAAACATGCTTGAAATGAACTTTTACGCTTGAAACTCATGCGAACTTTCCGAGCGATCATTAACTCTATTTGAAAAAATTGCTCAAGCGTTTGGTACAAAATCGTGACGCTTTTTAATGAATTTATGGAAAAGGAATTCGAATGAATCATTCTCAAACAACTGATCTTTGCACTTGTTATTCGGATGAATTGATAAAGTGTGGAGGTGCAAAATTCGAAAGCTTGGGAAGAAAGTTAAAAAATTAGAAATTTTTAACAAAACACTTCATTTTTTGTATTTTTCAAAGATGGTCCAATGAATAATGCTTGTTCGATTAAGTGGGGAAAGAATTAATGGAGGATCACAGTATTGTTATATTTATGATGAAAGATAGTAAACAAGCCTTCCTCAGGCAAACATCCAAAAAAAAAACCCGAATCAAAGTGCGAAGAAAAATTGTTCAGACTTTGGTGATTGTATAGTAAATCATTCAATCCAAAAATAGTAGCCATTCGTGAACTAACAAGATTTTGCTGTGGGTGAACAGTTAAAACGTTTGGCTGCTGTGCAGGAGGCTGGGCCAGAGTTGAACAGACCACGCCTCTTTCTTGCGGCTTGGTTCGACCCCCGGCAGCCGGCGAAAATCCGTCCGTCCGGCACAAAAGCGTTTAGCAACGACGTGCTAACATCATAGGTATCTCACAGATGCTCACGATCACACTAATTACAGGGAAGCCGGCTCTCAAAACACATGCACAAAGAGAGGTGCCATTTACGTCAAGTTGCAAGTTGGCGCACACTTTGTTAGCTTTTGTTGTTTATTGAACAAAAATCACAACTCAAAAGCGTGGTGCAAAGAGCAATAAACGAGCTTTTCATAGGAAAATACGAGGTTAACCAAATATTTTCCAAGTGAACAAGGAGCATTGAGTTCAAAATAAACCAAAACAGAAGGAAATTACAAACCTCATAAGGAATTTCAATTTGTGTGGGCTGATCCTCTTCAATCATGCTGGGAGACGTCTTGGTTCTGGATTCTGAATCTGATCCGTCCTGAGGGACGTCGGCGGCAACGAGTTCACTCAACTTGGTCGGATTCGCTTTTCGGCGACTGCTCATGCTGAAACAACATGTGTTGTTGATTTTGAGCCACTATTTTTTCTTCAGAGCCAAAGGTCATTAGAAGCATGAATGAAGCATGTAAAACCAGGATCGGAAGAAAAAGTGGCATTGCTTTGCCCTCTCTATGCAGAAACAGGAGTGCTAATGAGAGCCACGACTCGCCAATGAAGAAACAAGCGTTTTTGGAGGCGGGATTGGCAGGTGACATGATTCTTTTCTTTTCACAGGATTCAGGAAAGAAGCTTTGAAAAATTGAGAACTTTGAAAGTGAGAAAGCAATTTACGCCCAGAATTTTAAAACTGATCCAAATTGAAACCATGTCATCTACCAACGAGATTCTTTGTCAAAAATGGTTGAATATTTTTTGAAGGTTCTGGAAAAAAGGTTCTCCCGTTTTTTTAATCAACTTCTCTGACGGTTTTGCTCAAGTTAATGATGGAACTTTGGATATTTTCAACCTTCATTTTTTCTTTAACTCAAAGCTTATACCAAAAATCCACTAAAACTATGAAGAAGGGAGTAGGAAAAGTCAACGCTTCAAATGAAGACGATAGGTGGCTGCCACGACGTTATCTCGATAATGAACATCCATTAGGTACCGTAGCCCACATCCGCATTATTCATATAGCTAAAACACGCAAAGGCGCCAGATGTCTCAGTCCGGGACTCCTCCCGCTCTACCTGAGCTTGTTGTGAGAGCCATTGCGTCGAAATATGAATTAATAGCCTTACCGGCTGGTGGCTTCCGTGCACGCACAACAGCTCTTAGAGCGCCGGAAGACGTGCTAATGCTTAGATCGAGCTCGAATAATTAGCCTAAGCTGCTTTACTATGATAAGGGTCATCCTAGGAATCATCAGAACATCTTTTGAGCGGAATTTTGGAAAGAAACTACTGGGAAAAGTCTTGTGGAAACCATACTATGTGGAAGAAAAGGTTATAAATCACTTGCTCGGAAGAAAGTTTTTTCTATTTTTCTCCAAGTGGGATCATGGAACTTGAAGTAAAATTGCGAATTCATTTTCAGCTGAAGTAAACATCCAAAAAATGGCAAATTTTTTTATTTCTTGTCTAATTTTTCTTCTTCTTCTTACGACTTTGTGCCGCTTGAGCGGCGTCGGCGCCCCAAGTCGATTTGCCAATTTCATGTCTAATAATATTTATAAATCAGACCGGCTTCAGAAATTTCTACAAAAATGGTCCATGAATAGAACAGATTCATCTCAAACTCCTTCCTGAACATCCAAAAGTCATCGGAAAAAGACGATAATGATCTAGATGCCATCGAACACTGTTCGCTTTCAAAAAATTACGGCTGTTGAACCGTCTTTGGGTCATTCTGGCAAATTGGACAAAGTTCAAGTTTCAAACTCTTTTTCTGTTGTTTACATGAGACCATAGTTTTCAGTTGACGAAAACTTCACATTTATAGCGAAATCCTGGAGCTAATAACATTCAAACAGCAAGATTAGCCGCTTTTGAAAATCTCGCGCTGCGTATATGACAACATCAAAACTTGTCAGAAGCTCACAAGCCGATTCAGGAAATCTTCTTTGGTGTCTTTTGCGACATCCAAAGTTTTTATGTAAGCATTCATCGGCGTCACAATGTGCGGCATAATGCGCAAAACAGTTTCCTTTGACGGAAAGAACGCGCCGGCGGTCTGAGAACGCTCTTTCGGTGACACCCGAAGGCTTGCTCCAGCGTATTATGAGTAACACTCGCATTCAGACGACCCTCCGTCGATTGCTTATCACAATGGGCTCACTGTACCTCACAATGGTAACGGAATGAAACGTTCTGGGAACGTGTTGGTCCTATTTCGCAGAGATGTGAGTTACCTTTTGTGCGCTTTTTTTCTCATTTTGGCAACAAAAAAAGAGAAAAGAAATTGTTATTAGTACATTTTTTTCTACATAATTCCGATAAGAGCTGTACGAAACATTCTCCAGGATCGAGATATTAAAAGTATAAAAATCTATTAGTCTATTTATATTCATTGGGGGATTTCTAAGTTTTTTTCAATCTGATTTAGACAATGTTTTGAAATAAACCCCGAGGCAATAGTTTCATAAATCAACGTTTCGAGTTTATTTGGAGCAAATCGCTTTTTCATCCCTTCTAGGTGGAATCGGAAGCTCATCACAACGGAAAAGCTGAATGTTTCTGAGAACCCCGCGCATTAAATATTCTTATCGAAAAAGATAGCGTTGTTCTTGGAAAAAGTAAAATCTCATCCGAGCGTAGGATTTACCCATAACTATTTTGATAATGTATCTCACGAGTTTTACACATGGCAAGTTTTTTGAGCCAACTCGATCTTCGACATGAAAATCTAGAATCAAAATCTGCTGAATTTGATTAATTATTATGTTTAGGAAAAGTATAAGCACAAAATTTGAAGTTCAACAGAAAGTTCTCGATTGGGTAGTTGATGTAAATGGCCAAAAATAATTTTTGAAGTTCAGCTTCAAGTTTTGAAAGCTTCAGATTGCCTGGCTGCCTGGGTTTGAACAATCAAGAACTCTATGAGAATGGCAATTTCACAAGACTTCAGTTTTTTTTTTTTGAAATATTTTTACTTCAAAACCGAAACTTGTGCCTATTTCTGGACTACGAGTAAGGCTTTTCCAAGTTTTTAAGATCTCGTTAACTCCTTGCTTCTTGTAGTTTATTTCCTGAAGCAAGATCATCTTCAGACTTGGAAAAAAAGTTAGCGGCAGAGAGCTGTCACAACATTCAAACAAAGCTGACTGCTGGACAATTCGAGTCGCGAAATAATATGTTCACGGGGCCTTGTGTGAGCTAATTACACTTCCACAGATCAGATATCGGATCTGTTGCTTTTGCTTCCGACCCCTCCGCCACAACTCGAACCGCATAATCGACAGTGCGTGTCGTGTTGTAAGAATTCGGCACATGATTACATTCAAATCTGAACGCCTCTCAAATTGTTCTGTTGGTTCAGGGCAGGGGCTTTAGAGGATCGATCTCAGATTAGCTATTATGTTGAAATCTGGACCGGCTAATTAAATAGTGTGGGAGAATAATCTTTGACTTGCCTATGAAGGAAAAACCTGAAAAATTTCGATTGAAACCTTGGGATTTTTCTAATCGACCTGGTGAATTTTTTTGGATAAAAAAAGTTAGAACATTAAGTGAGAATTTTTTTAGGTTAGTACTGGAAAGTTCGGAACTTCTTTATTTTTTTAAACAAATTTTTCAAAAAGAAATTTGAATGGAAAAAAAGCTGAGCTTCATTTCTAAGAGCTTTCGAATTACTTGAAGAATAACCCAAATTTCCGAAAGAATGAACCTTTTTTTGCATTTCATTCAGCCATTTCCCTACGTTGTAAACCACTTTTTTCCTAAAAAAAAAAGAAAACATACCAAAAAGTTTCGAGCGAGGCTTGAGATTCAGAGATAACGGCAAGAAGCTGAGAAGTGTGGCACAATGCCCTTGGTCACCTATCACTCAGCTCCGCAGCCCGTGCTAGCTTGTGGTCTTTTGTAAACAAGGAAAAAAACGCTTTTCGCAACATTAACAATGGACAATTGCTGGGGGCAACTGTTTCTCCGGATAGCGTTCGCCAGCCGCGCTTCTCTCCCAAAACTTTTTTTTCTCGATCTTTTTGTCAATCGGTTCGTTGCATTAGATCTATCATCCAATGTTGCGATCGCAACACTTGGCTGTCGCGACTTTTTGCCGATGTCCGTGTCAGTATGAGATTTACGAGAGCTCACTGATAGAATCTTACTGAAGGAAGAAATAATTCCAGTGTGAAAATTTTTGAGAAAAAAACTATTTTCTTCCATTACTTACATAATTCGGTTTTGAATAAAATCTAGAGTTAACCATTCTTTGAAGCAATGGATTCTGGAGTTATTTATCAATTTTTTTCATTGTCGTGCTTCCCAACTTTCAAAAGAAAAAAATTATAAACGGAAGTTGAATTATCTGTTTAATCGAAAAAAACGGCATTCTTCTTAATTTGAAATTAAGATTTTCGTGTTTCTAATAATTCTGAGAAAGGGTAGGAAGAAATTATGATAAGTTATTGATCAAATTGTAAACTGAAAGGCGCGTGAAATGAATTTTTTTCTGATCAACTTCTAAATTCACGCGAAATTTTTGAGCCAAAACTTTTTGAATTAAAAAAATTACTTAAAAGACCTCAGTTTGGATTTTACTCTTAACTTTCCCATCAAAAAGAAAACTCAAATTCTCCTGTTCTTCTTCAAAAAAAAGATATATTTTTTCAGATTAATTTCCATCGTTCTAATAAAGAATCTCAAGTCATTGCCACCATTTTTTAAGCCTCAAAAATTTATTCTCAATAAAATCACACTTTTTATGCGGAAGAAGCTCCGATTTATTGGCTGGGAAACTTTATATTTACAACTGCACATTTTGAAACTTTTTCTAAATTGCCTCATAACTCAAAACTGAATAATCCAAAAAAGTTCAATGAAAAGGCTTCTCATCCGAATTCATTATTAGACCGCTTGGGATGTGTCTGTTGACAAGAGTAAATTGTGCGAAACAAGCGACTCGGCGAGTGACAGGAACTTGTCATTGAACCTTTCACGACAGAGCGCACATAATGCCGAACTCGGGTGGCGGTGCCTCGCAAGCTTCTGATGCCAGCCCCATCCATCTCCACTGTATTCATCGGCCTTTTGACTTTTTCATGAGGCGCCTCCGGTGCGTTCTGCCGAAAAAGCTCCTCCTAATTATCTTTTAGTTTAATTATCTAAGTGATATTGTGAAAGAAAGAATTGAAATCTTTAATCTATAAGGATTCTGACTTATAGCTCGGTGATGAAACTGAAAAACATGACAACTGAAAAAATTAAAAAAGAGATGATAAAAAGAGGCGGTATATTCTCATTGAAATTAGTTTCTGTGGTAGAAGAACCCCTAATGGTCTTATTTGACAACTTAGATGAAAGAAGGTTCTTATTTATGTTTTTTAAAACAATCCACATAAACATAGTAGAACGTGGAGAAAAAAAATTTTTTGAAAAAATAGTTCGAAAAACCTTCAATTTAGAATTTTTTTCGAGTTGTACTATCAAAAATGACAGCTTGAACATTTAGTCAAATTTTTCGAAATTGAAGTCGATTATTAGTCAAATCATACATTGATAATAATATTTTTTAAAAAAACACATTTATACAGTGTACGAAAAGGATGTTGTTCATAAAAAATTTTGCGATAGGAAATTTTTTCCAGTCGGAGGCTTAAACTGATCGTGAATGAATTGGAAATAGTCAAGTAAAAAAATAAGAAAAAAAGAGTAGAAAAATAGAAACAAAAAAAGCCAAGAACAACCGAAATGGTCAACTTTCTGAAATTTATCGTCCAAGGAACGGGAGGAGCTTTGAAAGCTCGGCATAATCGCGGATTGAACCGTGTGACGGCGTTATCCAACCATACGTCTTATTTACTACAAAAGCTTAACAGATTTTCCGTCAGAGACTGAAAAACCTTTCAAATTTTGACGACACAAACTACGTATGCTTCTTTAGTTGGAAGAAGAAACGATAAACCGCTTAGATTTAGAAGGCGTAACATCGAATTTAGAGATTTGCCACTTTCCGGCAAACGGATAAAAAGAGAATATCTCTGCACGCTCAAAAAGATACAATAAAGTCTACTTGCGTCTTGAAGCAGTTTTTATCCAAATAGGGAAAACCAATCGATAAATTCGTAAATTTAAACTCACCACTGAGTGCAGTCCAGAGGAAGAAGACGGTTTGTATAGTTGTGGCGGAATAGTTCGTGCCCTGAAAATCTCAGTTTCTTATCACTTACTCAAAAAAAAAGGAGAATAATAATCAAGAAAGAGAATCAGAAAAAAAAAATTATTTTCGGGAAAAAATAATTTGATTCTAATCACAGGGAAAAAAATGAAACTGAAATTAGAGAAAGAGCAGGTGGTCAATTCAAAGATCATTTGAGGGAGGAGAAGATCGATGAAATAGCTTGGAAGATCTCAGGATTGAAAAATTATTTTAAGGAAAAAGTAGGAATAAAATATCGAAAACTGAGGGAAAAATCTTCATTTGAGACTTTCCATTGGACAGTGGGATGGCGGATGTGAAATTCAAAATTTGGATAATTAGCAGATTTCAAAAGGTGATCAAATTAAAAAAAATTTAAAAAAACCTTCAGGTCTGATTCTCCACTGTATGATTTCTAAAGCGCTCAGAGTAAGAAAAAAAACTTGAAAAACTCGGCAAATTTCATGAGAAATGGCAGGTGAATTTCAGCCAACAGCGGATGTTTGGCTGGAAACGCCGTATTTTATTGAAACAAAATTTCAGGTCTTTAGAGCTGAGAATAGTAATGCGTCTATTCTGATATACAGCAAAAATGGATCTTTTGAAAGGATGAAACATGATAGCACTTTCAGGACGTACAAACCCAAGAATGAATCTCGAATCTTCGCGGAGAGGTATGAATGATTAAGATGAATCCCACAGCATTGTGAAAAGAGTTTCAAGGGAAGCGATGGAATTCATAAGTGCACTGGAAAGCTCACACGCGTTACGGTAGCGCTGCGCAGCAGAATACCCTCAAGATGCGGCGATTGGCGGCAAAGTTACGAGTTCCTAGGCCAGTATGTCGAGAGGCGAGCCGAAGTATTCTTCAACTCGCCGCCTGTAAATGTCCTTTTTAGACGCTCTTTTGAATCGAATCTGCTGTATATGCGGGAAATTCGCGCACCGTTCTTCCTCGTACAATGCCCTACTCACTCAACCCACTTCGAGAAACGCGAAGGAACCTCAGTGGCCGCTTGCCAATTTTGAAAACAAATACAGTTTTCAGAACGCGTGTTCGTCACGCAAATTATGCTATAGTTCATTCACTGCTGTCTTGAGACAAAGTTCAAAGAGGTTTTTTCGGATTTTTTGCTGGTTTTACAAGTCTTGTCTCGAGTCAGGACCTAATGAAGTGATTTTCATCTCAGAGAAAACAATGAAATATCGATTTTGAAATTTACTTCCATTTTTTTATCCAAAAACTAGAGGAATATCAATAAACGCAAAATTTACACGCATTTTCTATAATTCATCAATCATTTTCAAAGTTGTAAATGGACTTGGTAGGGAACAAACTTCAAAAAAAAAATCGGTATGAACAAATCCAGAAAAAAAAATTTAACCTCATGCAAGCTTTGAAAAAATATTTTTCAGTTCTCAAAAATAGTCCAATAATCCAACCCCTTCAAGTTCCTAAGAGATCATAAAAAAGACCAGAGGATGTTCTGCCACTCGGGTTTTCAATGGTCTTGCCTTCCTGTTATTTGGCCTCGGCTACTCTTATCTCTCTACAATATCAAAGTCACTATTCAACGCCACCGCCTTTTGCCGGCAGAAAAGAATTGCCTTTGCGTTTTTATCCAAAAAAGGAGAAAATGTTGAAAGAAAGGAAGAGAAATTCAAAAAATGCCGCAAGTTGCATCAAAACAATGGGAAATGGTCGAGGCTTGCGGGCCTTTATCATATATTCTTAGTGATAAGGTTCTAAAGCAAAAGAACAAAGGAACGAGTAAAGGACAAATTGAAAAGTTGGTAGAAAGAGAAAAGAGTTTTGGCGTTTTATAAGTGAAAATTTATGATTAAAAGGGGAAGAGGGAAAAATTCGAATTTTTTTAGCAATGGCAAAAATCCAATAAAGAAGGCCAGCGTTCAAAATATGAGTTTATGATTTTGTACAGGCAAAAAAATAATTATCTGAGAAGCTAAATAAAGCAGGTAATTAGTTTGGAAAACTCTAAATCAAGGTGAAACTTGGATAGGTCGAAAAATTTCAGAGGATTGTTCAAATTTGCAGAACGTAGTAAACAACTTTTTTTTTAGGATTTTAAGGCTGTAGAACTGAAACTATCACTTCATGACTTTGATGTTGAAAGGGAGTAAATAATTAAAAATAAAAGATAAAAGAAGGAACCAGAGACTCTGAAGAACGACATCAGCTGCGCGAAAACCTTTTTCGACCACGCCAAAACCAACAAGATTTGTTGACAAACAAGAACCAAGCGCCACAGAAAGGTAGAAGAACAAGGGTCAAAAAAACTGTCTTGTGCGGCTATCACTGCCGCCGGCGACTCTACGAACAAGTCCGTCGGCGAAACAATGGTTGACCTTGCCGGCCAGCCAGCGGCTAGCAGGGCGTCCTTTGTACGCCGCCCGAATGCCCATCTTCTACGTTTATTTCCAAATCTGCTCTCGTTTTTTTTGCAACTTTTTTTTGTCTCGAAAAGTCAGTTTTATTGGTAGTAGGTTTGATTGATAAAAACCGAGGCAGGAAAATTTGGTTACTGGTTGAATGATATTTTTTCAAAACTGACGAGCTGAGGGTTTTTTTTAGAAGACTTTTTAGTTCTGGAACACTTTTTTGTTATCAAATCCATTACAAATCACAAACCTTCAGCTCATTTTTTCAAACCACAGTATTTCGTTTGGATTTTACCGAAGTATAGTGCTAATTTCCGGTTAGGAAATTTTCGAAACTTTTCGCTTTTGAAAAGAAATTTTAAGAAACCGATCCTAATTATCCTCAACTTATTTATACGAATACGTGAGTTTTCGAAGAGCTTTTCTTCTTGGATATTATAAGAAGAAAGCCAATGATTAAAAAATTTTAAAAAAGTATGAGAACATTTTTAAAAACTGATTTTTTTTTTTTTGCAATCTTTGTTTTTCAAACCAAGCAAAAAGATTGAGATCTAGTTTCGACAAAAACACATTTGTATGCAAAGAAAGGAGGCAACAGAAGCCAAAGGACAATGGAGGAAGGACGACGTCTCCAAGATATACAGAAGCGGACAGTCGCAGACCACCGCCGAAGAAAACATGCACGACGACGAGCGTATCTGGCCGGTCCTTTGAGGTCTTTTTCGGCCCCTCGCGCCTCACTCTTTGTGTGAGAGTTAAGCAACAATGCACATAAAATAAATTGCATTTAACGAAGCGTCCTGAGCCCTATACAGAAACAAAATGGGCAAGAGAATGGATAAAACGTTTTCGGCGGCACAGCCGGGTTTCGATTCGACCATTGTGTTCGGTGGCCAACCCACAAAACTCAATATGCTCGTTTTGAGACATCGCCTCAGGACAGAAGCTCTGAACTTTGTTGCGTAATGCAGAAGATTCGCTACGTTTCTCCGAGTGGTCATTCTGAATGGGTCATGAACGCGTTATGCCCTGTGGCGACGCGACACGTGCGCTTCGAGATCGTACGATTGCGCAATAAGCATCCTTCCGGTTCTCACTTATTTGGCATATTAAGCCCTCGGCGATTTCTTCTAAGGACAACAAACAGCTGAGGTTTCGCTTATAATGAAGACCCTACGGATTCGAACTTTTCGATATCATTTTCAAAGTCTTCGAAAGCAGACAAAGTTTGAGGTTAGAATAAATGAAGACAAACGGCTGATACTTGAGTATTTCTTGTCAGATTTAAAAAAATCGTTATAGATGATTTGAGAGGAAAAAAATGAAAGGAGTTTTTTTCGAAAAAAAGAACGAAAAAAAATGGTACAAAATAAGAAAAAAAGGAAAGTAACTTCTAAGAAAGTTTAAAAAGGAATCAACATGAGGTGAAACAGGGAGAAAAAAAGTTATCATTAAAAAAATTAGGAAATAGAATAATCGATTCTTGTCATTGTGACAAAAAAACCGCAATTATGTTACTGATAAAAAGAAGCAAATGCCTCAAGTGACATTCAGAAGGTTATCATGAGAGAACTGGGTTGAAAAAGTTTTTCATATTATAGTGGCCGTAGGAACTTCAATTTTGCCACTGTTTTTCGAATTTTGAGGTAACAGAAGTTTAAAGAATTCTTTCAGAAAGAGATATATTATTTTAATTAGGAGTAAAAATTGGCCGACGGGACCTAGTCTTGAAGTTAAGCAATTGCTCAAATTTAAAAAAAATTTAAAAGTGTAGATCACTGAGGGAAAAAGTTTCAAATTGAGAAAAGAAACGAGTACTGCTTCAAGAGGAGCTTTGAAATGAGACTTCAGAAAGGTAAGTAGCCAAAAAGAATTTTGAAAAAAACTCAAAGTTTTTAAATATTCGAAATTCATTTTTTTGCTGGAATAAAAAAAGCAGAACGGCTATGAATAAGGCCAGGAGCATCAAGAGAGTCGCACAGGTAAGTCACAAAAATGAAGGAGTTGAAGGCCGTTCCCGAACGGAAGCTGGCCCTCTGAATACAGGAGAAGCAGATGTTGACCTAGTGGGCAACTACTGTGTAAGGAAGCGTCTGGAAGTAGATGAGATCCTCCGAAACGGCACGGCGATTCGTCGCGTCGGCAATGACCGCGCGGTCGAGTGAAAGCTACGAAGGCGCCTTTGTCGCATCGAAAACACTTGCTAATCCTGTTCCTGCTTTTTGGCAATGAAAGCGAATTGTTGCGCAACGACCCGTTTCCGCAGATGGATATGGAAAGTGAGCCAGTCCGCGAGCCACTTGCATTAACGATCAGAAGAAGAAGCTGAGAGACGCGTACAGTCGCTACTTTTGTCCACTCTCCTCTCATTATTCGGCCAGTGACGGCCCTCGAAACGGTTGTTGCGCCACTTTCGCCTCGGGCATTTCCCTCGACGCTGCCATTGCACTTTCAGATCTGGATAAACAGTCGTCGGAGGCCAAAACGGGATTTGCAAGGTGTTGGTGGTAGAGTGGCAGAGGTGGACACGGCGGAAGGTTGGGCCGAAAAAAAAAACAATTGCCGACGACCGAAAATCCTTCCTCCTTTAAGACTTTCTCACTTGATCAAATCGTCTTTGATTTCAAATGTCTCCCTAGGAAGGTTGGAATTTTCCTGAAAATTGACCAGGCCACTCTTGGATGTACCAGAAGAAGATGATGAAGGTCTAAACTTGCATAAAATTCTATTTTTTGGAATATGAAGGCTCAAAGTGCCAAAATGGCCTATTTCAACGGATTTTAAGTTTTTTCGTTGATATTCCTGAAAAAATGAAAATTTGTTCAAGTCAGGATTTTCAGACTCCCCAACTGGTAGGTCAAGAAGAGTGCTAGCCAATTTTCAGGAAAATTCCAACCGCTGGTAAGATAGCCTCGATCAAAATTCTACATTCACTGGAGACTCTACACTATATTTAAGGACATTCTTCACATCTACAACAAAAAAATTTAGGTTGATCAAAACTTAGAAGTTCACATAAATTATTGGATTTTCAGCAAATACTGAGTCAATGGTGAAACGTGGAATCACAGTTATGATTCGAAAACAAAATTTAGTTTAACCGATTGGAAAAGAAAATCTGATAGCATCTTGTGAGATTCATCATCAAAACTTTCAATAATGTTTGTTATTAAATAAGCAGAAAAATTAGAAAGAAAGATGCAAAAAAATGACTTCGAAAAGACAAGAAAATAAGAGAAACGGTTTTGAGGAAATTCAGTTTCTGATTTGTGATGAGTGAGTTTCGACTAGTGATTCAATATAATTTTTTCAAAATCAGAGTTCGATAAATTCCTTTCTCTCAAAAATAACGAATTTACACTGTTGCCTCAAAACCAGGAGAACTTCGCGCAACGCGCTTTTTTCGGGAAGGTCTGCGGGACTACCGTAACCGCAGCTGTTGATCTCAGCCTTTCTTGCGCAACTGTGCCATTTTTTTCTCTTTTTTTCGTTGGGTAGTTTCACATGTGCATAGTTGTCCAAACGTGAGGTAACACGCAAATGAGTTGAGAAAACTGTGAAAGATGAGATTGGAGAGATCCGTGAAAATAAGAATGCGGAAAAAAACTTTTTTGAAGGGAGTTTTTGGCAAGATGAAGTTTCCATTTGAGGTCTAAAGGATTTTAATGGACATCACACCGTTCTTTCAAAAGCGCTTTTTGAGGTTATGATGTGAACTGCGTACTTACCTATCGCTCTAGATGTTTAAGTTTTTGAATTTTACTATGAATCTTGGCTTTGGGAAATAGCTCATTAAGGAATTTCATTTTTTTGAGAAAAAAATGATGACATTTTTTTGGCTCGCTGAAAATTCTGAAAATCTAAACTTTGATTCATTTCTAGTTATTGAAAAAAGTTTCTAAAGGTTGATCATTGATTTTGATATCATAAATCTTTCCGCAAAGACTTTTCTTGTGGTTTTCGGAAGTGCTGACGCTTCTGAAACTGATGTACTGTCGGACCTGAGTTTTTCTTAACAGTTCAAAAACTAAGCTGTTTGATCGAAAAAACTGGGAATTTTAGGTCCTTTATAGGTCAAAACGATTTTTTCATTTGTAATAAACCTACAGGAAACTGTTTATAAATAACTGAAAAAAAAAACAAAAAAAAAGAAGAAGCAAAAAACAAATTGGAGAAGCGGCAAAAATTGTCCATTGTTGAGACGTCTGCGGCGAATGTTTCCCAGGAGCGCCGTCGCTTTTGCGCCTGAGGCGATGCACATGCATTATTGAATCCAAGAACCCATTATTGCTAATATCGGATTCAATAAAGCTCAACTCAAACACAATGTGGCAGGGCATTTGGGCGCGGGACGAACATGTCGTCGTCCATCCTTCTCCACTCCATTGGCCTTATTGTGTTGCTTTGCATTTTTCAATTTGCCGACCCATCGCCTAAGATGGCAAAGTGTGGCCGCAAAACTTTGCAGGTGGAAAAGCTTCAATCGCTTTTCACCAGTGAGAAAAAAAAAGGTGATTGACAGTTTGGTGAAAGAAAAGGCGTTTTTCGAAATCTTGAAAATTTTGGAAGATTGGAAAAGCAACCTTTTAGGATTCATCACTACTGCTCTGAAAAAAAAATCAAAAAAATAATGTTTTCACGGGGGTGAGCAGTCGGAGCAATTTGATAAACTTCCCTTTTTGTAAAATGGTCAGAATTTAATGACTTGATTTTGAAAGTTAGCACTGTTATATTCGAAAAGTTAGTTAAGAAAGTAAAAACTTGAAAATTTGACTGTGGGGTTCAATTATTTCAAAACTACTCAAAAACACTAGCCTTGATCTTCTAGCTGAAAGTAAGTAACGAAAAAAGGTACCTTTGGTGTGAAATTTTAAATTTCCCTGAAGAACTTTCAAGAGATTTTGAAATCACTTCCTTGTAAAAAGTTAATTTGAAAATCAGTTTTTTTTTCAACAAACTCGATACATAAGGATTAAAGAATCACTTCATGGAAACCACTAACTGACAAAAAAAAACCGAACAGCCCATATCTTTATGTTCGCTACTGTAATTAGTGCGGAAATGGACTAAACGGGTTGTTGTGCAATGAAAGGCAAAGATTAAAGCTGTATGGCCGCCGACTGTCCCCTCTCTAATTGGCGGTAACATTGCGGTTGTGCAACGGTTGGTCCTCAATCTGCCGTTTTCGCGCCTTCTTCTTTTCCGAGCTTCTAAGGCGGAAGAAAGGGGTCGGCATTAATTATGCCACTTCTCTTATTGCATATTCGAATAGATTCTCCGAGGAAAAAGTTTGGTTACAAAGAAGGTAGGAAGGACAAAGATGCAATAGCAAGTTAGTGTGGAGAAGGTGCGAAAATATGACATCTCGAAAAAAAAAATTTTGACAGGGGGGGTGATTTACTTTGTTGTTGGGAATTTTCTGAAAATTGGCCCGAACACTTCTTGATGTACCAGATGATGAATCTGGGAGTATCAACTTGCACAATTTCCTAGTTTTCAAGAAATAAGGGCTTAAAGCATCAAAATAAATATTTTATGGATTTTGAGGACTCCCTTTGACTTTGAGATGTCTTTTCACAAAAACGAGACAGTTATACAGGTTGAACCTTCGGAATATTTTTCCAGTACATCAAGGAGCTTTCTGCCGAGTTTCAGAGAATTCTTAACTGCAAAGTAAAATCACCTTTTTTGTGAGGATGGCTTCTCTAAGGAAACATTTTCAGAATATGAGATTTCGAAGGTCTATATTAGCACCATCCGATCAGAATTTTCGATTTTGATAGGAAGCTGTAGCAGGCATTGAAAACTTAAAGAAACTACTCAGAAAAATAATAAAATTTTTCCTGGTCCGGCTGCAAAAATCTTTTTTTAACGCTTTGAAAAAAAAAAAATACGAAGTTTCCAATTTTTTTCAATTTTGTAGACTCATCGATCGAAAAAAAGTAAGAAAAATTTTTTTGCTCACTAGAATCAGGAAACGTCTAAATGCCAAACTTCTACCAAACTTCAACTGGGAAACAAAAAAAATTTCTTGTTAGGAGAAAAAAAGAAACAATGAAATCTATTGATGATTTATTAATTTTTCTAAAAGTAAGAGTTTCAATAGAAAAAAATAAAAATATGAAACTTGGCCTTTGTTCTAATCAGCCGCACTTTTAAAAATAGCTAAACTACCTTCGCATTATCATAAAAAAAACAGAACCGCTCTCCAGATATCACACACAGTACTATAGAATTTGGAGGAAAAAAAAAGTTTTAGATTATAAAAGAAATTTTGTATGAAGCCATGTAATCCTCCTGCCGATGAACTCCATTCCTCCAAAACTTCTTCATGGCGTGTCTCAGAACGAGTCAGTGGAAAATATTTCAGCACAAGCATTTGGAACGTCAACGGCTGTTTATATCCCGAAAAAGAAGTGGTCATCTGAATGGCTGAAGGCTCAGATGTCGAACAAGTTGAATACGAGATTTGGAGATTGGGCTCAAGGTCTGCGCGAAGCTCTGACACTCAGTCGAGTACTCGACTCTAATTGTTCGGCTCATGAGCGTCAAGCTGTTGGAGACGCTCCATCCCGTGTCCGAACCTATTTTCCTCGCTTTCTCGAAAACAATGCGCCATCATCTCAATAACACATACCAGCAACATCGCAGACAATCCAGGACCGTTCAGTTCTCATTTCATGATCACTACGTTTCCAAATTTAATCGTTTCTGTTTATGTTGTTTCTCAGCAACATTTGTTGACTAGACGGAAGTTTTTCTAACGAAACTTTGATAAAATTGAGTTTTCGGCTAATATTCGTATGAAACCGCGAACTTGATTAAACTCAGCGCGGAAAGCAAAATTAGCCTTTTTGGTTCATGAGAACATTTAAAAAAAAAACACTTTTCCGTCAAAGTTCGTTGACAGAAGATTTTCGAAAAGTTCATCTCACAAGAAATAAAACTTTTTTTTCAATCATTTTCCCGTTTTTTGATGCGAGCTTATGACCTAATGGAGAAAACCTATGAAAAAAGAACTAACTAAAGAAAAATCACACAACAGAGCAAAAAACCGATTGACTGGAAAAAAGTTGTTTTGAGATCAAATAATCCAAACCACTACAAAATACCGTTTTGAGAAAAAAAAAACAGCGAGCAAGATTGAATAAAATAAGTAATATTGTTTCGAAAGACAAAAGGATCTCAGATTAAGCGGAGATGGAAATGCTCTCGACACATCTCATGGCCGCTGATATTACTCGTTTGAGACAAACGCCCTAAGGGGAGAGATTTTCGGCGCGCAGCCGACCAAAGTGGCTTTATTGTCCCGCACAATTACCTATTGTAATTGAGTAGCGCAGTTGTGGCCCTGGGCGATTCGTGTTGAGTTGTGTTGCGTTTTCGACGAAGTGAATCATTTCTTTTCTAGGATCTTCGATTCAAATGTATACAAAAAAAAGAAAGCCGTTACTTTGAAAGGGGTGATGATGGTCTGAAGTCCGCTGAGTTTCCTGTAAATTTTCTCAAATATTCTGTTAGGTTTTTTGAAAAAGAGAACATTCTCAAATCTGGATATTCAAATATTGAGAATCGTCATCAATCTTCAACATTTTTTAACTTCAAAATAATTTTTTTTTTTTGAAACACGGGCAAAGTCGAAAGGTCTCAAAAAGGACTTTTGGCAAAAACACATCGAAGGCGCCTTTTTTCAACCTTTTTTTTTTGAAAAGACCTTTTAAGGACACACTGTTAAGGACGTAAAAAAAGCAAAAAAAAGGTGAAAAAAGGAAGATCCGAGAAACTTTTCATACATTTTTAGAACACAATAAAGAACCTTTGGATTTTTTCCAAAATTTCCAAAAACCGGACATGCCAAATGGTCAGAAGATCCTGGAGTTCGGCTTTCGTTTTGGTAGTCAGCATGACGTCATCGGCGTACAAGAGGGTCCAAGGCGGTTCTGTATGCAGGTCTCTCGTGATGGCATCCATGACGAGGATGAAGATGAGCGCGGAGAGGGCTGAGCCTTGGTGAACTCCGACTTGTATTGGAAACGGCTTCGACTTTCCTACTGTTGTTTGTACTTGACTGTGGGCGTCGGTGTACAGAGTTCTAACGACGTCGATCAACGGTTCGGGGACATGGTGGTCTCTCAGCGAATACCATATCAGCTCGTGCGGCACGCGGTCGAACTCCTTCTCCAGATCAACAAACACGGCACCTTTCCAATTCATTTTTACACATTTTCATCCATTTTAATGCTTATTTTCATTGATTTTGTGTCTCAACTCTTCGAAAATGTGTCATTTTTAAACAATTTTTCAAAAAAATGGTAAACAGGTCGAAATGCGCTACCTTGAAAAATGTGGTCGAAATGGATGGTCGAAATGGTCGAGAAAAAGTGCGCTAACATTTTGAATGAAATTAATGTTCAATAAATGCATTTTACAGTCCTGAAGCCAACATCAACTTTTTATCCACGAAATCAAAAAAGTCAAAATAAGACAAATCATCACATAAAACAGTCCTGGAATTCTCTTTTATTTTCCAGTTATTGAGTCATCAATAAATAAACTAATGTTCTTTCGAACATTGTCTACATATTCTAAGAGGTCATCTGTCTTGTTAACTTTGTCAAAAACTAATCGCATTTTGTTGAACCCGGGCTTGTGATGTTCAAGGAAGGAGGCGATCGATCTTTCAAACACGTCCGAAAAGTTTGATTTAATTAGATATTCTCTTGGTATCTTGATGCGTTCGTCGAGAGTTCCAAGAGTCGTACTAAATTCAGCCAGTAAGTAGTAAGAAGTATACATGAATGAAACGGAAAAAAAATGAATGATTTACTTGATTATCTTCGACATTCTCACGCCATCGTGAATGTCTCGGACAGCAGTTAATCTCCTTCCAGTAATGAAAAAGTCTAGAATATACGGATTCAGCTCAGAGTCGAAGCCCATGTTTGCTGTGTGATGGTCAGCCAGCATAAGAATAGAATACGCACACAACATCTCCACAACGGATTTGGAGTATCTTTGAACAGATTCTGGTTCAGTCAGTTCCAGGACTTCGAGTGTTGAGAAATTTGGTACTTCTCTGCTTGCTAGGAAGATTATCCATCTCGAAAACAATTCATTGCTGATGAACTGGATCTCAGCCCCCATTTTGAGCGCCTCCAGAAATGTATATACGAACAGTTCTTTGATGTCAATGTCATACTGCGAGTCTGAAATTTTGACGATGAAAAATTTAAATTTATGAGCCAAACTTACGTGATGACTTGTCGCCAGCTCCATGGTGAGTTTTTATAAAGAATCGGCAAATGGTTGACCCGTCGTCCACAATACAAATACATCCAGCACGAGACCCATCCTCACGCGAGTCGAAAGTCACCTTGCTCTTCTCACCATAGACCTTTGAGAAGAAAGCTCGACAACATCTCTAAATATTAACCATGATTTTTTTGAAAGAATATCTAACTACGACTTACCTGATCTGTTCTACTTTGCGATCAAAGAATGTAATGAACTTTTTTTCAATGGCGAATCGTCTTGTTCCCAAATTAGGGTAAACCAGAAAGAAACGTGATTGCACCAAGTTTTCGATTAGCGTTTTGGCATCCAGGTGAATCGATTTCTTTAATTCTTGCTCGTGTGATTGTGAGAAAGCTGCTTCTCGATCTAACAAAGCTGCCCACGTAGAGAGTTGGGAGTGCCGCTGAAAAATTAAAAATGTCAAAATAGTGTGAAATATTTATTTGTTCCAGTTTTAAAGTTCACGTACACCACACAAACAAAATTATACATCCTAACAAGAAACAGTAAATTCTAAAGATAAAATAACAACTTACCACAGTAAGTTCCTCAAACTCATTGATCGATTCGAGGGGATGTAAAGAGTCGGGTAGCTCATCACCACGATATTTGATCTCTTGATATTCGATGGGTATCTTCGTCACGTGCTCAATCCGGTTGAAAAGGTCAACGCGAGAAATCTATAAATGAAACAGAATTTAGATTTAGAACCAAATAAAGTTCAAACCTGCGGCTCCAAAATATTATTCTTGAACAAGCGATCTTCTGCATCACTAACTAGTCGGAAAACAACAAATACCATTCTGAAACCGAAGATTTATCGAAATAAGTAAAGCAATAATACTCACGGATAGGGATTCACGAAATAAACGCAAACTACAGAAGAAAAGGAAGTCTCTTTTCTATTCACAAAGGTTAGAAAGAGGGGAAAGAATGCAATGTTGGCAGTTTCTCTCCTTCCTCTGCGTCTCTGCCCACAGACTGGTCTCTCCCTTCCATTCTAGCTCAACGCGTTTGCGTATATAGCTGATTCACGGCTGGCTTGAGCCATCGAAAAAGGGTCCTGACACGATAATGCACGAGATAGCGCCTGGATCGTAGAGAGCGCAGACAGGACACGCCCCCTTAGCGTCCCAAGCTGGCCGTGAATCAGCTATAGCTCAGCTTTAAATTTTTCATCGTCAAAATTTCAGACTCGCGGTATGACATTGACATCAAAGAACTGTTCGTATATACATTTCTGGAGGCGCTCAAAATAGGGGCTGAGATCCAGTTCATCAGCAATGAATTGTTTTCGAGATGGATAATCTTCCTAGCAAGCAGAGAAGTACCAAATTTCTCAACACTCGAAGTCCTGGAACTGACTGAACCAGAATCTGTTCAAAGATACTCCAAATCCGTTGTGGAGATGTTGTGTGCGTATTCTATTCTTATGCTGGCTGACCATCACACAGCAAACATGGGCTTCGACTCTGAGCTGAATCCGTATATTCTAGACTTTTTCATTACTGGAAGGAGATTAACTGCTGTCCGAGACATTCACGATGGCGTGAGAATGTCGAAGATAATCAAGTAAATCATTCATTTTTTCCGTTTCATTCATGTATACTTCTTACTACTTACTGGCTGAATTTAGTACGACTCTTGGAACTCTCGACGAACGCATCAAGATACCAAGAGAATATCTAATTAAATCAAACTTTTTCGGACGTGTTTGAAAGATCGATCGCCTCCTTCCTTGAACATCACAAGCCCGGGTTCAACAAAATGCGATTAGTTTTTGACAAAGTTAACAAGACAGATGACCTCTTAGAATATGTAGACAATGTTCGAAAGAACATTAGTTTATTTATTGATGACTCAATAACTGGAAAATAAAAGAGAATTCCAGGACTGTTTTATGTGATGATTTGTCTTATTTTGACTTTTTTGATTTCGTGGATGAAAGTTGATGTTGGCTTCAGGACTGTAAAATGCATTTAATGAACATTAATTTCATTCAAAATGTTAGCGCACTTTTCTCGACCATTTCGACCATCCACGAGGCGAGCGATCTTTCAAACACGTCCGAAAAGTTTGATTTAGTTAGATATTCTTTTGATATCTTGATGCGTTCGTCGAGAGTTCCAAGAGTCGTACTAAAATCAGAACAATGCACCATCATCTCGATAACACATACCAGCAACATCGCAGACAATCAAGGACCGTTCAGTTCTCATTTCATGATCACTACGTTTCCAAATTTAATCGTTTCTGTTTATGTTGTTTCTCAGCAACATTTGTTGACTAGACGGAAGTTTTTCTAACGAAACTTTGATAAAATTGAGTTTTCGGCTAATATTCGTATGAAACCGCGAACTTGATTAAACTCAGCGCGGAAAGCAAAATTAGCCTTTTCGGTTCATGAAAATCGAATGGTTTCTGAACTTTTAAAACAGAATTATTTCTGAAAAAGTTCGTTGACAGAAGATTTTCGAGAAATTCATCTCGCAAGAAATGAAACTTTTTTTTCCAACCTTATTCACGTTTTTTGATGCGACCTCGGAGCGAATTTCTGAAAAATAGAACCGGAGGAAAACTACAGAACGAAAAAAAAAACCGATTGACTGGAAAAAAATTTGCTTTGAGATCAAAAAATCCAAATCTTTTTTTTTTCCAACCATATTCACGTTTTTTGATGCGAGCTTACGACTTAATGGAGAAAAGCCTATGAAAATAAGAACTAACCTGAGAAAAACTACAAAACAAAGTAAAAAACCGATTGACTGGAAAAAAATTTGCTTTGAGATCAAAAAATCCAAATCCACTACAAAAAACCGTTTTGAGAAAAAAAAAAACAGCGAGCAAGATTGAATAAAATAAGTAATATTTTTTCGAAAGACAAAAGGATCTCAGATTAAGCGGAGATGGAAATGCTCTCGACACATCTCATGGCCGCTGATATTACTCGTTTGAGACAAACGCCCTAAGAGATTTTCGGCGCGCAGCCGACCAAAGTGGCTTTATTGTCCCGCACAATTACCTATTGTAATTGAGTAGCGCAGTTGTGGCCCTGGGCGATTCGTGTTGAGTTGTGTTGCGTTTTCGACGAAGTAAATCATTTTTTTTCTAGGATCTTCGATTCAAATGTATACAAAAAAAAGAAAGCCGTTACTTTGAAAAGGGGTAATGATGGGAGCTGCATGCAGCGAAAAGGCTCAATATCTGCCATCGGCCTTTGGAAATCCGGCACCGTACTTCTTCCTACGACCTCTCTTGTACCTGATGTTCTACGAGCGAAATTCACAACTTCTCTGCCTAAGCCACAGCTCCTGTCGCCGTTTAAACACAGTCAAATCAATGAAAGTCGATGGCACATGTACTCTTACATTGAAGATGCAATAAACAGTTTTTTTTTAAACAATGATGATCTGAAGTCCGCTGAGTTTCCTGTAAATGTTCTCAAAAATTCTGTTAGGTTTTTTGAAAAAGAGAACATTCTCAAATCTGGATATTCCAATATTGTCCTCAATCTTTAACATTTTTAAACTTCCATAATAATTTTTTTTTTTTGAAACACGGGCAAAGTTAAAAGGTCTCAAAAAGGACTTTTGGCAAAAACACCTTAGGCGCCTTTTTTTCAACCTTTTTTTTTGAAAAGACCTTTTTAGGACACACTGTTAAGGACGTAAAAAAAGCAAAAAAAAAGGTGAAAAAAGGAAGATCCGAGAAACTCTTCATACATTTTTTAGAATTCAAAAAGAAGCTTTCGGAATTTTCTCGAAATTTTTGATTGCTTGATTTGAAAAAGAAACTTGACCTATTGAACACATGTAAGCATTTTTCAGAGAGCTCTAACTGAAAGAACACCTCAAAAATATCATCGAGAAAAGGCGAAAGTAATCGAAGTTAAAAATTAGTTCAAAGTTTTCTCTACTATAAACCTTTTTTTCCTCACAAGTTTTGATTTTCCGATAAAATTTTGATTTCTCTGATTTTTTCTCCTACAAAGTGCAACACAGTTCTTGGTTTTTTCTCTTTTCCATTGTCGAAAAATGTTTCATTTCGCTTTCAGCAAAACATTTTCAGGACGAGAACAATGTGGCACAGACGTTCTTTGCCCTGGAGGCGATGTGTCAATCAGAAGGGCACCGTCTGCAGACGTTATCGTCTCTGTTCTGTTTTTATTCCTGAGAAAACTTGCACTTTGGCGTTTTTTTTTTCGGAAAGAGGCTTGCACTTAAGAATGGCAGGCGTATTGTCTGGCGAGAGCAGCCAATATAAAAGGTGAAGGCACCGCGATGGAAACCATTTCTGCGGAGTCGAGCCACAGCAATGAGCCTCAATCGAACCGCCTCCAGCGCTGTCAATGCTGCCAAATCTTCGGTACGAGTTTTTTTCGATATGAATCCTTTCTTTTTAAAAATATTATTTTGTTATTAGAAAGCATAACATCTTATTTTTTTCAGCGCGGCTTGATTCAGCAGACAAAACAATATCGACCAATGAAAAAAACGATCGAAAAAGAGCAGCTCCTACGTTCCATGAACGACATCTATTCTTGCTTCCACGGTTATGCTAGGTAACTTTTCCATTCACCAAAATCATGGCGTTTTTTCAACCAGAAATCTCAACGCTCCCACTCCCAAATACTTCGCTGATGTTCTCCATCAAAGAGAAAGCTCTGACTCCGAACTAAATGTATTTTTTTGTGTTTTAATCCAAAAACGAACTGTTTTCAGGTTGTTCTACCACTATCCACAGACCCAGTCCTCCGGCAACAAATGATCAACGAACGAGGTCATGTACGAGTTGGACGTCTTCTAGAGGTTGGTGAAAAAAATGTTTTTTTGTAGAAATTGAGAAATTCATGCTCTGACTTTCAGCATATGGATATTGTGGCTCCCTGCTGTGGCTACATGCTCAACCGAGCTGATGTCAACGACATCCAGTTCCAGACCGGCTCCCTTCCTCGGATGCTCGTCACCTCAAGAATCCATTCAATGGATGTCCGCAAATGCTCTAGCATAGACATGACACAAGACATTTCTCTCCATGGGAAAGTAACGTGGACTGGAATGTTCTCCACCGAAGTTACTGTTTCTGTCCATCAACACGGAGATTGCAAGCTCGAAGGACAATTCGTTTTCGTGAGTTTCGGACATAACTTTTTTTCATTTCAATGGTATTTCAGATTTCGCTGGACGCTAAGAACCCGCGCAAAAAGTACGCAGTAAATCAACTTATCCCTACAAATGATCTCGAAGAGCAAACGATCGAGATGAGGCAGCGACAGTATTTAGAACCAAGAGTTCCTCCGACGCCCACAGTTCTTGAGCAGCCTCTGATCAAGGTGACTCAAGTCAGACTAACCGAGTTAACTATTTATCTTCAGGAAAATCAAGTTAAAATGTCGAGTACAAGAGTTGAACATACTATGGTAGTGCAACCAGAAAATGAGAATCCCTACGGCACCACTTTTGGAGGATTCTTACTTCGTCAAGGCCTGGAGACTGCTGAAGCTTGCGCTCGACTTTTTGCAAAAGTAGTAACTATAAAAAAAAACTCCCCAGTTTAACGAATTATCCAGGGTCCGGTGAAACTGTCCTCCGTTGACGATTCTCAGTTTATCAACATCGTGGACATTGGCAGCATAATCAGATTTTCCTCCGTTGTTTCCGACGTCGTTCCAGGAAAAATACAGGTAAATTTGATTCATCGGATTCTTCTTAAGCTCCAATCATTTTTCAGGTCTTCTCACTGGCTGAAGTTTTCGACCAAGCACTCCAAAAGTTCAAGCCTTGTGATAAGTTCTATTTCTCCTTCGACGCGCAAACCGAAAAAGTAAGTTTTTTGATGATTGTTTCACTAAAGTAGAATGAAGGAACTTATTTGGTTCCATTCAAATGTTTGTGATCAAGATACTGATTCAATTTTTGGCTGCAAAGATCAACACGGAACTGTTTTCAGTTGCCCGAAGTGATTCCCTGCAACGTGCAAGAGTACATTGCCCAGAAGACGTCACGCGAATCGAGAAAACTTGGTCTCAGCCGCCAATAACGTTTTCACGTGAATCTTTCGTGTATATTTTTCAGCTGTGCTGATCGTTTGCTGCAATAAATCATTGTGTCCGATATCTTCCGAGTCAGAAAAATTCTCTCTGCAAATCGTGGGAATCCGATATTCACGTCTTCGGAAAAATCGTGCTTCTTACAGATTGAAGAAAATTTCTTTTCATTCTTGAAATTTCGAAGGATTTGACAAGTCATAAAAAAATCAGACAGATAAATGCCAAGTTTGCTGTTTTGATTGACGAAGTTTTTCTTCAAATCTCCCAAAAATACTCAAAAAATCTAAGATTTATGGTAGAGAGTGGTCGGTGGCGTTTATGGAATTTCACGGATTTAAATTTAAATGAGATCTCTCTTACAAAGAAGGTCATTCTACTTTGCGGTAGGGAATTACCTGAAAATTGGCCAAAACGCTCCTTGATGTACCAAAAGAAGATTTTACTGCCCAATTTCCTAGTTTTTGAGAAAGGACGCCTCAAAGTCAAAGTAAACTTTCAGGATTTTTTTCTGGTGCAAAAAGAAGTGTTTTGACCAATTTTCAAGAAATTCTCAAAATTAGAGTAAAATTACCTCCTATACTGAAAGTTTTTTTGTAGAGTTTGAAGCATCGATAAGCCTCGAAACTTATAAAAAAATTACGAAGTTTGAAGGTCGATTGATAGACTATTTGAAAAAAATTGTCCTCTTATAAATAAATAAAAAGCCTTTCTTTTTCAACTTAACATTTGGAATACGGATAATAAAACGTGTCCCTGCAACTATTTTGCTTGCACTTCCACTTGATACGTCGAACTTTAGATGAAGTTTATTGGTACTAATAATTATGAAATGATATTGCATAACATGTGATAATTTGGCATTTGTCATAGTTGTACTCCGTATTGGTTGTTGTTTTTGATTCAGATGGCCAAAGTGCAGCACTTGGCCGATCCACCGCTTTTGATAAACTCGCTCATGTTGACGAATCTGAAAAAAAAAGTTGGATTTTTTTGAATCGGATGGGCAAGTTCCAGTCAAGATTGCACGAGAAACTACGAATTTGTTGAATTTTTGATTGTCACGCTATTTGCGAACTCTCCCTGAGAGTCGCTTGGCGTCACCGTCGAATGAATTTTCTTTTCGAAATATCTTTTCATGTGATTCAGAGCGATTTCATTGTAAAAGAAGCTATATTTTGTTTGTATGAAGACGCACCTAACGTTGAACCCGAGTTTGGCAAGTTTGTTGGCGATCTCGTCGTTGCCTTCGTGCATGATAACATTCTGTCCGACTACGACAGCGTTACAAGCAAAGTTGCGGGCTTCTTTCGACGAAACCTGCAAGAAAAGGAGTGAAAAGGAGACAGGAAAATGATTGTTAGTCGGATGACGTCTACGTACCGGGATCAAGTCGGTCTCGTTGCGCATGTTGTGCTGCGTGACATGGTCGAAGGCGTATGGGTAATAAATCGCGACTTGTTCGTTCAACGGACAGAAGGCCGTGTCAATGTGGTAAAATCTGGAAATACCAGCTTATTGAAAAATAAACTCCATCAGTTTTGTATTGAGTACTATTTGGATCGCCGGAAAGGTTTTTTCTTCTAATTTTCAAGTTCTGAAGAGAGCCTTCTAAATGAGCTAGAATATTTGTGATTCTAAAATTTCGTCTTTCAAATACAGTTGTCCAGAATATTTCAGTGCGCGATTTGTTTTTCAGATAGGAAGCATGAATGAAAAAATTTTTTTGTTCTGAAACTAACTTTGCAAACTAGAAAAAAACTTCATGAGAAATGATCATTGCTATATGTTTTTGATTACAGTTGGTTACTTTTTTTGCAAAATCTCAAATTAAAAAAATGTTGCGAACAATTTTTTTGAACACGCTTTTTTTCATAATTAAAAAAATAATAACCGGACACAGTATTGAACACAAAAAAGCAAACTGGAATTGCATCATTCGTGTATGTTTTCCGAACTTCGATCTTGACTTTGAAAAGCAATTTCTTCTAATAAGGTTAGAAGCAACCTTTTTTGAAACCTAATTTGCTGAACACAAACTCCGGAATGTTTTCCTTTTCATGTTACTCGAAGTTATTTTTCCAGTTTTAAAGATACACAGAATTTGGTCAGATTACAGTCGATGATTCCACTTCCTCTGTTTATTTACTGATCGGACAAACCGGCTCACCTGGGGTCAATAAGTCGACAGGCGATCACTTTCCAGTTGGTCCCATCGTCCAACTTGGTTGTAATGTCCGACAGTGCACGGAACTCGGTCCTCGTCCCAACTCCCACAAACAGTGTCTTGTTCTGATCTCCGCCCCACAACGCGTCTCCGGCTCCTGCAATGTTTAAAATAGAATAAAATTAGTGGAAAAGAAATCAGGAAAAAAATTTCACAAAAAAAATTTGAAAATTTTTCTCCTCGAGAAGCTGAAAAGAAAGATCACCAATTTTCAGAAGAGATGCCGAAGATTGAAAAAGTTTTTTTCTTTATGTTTTCTGAGAGCTGTTTGATTTATTTATTTTTTTATTCGACATAAAAAAATTTACTATTTAGAGCGATTTTTTTGATGCCTAATAGATAAAAAAACTGAAGTCATTTCGATCACCGATAAGTCCTCAATATTTCGAAATTGAGAATACCTGATGAATTCCTTTTAGCTGAACCAACGTGTTCGAATTGAATATTTATGCCAAGTGAAACTTGCCCCAGTCGTGAAAAAGCCTAGCGTTCTTCGATCTTAGAGCAATTTTTCTCCAAGAGATATATTGCTTATATACTTCATTTTCTTCATAAAGTTCAACGCTCCTTTCTAGGGAGAATGTTTGCCTTTCCAAAGATTCACCCGAAATGAAAATCTCAAACCAGACAGCCCAGGGAGGAAATTAGGCGCTGAATGGTTCCATATGAGCGTTTCGGAGGCGATATTGAGAAATGTAAACTGAACCCCAGTCGTGACGTCAATTTCAAAAACATAGACATTGAGCATCTTCTTCTTCTCAGGCTCGTTCCAGTTCATATGGATGATTTCTCATTAATATTACCAATAGCAAAAGTTCATATTTTGATTCCGCGTTTGAAAAGAATTTTCTTCCATTTTTTTGAGGAATCAAAGTTGTGTGGGAGGACGCATGTTTGCACTTGAACGAGATCCCACGACTCTGGTGCTTTGAAATTCAAGAAACGGCTCATAATCTCCTCTTTTTTAGCCCCACCACTTTTAGATTTCAGAGTTTGAGTGTTTCATTGACCTTCATAGCTGACAAATTCCAGAAAGTTCTCAAAAAATTACCTTCGAAGTGAATGTCCAAATCTCCAACGCATTGATATCCGTTGTTAGTGAACCATTCCTCGAAGAAGTATCTAGAAATGTTCTTTTTTCGTTTTGTCCCCGAATATTGAAAGTACCTCTCGCCTTTTCTCTCAGGATGAGCAAAATTAGCCAAATAGGCCTTGGTTCCTTTGATAACTGCTGCGTTTGCTGCAAATACCATATCAGGCAAGCTTTCGGCTCCCTAAAAAGAACTGGTATAATCTTGAAATGTGTTTGGAATTGGACCTGCGCTTCCATAATGTGGACTTTGGCTCCACTCGATTCCAGAGTGCTCTTAAGATTCTCCCACTGCTCCATTGCCTTTTTTCGATTCACTCCTTTCTGCATGTCCATCCACGGATTGATCGAATAGGCCAACTGAACAATTAGGTATTTTTGGTGATTTGAATCATAGTAAAGCTTACTTGGAAATGAGTCGGTCGGCACATGAGAATTCTTTTAACATTATGCTCCAAAGCCGCGATGAGAGTTGGGGCAGCCATTAGCTGAAAAATAGTTTTGGCTTTAGGAGATTTGATGTAAAGTTATTGTTTTAGAGAACGATTTCGGAGAGATTTCTTACTTTCGATTTAATTTTCTTTCATTCAAATACTCTGGTAAAAGTTGTCACTTTTTTACAGTACCGTCAGAAAATTTTGATCAAAAATTTCTAGTATGGAGTTGTCATTAGTAACCCACTAATATCATTGCAGTCCGCAGAAATAAAAACGTAGGCTAGGAAGTATCAAAAAGATTGGGCTCCATACAAGGAAATGGCGAGAATAAAACCTTTTTTTCATCTTTTCTAACGTTACTGTATATTAAGCTCAAGAGATTTTATCAGCCTTGTTTGTAACTAAAAAAATCATTACATATCCATGTGCGGAGCAGTTGAAGAAAGGAGTTCACCTAGTTTTGAAAAGAATCACAAGTTGAAGCTTCATTTGGAAAAGTTTTCGCTTTTTTTTATATTGCAAACTTGAAAAATGGTTTCCAAGAGATACCTTAAAATAAATCTCAAATATTTTTCGGCACACCAGTTTTTTGAAAGTTTTCGAGTTGAGCTTCTAAAACACCGATTTTTCGCTCCAAAATCGAATCAAAAGTAGGAAGTTAGAAAGTGGTTGAGTTTCAATAAAAGGAAGTAAGAAACGCAAACAAATAGGATCAAAAACATTTTGACCGTGAACATGCTTGGCTTATATAGCGAAGGAAGCGCGTTGCTGATCAGATGGTGCGTTGGAAGGGACCGCCCCGACCGTTCTGTCTCCTTTGACCAGAATCTGATTTCTTGTCAACCTGCGCTCGGCGAACCGATGATTTATTGGTCTCGATGTGCATTATAGGGCTAATAGCATGCGTCATAAACGTGTGAGTGCATGGTAAACGGTACAAAGCGTGAGAAAATCAGTTAGATCATGTATTTGAACTATTTGAAGGCAACCGGAAGTTTATTTGAATGATTGTAAATTTTATAATTGAACTCGGATCTTTCATATTTTTGAATCCATGCTAAATTAAACTCATAGAAGGACTAGAAAAAAAGCCATGAAAGTCTCCACATACACTTCCAATTATCCAGAAAATTTTTTTTTTCTGCATCATTAAAAAAAAGTTTTTCTGATTTTATTTCGACAACGGTCATTACTTTTTTTTCATGTAAACTCTGTTTTTGGATATAAATTGCTATATATGCTTTCCAATAAAAACACGTGTGTGCAAAAAATATATCTCCCCTATCATTTTGTATGTTGGCACAAGCGACCTTTGGGTTCAATTCCCACCGAAAAATTGCGTGAGCAAAGTCACAGCAAAAATAATTTTGCTCAAAAAACGACTCTTTTTAAAAATAGCTAACTACTTACAATTTCGTTCACGGAGTAGATGAAAAATTCCCCTTTTTCGAACAAACTCAGAGAATCGTGTTAAGCTTGATATCGTGATGTCTTATGCTTAGGGTTATTATCTGACGTGATAGTTGCAGTCATTTTTATTGGCTTTGAGAAACCTCACTTGATGGAATTTCCGTTCTGGCTTTTTCTACATCCTAGCCTTAAAATAACAGAAAATGAAAATTTTGTTAATTCTGCAGCGTAGCGTACGTAGCTAATTGCGGTCCGGCGGATTCCCAGTACTGAATAATGTTTCAAGTTTTGAATATTGACCCTTAAAAACTAAGTATTGCTCTTGGTTGTTTTTTTTTTTGAAAGGACACGGAAGTCTTGTTTTGAAATTATGGGATGATTGTTAGTTTCACCAGTGAAAATATAGAACTTCCGCACTGAAAATATATACATCAGATTGTTTTTGGAAAAATTCATTGCTCTAAACGTTGGAATGAAGAATTTTCTTCTCATTTCTTGTTTCTGGCAAGTTTTTTTTTGATCTTCAGCTTTCAATTATACCTGAAAAAAATTGATTCAAGCTTTTGGCGGTTGACCAAAAACATGTACGAAAAAAAGTTGGAAACTACCGTTAAAATTTTTTTTTTGTGCTCTGCTCAGAACTATTATAACTAGAGTCTAGTTTTTTTGAAGATCTGAAGGATGCGAAGATTTTTGTGAAGGCTTGAAGTGTAGACATATTTTTCCACATTTAGTGGATCGGTCGTTAGACGAAACCTTAATTTTCGTCACAAGTCGCGTCAAAAAAGCCGCTTTTTGAGTTCTTAAAAAGAGGTAATTCTCGGTTTCGATGCGAGCCCCACAGCTGCCCCAATGAAACGTGTTTGTCGCTGGGTAAGCACTCCGCTTTGAAACGGCGAAAATGAGATTTTTTTTTCAGAGTATCATTGCGTAACGTTTCATTTAGAAAATTCGATTCAAAGCAGCTTGAAGTATTGCTTTTAACGTTAATTGCCTTTATGTACTCATTGCGTTTCCAACGTCAAACAGTATTTCCGAAAAGGCTCTATTTTTGAGCTTCTTCAGAACTCGTTTTTTTTTCCACTGCGATTTTTCAAATCCTTATCAATTTTCAGAGTTCATGGAAATAAATTCAACTCTGCCGCCATGGTTCGATTACTTAGAAAACTGTGTTGGATATACTTTCATGTGTTTGACTTTGACAACGATTCCTGTATATGCTTTGGAAATATTTATCATGATAGCTTTGCGCAAAACTTGCTATAAAGGTAAGAGTAATCTTTCCGTTTTCTGATAATGTTTTTTTTTTCAAGGCATGTTTTACCGAATATTTCTGATTGGAGCTGTAGTTGATGTTATTGCATTGATCAACAACTACACGGGTTGTATTTTTCCCTGCTAGATCGTGAGTTTTTTTGACTTCAACTTGGTTTTTTTATACTTTTTTTCTTTAAAGTATTCAACTGTACTTTATTTTTTTCCAGGTGGTTCATCAGCTTTTTACCTATCTAAAGGGAACGATTCTGGGACAAATATATTTGATAATCGCTTGGACCACAAGAGGAATACAGGGCTGCACGGTTGTGTCTTTGGCTTTGAACCGAGCTACGGCTGTCTGCTTGCCGATGAGGCATAAAACAGTGAGAATTCCTTTTCTTCTGTCGAATATTTCAGAAGCTTGAGTTTCTTTTTTCCTCTTTCATACTACACTTTTTGTACTTTAGTTCTTTCTTGATTTTCTTGGTAAAACAAAGATTCGTATTAGGGCAGGTGAAAAAAGTTTCTGTAAATATTGAAGGTAGTTATTAGTCTACGTACCGAAGATTAAAAAGTAATGTCTGAAAAGCATGTTTTTTTTCGTAATTATCAGTTTGGATTCAGATGTGGAACTCACCAAAGTCTCAAGTGATTCATGTTTTCCAAATTGGAATCGGTCTCGTCATTGGTTCTTGTTTAGTACCCCGACAGTTTTTCTGGAAGAAGCAGGATAAAGGGTTTTTTTTATTCAAGTTTCTTTGAACTTTAAATTTCTTTCAGATACTACATCCAGTTCGAAGACAAAGTCTTTCGAGCTCATTTCTTTTTATTCGCCTACCTGGTTGAAACTATTTTTGTTGTCGCTATCATCATTATCAACTTGACAATGCTTCTGATGTTCAAGAGGAAATATCGATTAGTGAGTTTTTTTTTTGAATTAATGTGAATCTCAAAGAGAATTAGAGTTTGGTTTCTACAGAACACTCTATACCTTCTGAGTCTCATTGATGGAAGTTTTTCAGTCATCTCAAGTGCAACGGGTGACGTCATCGTCTCAAAACTCACAGTTCAATCAGAAGATACTTACTGAAAAACAACGACAGGAGAATAACTTAACCTTCGTTTCTTCGGCAACTTGTGCCATTGAACTCATATATTATATGTACATAGTTTACGCGTTTGGAATCAACACTCAAGTTAATACCAGGGTAACTTTTCTGTTCAATATTTAACACTTTATCTAATTCAAGGTGTTCTACTTGTTTTACAACTCTATAAACGATGTCTACAGTGGGATGTCCGCATGGCTGATTTTGTGTTACTCGAAGCCTATGAGATTGCACATCAACGCCTTATTGAGGTTAGTTCTGAAAAAAATGTTCAAATCTCATGAAAAACTGCTCAAAAATGAAAAAAACTTGAGTCAAAAAAATAAGCCAAAGGCACAAAAAAACACTGAAATTAAATTACTTAATTTTTCTAAGATGTTTTTTTAATTTTTCGATCAGTTCGATGTGGTTCAAGCACTTATTTTTTTCTAAGTGATTTTTTTGTGAAAAGTTATTATAATTTTATGAGCCCTACCAAAAAGAGCATATTTTACAGTAAAAAAAATTACAGAATCCTGTTTTTCAATTTTCATTTTTAAGTTTCCAATGAACTATACCTTCATGTTAAGCCATTTTTTGCTCCATTTATTATGAAGTTTTTCGAAAATTACGCAAAAACAAGCTTGCTCCAAATTGAATAAAATGCGCAAAAATAACAACACAGCTGTCAAGAAAAAAATGACTGCAGAAAAAAACTATACTGATTCTTTAAATAAACTCTCCCATTTTTGGAGTAAAAATTTTTTCATTATAGTTTTTTTCAGATGCTTCCAACTGAGAAGTATCAAGAATAATCAGAACAACACGGTCGTGAAAGGAATTTCGTCGGCGACGCATCTCACAGTTCCGGCGAAACCATTTGTGATGAGCCGAAGATACACGACACCTCTTTCTGCCGCCCAAACTCCTTTTTGAAACCAATTTTTTCTGCTTTTTCCTTTGCCATTCTGTTGACCGGTATGAAACCCTTTGCTTGATTTCTTGTATGTGTTTATTTGCTGAAAAAAAAAATTTATTTATCAAGGTTTGTAACTTGTAATAAATAATAAAACTGATTCAACGAACACTTTTAACAAGTTTTTTATCAGATTGACGATGAACCATTGCTACAAAATTCAAGTTCCGTCTTGAGAGTCGTAATGTTTGTCACAGTTGCTTAACATACCGTGTGAACTCTTAGAATGGTTACTGTAAGGCTCTGCCCCTCACTGGGTTACGGTAGGTGTTTTGGTGAAAACTTCTAATTTTTTTCTCTTTGACAGACTTCATTTTCTTCAAACACAGAAAACGGCATTTTGAATCTTTTTTTATGAGCAACTAATAAGAGTTTTTCTGTTTCAGAAAAAAAAATTGTCTCAAAAATGTCGATTTTTCCATTTTTGGGCTCTTAAGACCCTGAAATTTTATTTCATAATAAGCTTTCGAGAAATACTGATTTAGAAGGTCAAGAAGAGCTATTCAGCTTTCTCTCGATGATACTTCTGAAATTTGAGGCTTTCACTGTCGTTGTCTCCTTTCTCGGTAATGGAGTGGTTTTTCAAATGTCTTCAAATTGCAATACAGCTCGCTTTTTGAGCAAAAACTGAAGTTCGAATGTGAGAAGAAAAGACGAAAACGGTTTCGCCCTGATATCAAAGGCGCACTCATCGAACAAAAAAATTTGCAATATATTTCTTCCATACAATTTTCTCTTTTCCAGTTCGCAACAATAGGAAATTTTAAATATAAAAGGTTGGAACTTCGAACTAGAAATCATTTTCAATGTTAACTTTCTTTCGAATCACTCTCGTTTCGAGTTTAATTCTATTTTCTCAACAGTATGAAGACCTGATAAAACAACACATAATCCAGTATGTTTTTGATGTTCAACTTTTTCTCAGCAGAATATCTTCTTGCAGGAGACTGAACGATTCTGTGGATCCTTGCGACAACTTTTACGACCATGTCTGCCCCACAGGCATAAGAGCGGGAGATACATTTTTGGCTTTATCCGTAAACGCCTATCAAAAAGAATTCAATCAAATTGTCACAGAATTCGATGTCTTCACGGTATCCCCCTAATTTTCCTAATTTTTGAATATTCATCATTTGAGAGAGAACTGGCATCAGAAAACAACGTTCGAACAATGGTCAATCAACTTCTGGATATGTGATAAATCTCTTCATTGAATTTAGTATTAGTTTTTCAGATGTTACAAACCTGGAGTTGGAAAGTTGCTCGCCATTTCATTTGCAATGAATGCTATGCCATCGTTTCCTCTCACCGTCAATTCTAGCTGTGAATCTATTGCTTACCTTTTTGGTTTTCAATACCGACCTGAAGTACTATCCAAATCGGTTGGTCGAACCTTTTTTGATTTGAAACCCAGTTTCTTCAGTTTTTGATGGCGTCAAGAATATTGTTCGACCTGCCTAAGATTTTTAAGGCAGTCAGAAGTAACCGATTCAGAGAATCTCAAGTGATTGCTCTCGAGTTGTATGAAGATTTAGCCGAAGAGCTGCAACAAAAAATAAAGGTGGTTATAATTCGGAATTCAAATTTTAAGTTTTGTTTCACAGGAGACTCCATGGGCCAAGTTTCGTAATGGCACAGCTCCCTTGACAGATTACCTTGCGAAAAACGTCACGTTTTTTGAAATAGATGAACCATTACTGATAGAATGGGAACGGTTGTATAGAGAAACGATCTTTTCATACAAGTGAGGGTTCTCTTCAAAACAAACCAGAAAAATTCAGGAAAGAAAATTGCTCCTTATTGTGCATCTACATAGAAGTTATATCAAAGCTAAATCTGTTTTCACAAGCTGGGATCGGATTTATTTCGGTTTCAAGAGTTATAAACGCTTTCAATTTGGTATGAAGTTTCATTTTCTACTTGTCCTAAAAATTGTTCAGGGTGGTCTATTATCGCTTAGTCCTCTCATACAATCTCTGGTCTTCACTCCAAACAAGGCTCGAATGGTAAGCTCAGAAATGCCGATAGGCATTTAGATTTGAACTTCAGTTGGGATCGCTAGGGTTCACTTTTGCACACGAATTCATGCATTCGTTTTACATAACTGAAGAGGATCCCAAATACCTAGCCCAGTTTTGGACGAACTCTTCGGATTGCGTTAAAGAGCAATATGCAGCGACATGCAAAGAGTTTGTTGGAGTATGTGAATTCCTATTCTTGAATAATTGCAAAAGTTATTTCGACAGGATTCCTGTGTGAGTGGTACTAACTCCACCAATGAAGAAGACGGATCAGATATGGCAGCGATTCGTTTGATTTACTCCTACTTTGAAAAACATTCGCTTCAAAAAGAAATTGAAAATGTCGAAAGTCTTCATTAAACTTTTTTTTGTTTGAGGAATCTGACATACGAGGGATCACCTCAGCGCAGATGTTTTTCTATTCGATGGCTGCTACTTGGTGTCGACCTGAAAATGTAAGAATGTAAGAGATGAGAAAAAACTGAATTTCTGTTCAGGATTTGAACAGAAATGGAAACCCTGATGACACTCATTCGGGTTGGAAAGTGCGAATAAACGCGGTGACAGCGCAAATGGAACAGTTCAAAGAAGCCTTCCAATGTGCCGACACCTCCCGAATGGTCCAGAGCAAAGTTTGTTCATTTTAGAAGTTGAACAGGTTTTTTCTTTTGTTTTTCAGACAAAACACTGCGCTATATATGGATGCGACGCTCCTGAAACTCATTAAAACATCAATTTTTTTCATATAAACACTTTTTTCTGTTATATTTGAGAGCACATAAATTTCGATATGTAGTAAAAAGAAACTAAAGGGAATTGTTACAAGGCGATGAATTTCAATGCTTTAAAAAAAATTTATTTTGGTTACACTAGGCCTAAAAAAAATCTTTGAAGCTTGTGAACTTCCAAAAACTTTTTTTGCAATAAATCGGAGCTAGAAAAAAATTGAAAGCAGTTTTTTTGTCGTTTTTACTTTGGTGAGAATCGAAGTTGCTGCTTTGTTTTCTCATTTTGCTATTTTTTGGAATAAATTCTAGGAACTATTGCTTTTTTGAAATTTTCCGCCCTGAAAATAATGATCGTAAAAAAATTGTTTCTGATAATTTTCGACTGTATAGGCAATAAAAAAAGCCTGATAGGTACTAGTTGCTACTTCTTCACGGCAGAATAGTGTAAGACAAACAAACTTGTTCTTCAATTTTTTTCGTCTCTTCAATAACCATTGCTAAGCTGCTTATATTGACTCTCCAGTTCAGTAAAACTGATTAAAACCTTGATAGATAATGTAAATAATGAACTGAAAGACGTGTGACATATCTTCAATTCCGGTCCATCAGTCGCTGACACGCGACAATTCGCCCAGGGTCAGCAAAACAGTTTTCTAGTTGGCGCCGGGTTGCGTCAACTGCAAACGGATTGTTGCGATTAATGAAAACGACGCTCTTAACACGTCGTTTCCGGTGTGTCTTTGTTTTGATTTCTCTTGCTTGACAGTCAGTCTTTGGAACAGAAAACGAAACCGTTGAACGTCTTTTTTTTTTTCTTCTCGTGTATTGACCGATATGGTGTGTTCTTCTGAAGAAGACGATTTAAAAATATCGAGAACCATTGAGATTCTTTCAGCTCAGCTTTCTTTAGCGTACGAAAACTATGACTTTTTTTTGAATTTTCCCTTTCAGTAATACAAATAATTTCGAAAAGCTTATTGGCTGATAGCCCATTCCATATTTGTTTAAGGAAAAAAAATTTAGTAAGTTTTTTTTGAGAGTAACCTCAAAAAAATCTACGAAAAAACGCGACTTTGGTCACAGCTTTCTCGTAAGAAATTCAATCTTCCTGAATGTTTTTCAAGCTGCATTTTTTTCTTCAAATTTTAATTCTATTAAAGTCTTCGAAAGAACAGTCACTACAGCTCCAGAAAGTTTCAGAAAGATTGAACCCCTTAAAAGAAAGTTGTGACCAAAATTTCATTTTTTCGCTTTTCTGACGGTACTGTATGCATTTTTTGCTTAAATAAATCTACATACAACTTTTTTCAGGTTGGACTTGTCTATTTTAAAAAAAGGAATCTCCAAAATTTATGAGAGAACAAAAAATTCCCTTTCTTTCCTTGTTCGTTTGACCCTGTCTATTCGAATTTCCTTTTCCACTCAAAGAAAATTGAACTTCTGGGAACCGTGTTCTTTTTCCTATTAGTTGCCTGTGTTTCTGAAGACGCCCCAATGAATGAGAAGACGTTGAAGGAACATCGGACAGGTCCTTGTGGGCGGAGCCTCGTACAAGGGAAATTCCTTGCATGAATCGTGACAGATGCCCTGTGCGTAGACAGATACTAACACCTCGTTTTTTGCTATATTATCACCTTATCGATCATTCCTTGATTAATTACAACAACAATCGAGATAACACTTTCATTCAAATGAGAGAAAAGGAACACGCATTGAAAATATTCGTTCGAAATCACTAGCACATTTTTTCAACTTGTTCATTTTTTGATATATTTAATCGGCAACCTGGGCTTTTTTTTCAATTTAATCAATCATTTTTCAATCATTTTTTGTTTCAAGACTTTTATCTTTTTTTTTCAGCCTTGATTTATTTTTCTAATTTAAGTCCAAGCTTTATGCAATTTTTCGTCCTTAAAGTTTAAAACATTAAAGAAGTTTTGTTTCTATAAATGTGTAACCAGTTCAAAAGCTACTAACAGTTAGCAATAAATTTATTTTTTTCTTTGAAGTTTCCTGTTTACTGTCTAATTATAGCGATCCAGATAGGCATTTTCCCGAAGCGAAAGATGTTTTGTCGATTTATAGGAAATCCCCGCCAGTTTTATCGCGCGCCTTATCAACATCCAGTTGACTCTGCGATCCCGTCTCTTTCCATCTGTCAAATTCTCTCCTCACATTTTCTCCTTTGAAGCTGCTTTTTTTAAATGAGGGTTTTTTTAATGGATGCAGAAAGGTTTTTATGATAACAGAGATTGTCAGAAAGTATTTCGTTTTTAAAAATAAAAGACGCTTGTTTTTCTCGCGAAGTTTCAGGTTTGAATCAATCGAGGATCTTCCACGTGGTTCAATGGTTGAAAAAAGTTTTCGAACAAAGATTTTTTTTTTGCGATTTTTTCTGGATTTTTCCCTTGATAAAACTTTGAAGCTTTCCGTTTTTTTAATAATATTTTTTTCGAAATTTTAAGAAACCGCAAACTGTTATTTACGTACTCTTTTCGCAACGTTGCAATCACCTCATATTGACCTTGATTCTATTGAACTTTTTCAGCATTCTCAATCGTTTAAACTCTCGTAACTCTTTGGTTCATCCGGAATATTTGAAAACGAGCAACTCAATGGATGACAAAAGTAAAAAGATGCCGACATGAAAGAGCGGGTTGAACTGAACGACAACGGCCTTTCTATCGAATCGAGTTGTCATGTTTTCTACCGCATAAGAGTAATTGGATTTCTTTGAACTTTGATAAATTCCAACTTTAGTGGCAAAAAAGGTACATCGTGTGCCGCAAGCAGAAAGATCTCGGCAACCCTTTATTTATCATATACAAGAGCCGAGCCGACCGTTTGAAGGACAAAATCAAGCAATCTATCATTCTCAGCGATTTTGTTGGGACTGAGCGAAGTAAGGGAGTTTTTTTAAATGAGCTTGGTGCGCAATTTTTGATAGTTACTTTTGTGTTTTCTTCTTTCATTCAAAAAAAGGATATTCTCATTCAATCTTTGTCGTCACAAGCATCATCTAAACGTGGAAAAAAGTTAGCTATCTTCAAGTTTTGTAAGTCGGAATTTCGAAACCTCGTTAGCAATCCAAGGCTTCACTTATTGTTATCTAAAAAATAAAGGCTCTTTTTCATATTCTAAAAAAATGTTTTTTTATTTTTCCAGGTTTCTCTTTGAAAAAAATAAGTTCAATACGTTGGCTCTTGTCACAAAAGAGCACATCATCGATATTGCTTTCGAAACGGCGGAAAACCTTGTACAATGGGAAACTTGGTTCAAAACAATATGTGGACAGTGTGAGTTTCAAGATTTTTCATCAGTTGAGTTTGCATTTCAAAATCTCAATACCTTTCGAATCCGTAAATAATTTGGTTTGGGAAAACAAAAAAAAAACTTTCTTGAGGTTTTTACTGAATTTCCTGGTCTGTCTGTGATCCAAGTTTTGGTTTGGATCAGTGAAGCTGCTAAATACTTGAAAAATTTTTGGTTTCTTGAACTTTCTATGTAACAATTTTTTCTTATCTATTTTTCAATAATTTTTTTATCATTTTATTATATTTATAATAAGCTCGCTCGACATCAAATTTTTGCTTTTTATTTTTATAGGATCGGTAAATTGTTTATAAAAAAATTTGAAGTTCTAATATTTCGTATCATAGGAAATAATGTATTTCGATCTTGCTGTACCCTTTCGATCCGTAACTGTGGTTTTTTTGTAGCTATTCTCAATTTTTTTCACTGTCCTTTTACAGCTACGGGGAAGAAAAAAATCGTGCAGACAAAATAAGTAGTTTTTTTAGCCGAGATTAATATGTTGCACCTACTCATAAACTCATAAAATAATACCTACTCATAAACTCATAAAATAAGCTTTGAACAGCTGGGAATGAGTCTCACTACGCAAAGCTCGTGAGATCGGCTCACGCGATCTGATAGATCACGTATACGCCGAATTTAAAGTTCAGACCATAAGGGCAAACAGCTATAAGCTATGTGATCGTTTCGTAGTATTTGGAATATAATGCTTCAGGTGCTACGAACTACATGGTGCTGCTGAAATTCCCGAGACAGGAAGGCTGCTTGCACATGTTGGGTCGGGAGGTTCGCTGTCTCCTTCATGTGAGAATCACAAGAGCTCAAGATCTGGTGCTACTTAAGAAACAGTTACAGGATTCGCGGTTGGCGCTTGTGTACGGACTCCCTCAGAAGATCCTGCTCTACGGCGACGTTGGCGCGATCATCGTCAAGATCAACATGGAGAACCACACGGTGACTGTTAGATCGCATGCGGCGCCCGACGAAGAATTTGTCCTCTCCTGTGCCACCATCGATTTGTTCAATGTGATGTTAGAAAAGGCAAAACAAGAGGTTGGGAATATTGGTCGTCACGAGTTGAATGCTGTTTTTTGCAGAGATGGGACCTTCATCAGTACTTGTGTAATCAAACCGAAGGAACTTGGATCAGTAATGTAAATTTTTAACTGTAAACGATACTAGTTTTTCATGCAAATATTTTTAATTTGCTCTCAATACCTCAGATTCATCTCAAATCAACTTATGACCAAAATACAATAAAACAAGTACAAGTCAGGAACAAAAATTCAAATCAAAAAAAAATTAGGCGCCTTCTGTTTCTTTTTTGTTAGCTAGAAAAATTCAAACATTCAACCAATATCGAATATTCCAATGGGGTTCGATATTTACCATCCGATTTAAATTATTCAAATAATTTTTGCGCTTTCTCAACTTCAAAAAATAGCTCTCAAAGTGTTCTTATCAAGAAGCACAGAGTGAAAAAAAGTCAACAAAATTCTTTCTGCAGTGAAAAAAGAACGAAACCCGTTTCTGAATGAACGATTTATCTCCAACCGTTACCGAGACTGTTTTCAGACTCCGATGAATGTGAAGAAAAATGACTCTTTGTCACGTTTATCCGACTCCCAGAGTAATTTTTCAAACTTTGGCACCCCTCAAGCGACTACACTTTATATGGACAACGTATCTTCAAGGTGACAGAATTATGAAAAAAAAGAAATTTGAAATAGTTTCAGAAATGTTGCTCCTAGTTCCAATCTGCAAAATATAACTAATATTCTCAATATAAATGGTTTGATTTTTTTGAGTTACTGAAAATTTCGATTCACTCTAGAGCCTCTACCTCGGAAGAAGAGTTTTTGATGAAAGGTCGGATTACATGAATATCAGCCGTCAGTCCAGCACGAAAAGTGAGTCAGGGTTAATCATACAATGGACTTTGAAAAATGCAAAAATTAATCTTCAAAAGAAACATTTTCTCCATAGAAAAAGTTAGATTTTATGGATCTCTGCCGACTTTTTGTTTTTGGAAGATATAATCAGTTATTGTGAAAATCGATCAAAACAACAGTAAAGATACTTCATTTTAGTGAACCGTTTTCTAACCGATTTACAGGATCAAACGCCAATCTGCGGAGTTCAAGCCTGCCCGAATACGTCAATGTTCATTGCGCTGTGAAACCGAACGGCTCAATCAGAAGCTCGCATTCTTTTTTCAACGTCGCTTCGACTTCTGCTGCAGAGGAACCAAAAAGGAGAAAAGTTTCCGATTACGCTCCACAAACTGATTCTTCGCGTCGCCGATCTGATAATTCAGTTGGCAGGTTTCTAAATAGAACAAGGAAGTTTGTGGGAATTACTCATCCAAATAGTTACTCGTTTATTGCAGTTTTGTTTACAATAAAAATCGGTCAATGATGGATTTCACAACAATCCGAGATGAAGAACAAGATTCTCGTTATGAAAGCTGGCGAAGAGCTAAAAGGTTCATATCTGCATTCAGTCCTAAATCTCAGTCCGAGTTGAGAAACGGGAAGGTACATGGTAACATTTTTTTCCAGAAACTTTTTGATTTTTCAGGTTTATCAAGTAATCACAAAATCTTCAAGCACCGGTGCCCTCCAGTATGCCACAACTCTCCTGAGAGTAAGTCGTATCATTTCTTGAAATGTGCAAGCTGAAGACCCACCATAACTTCAGAAAAACACCAACGCTGGAGAGACAACTAATTCGATGAGTGAAATCTACGAATTGCCGCCAGCACTCAACGTTGCCGTGACCGATCCTCTGTCATTGTCGGCGTTGAAAGAGTCTCGGGTAGGATACGCCGAAATGGACTTTTTCTCAGAGTTTATGGTTCAAAAACTATCGAAACTTCGCTTAGTGCATTTCGAAATGAACGAGAACTGTTTATGGTAATTTTTAATGAGATTTAAATTCTAACGGGAAAGTACATTTTCTTCTAAGCCGAATTCTTTGGCAAAATTTAGCCTGAACTCTCTGTGATGTACTATGGCACTGTTCACATTCCTTTAATTCAAAATTATAGCAATCGTTTGGATTTTTCAGTCTTCTGAAGACACTCCAGTCGGTTTGGTCCGCGTCAAAGAAGATAACCAACTCAAAGCGCGTGGAGGAGTGAACATCATGTTGGCTCGACGTCTAGCATCGTCCGTTCGAGGATCTTTCTCCGTAAGATGCAGCTATCTATCGATAAAACATCATGATCTTAGAAATACGACGGCGAGCGAGTGACGCACCATTATCCCTCCAAGGTCGGAGGAGAAGGAACCAAGGACGAAAACGCTGCCGCCACGCCCACCACACCTACGAAGAGAGGGCCGCTCGAGGTCAAAATTTTGACCGAAACGAAACCGTTGGAGGAATCTGAACCTATGGATGGTAATAATTATTTCAATGCAACAGACGAAAAAAATCAAATTTCCAGCAATTGCGGTTTCTGTTTCAAGGAAACAAGAAGAACTTCGAGCTCAAGATCGTCGAGCTTCCACTGTTTCCTTCCACAAGGTTGTTCAAGTAATGGAAGTTTTTTCTTCAATCAGCTCACAGTTTTTTGGTAGCATGTCAGACTATTCATTTCAATGACTGAATTCAAAAAAAAATTTTTGAGATAAATCTCGAACTGGGAATTCATTCAGACTCACGTTTTCCCTGTTCATCCGCCAAGTTCGACTTCTCATCCTGAAAAGGAGAAGTCGCCTCCGAGTATGAGAAGCAAAGCAGCCGCGGCAGCTCGGACCATTTTGAGTCATCTGAAGGGTGCGGCGACCAGAAACTCGAACGCTTTTTCTGAAAGCACGAGGTGAATCGTGAAAAATTTTTTCGAAATGTTGTGATGAAATGAATTTCTTCAGGTCATCTGCAGAGTCGTTGTCTTCTGATGCTCGATCGAAAATTTCGATCAAGAAGCGGAGTAGCTCACCTCCGAGTCAAATGGCTCCTACGATTTCTCGAAATACCAGCCGACATACATTAGTGGTGAGAGTAATGTTTTCATAGCTGGAAAATGAAGTTTTCAAGTTTCCCGCATTAGATTTTTTTTCTGGAAAGTTCTTTAGAATGAAAAAAAAGTATCATTTTTCTTCGAAAAGTGAATTTATTAAGATGCTTAAAAAAGCCAAGCAAAAACGTTTTTTGAAACAGTAAAGAACATTTCGAAGATTATCCCAATTTTTGAATTTTTTTCATGGGATCCCATCTTTTTTTCGATATTTCTTCCTGTTTTTTTTGCCAGTAGGACATTTTTTCCGATTCTTTTTTCTTTATTCCAAAGTTTTGTGAGTGTGGATCGATACCAAAAATTTTTCTTGCTGTAGAAATTCTCATTTTTCAGCAGGAGCCTTCGACATCGACAGACTCTTTGAGCTCTGAACGAACGGCAAGGTCAATCACATCTCCGCAGTTAGTCCTCCCCATGAAGACGTCTCACGCTTCTTCAAGCGGTAGCAGCACTGAAAGCAGTATATTGAAATTAACCGTCATAATTGAAAGTTGTTTTGTTTCAGATAGTGCAAGTGAAGATGGCTCGCCTAAAGTCCGGCAGTCGACTTCAGTTGTCAGTTCACTTTCTAATTGACTTTTTCATCATGTTAATCAATTCTTAGTAATGGAAGTTCTATAAATTTTCGAAGGTTCTCTGAAAATTCTAGTTTTTCCTGAGCAAAAGATACGAGAGCTGACGAAAAGAGTAAGTTCGTCATTCAACCTAACATTTAACAGGCTTCATCTCTGAACGAATCGAGAAACTTGTATTTGAGCGGTTTTTCACCATCACGACGTTTTTCTCAGGTCAGTTGTAATCTCGATTGCTCTGCTTCACCTTCCCAAGATTCACTCACATTCCGATTTTTTTCCTCCATGTATTTCTGTTTTCAGGGCCAGTGCAGCATGACGTCCGGGAACACAACTCCCCAGACGCAAGGATACTTTCGGAAACATCGACGGCTACGAAGAAGCCAAAGAACTCTTGAATCTTCTTCGTCTCAGCCCAACCTTGCGTGAACATTGTAAATTCGTTTTTTCAAACTTTTCGCCTCCGCAATTCTTTAATTTCTTCTATAATTTACGTTTCAAAACACCTGACTTTGTAAATACCAATTTTCAGCCTTTCCAACCCATAATGGCTTTCAGAGTCTATGAAATTATTGAATTTTTTCTCTCGGAGAGAAAGTTATTTTGTTGTCTTTATTGTTTGTATTTATGTTCAAATACGGTGGTAAAAGCATGGAACTTCCGTGCAGAAGTGGATAACTATTCATAATCTCACGCAAATATAATATGTGCATAAATACATAGCCTAAAACAACCTTGGTTAGCCCGCAAAATGAAAAAACAATGATATGACAATGACGTTGAAACTAGCAAGAAAAAACCGACAAAGATGTATGACAAAAATTGATTCAAAATTCAGAGAAATTTAATGAGAGTCAACTTTTTGAGATAGCCGAAGCAGCTATGTTTATTTACTTCAGAAAAGCTTACTGCGAGTTTTACACCAAAAATTAAAAGAAGTTACTGGATTCGATTCGAAGCTTTTAAAAACCCATAGGTTCATCACTAAATTTGTTGAGCAAAGTCACCCGGAAATTTCGATTGTTGTTCACAAAATATTCAATTTTGTTTATAAAATGACGTCAGCGGCTGGATGAACCGTTCGAATTTGTGAAGTTGCTTGCAGAGCCCTCGTTTGAATTCGCGATTGAAAACCGTGTAAATAACCGGATTGATGCCCGAATTGCCTGAAAACACTCTTTTTTTCATTTGGCCGAAAGCCTCTGCGACGCGTCAGCGAGGAGTCAATTAAAAATTCTGCCGCAATGAACAACTTACAGTAGCCCAACCAGAAGAAGAACTTGAAGACCAGTGCCGGAGCTTCGTATCCGAACGCGCCGACCACATAAAGAACCTGAAAATTATTTATTTCAATTGCAGTGTTTTGAAAATTTTGCGGGAAAATACTAGTTGCTTTTGAATTATCATAAAATACCCTTACTATTTAATTTCAAATTTTTTGTGCTTTCAAGTTCATCATTTCTCAAAAACAGTGGGAAAAAAACTGATGGGACAAAATGAACATCTTAAAGTAGAAGAGAGTTTCAGAGAGCTTTGGAGAATGATTATATGAGAAAAATTTTTTTGATTATCATAGAAGAAAAAAATTCGATTTTTCTCATTCAATGACCTTACTTTTTTTATAGTTAGTTTTCAAGAAAATCATCGAAATATTCTGAGGTTCAAAACTCACGAAAAATGGAAGCCAGCTCAATATAAAAGCGGACAAGATGATTCCAAGCAGAAGAGTTGCCTGTCGCTCTTTTGCTTTCAGTTTTCTCCTTCTTTTCTCCGAAGTCGTTTTTTCGTCATATCGAGCAGCTCTGACCTTCCCATAAGTAGTGCTGTTGCTGTTAACGCCGACGGATCCCTATAAAAAACTTCTGTGCATTGAAACCGGAAACTGGGTTTTTTTTCCTCAAAATTTTAAGAAAGAGGCTTTTCCCATGTTATCACTGAAAAGAAGTAATGGAAACGTTGTTTTTCATTAGTCACAGTGAGTTTGACGAACCTTCCTTCTCGGCAACTCTTCAGATATTTTTCTCAGCTGCCAGCAAACCCTCGTGATGACCTCCTGAAAAAACTTCATTCTCATAACTCTGCTCCTAACGGCTGTGTTTACCCTCTGAGCTTTTGGACGATCTTCGTCGTTCGGGTCCGAGTTTTCCTCCAATTCGTACTCTATGTTGAATTTCTCGGCTGAAAATTTGAAAACATCTAAAATGAGCGACGAGAGTCTCATACACCGTTTTTCAATTAAACTTGAGGAGATGGAAAAATTTCTGAGTTTGCTATATTACACGCGTGTTATGCAAATAACGAAATAAAGACCAAGGATCTAGGTAAAATGAACAATGAAGCTTCCACACTCTCGATTTGGAAACAGGGTTCATTTTTTTTTCAATGAAATTAAGTAAAATCTTCGTTCAGAAAAAAATGCTTGAAATGCAAAGTTGCTGACCACTTCCTCGTTTTGCCGTGAGCATGTGTAGAGTATTTTCTCGTCTTTCGGTTTCTCTCAGCCGCTGTCTACTGTGACGAATCGTGATACTGTAGATTTTGGCGTAGACTATGATTAAAATGATAACTGGTATGTAGAAAGAGCCCAGCGAAGAGTACAGCACATAGCCTGAATCAAAACTCAGTGTTTTTCGATTCAAGGAAATGATGCACCTAGGTCAGTGCTCACAGAGCATTCGCCATCTTTTCTCTCAGGTCTCCAGCCGAAAATCGGTGGAAGACAGATTAGAAGAGAAACGATCCAAGAAACACCTGGAAAATGAAAATTAAAAATTGGTCAACATTTTTTTAAAATTTAAATGAATCCCGTTTAGGGAGAATTTTCAAGCTTGTCAGGACTATTTTAAATTTTCCGCATTATTCTCTCTCTTTGATTGGAAAATAACAGATCTTCAATCAAAGATGACAAGGTTCATCTGTAGAAAAGCGAACCTTGTCAAGTTATTGGGAATAAGATATACCATTTTCCTTTCATTAGGGTGGAAAGGCTACAAAGTTTCAGCTGTTCGCTTGAAAAATAATGCTCACTCCAAAAACATAGTGAATAAAATTTTTGTGCGCCATTCCCATTACAAAGATCCACTCAATAGAGAGCTTCCGCTACACTGCAATCTCAAGTTATTACCCGCAAAAAACTGAGCAACCTAATCCAGTCAAATAGATCTGAAAAGATCCAATTACTGGGATGACAAAGTGGTCGTGTATAATTAATAACTATTTTTGAGCACCTCGGCTCCCTCAACAAGCCGCTTCTTCTGTTCTCACTTCAGATTCAGAATTCACTTTCATTAATTGGGTGTTGCGAAGAAAAAGAAAAGAAGGCTCATTTTAGATGATGTTTGCACGCTGAGAAGCCGTTTGATTCTTCTTCGTTTTTTGTTTTCCGCTTGTGGAAGAAATGCCAGAAGCGGCGAAATATTCCAGGGCGTGAAATGAAGTTAAAGATGTACCAATGTAGATGAACATGCGTGTTGGAGTCCGCTTGGCTGGGTAGGTGAGTGGAGAAGTCACCGAGAAGTACCGATCCAGCGAAATGGCGCAAATATGCAGAATCGACGCCGTCACAAACAGTACGTCAAGTGCGAGCCACATTTCACAGAGAACCAGTCCTAAAATTAAATCACTGTTCCTAGAAACATCGAGAGCTCCGAAAGATAAAAACGTCTCAAGAGCGCTATATGACTCAGAAAAATAAACTGACCCATTCTCCACTCGCCGACAATTTCATAAATCAGCGTCAGAGGCATCACCAGAAGCCCCACCAACAGATCCGCAACTGCTAGGCTCACAATCAGCCAGTTCTGCCTTTGCATCCGCAGTTTACGATCTCGGTAAACGGTAACTACCACCAGAAGATTTCCCAGAACAATTATCTGAAAAATAAATCTATTATAATGTTTCCGGCGAACTATGATATCGGAATGCCGAGTCATAATTTTACATTTGCATAGCAACTTCTCAGTTATGTATATGACCTCTTGTCCCCTTTTTTAGTAGGATGACTGATCTTAAAAGTGAGAGGGAGAGGTGATGAGTATGAGTAAGAAAGGTTTAGGATAAGGCTCCTGAAAAAAGGTTCCGAAATTGAATAGAATAAAAACGTTTGATATCACTCGAAAACCATCGTCACCCATTTAGCGTATCATCTTTCACTTATCACTAATTAAATCATTATAATTGAAAGATAAATCATAGTCACAAGAGCAGGTGTTCCGTTGAAAACGTCTGCACTAGTCATAACTTCCCTAATCGAAGTTTCTTAGTGCAGGAGGTCCGAAAATACACAGTAAGTCAGGTATGATGTCGAAATGCAGGTGATTATTGCTTGAGGAACTAGCAACAGAGTTTTTTGTGAAATTGAACTAACCAATACTGGCTAAATGTTCTTTCTCTACGTTGCGATGAATATTAGATGAAGGAATCAAACTTTTCAAGACAAAATAGTAGAGATAGAAACGGAGAGAAGCAACAAACCAGCATGACGGTAAGCATAGACGCGATCGTGAGGACCGCCTCGCCGAGATTGAGACAGGCCACCTTGGTGTCGCCGTCGCTACACGTCGTGTTCCACATCTCTACTGGCACATCCGAATCTGCAACTGCTCCAAACTTTTAATTGCCGCAGAAATGAAACTTTTTGGGACAAATTCCATTCAGGCTTCTCGTGAAAGGGGCGGGCTCAACATGTCGCAGGTAAAGAAGAAAACTTTGAATCTACGCGCATATAATAAATTTCTCCAATCTCATTGAAGATTTTGTCCAAAATACTTGATGCATACAAATCAAAAGCTGCAAAGCGAATAAGACGAGCATGAAGCAAGAATTTCAAAGAAAGGAAGGATCCATGAAAAGGACAAGCAAGTTTGGGAGTTCCTTTTGAGGTGTGTCGTCCCAAAGGGCTTGTTAAATTGTGACCCGAAGATGGATAAAAACAATACCATCAAAATTGCGACTTCTGAGGCGACTAATTGGGCAGCTTCAAAGCTTCTCACGAATCATTCCTCCAACATGCTGAGACATCATTAGGGAGCTGGCCAGCTCCACTTAAAAAAGTGGGTTCGCGGCTTTCATTTTTCTCTTTTCTACAAGAATGTATCCCAAGAACATATTATTTCCAAGCGGAAGAAAAACGCAAAAATTTTCCACAGTAATTAATTTGAGCACATGACCTTTTTTGTAAAATTATTATTTCCTTGATTCAATGCTGCAGATTGCAGTCATCTCATGTATTTTTCACTTCAATATGCTAAGATATTTCTATAATTTTTTTCATGATGAATAGAAGGAAAAACTTTGCTGTACGAACAGCTCAACTCCTAAAAAAGTTTTTTAATATTTTTATATTTTTTTAAATGAAATTTCGTAACAGCTTGATAATGGAATTTTGCTCAAAAAAACAGAAAAATAAAAGTAGTCCTAAAACTTCACAAAATCAGATGCTGGAACGCTAGAGGTCGTGATAAATACGCTAGGTGAATTACGACCTATGGGGTAAAGTGCAAAAGAACAGCATTCGAATGAAAAAGGTGAAAGACGACTGATGAACGATGAAACGCTTCTATCGCCGCCTTTTATAACATTCTAATCTCTGAATAATGCGTCAGTTTTCAAAAAAATTGTTAGTATGGAAGATCTCACCGCCTACGTTGAAAGTACAATCATCGAATTAAAATGAGACTTCCAAATTAACATTCAGAAACGAATACCACATTGGGTTCAAATGAGATCTATAGAAGACGGATCTTTTATATAAAATACCATGTGTTTTGTTTGGCTCCATAAAAAGGATAATCATGTAGAGCCCAAAACACACAAGAAGAAGTGGTCATTGTTCTTCAGCCACACGTCGAAATTGCATTCCTTTTTTCCATGCGAACGGCCAAAACAGGCAATGAATTCATTTGAAAAGAAATTTTTGAGAATGCTCGCTCACAAAGCTGAATTACTACATCAGTCATGTCTAGGAACAACCAGAAACAAGCACAAGAAAAGACCAATTATGTGACGCCAGTTTAGAGGGAAGAGAAGATCATTCAAAAAAAAATGAATTGCGAAGAGAAACTGCTCAAATTAGGACAAAAAATGGTGACGCTTCGTGAGAAGCTTTTGGGAGTCGAGCAAGTTGAGGAAGTTTAGAGCCGAAAACTTTGCAAAATGCGCCATTTCAGACGTCGCAGAAGGAAGGGCACCTGGCATCTTGCTCTAGAAGTTTTTCCGAAAATTCATTTCAATTAGAGCTCAAGTTACTTCCTTCAGAGTTCCAGACACTCCCACAACTTCAGATTACCTGTTTCAATGGAAGAAATTTAATTTCATATCAGATAAATGCCTCTTTCAAGTGATAAACATACATTTTTAGTCAAAATAACTACAAATTGGAATAATTCCTAGAAAGGAAAGTAATTTTCGCCTTAATAAGAATGCAACAAAATGGAGATTCGAGAACCTATCCATTTCCTGCTTTACAAAACCCGAAATTATCAAATCCATGATGTGTTTTGAATTCACGATAGTGATTAAAGTCAAAAATAAGGGTGATTGAAAACGATTTAATATATTTCATCTTTTGAAAATGAATCTAATTTTATTATATTTTTCGAACTAGTATAACAATCATATTATCCAACTGTATAGTTTTTGATTTCAACACTTTAACTGTCATGTAATATCTGACTTTTTTTTTTGTTTGAAAGAAAACTTTTTGAGTATTTTGTCTGAATCTGAAATTTTTACTACAAAAAATGAATCCAATTGCTCGAAAAAAAAACTGTAGTCGAGTGCTTAGAACTTGATAAAGATCAAACTGAACTTGTCCGAAACCTAATTTTCAATCCTCAAAAACTGTATCCCGGCTTAGAATCAATTTGTGTCAAGCATTGAGTTTTCCAATTCACTGCACTCAAGTTATATGCCACTGAAAGTTAAATAAAAAATTAGGAGTATTCAAATTTAATAAGGGATCTTTGAGTCCACAAAGAATGTGAAAATGAACTTTAATTTGAAGGTTTTATGAAAACTTGCTGAGAGTTTTTTGTGACCATAGCCAAACAACATTATCTTACTTTCATATTTCAGCTGACTTTTCGTGCTCAAAAGTTTACAATTTGCGAAATATCGTTTCTCGAAAAGAAATTCCTACCAAAAACAAGCTGAAAATAGTTTCTAAGACAATAATCTTTTGGTTTTGACTGAAGTAAAGAACGTCTGTCAGACTCTTTCTTACAAAATTTCAATGAAACTATGTTCAAAGTTGTTTCCTCGCTATATTCATTGCACCTCTTATCCTGAGCTTAACCCAAATCAGTGATGCAAATCAAGAAAACAGTACTCATAGTTCTGAAAGAATCAAAAATAGGGAAAGCAAAACGGCAGGAAAATTAATTGTTGTCGGCCAAGGCAGGAAAACAGATCAAATCGGAAAAGGGTGGGGCAGATAAAAAGGAGGTTCACTGAAAACAAAAGTAATTCGAGTAAAAATTGTTTGCGATGAACTTAAGATCGAAGTTCATGAGGCTTTTGAAAGGAGATCCGCGAAAAAATTGACATTTTTTTCTTTCAAGTGGGCGTCAGAAGATACTCATGCATAATTAAGAAGGAAGTAAGATTATTTATCCTTGACTGCTCTCTCAAGTTTTAGCCGAAATGTTCTTCGAAAAGATGAGAAGAGCATTCAGAAGGTCAAAGTCGAAAAAATGACCAGTCTATCTTGAATCTCTCCGAATTCCAAATAACAAGAGGAGTAGGATTCTCACACTTGGAAGGTCTTCCAGCTCGGCGGAGCGATAAGCCCGACGAGGTGCCTACTTCCTTATTTCGTATCTCGTGCCGAAATTCTAATGGAATCCATTGTGTGTTGGACTAACAATTGCTTTAGAAAATCACGAGCTTTTTGAAATGCAAATTAGAGTTTGCCATTCTAATGACCCCTTTAGTATATTAAAACATGGTGATTTACAGGAAGCGGAAATCATTTCTCATACTCTACTGTAGCCGCTATGAATCATTGCTTGAATGATAATTAGAAAAATTTAAATCCGAATTGTCATTCATCGAGTTGTATTTCCCGATTCTGGCGCCTTGTCACCTCCGTTTTGGCAATTTATTATTAATTTCAACCTGTTTTTAAAAAAAAATCCTGAACTGATTATGACAAGAACCTAGCCATCAAAGAGACTGAATGAAATAAGTATGACCAAGTTTAGCTTTTCAAACTGATTGTGAGTTCCACAAAATGAAACAAAAAGATGATTTTGAAAAAATTTTCGACAAAGAAACGTCAAAAATGTTTTGTTATGAACAATTTCTTCGGAACAATGTCTCATATGACCTTCTCCAAGACAAAATATCAAAAAAAAGAGCACCGCAATGATAATTAGGCCGGAAGCGCATAAAACCAAGTGGGCGTGTTCCCAAAAAGCACGCGGAAACAGCAACTCTTCATGACTAATTTATTAGCGACTTTCGTGGAGAATTCGTTTTCAAAAGAGCAAAGAAGTAATTAAAAAGCTCAATAATTGGGTTACGAAACGTGAGCCATTCTTTTTGTGAATTTCTCGAAGAAAATCTCCAGAAAGTTACTGTTTCAACTTCTTATGGCCTAAAAATGTTCAGCTCTTTTTTGGACCATTTCCATTATAAACTAGCTTTTATTTTAGCCCCGCGGTTAAACTTCAAATGGAACTTCGCTGAAATGTATTTGAGAATCTCTCGATTCCAGAAAAAAAAAATTCTTACGGTGAATCTGCTTTCTGAATAAGGACGCTTCAAAAGCATAAAATAGCAGTTATTTGTCATAATTTGTGTACTTTTCGAAGCTTCATAAATCGAAAAAAGATCTAATGCGCGGAATTTTTTTCTTGTTCTGAAATACGGAGGTTCCAAAGTGAACTCCAGAAAGGTTTCATCGAAGTTTCATCCTTGGGCTAAAATCATTCCCTTGTTAAAAAGTTTTTCAAGATAGACGTAAAAATCGAAAGAAAAAGGAAACTCCTTGCGTTGTTTGATTGATTAGGTAGGAACCTCTTCTTCGAATACCAAATCTCCCGGAGCTTAAAAATGATCTAAAACTTTCCGTCAATTGTTTCTTCGAGTTCGCAAACAGCGAATCTGAGGTGACGATGAAAATGTGAAAAACGGGGATCATGGAACAAAAGAAGCATTTTTTTTTGATCATCGGATGTGATCCTTGCTCAAATTACCGTTTTTGGCGCTGGTTCTGGAGTAAAAGGTAGCATCATGGAAGTAGAAAGCTTCTTTATCTGATTTTCTGATTTTACTGTTTTTAAACTTTGGAAAAAATGGACGATAAAAAACAACGTTATTAAATACTAAAATTTTCTCGTGGTTTATTTCTGCTGGGAATATAACAATATGGTCCATAAATTAATGATGAAAGTTCGCTAAAAGTAGAAACACATAAATCCAGACAATCTTTCGAATTCTCCATCGAAAGTTGGGTTAAAAAACCTCTCAGGGTTTAAGTTTGTTTGCCCTGAACGATTTAAAAAAAAAAAGAAAAGAAATCACGACAGTTTTTTTGTAACAGTTTCCTTGAAAAACGCTGTACCTTGCTT